CCTTACGGGGAATCGAACCCCGGTCTGCTCGGAACTTTAAACCCAGAGGATTTGAAAGCGAACCGTGATAGCCACTACACTATAAAGGAAATCACATGAAAGTGTATTCAAATCAGTCAATTTGGTAATATAATTTAAACAACATGTGAAAACTGTTTAAATTGTGACAATTTAAGATACTCTAATTTAATTTATAATGGGAAAGTTTAAATTAATTAATTTTTTAAGCTTGAATATTTAATTAATATGTTTAATGTTTAATATTGGATATTCTGTTGAGTTTATATGAAAATGAATTTTAGTTTAAGTTTATAACAAAGTTTTTATGAATTATAAATTAATATTAAAACCTAATCAAGGCAACAACAAAAAAAAAAATCAATAAATCAAAAACATCATAAACAATAGATTATTAAGATTATTTTAAAGTAGTAAAAACATGAATAAAGTACAAACTTGTACAAATTTAAGCAGATTAGTGGTCAAATTAGTGGCGAATTCGGATAACAGTAAGACATATTAGTTACTCTCAGAAGCAAATACACTGCTCAACTATGATTATGATTGATGTGCAGCCAATTATATAACATTTATTTTATGTTGCAAATGCCTAATTTATTTGATTGTTCAGTTTCAAGCATATTACAAGTTGGTTCATATGTTGAATACTGCCCTACTATAAATTGTGGATATTTTGCAACAACAACCACTAGATCGGGGTAGTGTAGTGGTTATCACTGGGCACTCTCCATGCCTAAACCGGGGTTCGATTCCCCGTCCCGATGTAGGAAAATATTTTTTGGACCTAGGTGTCTTTTTTTTTTATGCTCGGCCGATTCTTGATTGATAATATTAAGAATAAAATGTATATTTTATAAAGAAAATCTATCTATTTTGAAAAACCATATTATATAAATATTCATTTAAAGTCTTCACGTATCTAGATAGATCCCTATCCTTTGGCTTCTTCTTGGTTTTCTTCTTTTTATTCTTCAAATTTGGATGCTTTTCGTAGAAACTTTGACCATAATTAAAACAAAATTCATCTGAACCTTTTAAAGCACACATGAGATTATCATTATTATATCCAAGATATTTAAGATGTGAATCTGTACTTTTTGAGGAGGAAGGCAATTTAGGATTTGAACTTGGAATTTTAAACAATGAATTATCATTTAAATTCAAAATTGATTGAAATAGCCCTCTTATATTTAGTTTATGAATTGTTTCATCACTTATAGTTAAAGTTAATATTAATTCATCTTTGACTTTATAATTTGATTCAATTTTTTTCAAACTTGATATATCCCATTTGGAAATACTATAAGGTATAAGGATATTCAAATCATAACACAAATCATCAGGTTCACTCCAACCTGGAATTGGTATATCAAAAGATAGCGAGGGTGATATATGACTAACTTTATAATAAATTTGATCATCAATTATATCTTTAACAAGAATAACAAGATTTGGTCGATACATTGTTTTACCACATCCACAATCATCAAGATGTGTTCTTGCGAATCCAACAAAAATTTCTCTAGTGGGTAGTAAGATTGATTTATCAGGTATTATATCACTTAAATTAACTAGTTGTGTCCCTCCACGTAATGGACCAACTTTATTTTTTGGTGATAAAGTTTTATTCATTTTATATTCAAATTCACAAAATCCAGTAGTTAAATCACATGATAAGATATCTAAATTAGTCCATCGATAAACAAATTTAATTTTGGATTTATCACTAGATGATATAAATGGAGTCCAATTTTTTTGATTTGAAAATGAAGTTTCATATTTTTTAATTTTAAATTCAATAATTTTATTATAAATGTGATCATTATATTCTTGAGTTGATATACCTTCAACATTTGATTTATCAAGTTGAAATTTCCATGGATAACACATATACATTGATCTGAAAAATTTAATTTCTTTACCTAATCCAATATCTTCATCATCATCAGCATCAATGAATTTTCTATTATAAGAATTAAAAATAATTAGCGGCTCTTCATATCCATTTACATTAACAAGTGTCAATCTTGGATCTTCAGGTCCGTAATATTTCCCCAGAGTTTGATCATAATCATGAAAAAATGGAATCCGTAAAAAACAAGGAAACGTTAGATCTTTAAACAGTTCCTGTTGCTGTTGTTGCTTATTTAGATTGTTACTTGGAACAACCAATTTCCCATGTATTTCATTCCAATTCTTATCATAAATTTGTGCATATGTTAAAGATAAAACAGGTTGATTTTTAATACCTTTTGGAGAATAAATAATTCTTGAAATCATGAAAAATACTTGATATTGATCTAACCAAATCGCACTTCCTGAAAATCTATACCAAAATTTATCAATTATATTTAATTTCAATTGAATTAAAAGCTCTGGTATGATAAAAGGTTGTAATTCTTTAAGATATTCATCATCTTTCATATCATACAATAATTTACTTAGAATTTTGAATAATGAAACTTTCATATCAATTGGTTTATTAATGCTTATTGTATTTTTCGATTCAAGTAGACCACATTGTTCAAAATCCAGATTGACGAATTTTTTAGAATTAAATACTGAAAATTCATACAGATGAAATGTTGTAGTACCCAGAAGTGAATCACGTGAATTATAACCAATATGAATAGTTTGGGACTCTTCAAGAAATAATGATTTATCTATTGATGGATTAAAATCTTTGGGAAAGATAACATGTGGGGGTGGTTTATGAAATTGAAATTGTCGATGATGATTAAATAAATTATATATGAAATGTACTATGATAAACAATACCAATGTTATAACTATCAAATATACTGATCTTTTCCTTATTATCATTGTCCCATGGCTCCATTAAAAAACAAAGTTGTTGTAGATAAGTTGGAAATATTTCCTGGTCAGATTTGTTATTTGTTTTTTTTTTTTTTGTTGATGGATAAAGTTGCTGCTCCCCTTTCCTTTTGTTCAGGAACATTTAAAGCCACTCTAATTGCAAAAAAAAAAGGGAGATACAGGAATTATGTCATCGCTCATGGCCAATGAAACACGTTCCTCTACTCCAGTTGTTTCTTTGTTTGTATCATTATCATCATGCATTTGTATCTATTTTCATAGCCTCTTGTGTTTATACTACTTAAACCGCTATATAAATTCACCAGGAATTAATTTATTTCTATGATTCTCTTCATCTTTTTTGTTTATTTTTGGAGCTTGATTGTTGGCAATATCAGGGTCAAGAGATGATTGGGTTTCATCTAATGATACTTTGAGCTTATTTATCTCTTGTGCATAATCATAATTTGACATTATTGCTTTGAATTTAAACAAATCTTGTCTTAAATCAGTCAACAATACAACATTTGGTACACCATCTTTGAAATATATAGATTTGGTGGATTTCCCATCTAAGAAATCAATAATTTCATTTTCATGAATTAATGTGATATTGTTAGTTACCAAATAATCAAGCAAACTATCTTGATTTTGCAAGAAATATTCCAAATATTGTTCATCATTTAAATCAATTGTAATTGGTTTAGCTGATTTCTTTATGGCTACTTTCTCCTTGTGTGTTAAATCTTTAAGTACATAATCAACAATTGGACTCTTTTTAACCCACATTCTTAATTTTGGTAAATAAACATATCCTTTAAAGTCAACATTGGCCATTGATTTTTCACCATATTCAATTTTTAAAATAGTTTCGAATTCACTAGGTACATAAGAAAATTCTCCTTCAACCATACTTAACCTTAATGGAGATAATTCACTAAGTCTTGAAAAATGATTATTTCGACAATTGTAAGCTTGTAAATATTGATTTCTTTGGGTTTGAGTTATAGTTGCATCTCTACTTGATCTTTCTAATCCTGATCCATCTAATAATGAATTATATCTAACTGGTGCTCTACTTTCACTAATTGCTAATCCAGTAATATCAATATACAATCCAGTTTCAACATCAATAAATCTTGCATCAATATTGTTATTCCCATTTCCTCTTGTTCTTTGTGATAAAATATTTGAAACATCTAAGAAATATCTTCCAAATTTTAACTCAGATTCATTATTTCCAAAATCAACAATCATTGACTGATTAAAATTTCTTGCTAATTTATGTAAATCTTCAATTGGCATTTGTACATCAATATCAGTATCCCAAGGGAATTGCATTCCATTCCAATACCAAGATAATAAAGAACCATGTGCTATCCAAGTACTTAAGCCATATTGATTTGTTAATCTTAACCAAGATTTAATTAATTGATGAATTGATACTGATAATTTTGGTGTATTATTAATTATCCCATCCATAAATCTCCAATCATAATGACCTCCAAGTGCAAAATTGGCTTCTCTTTTAATGAGTTTACCTTCGTAGAAATATTTTGGTGGATTTGTAATAGTCAATGAATTTTGTAATGACTCAAGATATTGCTTATCAGTTTTGTTCAAAGAAGATTCATATTTTATAAGATCATCAACAAGATTTTGAGACTTATCAACAAATGCATCATGTTTTAAATGCTTTTCATAAGGTAAATGCTCTTCAGTTGGTAATTTTTTAACTAAATTTTGAATTTCTTGATTTAAATTAATAGTTATATCAGTCTTGAATAATTCTGGGGTATATGATATTTTCTTTCTATTTTGTTGATTGATATTGAATTGAATTCTCTTTGAATTAGGTAATAAAAATACCAAAGTTGAAGGAATTGGCATGAAATCCATAATATAAGATCTACCTAATAATGGTCGATTAAGTTTAGTATTTCTACCCGTCCATGCAAATATATGAAAACCAGTTGAAACAGACAGTGATGATATTTCTCTTAATCTTGCTTTGAATTCAGGATTATGTTTTGAATTCTCTTCTTGATTATTTAAAATCTCTTCAATTTCTTCATCATCAATACAATAAAGATTAGGATATCTCAAATCATCTCTTAAATTAGTTCTTGGGTTTCTTTTAGTAACATCAAATGATTCACATTTGCGTTTTTCTTTACTTAATAAAACTGATTCTAAACTTGACATATCAACATAATCACTCCAATGGAAACTCGGGATTTCTAAACCCTGTATATTATCTTGTGGTTGTGAATTTATATATTGCAATAAAAGTCCAAATGTAAATCTTGGATCGAATCGTTGATAACTTTTAGGAATATCCGGAGGTATTTCAATAATATCTTTGATATCTAGATCCGAATATTTTCTTGATTTATAAACCTCTGAATTCTTCTCTAGCTTATCTTTGCTCATATCAAGAATTTTACCATAAAATGCATTTGATTCTTCTATACTTATATCTGGATTTTTATTCTGGAAAATTAATTGTTTAATATATTCGAAACTAGGACTTTTTATGATCACTGTGTTTATTGTTTTGACATGGAATAGGGATAGTATGATTAAATTGATAGCTAAGAATGCTGTTACAAACACAACACCTCTAGATCTTCGTATAACTGCCATATTGTGCTTGAAATCAAAACTAAAAAAAAATGCTGAAAAGGGTTTCTATAGATACAAATGTAAATCTATGATACTAATAAATTAAATGCTATAGTTATAAATAAAGTTATGAAGAAATTGAATAGAAGAATAAAATAATCAATATTTATAATTCTATAAATAATCAACCAAGTGGAACTTGGATCAACCAAGTAGCAATTCTGGATCCTTTTTTTTGTTCAATTTTTTTTTTTTTTGTATCTCTTTATGTTGATTACCTAAGCCCCGCCGAGAAAATTTCTTTTTTCTTCGATCGGAATAATTTTATTTTTCATAATTATGTAATCAGCACAGGGCAGAGTCGTGTGATCTTAACCAAGGGGCAGGTTATAGGCATCACACGACCATATAAATACAAAGAGATATAAACAGTTCGTAGAGTGAGAGAGAAATAAATATAGCAACAGATCAGGATAATGGATATGAATAATAGATGATGACCATTGAGGAGAAAGAGAGAGAGAGGGGAAACGTCAGGTAAGGTTGCTGTGATTGGTTGATTTTTTGAACAGATCATTTGATTTTGCTGGGCTTAGATGAACAAAGTAATAACAATATTTTATGTAAAAATTTCAGAAGAGCATTTGAAGCCCCCGTAGGCTTTTAAACACACGAGAATTTTTTTTCTCTACCGGTGAATGATATGAATTGTGGTGGTGGTGTTAATGATGGCGGTAAAGGAGGAGGAGGAGGAGGAGGAGGAGGAGGAGGAGGAGGAGGAGGATGAAGTTCATGGTAGATTCGGCTTAGTTTAACAAGGGCGCTAGAATGATAATCATTGTTTCTCAGTCGATAACTCTTGTACAACGTTCTAGGTCAATGTGTAATATCAATTAAAGTTCAAGACTAAGTAATCTCCTCCAAATGTCGACTTGGCTTGTAAATGTAGGCTATGTTGATTTGAAACTGCCACAGGTCCAGTAAATTTGTGTATTTTTAATTTAACCCTTTTAAGAATTTATGAACCAAGCAAATCGAGAATCGATATCACCGAAGGATGTCCCTTGCATAAATTAATGAAAATAAAAACCGTTCCAAAGAACAGTAAGACCCATAAACAAAATCCAGTGATAGTAGAATCTATGTAGCGACGTAAAAGAACAACAAATCAACATTCATAATCATAACCTGGCTTTGACTATAGGTTAAATGGTGGACCGGCATTTTTGACCCCCAATAATCAATCACACAAAATGCATAAAAGAAAGGTGAATACGTTTAAAAACACTAGTTTAGCAATGCCGGTCGCCCCTTTGTTTTTAGTTTGCCGAATGGTTTGACGTGATTTATTTGGATTGCTAATGGTTATACATGTCTGATCTAAATTGAACGGGATAATGATACAGAGTAGCCTTGTTGTATGTAAAAGTTGATAGGTTAAGGCCCTAATCGGGCTGGGACGAAAACCACACGACCCGCGACAAGGCGACAGAAAAAAATATTTGACACGACAAAAAAAAAAAAATTGAAAAAGGAGGCGAAGAAATTTATACCGACAGATTACCTTTCAATCACGACTAGAAATATACAATGAAGATTAAAGTTGCATTATTGCAATTAAACCCAAGAATTGGTCAAATAAATACAAATATATCCCATGTTAAATCATTATTAAACAAAATAACATCACCTGTTGATTTAATAGTACTTCCAGAATTAGCAATAACTGGGTATAATTTCACTGATCCATCCCATATCAAACCATATTTAGAATCAACTAAAAATTATGGTCCTTCATTAAATTTAGCTAAAGAAATAAGTGAGAAATATCAATGTCTAACATTTATTGGATATCCTGAGATAGCTCAAGAAAACACTATATATAATAGTTGTGCAGTATTTAATGGATCAGGAAAATTGATTTATAATTATAGGAAAACTTTTTTATATGAAACTGATGAAAAATGGGGTAGTTCAGAAAATCCAATTAAAGGATTCCCAAGTATTGAATTAGATTTCAACAAGAATGGTCAATCAAAAAAGATTATTTCAAATATTGGTATTTGTATGGATTTAAATCCTTATAAATTTGAAGCTCCATTTAATCACTTTGAATTTAGTTTAAGTTCATATACTCAAAAGGCTAAATTATTGATATGTCCTATGAATTGGTTACATCCAAAATCACCTTCTTTGAAAACAGAATTATCATTCTCTAAAAGAGTTGAATTAGCAGAGAATTTGGAATTGGAACAAGATAAACCCGAATGGACCACTGTTAATTATTGGGTATTAAGATTATTTCCCTATGTTAATCATGAACATAGTATAGTACCTAAATGGTTTAATAATGAAGAGAAAGTTACAGCTATATGTTGTAATAGAGTTGGTGTTGAAGATGATGTTATTTATGGAGGTAGCAGTAGTATTATACAATTTGGAAATAATGGGAATTATCAAGATCCATCAACCGGTGTTGATAATGAGAATGTTAACCTACTAGGTTCATTATCTGAACTGAAAGAGGATATCTTAATTAGAGAAATAGATATATAGTGTGAGTGGGAATGAGATAGACGACTAGACCAAACAATTTGATATATTACCCAATTTGGACACAGTCGTGTAGAGTTGTAATTTTCGTGCATGCACAATTTTGTTCTGTGCATTTGCAGGAGAAGACGACGACGACAAAGAAGAAGAAGAGGAATAGGGGATGGAGTCTATATGGGGGAATATATCCAACCAATGAAACGGCACAAACGATATAACGCTAATACCGAAATCAAATTTTTTTTCCATAGATTAGCCGCCCATTCGTAAAATACTTTTGGCTAAGATAAATGAACCTAATTTATTAATTGAATTTCACTGATAACCAAAATCTATATGCATAATGTTAGCTCAAGTACGAGCCCATAAAAATTCTCTGTTATTTGAATGTTAATGTTAATGTGCATGTCAAGTTTGATACTGCCTGTGTTGTGTCGAATTTTAGGTGATAGTTGACTTGTTCTATACCAAAAAGGCTAGAATTGAATGCCCAGTAATGTATGTGTCGCGTGACTTGCCATTGTGTTACTCCACAAACTGGAAGTTTAAATCCGTCACAACAAAGTATGAATTTATGTACAGAACCAAAGTGGAGAAATACTACAAAGAAGGAGAGAAACAAGACGTGTTACTTTTCATGTGACGTCAGCAATGAATACCACCACTACCACTACCACAACCACTCAAAAGGTTATGTACTGTAAAAATATCCGTCGCGTGTAAGTATAATTATTTTTTAGTTTCACCAAAGGTCTTGTGACCAATCAAAACCAATATAATTATCAACCAAACACACAAGACGAGTAGGTAACAAAACCCAATACAATTAAACAAAAAAAATAAATAATAAAATGATAAAACGTATTTCACTCCTAAATTAAACCGACACGTACATAGAATAACTGTTGACTTAAATCATTTTAAACCACAGTCCCTTGACCAAGAAAATTTTTTTTTAGTTATTAGCTATTTTAGGTCGACGTGTCTCTCGAGGTGACCAACTAATCGCCGCCGTAGTAGCCTGATTGTGCTCGAGGTGTGGGCACAATGGTAAGGCGAGATTCTACCGGAATGACTTCGTGTGACATTTAACTTTAAAAACAAAGCACAGTACCACCACGGCCAAGAACAATGGACACAGAGATGGTAAATCTTAGCTCATTAACAATGGCAGGACCGTCGTCTTGTCTTGTCTAAAATTGTTTTATTCTATTTTTTAATAATGGCACATCTGACACAGAGGAGAAATCAATCATTCACCCGCAAACCCTCTCTCACACGATTAACTTACACCAAAGTTTAAACTTCAATCATCAATGGCGATATTATTTCTAAGAATCTGTTGTTGGTGTTACTGTCGAAGACCCCATCCAAGCCAAACGAGGCATTGCTACTGACGCTATAAATTCAACCACTTTTCCCTATTTGTTTTAATCAGCAATGTCTAAACAAGACAATAAAGAGAAAATTTTTTTTTTTTCATTTCCCATGGGAGGAGTTTATAAATTGCTAAAAAACATAATGATTAAAAAAAAAAGATCACACAAATACCAAGGCGTATTGCTGATTTGTGTAAGTCGGCTAAACTTCATATCGCCTATTGATATGGACATGGACATGAACATGGACGTGGACGTGGGCAACTGCTTCTCTTCTCTTCTGCATCAACCCTTTGTTACACTAAACTTTGACAAGAAGAATGTTTTCTTAGTAAAAATTAATCTTTATTTCTCCCGAAGTTATATATTTATATATCGACATAATTCCCAAAACTGAATTAAATTAAAATAAACTAAAATAAGGCAAACTTTCTCTTTTTCAATATCTTACTCGTTGATGTGTTCTAATCAACTTCATTTATAAAGATTTCCATAGCTTATATTCATTTTCAAATCTCGACATATTCTAAGCCAAGCCTAGGTGGTTTAATTTTTATTTTGGGGCCAATTTTTTTTTTTTTTTTGGTCTGTTTATATTTTGAAGTCATAAAACAAATCCACAATTTGCATTCATATTTTGGTTTTTAATTTTTATTGATTATTCCATTTAAAATCTACTTCAACCTTGTATTATCTACTACTATCATCACTACCGTCATCTATTTGCATCGAAATATTATCATGCCCAGACTAAATAAACTTTTATCACCACGATTTCTAATGAGATCAATACTATTGTTAACCATAACGTATACAATATTCATATCATCTAAAACTTTATTTCAAATGCCATCGATAAAGCAATACAAGACTCAAATAAACCATCAGTTAAAACACAAGTTCAATCAATGGTATTATTCTATACTAGAATCTAATCATCATTTAGAATCAAATAAAAATTTCTTGACACAAATGAATTACATTAAAGATTTCAAAATTAAACATGAAAAGAATAACAAGAATGAATTATGGGATTTAATCGATGATTTGAAATTACCTTTAGAAGTTGAAATTCCAGATTATTTCAAACATGATTCTTATAAACCTTTAATTCAACCATTTGACCCAAGATTAACATTATCGGTTTATTATAACTATATCCAATTAAATGCAAATAAGCAACAGGATTTGGAATTACCATTTCATTGGTCTGATTGGGTAGATTTGTCAAAATTATATAAATATATCATCAATCCAGAAAAATCAAACTTGTGTTCTTCAATGTTTGATATTTCGGATAAAGAAGATTTAATTAAAGATTCAAAATTATTTAATATCAATGATTATTGTCAATATGCTCCCGATTCATTGTTGGGCTATAATATAACTGGTCCAACTGGACCTCAAACAAAACCAAATAGAGAATTATTAGGCAAATCATATCTTTATTCATCTGCTCCTTCACCAATGAAGTTAATATTTTTAACAAATGGTACTTCATATCAATTCCCAGTTAAAAATTACAATGTCAACCATTTAAATAATTCAATATTACACAATGAAATGATGTCTGAATTGTCTTATCCAACAACATTTAATGTATTACAAAGTTATCAGTCTTTAATCAATTCATATCCTCCAATTAAAACCCATCACTCATTTAGCGATTATACATTAGATATTCCTGAAGAATTATTTGATATTAATCCAGAACATATAATTACAGATCTTCAACAAAAGAAACAAGAACTCAATCCAATGGATGAGAAATTCCTTGATTCAATTAAATTTAGTCATGAATGTAACGATCCACCAAAATATTTCTCGGAAGCTAAATTATTAAAAAAAATTAAAGATGATTGGATGGGTGAACATTATGATTGGAGATTCTTCAATGGAATAACTATTGGTAAAGATGAACAATTTATAATTTTACATCGATTAATTAAAAATTATTTAAATTTTGCAAGAGAAAATGGTATAATTACATGGATTGCTCATGGATCATTATTATCTTGGTATTGGAATGGTATTGCATTTCCTTGGGATACTGATATTGATGTACAAATGCCAATTTCTGAATTATATAAACTTGGAAGATATTTCAATCAATCTTTGGTTATTGAAAATGTTGGTGATTCATATAATGAATTTGATGGAATGGGAAGATATTTCATTGATGTTGGTTCATCAATAACTCATAGAAAAAAAGGAAATGGAAACAACAATATAGATGCAAGATTCATCGATATTGACACTGGATTATATATTGATATCACTGGATTAGCATTAACTGACCATCCAGCACCTTCAAGATATGATAATTTCATCGAAATGGATCCTTTAAAGAAAAAATTCTTAGATATGCATTCAAAACCAAATGAAGTTAATAATGTATTGAAAAACCAACAATTAAAAGTTTACAATTGTCGAAATAATCATTTTAGTTCATATGATGAATTATCACCATTGGTTTTAACACTTGTTGAGAATCAATTATCATATATCCCATCAAATTTTATAAATATTCTCAACGATGAATACAATCTAAATTCATTAACCAAGAAAACTCATCGTTCATATACTTATATGAATAATTTCCGACTTTGGTATAAAACAGATAAAATTAAAGAATTAATCAAGAAATCAAAAACTTGGATATCTAAACATACATCATCTAAAGAATTAGAAAATTATGAATTTTTAATTAGACTTAATAAATTATCAATTAATGATCATTTAGATTTATTACAACATGTTGATTTATTAAAAGAATGGATTAAAACAATGAATTTTACAAATTATCACAATTTAGAATTAAAGGAAATGATTAATAAAAATTTCAATAAAGTAAAGTCATTATTACAAGATTACAAGAAAAATCATAAAATAGGAATTGGTATGAGACCTGATTATTTCATAAACTTAATTATGCTTGATAATTCCCGTTGGAGTTATTCATTACAAGTTAATGATTTAATAGAATTACAAAAACTGTATGAAAAGCAAAAGGACAATGAAAAGGAAAAGCAAAAGGAAAATGAATAAGAAAATTTTTGTCAGGGCTCTTGGTTCAATTGCTACATAAGTTATACAAAATAATATATACATATATTTATACTAATGATATTATGATATGTTTTAAACTAGGAAGGAATAACCAAACTACCTACCACCCAATGTGCATAGCATACCAAGAAACTTAACACTTTGAATGAATATTACACTTAATGCCCCTTTATGCTAAACCTTCATTTTTTTTTTTTTTGCAATTTTAAGGAAACTATGGAACATCCCTTAATTCAGTTTCCTTAATACCTTCTGACCCTTTATTTTATAATGAATATTTATATATATATAACCCTGTATTTCCTCTTGCGTTTCTTCATTCTCTTGATTGAATTGTTTTTTTTTTTAATTTCCCATTTCCTTTTTAAATAATCATCATTAGATAATCATAACTTCTTAATACAATGCAAGTTTCAAAAATTCTTTCAGTATTTATCGTTTCAATTGGATTAGTTTCAGCTGTCTCAAATCCAAATAAGAATGATAAATCAGATAAGAGTAGTAATAGAAAGAATAACAACAATAATCAAGCTCATCATAATAATGCAAATGCAAGCAATGCAACAGTTACTACTACAACTACAACTAGAGCTCACAATGGTGGAGGTGTTGAAAATTTGAATACTTTTGGTAGTTTGGTTGCTCTTGCTGCTGGTGTTTTATTGATGTGAATTGAAAAGTGGTTATGGATTAATTTGTTGATTATATATATCTCTATGGGAGAAAGTTCGTTTAATTTTGATTGATTTTCTTATTTTTTGTTTTTTTCTTTTCTCCTATTTTGTTGATTTTATAGTTCTAATATACTGTTTTGTTTTGTTGTTAAAAAATGTTTAAGTGAAGTGGAATCTACAAATATACTATTGTGTTATGGTTATCAAAGAAATTTCCATGGTTATATCTTTTTTTTTTTTTTGCAACTATTTCTTGTTGTTACCAAAAACAATTCTTCCTTTTGCATTTTGATTCAAAATTTTTTTTATACCAATATTTTGCTATTGAAACATCGTCATGCCGATTGAATTAATCCTTTCTCCAATCATGAGACCAGTGGTCCATGCAAAATCCATATTGTTTGCTCCTCATAGAAATGCATCTCATTATGTTCCCACAATCAAAGAATTTCCTACAGATAATTCGAAAATTTCTTCATATGCTGTTATTAAAAGAATAGGAAGTGGAAATAAAATCCTTGATGTATTTGATACCAATAATGGAATAAACCCAATTGGTTCCCCCGATCCAAATTCATCAATTTTTTGGTTTAAAAGATCTCGTGCTGCTAAAGGTGGATATAAAATGTATTCTTCTCAACAACCACCGGATGAACCAATGGCTGCTATTAGAGCTGGTTTAAGAGGAAATGTTTTATTAATTAGAGCTCCAGAAGTACCTGCTGCTGAATTAGGTTGGCATATTATTAATCATAGAGTTGATGCAATTGATAGTTATAGAATGTTTACTTTAGCTAATGGATATACTTATCAATGGACATATCGTGGTAAATGGTTAGAAATAGTTCACAACTTGGGTGAAAAGGAATCAGAAATAAGAGAAAGAATAGGGAAAGTTGAAACCAATGGTGACTTTGGATTTACATTATTTGTTGATGAATCTAAAATTGTTAGAGAATTAGCATTAAGTACCGCCTTATGTTCTTATATTGACCAATGGAATACTAATCTAGAAGTAGGTGGTATATATTATGGTCGTCAACCGGGTCAAGTTCGTTGGAAGAGGGATTAAATAGCTTATTGTCTATAATATATATAAATAAATATATCTATGTTGTGGAGTATACATTGTCGAGTCATGTGTATATTAGCCCTGCCCACACGACTATCGTGCACTTGTGTTCAAAAGATCGCCTTTTCCGCCGCCTACGTAAAGCGAGCTCCGATAACAAAAATTAGGTGACACAAAATCCAACACTGAAAAATGGGTAACCAACTCCTATAAACCCCCAACTATCAATAGCTATATAAACTGGTGGGAAATTCCTTTTGTTGAAAAAAAAAGTCTTCAAACCATTTCTCTTTTCATTATTCCACTCTACCAAACCACACGATGCTTAGAGCTTTTAGATCATCTACTTTGAGACAGGTCTCAAAGAGATTCAATTCTACTTCTGTTGCTGCAACCTATTTCCCACAAGAACCAACTGGTCCAGTTTTCCAAACTGAATCAATCCCTGGTCCAAAATCCCAAGAATTAAATAAAGAATTGGGTGAAGTTTATGACAATCATGCTACTTATTTTGTCGTTGATTATTTCAAATCATTAGGTAATTATATTAGTGATGCTGATGGCAATAAATTATTGGATGTTTATTGTCAAATTTCTTCAATTGCTTTGGGTTATAATAATCCTGAATTGATTAAAGTTGCTAAATCTGAAGAAATGATTAATTCAATTGTTAATCGTCCTGCATTGGCATGTTTCCCTTCTACTAATTATAAAACCATTCTTGAAGATGGTTTATTAGCTGCTGCTCCTCCAGGTATGGATAGAATTTGGACAGCTTTAAGTGGTTCAGATGCCAATGAAACTGCTTATAAAGCCGCTTTCATGTATCAACATGCTAAATTAAGAGGTGATAAACCATTTACTCAAGAAGAATTGACTTCTTCAATGGAAAATAAATTACCTGGTGCTTCGGATATGAGCATTTTATCATTTGATAAAGGATTCCATGGTAGATTATTTGGTTCTTTATCAACTACTAGATCAAAAGCTATTCATAAATTAGATATCCCTGCTTTCCCATGGCCAAAAGCCCCATTCCCAAAATTGAAATATCCATTATCTGAATTTGAAACTGAAAATAGAGAAGAAGAACAAGGTTGTTTATATGAATTAGAATCAATTATTGAAAATTCTCCATCTAAAATTGCTGCCGTTATTGTTGAACCAGTTCAATCTGAAGGTGGTGATAATCATGCTACATCCTTTTTCTTCCAAGGTGTTAGAGATATTACTAAAAAACATGGAATTTTATTTATTGTTGATGAAGTTCAAACTGGTGTTGGTGCATCAGGTAAAATGTGGGCTCATGAACATTGGAATTTATCAACTCCTCCAGATATGGTCACGTTTTCTAAGAAGTTCCAAGCTGCTGGATTTTATTTCAGTAATCCTGATTTACAACCTAAATTACCTTATAGACAATTTAACACTTGGTGTGGTGATCCATCTAAAGCAATTTTGGCCAAGGGTATTTATCAAGAAATTGTTAAACATAACTTGGTTGAAAAAACTGCTAAATTAGGTGATTACTTATACAAGAATTTGAATGATATTTTCTCCAAATTCCCACAAAAAGTTTCCAATTTAAGAGGTGAAAATTTCGGTACTTTTATTGCATGGGATTGTCAAGATGTTGATCTTAGAAATAAAATCTTGTTGGCCTGTAGAGAACGTGGAGTCAATTTGGGTGGTTGTGGTGATTACTCAATTAGATTAAGACCTACTTTGGTATTTGAAAAGAAACATGCCGATATTTTCTTGAATATTTTAGAAGATGTTTTATCAAAAGTTTGAATGTAGTTCCTAGAATATACATAAATTAAAAGTTTGTCTTTTGCATCACGTGTGTTGAAATAGTTATTGTAGTTGGCACGACCAAATTGGCATAACCATATAGATCCTGCCTTGCCATCAGGACCCATTTCATATCGGTTCATAAATTGTTAACAATATTCTTCGGGTTTGTTGAATTTTCCCAAAAAGCACCAGCGGTTATAAACTAAATCCGCTCTGTAGATTACATATCTCGGATATTCCATCAGATCGGAAATACCAATTTATTCATACAAAAAATGGACGAAATACCAGAGTCACAAACACCTTGACCAATGTATCTTAGACAATGGATTCATTGTCCTTGTTATTGGATTATTAATGAATAGAACCGGCATCCCGGTCACTTCATTGATGTTGTTGTGATAACTCCGTGAGGGAATGGTTTTGCAACTTTTTTTTTTTTTTACTATCAGGCACTGAATTCAATTATGGTGGATATTCAAACCATCCGGAAATATCAGTAACCATAGTGATGACTATTAAGTCTAGAATTATCCTTTTCACACAATTAAGTATCATAACCACAAAGATGAATTATAAAAAGGTTATATAAAGAAGACGAAGGTTAGGGTTTTCCATAATTTTTGACAGGTTTAGGTGGTTATTATTATTGTCCTGGATTGCATTGAAGTGACATTATATTTTTGACCAAGAAACCTAGAAAAATGCTGCTGCTGCTGGATGATTATTCTACTGAAACATCTATAGTAGATTATGATACAAATTACTATAGACAACAACTACAACTTGAACAAGTAGAAGGAGAAGAAGAAGAAGGAGAGGAATCAAGAAGATTAAATTTAGTTCGAACCATATCAGCTATTGAGAATCATGAAATTGATAAAAAATTAGATTCAATATCAAGAGAAATATCAAGAGAAATAACCAATAAAGAAGGAAATTTCAAGTTAAAATCAGATGAATTTAATTTAACTAAGATTTTATCAAATTTTGTTTATTTTGCAAGAAAACAAGGTATTGTATTAAGAAAAAGTGGAATTACATTTCAAGATTTATCAGTTTATGGTGTTGATGATTCAGTTGCTATTGTACCAACTGTAATGGATTTAATTAAAGGTCCAATCAATGGAATTATTCAAACTATTAAGGAAAGAAATACTCCAAATAGACAAATCTTAAAAAATTTCAATGGATTTGCTAAACCTGGTGATATGGTTTTGGTGTTGGGTAGACCAGGAGCTGGATGTACTACGTTTTTGAAGTCATTGAGTGGAACTGATTTTGATTTGTACAAAGGTATTGATGGCGATATTAGATATGATGGACTACTCACAAAAGGAAATGATCAAAATGTTTAAAAATGATTTGATCTACAACCCAGAATTAGATACCCATTTCCCACATTTAACAGTTGATGAAACGTTAACATTTGCAATTGGTTGTAAGACTCCAAATATTAGAATTAATGGTATTTCAAGAGATCAGTTTATTAAAGCAAAGAAGGAAATATTAGCTACTGTATTTGGTTTACGTCATACTTATAATACCAAAGTTGGTAATGATTATGTGAGAGGTGTTTCTGGTGGTGAAAGAAAAAGAGTTTCCATCGCTGAGGCTTTAGCATGTCAAGCTTCTATTTATTGTTGGGATAATGCAACCAGAGGTTTAGATGCTTCAACTGCTTTAGAATTTGCTCAAGCTATAAGAACATCAACTAAATTATTAGGTACCACTGCTTTTATTACAATCTACCAAGCAGGTGAGAATATTTATGAAAAGTTTGATAAAGTTACTGTTCTTTATGAAGGTCATCAAATCTATTATGGACCTGCTAATAGAGCTAAAAAATATTTTGAAAATATGGGATGGGAATGTCCACCAAGACAATCTACTGCTGAGTTTTTGACTGCTTTAACTGACCCAATTGGTAGATTTCCAAAGAAAGGCTGGGAATATAAAGTACCAAGAACTGCTGAGGAATTCGAAGACCGTTGGTTGAACTCCAATGAATATAAAGAACTCATACAAGAGATTGATATTTACAATAATCAACTTAATCATGATGAAATTAGAAATCAATATTATGAATCTGTCAAACAAGAGAAAATGAAAGGAGCTAGAAATTCATCACCGTTTACTGTTTCATATTTACAACAATTGAAATTGTGTCTTATTAGAAGTTATCAAAGAATCAAAGGTGATAAAGCATACACTATTACACTTGTTACCGCTGCCATAGCACAAGCATTTGTTGCTGGTTCATTATATTACAACACACCAGAAGACGTATCTGGTGCATTTTCAAGAGGTGGTGTTATTTTCTTTGCTGTATTATACATGTCATTGATGGGGTTGGCTGAAATTTCAGCTTCTTTCAGTAATAGACAAATATTAATGAAACAAAAGAACTATTCTATGTATCATCCCTCAGCAGATGCACTTTCACAATTTATCATGTCAATTCCAATAAGTTTAATTGTTAATGTCTTTTTTGTTATCATTTTATATTTCTTATCGAATTTGGCACGTGATGCTGGCAAATTTTTCATTTGTTATCTATTTGTGGTATTATTACATTTAACAATGGGAAGTATGTTTCAAGCCATTGCTGCAATTCATAAAACTATTGCTGGTGCTAATGCTCTTGGTGGAATTTTTATGTTGGCTTCATTAATGTATTCATCATATATGATTCAACGTCCTTCAATGCATGGATATTCAAGATGGATTTCATATATTAATCCAGTGTTATATGCATTTGAAGCAATTATTGCCAGTGAATTTCATGGCAGGAAAATGGAATGCACTTCACAATATTTAACTCCTTCAGGTCCAGGTTATGAGAATGTTGGCACTGGTGAACAAGTTTGTGCATTTACTGGTTCTATACCTGGTCAAAATTGGGTTTCTGGTGATAAATATTTAACTGTTTCTTATACTTATAGATTCAGTCATGTTTGGAGAAATTTAGGTATATTGATTGGATTTTTGGCATTCTTTTTAACCATTAATGCTTTGGGTACGGAATATATTAAACCTATCACTGGTGGTGGTGATAAATTATTATTCTTGAAAGGTAAAGTTCCAGATCATGTTACATTACCATCAGAGAAGCAAGATGGAGATATCGAGTCATCACCTGGTCAAACAACAAGCAGTTCTCAATTAGAAAAATCACCATCCAAGACAAACAAAAACACAGCATTGGCTACTAATGATATTTATGTTTGGAAAAAAGTTGATTATATTATTCCATATCAAGGTAAACAACGTCAATTGTTGAACGATGTTAGTGGGTTTTGTATCCCTGGTACATTGACTGCTTTAATGGGAGAATCTGGTGCTGGTAAAACTACATTATTGAATGTGTTGGCTCAACGTATTGATTTTGGAACCATCACTGGAGATATGTTAGTTAATGGTAAACCATTAGATTCTTCGTTTAGTCGTCGTACTGGTTATGTTCAACAACAAGATATCCATGCTGAAGAGCTCACTGTTCGTGAATCTTTACAGTTTGCTGCTAGATTAAGAAGATCCAATGATGTTAGTGATGAAGAAAAACTAGACTATGTTGAAAAGATCATTGATGTGTTGGATATGAAAGGTTATGCGGATGCGATTGTTGGTAAATTAGGTAATGGATTGAATGTTGAACAACGTAAGAAGTTGTCAATTGGTGTTGAACTAGTTGCCAAACCTTCCTTGTTGTTATTTTTGGATGAACCTACATCTGGGTTAGATTCACAAAGTGCATGGTCTATCATAAAGATATTACGTTCATTAGCCAATTCTGGTCAAGCTATTTTATGTACCATTCATCAACCGTCAGCAACATTATTTGAAGAATTTGATAGATTGTTGTTATTAAGAAAAGGTGGTATTGTTACATATTTTGGTGATATTGGACCAAGATCAAGTGTTATTTTAGATTATTTTGAAAGAAATGGTGCACGTCATTGTGAAGACAATGAAAATCCAGCGGAATATATTCTTGAAGCTATTGGAGCTGGTGCAACAGCATCAAGTACTTTTGACTGGGGAGATATTTGGGCTAATTCACCGGAGAAAATTCAATCTGACAATAAAAGAGATGAACTTATTCAAGAATCAAGTAAGAAGAGCAATTCTGGATCAACTGAAGATAAGAAATTACAACAGAAATATGCCACTCCTTATTTATATCAATTTAGATATACACTTCAAAGAAGTACCACCACACTTTGGAGACTTCCTGAATATGCCATGTCTAAAATTGGGATGATGACTAGTGGTGGGTTATTCATTGGTTTGGTTACTTTTTATAATCTTAAAGAAACTTACACGGGAAGTCAAAATGGATTGTTTTGTGGATTTCTTACTGTTGTTGTTGCTGCACCAATTGCAAATATGTTAATGGAAAGATTCAGTTATCTGAGAGCTACATTTGAAGCAGGGAACTGCTGTCTATACTTATCATTGGTCTTTACTTATATATGTGACATCTACAGAAAATACTTATCTATTTTATCGGTGGAGTATTCTATTTGTATGTGTCTATTTCCCGGCTACTCGAGAAGCAGGTTCACAAGCTGGTATGTTTTATTTTACCCAAGGAATATTCTTGCAATTATTCACTGTTTCATTTAGTGCTATGATATTGTATATTGCCCCTGATTTAGAAAGTGCTGCTGTTATATTTTCCTTTTTGTATACATTTGTTGTTGCCTTTTCAGGAGTTGTTCAACCAGTTAATCTCATGCCAGGATTTTGGACATTTATGAATAAATTATCTCCATATACATACTTCATTCAAAATTTAGTATCATCATTTTTACACGGGAGAATAATTAAATGCAGTGAATCGGAATTATCACATTTTAATCCACCATTGGGACAAACATGTCAAGAATATTCCAAAGAATTCTTATCTAGAACAACAGGATATTTAGTTAATGGTAATGATACTTCTAATTGTGCATATTGTCCATATAGTAATGGAGATGAATTTCTATGGAGTGTTTTTGTTAAATATTCGTATCGTTGGAGAAACATTGGATTTTTCGTTGCTTATTTTATATTTAATGTTGGATTTTGTTTGTTCCTTTATTATATCATTAGATATAAGAAATATCTAAAAGGGATGTTTGATTTATCACAGAAATTAAAACCATCAAAAAAGTAACAATAGTTTATAGATTGATAAAATACATCATGTGATAGAAATCACGTGCTCCCATTATTAATATTTTTTTTTATTTTTTATTTTTTGCGCCCAAAGTGTACAGCCACCAAGAAAAAAAAAGAGTATAAGCTGAAGTGCGCCGGCCCGTATCCGCTCACCATTCGGGCGATCGGTTGTTGTTGATAAGATCATTGGTTGGTGAAGTTTATCAGAAAACTAAAAATTGACCAATTGGAGTAGTCGAGAATGAAGATGAGTGTTAATTACTTGCATGGGGTAATAAATAATAAAACGTAGGGCGAAAAAAAAGCGGCAATTTATGAAACAATTCAGGATATATGAGGCAAGTTGTTACATACATTGTACTAGAACAAGAAGAAGAAGTGGGACTGGCGGTGGTTAGGGGAATGTTAGTATTGCTTTGAAATATTAGTCTTACCCGCTTTGTTGTTGAATCTAGAAAGTTATCACGACTATGATTAGCCATGTTCGTTTTGTAGTAGTCCCTCGGAGCATCTTCGGTGTTTGTTTCTCTTTACACCAACAGTTGGTTATGTAATACAATTCAAGGCGTTTCTTGTTGTTTATACAGTATCGGGTTTTTTTACCCGATTGGGAACGCAGGCAAATGTGTCTGTGCATATGGGAGGGAGAGATGACAGCGTCGCATCTTATGTAACTGGCACCAACAAGTCGTGCATTGGGATAAACTCCATACTCCGGGAGCTGAACTACGCTTTTTAGTCGATGGGAGTAATTCGATAAAGCAGTAGTCGTAGTGGTATTATTAGTGACGAGTAGTAACAGCAGCAGTAATTATTATAGTTTGTTTTAGTAAGAAATTGATAATTTGTGTTAACCAATCGGAGTATATTAACCTTTATGTTACATAACTTTAGATTATTATAAACTTTTTGATATCACTGGCGTCTTTCTTTTATTTATTTTGCTTATCAAATATAATTTCCCCCATTCTTGTCTTACTCTAATTCATTCATTCATTCAATCAACCATCATCGTTCACTTACCGCCTTTGTTGATACTGCTTTATCGTATATTTGCTAGTACATAATAAATAATTATAATTCAAGCACATCTCAAAATCCACAAACATCAAACAACAATTCCAAAAAAAAAAAAAAATCCCTCAAGTTAGCAACTTCATCATCTTTTTTTATCAACAATAACAACAACAACATCATCAGTATTGCCAACTGATTCTTCTTTAATTAATACTATTTCTCGTGTATCCATTACTTGTCGACTCCGGAAGTAAAATGTGTCACTAAACGTAGACACATCAAACAAGAGAGACAGAGAGAGACAGCGACAGGTGATTGTTAGTTAAAAAGAAGACAGAGATATATCAAAATTCATTAACCCACAACAAACGACGGCGAGGACGACGAAATAGACAACAGCAAACTAGACAAACAACTACTCACGGAAGACATTGTGCATTCTTGAAAGAGAAGAAATGTTAGGAAGATTATTTAAACAAAGTACCCCAACTTCTCAACCACCATCAAATTCACTTCAGCATCATAACCAACACCAACTGCAAAACCAACAATTTCAATATAATCATCCCCAACAACTACAATCACCAAATAAACCAACATCACCTCAAGGATTAGCAAATTCTTATGAAGATGCATATACTAGAGAAATCCTTTATGGAACTCATAATGCAAATCAATTAAAACCCTTTCAATTCAACAGCAAATTATTTAGAATTATAATATCTCAAGATGGTGGTAACTTACGTTCAAAACAGGTTTTGTTCGATAGTGCCAGTGAATTAACATCTTCAGATTTTAAATCAAGCAATAATCAATCACCTTCACAGCAACAGCAACCAGTTCAGGATTCATCAAATTTTAAGAAATCTTCTAAAACAATGATGACATCAAAGATTTATCATAACGCATCACAGTTAAATGACTTTATGTTTGGATGTGGATTACCATCAAATGAAAATCAATCAACTACAAAAATACATACTTTACCTCCATTATCAAATTCAATTTATGGTCCTTATTCTGCTGTACTAATAACGAGATTGTTTTCTATTAGTGATGGGGAATTTACAGAATTACCGTCATTACCGAATCAGAATCCTAATGAATGGCAACCACACCCTGCTTTAAGAGTGAAAGAATCAAGCATACGAAAAGTGTCTATTAAAGACGATGATACCACGAAGAATAATCATGTTAATAGTCGATTTGCCATTGGTGTGGTTATTCCGTTGGAATCTTTATCCTCAATGCATGATGTAATTTTCAATAACTGGCATGAAATAACTCATTTTATGATTTTACTACAGAAACTCATATACAAGAAACTACTAATGCATTTAAATTCTGGACTTAATTATGATACAAATAATAATTTCACTGGATGCCAGTATTTGATTAAAAGAAGAATACAGTTTCCAAATTTCATTCTACAAGGAGATTTTGAAATCAATCCACAAGTTATGAAATTGATTAAAACAGTTCATTATAATCATAATATTCCAAAACTAATAAATTCCAATACGTTGATGAAATCATCGGCAGAAAATGAAACATTTCAATATAATCCAATGTTGATTAATTGGGTATTAGAATTATTAAATTGGTTAGAATTTAAGGATGGGAAATATTCTGATTATTCAACTTCATTTTTAGCTAGTTTATTTGCCATATTGATAAAGTTTCGTAAGCTGTTGAGTAACAAACCATTTTCCAATGCTTGTCAGAAATCAAAGGAAGTTACTAGAGTTGTAGTCATGACAGGGAATCCAATAGTTGCAAAAAAATTGATTTTCATTCTTAATGGATTAATTCCGAATCTGAGATATGTTAAAATATCGGAAGCTGAAAGTTTTGGTCACCCTGATTCTAAAGACAATAACAATAATGAGGATGGTGAAACTGGAAAACCTACTGAGAATAATAACAATAATACATGCAACACACAGCCAATACCTATACAGCATAATCATGGTCAGTCACGTTCTGGGGAATCTTCATCAGATAATTCATTAGCTAAATCTGTTACTTCGATGAAAGGATGGGAAATACCTACTAAATGCTCAACTTCAATTACTGTGAACCTTACAATGTTGCAACCACACATGCAATGAGCATTCCAATTAAGAATGGGAATGACATTAATGGTACACATGGATCAACTCCTGGATCATTATCCATGGCGTATTTGTCGTCTTCCTTGAACTCATCATATTCATCTTCAAATTATTCCTTAACCAAATTTGGAGGTTCATTTATTGAAAAATGGAAAAATTCATTTGGAAGTGGAACGATTCCAAGTACAAGTTTAGGTCATAGTGGTGGAAGTAGTGGAAATATGACAGGATATTTCGATGATGTTGTAACCATGAATAAGAGACCATCAGTTGTTTCATTAAGATCACCTTCTCCAGCTGTTGAATTTGAAGACTATTCTACTAATGGGTTTCAACAAATTACCAAACCAATCAACATTGTAAATAATCATAACCATAATAACCATAATAACAATAATAACAGTAATAATAGTAGTTTGAGTAGTACCCCACTTCAACAACCATTACATCAACTGCTTTCAATGACACCAAATAGATTATCCAGAACCCAATCGATGTATGATTTATACAAACAAGGAGGAGGAGGAGGAATAGGAGGAATAACAACGACCACAGCTACAGTCACAGGTATAACTGGAGGCGGATCTTTGATTATGATGTCTAATATTATGGATGAGGAAGATGATTTAATTGAACGGAATAACAATCAATCAAGTCAAGCTATTCCTACATTAGAGATCAAACGAACCAAGACTAGTGTTTTCACTCCATTGATTCAAGATAACATGGTTAAAAACATTGGAGAACACGACCGAAGTTTAATTAAACAGAAATGTAAATTAATCATGGATAATAAACCTAAATATGTCAATGAAAACAATGAGGAAAATCACGTGTTGGAAGTTGAGAGTAATGATATGATTGATGAAGGAAATAAAGAAACAAGTACAATTTTTAAGCATAAGGGATTATTACCAATAGTTGCATTTAGTGATGAATTTAGACCAGAATTTTCCGTTCAATCGTGTCCATTGAATCCGAAATTGGAACAACAAGTCATGAATAATATGAAGAATGATTTACTATTTTATCAGAATAATAATTCATATGAAGAAATTACATCGAGGACGATATTTATCAGTTTAAGAGCTAGAGAAATAAAATTAATTGAAATGAATATTAAAAATGATAATATTAACCAAGGAGGAATAAATAATACTTATAAGACCAAAATCAAGAAATTGTTTACTCCATTGAAAAATTCTGGTAATAAAGATATGATGAATAAAATTGGTGGGTTATTTTATGATATTAATCAATTGTTTAATTTACAACAACGAAGTAATGAAATTTCAAAGAAGGAATTTCATGATAAATTGTGTAATTTAGTGCTACAATTAATTGAATCATGATATTTTTGTAATGTGTATAATGTGTATAATGTATTGATAACAATAATTTAATGAGTTTACTATAAATGTAAAGTACGAGATGAGAGATGAGATAGTATATGCGTTCATCTGGATTGAAACATATTTCCATTGTAACGGATATATCCACCACCACCTGATCTAAATTATCCACAGGCATGATCAGATGAAATTAAACTTCTCCATCTCCCACAAGTAGAATATGGAATGTTTAGTCGAAATCTAGTTATTTCCAGGTATAGAATAACCGATAAAGCAAAAACTGAAAAACAAAAACCATTGCATATGGATTTTTTAATCTGTAACATTTTAAACTGGAAGTTTCATAATCTAAAACTAAAACTTCAAGAATAAGAAAGAAAACGATTCATTACATAAACATATTCACGGTTGATGAAGATATCACATGTAAAAGTTTCCAAATTAAACAATAAAAGAATCAACGCAAACTAGCACTGCCACAATTATTTTCAAAATCGTTATGAATTAGCTAATTGGAAATACATAAAGTGCTTTGAATAATAATCTTTTACGAATTCATACATGAATCGATATTTACATCTTTATAATATAATAATAATCAAATTTAAATGTGGGTTGGTACATATTTCCATTATGATAAAAAATAATAAGAAAATAATTATTCTTAGGTTGAAATTTCCAAATTTCATTCAAAGAGGGAAAGTTATCGAGAGATTATTTAAGGAGGATAAAGATCGATATTAAGATTAAGATCAACGGATAAACCCGATGGAAATAGCATCAATATACGCCTACACCCCCCATGAATTCAAGTATGCTTAACTGTTTCCCCCATTACAGATGGTTCTAAAACATTGATTGAGTTTGTCATCGTGACATCATATGTATAATTTGTTTTCATGATTTGCTTGCTATGTGATACTGCTCAAGAAGGAGGAAGAGGAGGAGGAGAAGGAAGAAGAAGAAGAAAAGGCTGCTCATAAATGATATAAACGTGCATAACACCTTGGAATATAGAAATAGGAACGCATTTCATTTCAGAACAATATAAATTGATAAGTTAACAATAACAAGGATATTATTCATTTATAATTACCCCCTTAATTGCATTGTAAAGAAACGTTTATCCTTTTTCGTTTTAGAATATATATGATGATATTCCTTATTTACGTAATAGATCGAGGGAAGAAGTAGGCGTAAGAGAAGGAAAAGGAGGGGACAATAAGCTATTATTATTATTATTGTTTACTTTTTATATTTTTTATATCCCTGGTATTCCGAATTCCATTCAACAACAACAACAATAATAATAATAATAATTATAATAATAATATTCAAATTAGCCACCCGATCATAATCATTTGAACTATAGAACAAGAGAGAAAAAGGGCTTAAAAATAATATTATTAATCATAGCAAGGAGTTCCGTTGCTTTCACTTTTGCTAGGCTCTAGAAACAAACAATAGATTTAAACTCATAGGATCGACAAAAGTCATGTAAGATAAGTTAAATTAATTTAATCTCATGTTTTGGTTGGTAATGATTTACCCTGTATAAACAATCACTTATCCCGCCTTGTGCAATATATCATATAGGTTATTTTGTTTCTTATATGCAATTCAACTTGTTTCTCTTTTTCTTTTATTTCTTGGTGGTGATTTGTCCTGGGGTTCAATCTAATTTTATTGGAAGAGGAGAACAAAGTAGAAGGTATTAATAATGATTCGAGTGATTCGCCCGAGATAACATGTGTGTGTGTGGATGTAAAGGGGGAGGTGATAGTGGAAAGGATGAGGCTGACAAAATTGGTGATAGTGATTCTTGGTAATTGCAAATTGCAAAAAAGAAAAACAATTATTATAACTGCACAATAATAAACGTCATTTATATTATAACAAAATAATAATTATTTCATCATCAAAGGGGGTAACAAGAAGAGAAGAGAAGGCAAATCAACTAATCGGATAAAGGGATAACCGTATATATTTTGAATTTCAATAAAAATATGATTAACCAATTATGGCAGTTAAATTCTCCTCTTTTTGTTCCAAAAATCAATTCTCCCTTTCTCTTTCTCTTTCTCTTCTGTTCGATAACTCCATGATTCGTCGTTATATTTGATTTGGTAAATGGGTGATTATGTAACCCCAATTTATCCTGCTTCACTTTATATATTGTGGTTTGCTTGTTTGTTTCATATGTTAAATTTTATGGGCCACATCTTACTATTAAGTGGTCGTGCATATTTCATCAAATGCAAAAAAAAATGTCGTACGGAAGTAAAATCTTTTACTTTCTTTTATGTTTGAGTAACCAATGTACAATAACTTATGTTTTATACAATCGAAGGGTTATGAACTTGTTGCTATTGTTATTTTTGTTGGTATGTGAATGTGTGTGTGTGTGTATTACTTGGAAAATCACACAAATTGGGCTCACTAGCACCCCCTATTGTATTTATTCCTTGATAGAATATTCAAGAACATTGATGTCACTTCCAATGCCATAACCACGACTCCCTCTTTATCTTCTCGTCAACTTCATTGTCATTCATTCTTTATAGATGAACCAACATGAGTTAGGGATTGTTTGCTATCTACTACAGAATCAATTGAGCTGAATTAAATTGACTTTCATTCTTAATTTTGTGAATTGCGTTTGTTTTAAAATTAACCTTGAATTTTCACGTGAAAATTGTGCTTCAGTTGAAACTATAATTGAAGAATTACAAAATGATTCTATTTTCTTATTCTTCAAACAAGATATACAGTTTTGTATTAGCATGTATTAATTCTCTCCAACGTTATTGTGGTTCTATAATAATAAATGAGTTTTGAAAGACAAGACAAAAAAACAGAAAGCCCCCCTAAAAAAAAACAAGAATTCCGAAACTAAATCCGACACTACTAAAAAAAGTATGCAATATTAGATAATCGCAGAAAACTCAACTATAGTACATAGTATACATATATGTTGTTGATATACATCATGGAATGGGCTTGAAAAGATTTGAAATGATCTGTCTATTTTGTCTTAACGATAATCAACATCTCCTCATTTCTGGAACGAGACGATTACATCATTCAATTAAGCCAAACAAAAAAGGAAAAGTCCCACAATGGCTTGTTGTGTATGTCTTATATGTTTATTAGAAGCATCACTCACCTTACATTTGTTTCTGTAGTTCTTAGTCTTTGCATATATATATATATATATATAAATTATTCAATGTTTAATAATGGCGTACTTTATGAACAATAAACAGCATCATCATTTTTCATTCTATACTTGGCTTGATTAATTTCTTTGTTGTTGATGAAGACTAAAATTATTTAGACTATTACTATTATGGAAAGTATCAACGATGAGTCTTCAATGAGTCAAGTAGCCATCTTGTAGATAACACACGACTTTGTTAAGAAGTATCAGAATAGTTACTACAATGGTGTTTTCATTTTATTATATTCAACAATTTGCCATATGAAATGAATACAGTAATTCTGCAACTTTGATTATTCAACATTGATCAGGTGATATATATGTATAGTGTAAACAATTATCTTGTTCATTAGGATGAATAATAACAGAATAGCTTAACGGAATTCGGATTTCATATTCTTACCATTTTACTTCTCTATCATTTCATAATCACCCCTATTCTCGATACTCGTAGTATTATTAGATATACAAGAAAAAGAAAAGAACTAGATCCGTAATAATTATCATAAACGTTGAATGTACTATAAGTTGAACAACACGAAATAACAAGAGATCTTGCTATGATCATGTATAGTTCTTTAAAAACAAAAAGTGGTTGTTGTTGATGTTGATGTTGATGTTGCTCAAGATGTTGATGGTTAATTATTATTATTATTTATAAATTTTGGTTTCAGTTTTGTGCATATCATACTTCCATGCACGGAATTATGTCCCATTGGACAGATTTCAAAAATATAAAACTGTATTTAATTATCAAGAGAATTAAACATTTAGTCCAATATTGGGGTGATAGAGTTGAACGGAAGTATGTTTAATTGAATAAAATAAATCAACGATGAGATCTGATCGAATTATACATATAAGAGTATAATTCAATTGATGGGTTTGATTGATTGTTTGTTCAAAAGCAGTTGTGGTCTAATGTTGATTTTTTTTTATGTTAAATATAATCAAGATATGAAATCATGAAAAGGAATTGCATTTATGTAATAAGTTATACACTATCAATTTAAAATGCCAACTCCAAGAAACAATAGTATTACACGTTCTCCTCTTCATATAGTATCATAATGATATCACTTATTTCTATTCGGTAATTCTTTCCAATGTAAATTGTAGATAATTATTATTAAAAGACCAAAGACCAAATTAAACTCATTTTTTTTATTCATCTGTTACTTTGAAATTTATCATTTCTAGAGGGGGAATTCAACTTCGGTATATTTTTTTTAAGTTTTGGAAAATATAAAACTAATTCAAGGGATGATATCTACATCTCCACAATTACACTTACCCTCGTTTTTTAGAAACGAATTCTCAAGGGTTAAATGATTATTATATTCAGATCAGCCTACATCCTAATTGCAAACTACAGGTTATTGTTCCAAGTATGTTTATGTTTTGATTTCGGAATCTTGCTCTCTCTTGTCTTGTTTTTTTGCATCCGTGAAAATGTAAACATTGACGTATATGTGCTTAAATGACATCATGATCAGCCAAATGCAAAATAATAATAGAATGAAATATTGACAGGAATTGGGAGCAGGATGATTTAGAGTGAATTTGTCAAAGAAGGGGGCGGGAGCAATAAGGGGAGAGGAGAGAGAGGGTAAATGATGAAACAGGCATTCTATCTCTTACGATTTTTTAACCGTAACAATCGTAATTCCGCCCGTTCTCTTTTAGTACATCGTTTCCGTTCAATTGAAACTTGCTTGCCTTACCTTGCCTTACCTGCCTGCTTGCTTGGTTTAAAAATTGCCGCTACTCTAACCATATGTCCCCATAAATACATGAACTTATTTCTACGCCTTGTGTAACAATTTTTAAAGTAGTATGATTCTTATTATTCTTGTGTAATCATGTTTGTTCTGTGCAAAGGGTTCTTTTCATTTATTTAAACTAATTCGTTTTTTTTTTGGAGAATGAGCTTATATTTCAAATTAATTCTAGATTATACTGGAAACATTTTTGGAGATTACCAAATAAAGCAATTAAGGAAGGTGGAGGAAATTAACAAGAAATGGGGGGTTTTTCTTTTTCTTTGTCTAAAGAGAAATTATTGATTCACAAGGGGGTGTTTGATGATTTGCCATGTTTTGTTTCAAAAAAATTTTATTATTTGTTACTGTAATAAAAAAAGGTTTAAGATGATTAAAAAAAAAGGAACAATAAAACTGTATAATATAACAATTATTTAAGAATACAATAATAATAATAATAAACTAACTTATAAAAGATACCTATATATACAAATATTAGAGCTAATCAAATATAATAATAATAATAAACTGTTCCTAAAATCCATAAAAAAAAAAAAATTCATATCATAATGTTTGTTTGTGTTTGTCTCTATAATCTATAATCCAATAGTTGTCATTAAATTGTAATTGTACTTATTTTCATCATTTGTAGTGGCAGTAGTAGCATTATTACTATTATTACCAACTTGAAATAAAGTATCATTATTAAATAAATTTTCATCAAATGTAGTTAAAGAATATAAATCATCAAATGAATGATGATTCTGTTGTTGTTGTTGTTGTTGTGGTTGTTGTTGATGATGATAATCATTCATATGACTATATTCATCATATGTATTAACATATGAATCATTTGTTGTCGTTGTAGGATCATAGGATTGATTCAGTGGTTGAAATTGGGTATATTGTAACAAATTATTAGTATTGTTGAATAATGAACCAGTTGACGAATTAGTTATAGAATCTTGTTTACCACCACGTAAACTCGACATATCTTGATATGAAAAAGCTCTTGTAGAAGAATCATCACCATTAATGAGTCCTGTAGAAAAATTCAAAAATGAATCAACATTTGCAATATTAGTTGTTGGGAAGCCAAATTCTGGAAATTCAGAAATTGCAGAATCAATATTTGAAATAGTACCAGTACCACCAATATTAGTTGTTTGAGAAGTAGGAGTTATTGGATATAAAGCAATAGTAGTACCATCAACATCTTGTGGAGAAGAAGTACAAGTATTACTCATAATACCTGAAGTGGATTTATTTAGTGGACTATTAGGATTTGAAATATGGGTATTTTTATGAATGCTGGTGGTATTAGAATTATCATCATCACTGAGATTTGTTGTACCAACTGGGGAATTCATAGAATATTCTTCAAAACTGGTATATTCACCTGATTCTTTAACTTTCTTGACAAATTCCCAACATTTATCACCATAAGTTTTTGGAGTTAAGCCAGTAACTGATTTGAAAACTCTATGAAAATGCCAAGCACTCAATTTTGATTTAGCGGCCAATTCCTTGAAACCAAGTACACCACCTCTTCTTCTTCTTCTTCTCTTACCAGAACCATTACTTGTTGGAGAATTTGGTTGATCTTGAGAAGATGATTCATCATTAGTTATTATTGGTTTTGGTTGGAATACATTGATAGCAGCAGCCAAAGCCAAATGACGACATGCCAAATCAACTAATCTATAATGGTCAGAATCATTTTTGGATAATGATAAATCTTTTGGAGCTTTATTATCATAAGATGAAATTAAATTAGGAACAGAATTTCTATGACCGTGAATATTTGTAGTAGAGGATGATTCAAATTTATTTAACAATTCTTGTTGATTTAATTTCTTAGATTCCAATATATTCTCTTTAATTTTCAAAGAATTTGATTCTTCATCATCATCTAATAAAGGAGGAATAAAACCAATTCTAGTATTAACATTAGAAACACATTTAATTAACAAGTTAACATCAATAGCCATGCTTGTATTTATAGGATCACAATGTTCACAAGGTTTGTAACCTAATTGTAATGCTTGTTTTGAATTTGAAACGAATTTAATCTCCAGTTTTAAATTTGTAATTGGTCGAACATCACAATCAGGACGACAGAATATTTGATTGATTTTATTACAAACAAAAAAGGATCCAGCAGCAAATGGATCATTGAATTGATAAGCTTTCCATTTGGAAGTTTCACTTGAATAGACCATTCTTTGATATTAATGAATTGTTGATAGTAAAAACAAAAATAAATAAAAGGGATAATTCCCGGGGGGAATGTTATATATAAAAAAAAAATTAAGGGGGAAGCACAGAAAAATAAGGGGGTTGGGTGCAGGAAATGAACAAAAGTTATCACACTTTACGTTACAGAAACTTCGAAACAATAAAATAGGGTTGTTCGGAAGTTGTTGAAAAGCAGATGATGGTAATTATAATCACTGATATTTATATACTAACAAGTTGTTGTTTGTAGTATATCTATGTTGAACACCAGCAAGTAGTAGTAATACTAAAATCTAAATGGGGGAAAATATTATTGGGAGTTATATGTATATAAATCTCTCTCGTTATCTAATAGGAATATTAAAATACCAACAATGCAAATTATTAACTTTATCAAGGGGAAGTATGTGTTTGTTTGTTCAATAACTTTTTAAACTCTTGATAGTTTATTTGTGTTGATTGACAGTTTGAAATATTTTTTGAAAAATAAGAATAAAGTTGAAAGAAATTTCGATGTTTATTTATAATCATTTTCATTTCTCTACTTGTTACTCTTCTATAAAATGAAATCGATTAAAATAGAATAATAAGAACTAAGAATAAGAAGGCAAAATACCTGCATGAATTTCTTTTGTGATTTTCATGACTGACCCCCCAAAAATGGAAGAATCAGATTAAGAGTTGGAACATATGTGAATTTTACACCTCCTCTTTATTTAATCCTGCCCCCCTCTTTCTCTCTCTCCTTCTTTCATGGATTACACAACATGAAATATGCATGAACATCTTCGTCATAATTTATTTAGTTTGTGGTACTGCACATAATTTAGCCGCTGGTGTGTACTTTTGTGATAATTTGTTCGGTTTTGCACGCCATGCTGCACCAACCACAAAAAAAGAAACTAAAACAAAAATCAAATGTCGTCGTCTTTGTTTTTGTTTACGCGACATTTCGGAATTCACCTTATCTTCCGTTGTTTATGTACACACACAAATTATGACTTTTCTATTTTCTAGACCATTCTATCTTCAACAACAATAGAAACAAAAGATGAACTAGAAGCGAGGAGGGGGTGTGAGCAAGTGAATAATATTATTGCTGTTTTTCACGCACGAGGAACACACAAGAAGGGGGGTGGTGAGCTAGGCGGGATGACTGTGCATATGAATTTCAAAATGAATCATCTCACTAATAAAGAGCGGCATACAAATAAATCAGATAATTGGGGGAACGCATGAATGAAGAGGAAGAGAGAGAGTGTGTGTGTGATTGAATTAATGAAAATATAATCTAAAGAACAAATTAATACTTAGTTGATCACTTTTTAGTTGAAATTGCTATAGCCCTTTGTTGTTACTTTATTCATAGATTCAAGTGTTCGAGTTTGCGCGTTTGCTTAGTTTAGATTTCAGTATAAGTTTATTCTAAAAAATGAATTTAAACCTCGGACTTATCTCCCCGATAATGTAAGACGTATATATGGCTCGCCTTATTCATTCACCGCGACCCCGAAGTAAACAAATTTGTTTCATACAAGCTATCCACGCCCATCTCCTCCCATCGTCGACGTCTTCACCCCTACTAAAAATAATGCATTATTTAATTATAATTTTTTTTAAAAAAACAACCCCCATATGCAACTTTATTACACCACCATATCGACGTCGACGTCTACATTAACATCCCATATCCACTTAGTGTCAAATTCGAAAAAAAAAAAAATATTCTTCTTTCAAAGGTTTCAGGAATAATTTCAATATTGTGGCTTATCTCATTTATGTGTATTGTACTTTCTTTGTTTAATTTGCCCTGAATAGGATTCTTTCCTTCTACCTTCGCCTCATGATCTCTTCTTCATACACCCCCTATTTCCATTCGATATGACAGATTACCTATTGATTTAATCTTCAAGATTCACTTCTTGTAGAAAACAAACCACACTAGTAGATGTGCTATTTACAGCGCTATAAAAATTGAAAACTACGAACTGGCTCAATACTAAAAAGAACCAATCATAATCCAATCCCTTATTCTTCTTGTGTTGCTCCTTGTTCCTCAACTCGTCCTCCTTGTTTCTTTTCTTGATTCTGTATCTCATATGCACAAAATAAAATGAACCAAAAAAAAAAATATAATTATGATATCATTTTTCTTTACTTGTTAGTGAGATGAGGTGGATTTATGGACTTTCGGATAAATATTGGGTATTTACGTAATTGTTCTTGCATACTTCCAGAAACGTTAATTTTCTCTCATATGAATCGAATGAGTCTATTAATAAATACATATGTTCATAACCATAATTACATGATAAAGAAAAAACTTAACAAATTCGTAGATGAAATCTTGCTGAGAAAAAAAAAAAAAAAATAAAAAGATTTACACCCATAAGGTTGTACTAAAATCTAGAGTTGAAATCAACCTCAAAAACGAACGGAGATTATGAATTGAAAATATGCAAATGAATGAATTCTGTAGAGCAATGGCTTACATTTTGTTTCTTTAATGTAGAATGTACACATTTTAGTTCATTTTGTAGTTTGTGGTGACGTAAATATAAGGTTATTTTTTATTTTACATAATTTGTTTGAAATTACATTAAAGTGAAAATGACGTATTATAATTTGCCCAATAAAGAATAATCACAAACCGAATCACGTATGGATACTTACATATACATAGTGCATATTTGTGCAGTGTTCCCTTTGTTTTTCACTCCATATCCCTCTTACTCCTCTTACTCTTTCTCTTAGTCTTATTCTCCCCCACTATATCATCATCACTTGTACATAGTCTATTTCTCCAACCGCCTATACTCCTTATGTTTCCACTACTACTTCTCGGTCGTTTTCCGCCGCCCCTTATTTTTAATAGTTGTTGTCGCTGACCCTTTAGTGTCTTCTTTTTTTTTATTCTAAATAAAAATAATGGGCCCATAAAATGACTAACGTATGTTATACTTTCTTTTATTTTTTATTTTTTATTAATTTATTAATTAACCATGTCATTCAACCTTTTGTGGCTAACACAAGATTAGGGGAAATCAAATAACTTGGTTATGAATTTGATTTATTAAATTTGTGAAAATTATGTATAAAGAGACTCCAACATGGAATTCCTTCCTTCCCTTTTTTTCTTGTACACTTTCACACGCCCAGAAATTTTACTGCTACCAAAAGCACAAGGTGTTAATAGAACTTATCAACAGTTTATTTAATGTAATTCAATTGCAATGAAATGAAATGAAGAAGAAGAAGAAAAATCAAACAATGAATGAAATCAATAAATAGTATTCTTAATTTGGTTTGAGATATTATAATTTACCATGGTTTGAATAAAGTAACGGTGCATTTACCACAACAGCAACAACAACTACTACAACGATATCAGCCATATTCAATTCTTTTTCATATCCGGGGTTTTAATAATACTCAAGAAGTTTAACAGTTTATACTTTTATAATCCAGGGTGTACATGTTTCCTTCGTTTTTTTTTTTTGGCTAGTTCATAGAAGATTATGGTTTTACTTTTAATTGTTGTTCTTATCAACTAAACGTGGCTAATGAATAATATTCACACCAGGTCTTTATCCGTATGTAAATCCACATTTCCATATCCCTTTTTACCTATTGAAGATATCAATTTACCCCCTCTTCCTATTGTTTAAAGTAGCCTGAGACACAAGGAATTTTAAGAATATTGTATGGTAAAAAGCAAACTCAATAATGATGATTATAAGGAGGAGGAAGTGGTGGTGATGGTTATGAATTCTCATTTTACATTTTCTAGTTAAGTTTTTTGACTGTACAAGTGGAAACTAAAATGCACCAATGATAACCTTAATCCTTTTTGTTATCTCACCGCAACACACAACCCAACAACAGAAAATAAGGTACATCTTCTTAAACGTCTAGTTTAGAAGACATACCTTCAGAATAAATGATATCATTTATTCATTTTAGGTTTCTATTAGAGAGGTGATGTAATTTACTGTGCAGCGGTTCAAGCGAATTTTAAATTTTTGTATCAACTTCTTGTTGATTTCTTGTTGAATGACTGTTTTGTAACTTTGATAAAGGATTCAATCCGTTAAAAATTGACCAAGTTCTCTTCTGGATTAATTTATATTCTATTGATATTTTGGAATCACTGCTCTAGTATCTGAGACACTGTTTCTGTGATATTTATTACTTGTTGTAGCAACTATAACCTTATTTGATACCCATAATTGAATTATCCTAACTACATGTATTACTCTCTGTGTGTGTGTCTCTAAAGCTCATGGGACAAATTACCACACCCCCCGAATCTCGGAAATACATAAATAGAATGAACATAGGGCTAATGTTTAATACTTTAAAAACATTAATATTTGGATTTGTGGGTATAATTTGCCAGTGTTTGTGTGATATTTTTTTTGCAATCAATGCTGCATATCTTCAAATACAGAAATAATTTATAATAATTGAAGAAGAAGAACAGGAGAAAGAGAAGTAAAAGGCGAGTGGAGAACTCAATGAGTTTTCCTTGAGCAAATTGTGGAGTGATCCCTGTATGTCATACGTTTGGTTTAAATTTCACAAGTGGAGTGGAGATCTATCTAGCCATGCATAGTTGTAACAACTTTTCATTAATTAATGGAATTATTTCATTTGGATTTTTCACCAAATTTTTCACTAAATTTTTCACTAAATTTTTCACTAAAAGAATTTTCCTTTTTTTTTTGAATTTTGTTTTCTACATCCTACCAACATGACCAATCATTTTCATCGACAATCGACACGTTACACAACAGAAAGTAAGCCGATGTTAGGACGAGGTTTATTCAAAACAACAAGGAAAATCTTTCATTACATTTCCAACTCATACAATTAAATACCTCGCCAATAGTACACGACCCATCCATATTGAGAGCAAATTTTGTATGGGTGATTACGTAAGCACCACACAAAAATCAAACAAACCCTAAAAAAAAAATTGTAACAAATAAAACACGTTTAATTTCAAAGCCCATATCACCTTTATCCTACCATTCGCTATAACCATAACCTTAGCCATAGGCATAGTCATAGATATGAATACAATATCTCCCGTGGTGATAGAACCAAGACATGGTGGTGAACATCATAGTGTTAATGTCAAATATGGGATCATCATTTTTGCAATTTCAGTAATTCATATCTTGTTTTTCTTACTTGTGAAATTCATTGAAATCAATCGATGGAAATCTAATGGTAGATTTAATAAATCATTATGGAAATTGAATAATACACCTACTTGGATGTTAATCACTTTATGGATATTGATTATCTTCTTCATTGGTGGGGCAAATATAACGGAATTTCTGGAAGAATATATTACTATTGCCAAAAGATATGGTAGAATTGCTTATTGTTTATTACCTTTAAATATTTATTTAATTTTACGTCCTACAAATTGTGTTTATTTGAAACCTGGCTATTATTTGGAAAATCTAAGTTTACATAAATGGTTGTCTAGATTAATTTCAATTTGTACTTTAATTCATGCAATTGGTTATTTTTATAAATGGAATAAAGAAGGTAAGATATTGATTAAATCATTTAGATTTTTGAATTTTTTAGGGATTGTTGTGTTTGTCATGTTTGCCGTTTTAATTATTGTTTCAATTAGAATATTAAGAAGAAAATATTATTCCTTGTTTTATATTATACATAATATCACTGCTTGGTCAATGGTTGTATTGATTATTTTCCACGCTAGACCAGGTGTAACCATTTTTGGCATCATATGTTTAATCTTGATGTGTTATCAATTGTTATATTTAAGATTTTATAAATCTTATCCAGTTAATAATTTAAAAATAGTTGATATTCCGATGTCAACATTACAAATTATTAAAATTCCAAAACCTTCAAATTTCCCAACTTGGTTGCCTGGATCACATGTGAGATTAAATTATACCACTTCAAATATTAAATCATGGATTAACTCTTCTCATCCTTTTACAATTGCTAATATTCCTGAAGACGGAGTTAATTATTTATCTTTAGTAATTAAAAAACCTGGAAATTTCATTATAGATCAATATTTAACTTACTTATTAACTGGTCCTTATATTTCAATTGATTATCCGTTTTATAATTCTGCAAATTTAATCAATATAATTTGTGGAGGTTCAGGAATATCGTTTGGCTTACCAATTTTAAATCATTACAAGAGTTTAAATCTGAATATTCCTATAAAATTAATTTGGTGTGTTCGTAATAGAAATGATTGTTTTATTATGAATCAATTAGACATGACCAATGTTGAAGTATTTATAACTTCCGCTGGTGATTCATCTTCAGATGAACAGTCACCATCTTCGTCATCATATCAACCTGTTCCTTTATTTGTTGTTGATGATGAACAGGACGAAAGCCATGCAAAAGTTGAACAAACTCAAGGTGAAGAAGAAGTTGATGGATTATTAAATCAAGATGAAAATGGTATACCATTACAATCAATGAAAAAAGAATCATTCCCAAAAAAAGAAGAAGGGGAAGATGAAGAAAAATCATCAAAAGATGTCTTTAAATATGGTAGACCTAAGTTTGATGAAGTTTTCGCCATTGATGATCCTACATTGAATCCAAATTATAATGATTCTTGGGTGATTGCATGTGGACCAGATCAATTGATTGAAGATGCTAAATATTGGTCACAAGAAAAAGGTTATCGTTTCTTCAGTGAAAAGTATGAGATGTAGAACTCATACCAGTTTGTGTATATACCTATATATACATATATATATATACATATATATATATACATATATATATATCATTCAACAATATAGATGTTTATTCCATTGTCGCCGCCCATCTTGATTATCATCTTTCACAGCCAAAAGTTATTCACTAATTTCGCGTCATGAAAAAATCAAAAAACACAGAAAATCACCAACGCGTTTAAAGCAATCATCTTTTCATGAACCAATAGCAATGTCCGTTCGACCTACAACAACAGCAACTGCTGACACATCAGAACCATCACCATTGATAACAACTCCTAATTCACCATCACAATTTACATATACAAATCTTGAAGATTTAACAAATCCTACAAAATCATATTTACTGCCATTATCAACAATTGGGTTAATTGATTTAAATGCATTTTTTGCCCAAGTTGAACAAATTCGATTAGGTTTAGATTATAACAAACCTATAGTTTGTGCCCAATGGAATTCAATTATAGCAGTTAATTATCCAGCTAGAGAATTTGGTATTGGACGTATGGATTCAATTGAATCAGCTAAAAAGAAATGTCCAAATTTAATAATAGCTCATGCGGCAGTTTATAAAAAAGGTACTGAATATTGGAGTTATGTTGATGGATTACCTCATGCTAAAGATCATAAAGTAAGCTTAGATAGTTATAGAAGAGAAAGTAGGAAAATTCTAAGAATTATTATGGAAAAGTTTGAAATTGTTGAAAAAGCAAGTGTTGATGAATGTTATATTGATTTTGGCAATCATATTTATCATGAATTGATTAAACTATTTCCTGAATTAGACAGAAAAGATAATGAGAATGTACAACTACTACCTGATATTCCGAAAGTATTACCAATTGAATTACAATGGTTTGGAGAAATATATCCATCAGAAATTGAACAATTTAATCCAAATGATTCATCACAGGGACAACAATCACCAAGTATACAAGATTGGGATGATATTTGTTTATTAATAGGATCAAGAATATTATTCGAATTAAGAAAGGAAATATTTAATGAATTAGGATATACTACATCAGCAGGGTTATCAAGAAATAAATTGATTTCAAAATTATCTGGAGGATTTAAAAAACCAGATAATCAAACAATAATTAAAAATTCATCAATTAATAATTTTTTAAATAATTTTGAATTAACTGATATTTCTGGTATGGGAGGTAAATTAGGAGATTCAATAATCAATAAACTTGATATACCACCACAATTTAATTCAATTAAATATATTCGTGATAATTTTACAATATCTCAATTAAATCAAGAACTTGAAGATTTACAAGATCCTAAACTTGGAGAGAGAGTATATTTAATAGTAAGAGGAATTTATCCAATTGAATTAACTCCGAGAATTGAAATCAAATCAATGATGTCTGCTAAAAATTTTAGAAATGGTTCAATTAAAAATTTAAAAGATTCATTTGATTGGATAAAAGTATTTTCAGGTGATTTATATAATAGATTAATTGATTTAGATAATGAAAATTTACAATTATCAATAACAAAATTATCAACAAGATCCAAAGGTTTAATAATAAAACGTCCTAAAACTTTAACTATTTCAATTGTTTTAAATTCTTCAAATAAATCAACAAGACAAATGAAAATTCCAATTTATAAAGATTTACAAAAAATGAAATCTGTTTTTTATCAATATGGCTGTTTATTATTAAAAGAATATTTGGAATTTAATACAAATATAGATAAATTAAATGGTGGTTTATCAACTAAAGAATTGTTTAAAAAAGATCCAAAAGATATTAAAATTATGGATTTACAATTATTATCTTTAACAGGTAGTAATTTTGTTGAAATTGATGAAAATTCATTAATTGAGAATTTTGCAACTAAATCAAATAATAATGATTTGGCAACTAAAGAGTTGATGGAATTAAATGCTGCTGCAGCTGCTGCTCGACAAGAACATCAACAGGAACAACTGCGACAACCTCAAAAGAGAAAAGAGTTATCAGATAATGATCGACAATATATTGCTAAACTATTCAAGGAACTAGAAGACGAAAATGGTACAACTAAAGCATCATCATCATTTTCATCATCACTGCTACCACCAAAACCAAAGAGAAAAGAACTTTCCGATAATGACAGACAGTACATTGCTAAACTATTTAAAGAACTAGAAGATGAAAAGAAAAATTCATCTCCCTCTCCTCCTCCACCTCCTCCCCCATCATCGTCATCATCATCTGGCAAACGTAAACATAATCAAATGGATATTTTTCAAACTTTACTGAAGAAAAAATCCAATGCTTTAAATCTACTAGATGAATTAATAAAAACTAAAAAATGTCCTAAATGTAATATTACCATTGATGATGATCCTATTGAACATAATGATTTTCATATAGCTTTGGATTTATCTAATAAATTAAACAATTAATCTTGCATATTTGAAACTAAATTCATAATTCTTTGACGATCTTGTCGTTGATGTTCTTTTTCTTTCATTACCAATTCTGCAAATTTATTATCACTTGGTAAATGTAACTGTTTAACATCATTTTTCTTACCATTTCTGGTTAACAAACCAAATGAAACTTTATTCTCTTGATTTGCAGATTCCAAAGTTGAACTTCTTTTGTTTTCTGCCAATACTTGTCTTGGTAATGGCATGGATAATCTACCACCTAATGCACCAGTACCTCCACGAACATTGCTTCCTCCAATACTCTTACTCATGGTTGTAGGTGTACTACTATAAGATTCAATCATAATTCTTTCATATTCTTTATCAAGATCATCCATGAATTTCTTATCATTTTCCAAACGAATTTTCTCAGATTCATTGTCGACATCACTTTCTTCATCATCAATCTCTTCAGATGATGAAATCTCCTCTTCCTCATCTTCAGAATCATCATCATCATCATTATCACTATCATCATCGTCGCTGTCCTCTTCTTCGTCATCGCTATCTTCATCATCATCACCTTCACTGTCCTCATCATCGTCATAATCATCTTCCTCCTCGTCTTCATCTTCATCTCCATTTAATACATCATCATGATTTTCCAAATATGACTCAGCTTCTTGCTTACTTTGAATCAGCTCCAGAAGTCTTTGACCAATCTCTTGAATGGTTTCATATCTTTTAACTGTCGGAATACTCTTAAATTTAGTAAATAAATCATTTAACTTAAATTCAAGTTCAACAGGTAATGGTCTTTCTTTGCAAAATATATAATATTGTAAAAAAGTAATAAAGACACCAAGTAATTCTTTATTAACATCATTACGTTTCTTCATTTCAATGGCACGAGTAGCTGCTTTCCTTCTTGATGGTGGATCAGTATCTATGAAAATTGACCTTAAATTACTCAACAAGAAACAACACAATTGAATTCTGAAATAATTATCTGGTAAATCAATATCAACATCCCAATTATTAGGTAAAGGTTGATTATTTGGATGCCCAAAACAAATAATTCGATAAAGTAAATCGTTAACTAATTTGAAATTTATCACTTTGTGATTATACATCTCGGCAATGAATTTAACTTGAGACATTCTAACTCTATTCATTCTATAATCATTCAATTCCAATCCACGAATTATATTCTCAATTATCGTATCAACAGTGTAAACAACAATTTTCTTGAATTTTTCACAATATGATTCTAAAACAGTGGCTAATGCTGGAATATTATCATAGTTGAGAAATTCAGGATGTGCAAAACAATCCAAAAGAGTTGCACAACATTCATCATCTTGTTTCATGGGTATTTTTCTCAATAATCTAATTACCAATGATTTCGAACTTGAATCCAATTCAACTCGAATTAATCTTTGAATAAATTGTGCTCTTGGTGATAATTGTTGCTTTTCTTGCAATGCTTTGACTTTAGTAGCTGGTGGTTCCACAGTAACAAGAAGATTATTTATGGCTAATTTATCATTAATCTTCAAATTTGGTTGCTTCAGTTTTTCTTTCAACAAGTCAATCATTTGTCTCATTAGATCCTTATAGTCAGGATCATACAATAGAAATCTCCCCACATGTTCATAGAAGACAGATAAAATATCAATGTTATTGGTAGATGTAATATTAATCGTCAAGTTACGAATTTTGTGGAAAATAACATGAGTTGGAATCATCTTAAATTTTATCATTTCCACAAAAAACAAAATATTCTTGAAATTAAGTTTATTTTGATAAAGTTGAGATCTGAACCCTTTATCCAAATAAGTAATCAACTCAGCAATTAAATCCGATAAATTCACTTCGTTGATCTTAAGAAATCTTGTATAATATTTTAAACTATTAATACTGAAAGCTTCCATGAAAAATTTCATAATCCTATTCTTAGTGGCTTTGTTGTTTAAATTTAAATTATTGAACTCAACAACCAATTGATCCAAATCATAGGAGTTTATATTGTCTAGTTTGTTTAAAAACTCTTGAATTTTTTCCCCATCTCTTGAACCTGATTGTGATTCTTCCTCAGTTTGAGGATGTGCTTCAATAAGTTCACCCAATGATGGAATCACAGTATAGAAATTTTTTTCTTTAATGTCTTCCCATACACCATTCAACTCATCTTCATTCATTGATTTGGTTTTGACCACTTCTACGACATTTGAATTTTCTTCATTTGCTTCTGGTTCATCATTTTCCTCCAACTGTTTAGGTAAAGGAATACCCACTACTGGGGATAAAAATTCAGCAGCAGATTTGAATTTTTCATATATTTTGGTAGTTGAATCCAATTCAGTTTGAATTTCATCCAATATTCGACCAGTTCTAATCGACGCCTTTTTATTTCTTTCGCTAATTTGATGGACTTTTTTCTTTAATCCAATTAACGTATCATAAGTTGCATTAGTATAAATGGTAAATATTTGACGTAAAACATTTCGAACTTCAAATTGCAATAAATCGTTATCATCCTGATAAATAACATGATGGAATCTTTTCAAATAAGATTGAACAATCACTAAAGAATTTCCCAGTTTAAGTTGATAATTTAACAAATCTTTAATGACAACAATTATAATTGGTTCGGATGCAGATTTACCAAATTTCAATAGTATTTCATCAGGAATAATATCTTTGTTACACATTTTCAAATTGCTGAATACACCAATGAGATAAAATTCCATAATTAATTTCAATACATTACGTTGTTTTGAAATACGACTTGACACTTCTTTTTCATCTTCTTCTTGAGTACCCTTTGGTGGATTAGCTATGGCAACTAATAAATTGATTAATAATACAGGAGAAAATTGAGATGTGAATCTTTGATGTAAAGCAGATATAATTTCCATAGATGCAACAACATCATCATTTTTATTAACTTTAATTAATGCCTCAGTTAATGACGACAAGACTTCATATAGATATTTCTCAATAGATAACGTTTCAATATCTTTAAGTATAGATTTTGATGATTCATGAGTGATTGATTTAACTTTCTTGATAAAAGTAGAATTTTTCTTTAATGATGAATCTAATTTTGATGCTGTTTTAAAAGTATGTTCACCATCCCATGCTTTTATGTTTAATTCAAGTAACTCTTTTCGTCGATTATCTAATTCAGCCGTCATGATATTCTTCAACAACAGTTTCAATCAATTCATTAATCAATCAGCTGATTTATCTGTTTCAAACTTCTAGGTTTCTGATTTGGGTTGCCGATTTGGAGTTTTTCTCGTTCGCCATTTTTTTTTTCTTTTTGGTTGTCAAATTTTTTTTCTTCTCATGTTGTCTGAATCAAAATGTTCATCATTTGATGTGGGTAGATAACCAAGTAAGCCTAATGATTGACAAGAGTAGATAACCATGTGAGTCAAATGAATAATAAGTGTGGTTGTATATATTTACATGAAATAACTATTTACTGATTGTGAGTCTTAAGCCATTGGGATTAAAGATCTATCTTTATAGAAGACTCTACCTTTGCCTAAACCATATTGTTCTCTAATTGAGTTAACACTTCTATCAAATTGTTGTCTCCATACATGGGCACCAATTGGTAATAATTTATTAGATTCAACAAATCCTCTAATATCGAAATTATCTCTTTCAACTGCAAGATCTTTACTCAATTCACCATCTTGTCTAAAGACCCAAAGACAAGCTCTTTGAGTTTTAAGATTCTTTTCTGGAGTTAATGGAATATAATCTTTTAAAATTATATCATCACCTTGATTTAAAAGTTTGGCAACATCAATAATGTTATCAGAATTGTTTAAAGAAACATTAGTTAATGCATAATGTAAAGTAGTGGTGAATGAGTTGTTTGGCAAATCTGGAGTATCTGGATTAACTAACAATACGGTATATAATCCATTTCCAGACTTAAGTTCATCAAACTCTTGAATTTGAATAACTGGTGGTTTTGCAACAGCAAAAGCTGGTAAAACAGTACCTGGAGTAATCCAATTTTTAAATTCTTCTTCAACATTATGACTAAATTTAACTTTGACATCAACTTTTGGATCTAAGGTTGGTAAAGTATCTGGAATAACATGTAATTGTTCTAATCTTTGCATAAGCAACATTAAATCATAATCTTTCCATTTTTCTTTTAATAATTTTCTATAAATAGGTTGGGTAGTATCAATATTTTCAACAGATCCATATTCAACATTATATAAAACTTCAGGATTTTTCATTTCAGTTTCGATTTTCAAAGTTTCAATTTGTTTAATTAATGATTTAACTTTAAGTTTATTCTTTTTATCATTTGGATCTTTAATTTCATTCAATTGTGATTGTAATTTTTCAATTTTAGAATATTTATTAGTAGCTTCCTGTTCTAAGATTTTATAAGCTTCTTGAAATGTTTCATCAATAGCTATTGGTGAATGATATCCACTTTTAACTAATGGTTCTTCAATTGTAGCAGGTCCAGAAGTTGGAATTTTTTCAAATATTCCTTGTTTAATTCTTTCATTTTGAATACTTAAACTGGGTGATCTTTTTGAAAAATCTGACCAAATACCTTTAGTTGAAGTACTTTGACTTCTTTGGATTTGTTTAGATATTGTTCTTCTGAACATTTTAATTGGATATTTGTTGATTATCTTCAAGTTGAATATGATCTCCCATAAAATGAAAAAAAAAAATTTTCGTTTCCATTTTCATTTCGTTTTTTTTTTTCCTCTCACAAATTTTGACCCAACCCACACGACTCGCTCTTCACCTTCATCATTACATCCAATAACATTGAACAATAAACACATGTACTTTGATTATGGCCAGCATAATGTCTATACAAAACTATTCAAATGTATAAAGAAAAACAAAACAAAAAAATAATACATAATTAACCAACCCTAATCCTGACATAACCCAAAAGTAAAAAAATTATAAAAAAAACAGCTATTGCCTTTTATGAACCATTGGTTCAATAGGTAATTTATCCCTATTCATAAACTCGTTATTTGTACCAATATCCATTTGTGGGAATAATCCAGGAACTGTAGGATTTATACTAAAACCATCACCATGCATTTGGAAAATCTCATCTTGATCCCAATGTTCATTTTCATCATCATCATCCTCCTCCTCCTCATCATCATCGTCATCTTCTTCAAATTCGAGTAATTCTAATTCTGGAGACGTGTTACTTTCGTTATTTGTAAATACAGGAGATATTAGACATGGAGAAGTAGATGCAGTACGTGATAATGGTGTATCTTTAACACTATTAGAAATTTTTTTCTTATTCTTGTTTATTCCCCTCATGTACTCATTCAAATCTGTATTCAATGTAAGAACCAGTTGTTGATGATGATGATGTTGTTGTTGTAAAGGTTCAGGACTGTTAATGTCCAATCTTTTATTATTTGTAGAACTAGTAGAAGAAGACGGTATTGGAACTGTTATTAAACCAGGGTCCACTGGTGTTGTAGAAGTTGATGTAGTGGAGTTTGTGGAAGGTCCATCTAATTGAATGATACTATCATCATAATCTTTTGATTGAAATTGATTAAGGAAATAATGAGCAGAATGAAACTTTGTGTTCTCTTTAAAATTATCTTCATACGGCATAATGAATAATATCCAAGAATTATAAGTAAGAATAAAAAGAAGAAGGAATAACTCTAGTTTATATCTCTTGTATCTTTTTTGATTTGATAATTGTGTAGTTTTGGTTAGTTGTTTTTTTTTTTTAGTCATAGAAGGAAAGGAGAAAAATTTCTTTTAAAAATTTTTGTGGTGCACCGTTTTTTAGAGTCGTGCACACATGAACAGTTAATATTGAGGGGAGGGAAAGAGTTGATTACATAAGCCATTACGAGCTTAAATTCCGGTACAGGCATCAGTCTCATCATCCACAGTATTCAACTTGATTTGATATTACCAGCAATAGGATATATTACACTGATTTGGATTGATTCTTTATTTTGTTTTTGCATTAATTAGATACAAAATATACATATATATATATATACAATAGTATACACTGGAATATTAAATAGTACGGTAATTTTTTGTTTTTGGATAAGGAGATATCACAGGACATTTGAAGGATTATGAATATCTATATTTCCACCACTAATAGAATTAGCATTTACAATCTCAACATTACTCCTAGGAGCATTAGGATTAGAAGAATCATTTTTATTGGTAGTATGAAGCATTTGACGTTGTAATTCACATATATAATCAGTTAATGCTCTGTTTTTTGCTTCTAAATTTTGTATTCTAGTTTTTAATTGTTCAACTTCTTGAGCTTTTTCTTCTAAATCTTTAATATATTTCTCTTTTCTAATTCTGAATGCTCTTTGGGCATTACGATTCTGTTCTGCTCTTTTAGTAGTTGATATCACTCTGTTATTATATTTTTTATTATTTGGTGATTGGTCTCTTTTACTATCTGCTGCTGTTGTTGTTGCTGATGATGAGGATTTTGTCGTTGATGACGTTGTTTGTGGATCAGATGAAGTAGATGAATTGGAAGATTCTGATGAAATTGATGATTGACCTTGATGTTGTGGTAGTTGATTTGGATTTGATGATGATGTAGACATATCTTGTATTCTAGGATAACTTTTATTACTAGTTAAATTTTGATGAGTGGATGTATGGTGACTAAATTGTGGATGACCATGATTAGTACCAGCTGATGATACAACATTGGTAGTACTATCAATCTTATCAGTTTGATTCCAATTGGTATAAGAATTCATTGGGGGAGGGAAATATCAAAGGGCCAAGGAATAGTAAGAATAAATGATGATGAATGTCGAATAAATAATTGTCAAATCAGTAATGATTAAAGCTATTTGTGGAGATACAGTAATTAATATATGAATATAATAATTTACGGGGATGTTTAATTGAAAATGGTGAAAATGAATGGAGAAAAGAAGAAGAAAAACAATTTAAAGATTGGAAAAATAAACATTTTTGCTTTGTCAGCGATTACAAAGCATATTTATAGACAGTGAGCAGCAGCAGAAAAAAAAAAAGTCCCGTGATCTTGCGATACATTATCAACAACAACAAGCAATCTCGTAAGTTGTTTTTGCTATGTATTAACCATCTGTTTTCCCTTATTTATTTCTTACATAGTTAAGAATATCGTAAATCTTTTAACACGCATCCCCAGCTGTTCAAAATATAAACAAATCACTTATTCATTCTTTTTTTTTCTACCATTGATTATCTTATATACTAATACAATCTATATTTAGTCAATAATTTGTAATACTTTTTCTATTTTGAATTTATAAAAAGAAATCATTTATGAAATGATGACTCTAGATTAGTTTCATTACATAACCATACTAGCCGTATTTAAGAATTCAAACAAGTATTTTTCATGGAGAGAGGAAAAACCAGGAGTGAGTTTAGTAGAAATGGAAAGGGGGGCAGGGAAGAGGGAAGAGGGAGGAGAGAGGAGGTTCAAAGAAAAACAACAATAAGGATTAAACCCCGTATTGGACTAATTACTGTACGGAACCAAGTTGTATAATACATTCAACAAGGTATTCCGTGAAGTGTATGGAAGAAGAAATACCTTTCTATACAGTCCAACATTTCTCGTAAATCAAAATCAGTCCTATCCTTTGAAGCACAAGATTAAGAACAAATGTAAATCTTCAATAGAGTAGAGAGGTTGGTGGGAGAAAAAGGGCTTAAGCCTTGCATTGACTAATTCAAATATAAAGATAAAATTCCTCTTCTTCTTCTGATATCTTTCATTTTTTGAGTGCAGGGGGGAGGGAGAGGGAATTTAACAATTGGAAGGGACAACTATTGTACAAATGGTTATAGTGCTTTATCTAAACATGGTGTTGTATTTTGTGGAAGTGTACTTGTGCACAAAAATCGTTGAATCTTTTTTTTTTGTTTCCCTCTTAACTTCCGTTGCGCCTGTTTGGCCATTTGGCTGTCTAACTGCCCCCGTACGTACTGCAGTTACGTCGCACGTCGCACGTCCTACCTGCCCCCCCTTGTTTTTTAAAATCCAACCTTCACCTTCAACAACCTGTCTAAAATCTATTACACCAATCTACACATTCAGACACACATTCATATACATATTCATACACACATATTCAAACAGAAACAGATAAGCTGAAGTTTACAAAATCAGGATGTCGTTTAAAGATTTTGATGATGACTATTTAGTCTTATCACCTCAACTACATCAACAACTACAGCCTTCTTCAATACCCCTGGATTATGGTAATTTCAATACTACGTCAATAACTGCCAGTAATTCAAAACCACAAAGAAGAACGTCAAATTTCTTTCCAACTAATGAAAATGCAGGGGTATCCACTCCCAATATTCAGTTATCTTCGGATTGTTTTAGCTTTCAACCGATTTCAAATTCATCATCAACTATGACTGAGACACAACAGCAACAACTGAATAATATTTCGTCATCAAATTCACACTTCATTGCATTTCATAATCATAACGTGAAGTATAATGAAAATCCATTAAGTCCATTTTACAATAAAGCTCATTCAGTAGCAACAAGTACATTAACTTCACCAGTGTTGAACACATTCAATCAACCTACATTTAATCGACTCGATACAAATGGAGACAGTTTGAGTAATAATTTTGGAAATCTATCTATTCAATCATTATCAACTACAGTAAATACCAACCCCACAGTAAACACAACAACGTCAACAACATCAGCAACTTCATTACCGCAAACTCCAACACAACACCAATCACTACCTCAGACGCCGCAACAAAGATTCAACGGATTTATGATTTCTAATGCAAATTCTACATCTGGAAATACCAATAATACGTCTACAACTGCTACTACACCAACAACAACAGTAAGTGATTTTTCATTACAACAACCAGCTCTATCAATTTGGAATAATAGTATCAATAATAGTTTTGAAATTGAACTCCCACAACTGGTTATGAAACGAGAAAATAGGTATCTGAACAAAGTAAACAATCCAGTATTTATACCCAGTGGACCCAAAATACCAGAGTCTAATATTGTGGAAGAATCAGAAATACTTTCAGCATTTACAGAACAAGCTATTGAGGACGATGATGAGGATGAATTTGGTCACAACCAAGAAGATAAGGAACCAGATAATAAACCAGTCAAACATTTACCATCAGAATCCAATGAATCAGACCAAGATATTGATTGTCCAAGAATTAAATTTCCTGAGAAAGTTCCATATACATCAAAGAATGATTATTTTATTCAAGATATGGTCAATTATGATTTGACTAATCGATACAGTGAAGGTTATAGTACGACATTTTATAAGAGGAATAAACATGGATACATGTTTATTCGAGAATCTACCAATACTTTACATGTTCATCAAAACTCGTGGATTCAATTGAAAATCAAATTACCTGTGAATAATCATAAGAAGTTATTAATCAAGAAATTAAAAGTTGATATCAAAGAATTACCTATTTGGAAACCTAAAGCTTGAGAGTGTGCCTATATATAACAGGAGATAAACATGATATTTAGAGAACAATTTTTTTTGTATTATTATTAGTACTTTAATAAACGTTTATTTAGAAAGAGATATACCAAATTCTTTATGGATCTTTTTAGGTTTCTAACAATAAATTGCAGCATTGTTCAATTTGTTCTTCTATTCAAAGTCCGTAAGTAGGTTAAAAAAAAAAAAAAACTTAAACTTTGTTACTCTATACATGATGCACGCGATTCATAGATTCCATTATCATACTCCGGAGAGTTTAAACAATATCTTCTAATAATATCAACAAGCCGGGAATAGTATTAAAAATGAGGCAATACTTTACACTTGTCTATAAACAGTGGGGACCAATTAGAAATTGTTTATTTATTTTTCTTTTACAACAGTGATTATTTTTGCACCCAAATAAACGGAGAAAAACAACCTCTACAGGTCAGTTAAAATCTCTACAAGAAGAGTGGATTCATTTGTAGTAGTCGTAGTAGGAGGATATTCAACTAGTATTAAATAAATTGTAATCTTATCGTTGTTTCAAAGAATAGAAAAGAAAAGGATAAGAGAGTAGAGTAGGTAATTGAAGAGGCCAATTTAAAGATCAATTACTGGTTGTGAATTCAAAATCTGTACATATGACGAGAGTAAGTAAAGAGTAGGATTATGAAGAGGTCAAATAATAATAACAATAATCAACTATAGTGAAGGTGTATAAATCGTATGATTCCCTGGGGGGAATTAACTAAAAAAAAAACCTGCCCCAGTGTTGGAGGGTCGTGCACTCCTGTGCAAATTCTTGTAATGAGCCAATCAATTTATGTAATTGCAATTCTCACCATTCGTTAGAAATTTTTTTTTTTTTTTTTTTCAGTGCGTACCACGCCAGGACCATAGGACACATAGGAAAACAGTCAATTAAACATTTTCATTTTCATTTCCAATTCACTTCATTTCATTTTAATTCAAAGTATCAACAATCACCCTTTTTTTTTTTTTTTAATATTCCAACATTGAATTAAAACAATAGATATTTTCCATATTTGTTTTAAATTTCATTCCTACTACTACTTCTACTACTGAAAAAGAAAAGAAAAAGATCCCTCATCGTTGTTTTTTTTTTACCTATTCAATTTAATTTATTAATTTATTCATTATCAAAACAATGTTTTCCGCTACTATTCGTTCCACTTTAAGATCAAGATTATCTGTTCAAACTCCAAGAGTTTTAAGAGCCCCTGTTGCTATTTCAAAACCATTGACTTCACAAATTAGATCTTACTCTGCACACCACGAAGAAACTTTTGAAGAATTCACTGCTAGGTATGTATTTTAATTATTATTATTATTTGTTACATCATTTTAGACAATTTATATGAACTAGATCTTATTGATACTAACATTTTATTTGAATTATTATAGATTTGAAAAAGAATTTGAAAATGCTTATGATTTATTTGAAGTCCAAAGAATTTTAAACAATTGTTTTGCTTATGATTTAGTTCCAGCTCCAGCTGTTATTGAAAAAGCTTTACAAGCTTGTAGAAGAGTTAATGACTACCCTACTGCTGTTAGAACTTTTGAAGCTTTGAAATATAAAGTTGAAACTCCAGAACAATACCAAGCTTATTTGGAAGAATTGAAAGATATTAGAAAAGAATTGGGTATTGATTTGAAAGAAGAATTATATGCTGAAGATAAAATCTAAGTTGATGAATGATAATTATTTTCACTATATGTCTATGCTCTTCACTCAACTTCCTACCTACACACACTGTTTAACATAGTAAAGTGATATTTTCTTTATATGAAGTATACTTCTTTCTATTTAGCATTTAATTATTATTATTATTATAATTATAATTTATACTAATTATAAGTTTATTGTTTTTTTTTGCCATTCTTATCATGTTTACATATCTTATGTATATACCTCTTTCATTATAGTTGTATTATGATGATTATGATGATGATCATCATCATCGCCGGTATATTTCGGAAATAACCCTACTTAGACCCGAAGATATATTGGCCACATCCACACGACCATGTACTTTTATAGTGTGAGCACACATTTGCCCTTAACTAAAAAAAAGTCTTACCAATCCATTCATACCCTGATTATCGATTCACATTACTGGTAGTAGTAGTAATAATAGAAGTAGTACATCAACAATGGGTTATATACCACCACCAAACGATAAAGATGAAGCAAACAAAAAGAACCAAGATAATTCCAACAACAGCAATACCAGTTCCTCCTCCTCATCATCATCTTCTTCTTCTACACCGGGATCAACGACAATTATAATTCCCAATCCCGCCACTTTAATACCCCATAATCCTAAAATTGGATTAATTTGGGGTCCATTAACACCAGCATCAGATAATTTACCAGCATTATATTCAATGATTGGATTACAATTTATTTTAGGTTGTGGATTTTTCAAACATGCACGTACATTATCAAGACTTCGACCAATGGGAGGATTTCAATTACCAAATTCCCCACCAAAATTAGTACGTACTGGATCAATAAGTAGAATATTACTAAGTGTAATAACTGGACTGATATTATCATTTGGAAGTGGTTTAGAATTATGTAGAATTACATTACCTTATGATCCATGGTTTGAAGAATCTCAACATTATAGAAGAATGGCTATTAAAAATGGTGATAAACCAAGTTTATGGTTTGGTGCTTATCAATATTATAAGCCAATGGATTTTAAAACTTGGATTAATAAAGTTGAAGATTGGATTAAAAATGTTGAAAAAGAAATTGAAATTGAAGATTCAAATAATTTTGCTAATTTATCTGTTGAATTAGGTAAAAATATTAATGTATTAAATACTACTGGGATCAACACCACTGGTACAAATCAAATTCAAACAGGAGGTGTATTACATAAATTAAATAATAAAGGGAAGTATTTGGAAATTTATCATAGACTAAGGGATAATAATAAAACAAGATGGAATGAATTATTACAAGGAGATTTGAAAGATGTCGATGAATTAAATAAAGCACAAAGATTAGATGATATAATGGAAGGTAAAACAAATTTAATTAATCCAAATTTTAATAAATCTTCAATTATTTTAGGTAATCATAGAATGGATGATGATGATCAATTTGAAATGGTATGGTTAAATTTTGAACCTTGGGATGAATTAAAACTTGATACAGAATATGATATTCGTCTCATTCCAAGCACTGCAACAGAGATTGTTGCTGAAGAAGATCAAGATGATGATGTTAATTCTCAATTATCATCACAAGATAATCATCAAGTTGTATGAAATTAATAAATAACCAGGGGAGTTTTATATATTTTGCATTTTTCTTTCATATATCAATCTATGTACAATATACTTATATATATATGTGTGTTTATATAGCGTAATTCATTAATAATTATTCTTCGAAATCATCAGTAGTTGATTTTTGAATCAAATCATCAGCCCAACGTAAAGCACTTACTTCACTTTGATTTAAAGCAGGTTTATTATATAATTCCAAATGATTTTTCCATTCCAATTCAGCAGGATCTTGATCTGGTTCAACCCATTCAAATCCATCACCACCTGTCATCCAATAAGCTTGAAATTTGATTTTTTCTAAATCATCTTTCAATGTTAATAATCTAATTTTATTACCATATCTATCAAAACTAGCTTTTAAACCTTTAGCAGCATCTCTTTCATCTTCATATGGAATACGACATAATTCTTCAACAATTTCAGGATTATTTTCCCCTTGATTTAATTCTCTATCAGCTTCAATAATTTTTGAACTAAATAATAATTCATCAGCATGTTTAAACCAATGATTATAAAATGTCCCCTTTTGCCAAGTAAGATAATCACCACCTGAATTAATTAAAGTTCTACCTAATTTAACAATAGTTATAAAAAAACTTGAATTTATAAAATATGTTAAAATAATCGAATTTAATGCTGCTAAATGTTCCCAATTTTGAGATATTAATCCAGAATCAATCATTGAAGATACTCCAAATTTAGTAAATAAAGTAATTATTCCAGCTGTTGTAGCTAATTTAATTAATCCTTTTTTTAAAATATTATTCATATTATCAATATAATTTTTATGTCCCACAGTTAAATCAGTTAATTTAATAGCTTTCATAAAGTCAGCATTAAATATAGCATTTCTTAATGGAATTAATGCAATATCTTTATTAATTATACCATTTGGATTTTGTTTATAAAAAATTTCAATAATTTTTAAATTTATTAACGTTGGTAAATTTAATATAAATATTTCTCGTAATAATTCATTAGTTATTAAATGATTATTCCAATTTTTAAATATTTCATTAACTATTAATATTGATTCTTTTGAAATTTCTGAATTCTCATCTAGTTGATCATGAATTGTATAATTTGGTTGTAAATTTTTAATGCTTGATAATGCTTGTAAAATATCTGAAGATGATGAATCTGATGAAATATTTGATTTAATTTTTGATTGTAATGTAGGGAAATCTTGAATATATGCATATGTGTTATTAAATCTTAATATCAGAAGTTGATTTAACCTAAGATTAGGTCTTATCAACCTTGTAGAACGTAACATCATTGTAGAATAGTGGTTGTTTCTAATAGTAACTCATATTGGAAAATAGAATAAAATAAAAGAAAAAAAAAATCTTTTGGTTTTGATTTAGATACACGAACTTTAGGTACTTTTTGTACAATCGTACACGTACATTATATCCTAATATATTTATAAAAACACTCTCTTACATAAATCCACCCAAAATACCAAAGAATAAAGATAAAATAACAACAGAAGAATTGACCAAATTAACTCCAGCAACATTAGCTTGAGTAGCACTTGAAGAAGTAGAATTTCCAGTTTCTTGACTGGCAGCTCTACTACTTGATCTTAATGTTCTAGTAGTAACAAAAGTAAGTCCTTTAGTAGTGTCATCAACTTCAGTACCTTGATTAGAATTACCGGCAGCAGCAGCAGTAGTTTTGGATGATGATTTACTAGAAGATCCAGTTACAGAAGAAGAACTAGTTGATGCAGTGGCTAAATATTGTTGTAATTGTGCTGCATTCATAGTAACAGTATATTGATAAATTGATAAATCAGATGCATTCATAGTAGCTGGATCAGCTGGAACAGTGGTAGTAATTCCTGTAGTAGCAGCGGCAGCAGGAGTAGTTGTAGTACCTGTGGTAACACCAGTATTCACAGTAGTTCCAGTGGTAACACCAGTATTCACAGTAGTTCCAGTAGTTGTACCGGTCTTGGCAGTAGTTCTAGTAGTGACACCAGTGGTTGCAGTAGTGGCAGTCGTAGCAGCAGCAGCAGCAGCGGCGGCGGCTCCAACAGGAGTGGTAGTGGTTCCAGTTGTTGCTGTAGTAACGGCACCAGCAGCATCCACGGTGGTTGCCGTAGTAGCAGCGGCAGCAGCTGCAGCTGCAACAGGTGTGGTTGTGGTATCCACAGCAGCAGCAGCAGCTGCAACAACAGCTGTAGTACCAGTGGTAGCATCAGCATCAGCAGCAGCAGCAGCGGCGGCAACAGCAGTGGTAGTATCTGCATCAGCAGCAGCAGCAGCAGCTACCGCATCGGCAGCCAAGTTATATTGTACAAGCAAAGTTAAAAGTATAAACCACTTCATGATCAATTAGCAATGGCTATAAGTAGTATAATGCAAAAAGTAAACGAATGTAAGTGGCTAGTCTAAAAGAAAAGGAATATTCCCTCGTGATCTGAACAGTTGTTGTTTTTGTTGTTGATGATAAAGCTGTTGATGGTTGTCTCGAACTTTTTTTCTCCCTACTCTATGAAAAAAAAAATTCATTGTGTGTTTGCAAATCAAAAGAAAGATATCGCGTTCATATTTTTAGAATCCGCGTAAATCGTTCCCTTCCTCCCGTGGAAGCGATCAAACAGAAAAGCCTATTTATAGAAAATCTTAAATCTAGGCTTTGAACAACATCGTAAACATCATCATCATCAGCATCAATATTAGTACGCTATAAACAGATATCCAACCTATTTAATTCTTTCTCTTTTTCTTTCTTTTTTCCATTTTGGGAGCACAATCTGGACAATACCAGATTTCATCATCTTTAGGTGGTGATGTAATACCAACACAACTCCAATGAAACCACTCATATTTACAATCATCATTATCACATCCAATCATTTCACCAAACGATACACGTTGACAGAAACAATATAAGTTATTATCTGCATCATCTCCGTTTGGACCCCCATTCTCTACTCCTATTCCATTGGCGTTCAAGTCTGTATGCCCATTTAATGCTAATGAACCACCACTTCCTTCAAATGGTGATGGTTCCTCACTTTCTTCAGATCTGGCTCGTTTAACTTGTCGAGATGATTGTGATACTGCACCTGAAGCTCCTTTTAAGGTTAATTTTCGCTTATGTCCTTTTTTAACCAGCTCAGCTACTGGTGTTGCTGATGATCCATTTCTTGGAGTTGGCGTTCGTGACAAACTATCAGATAATCCATTTAATAACCCATAGGCATCTTTATTTCCATCATTTGATTCTACTACTGTTTCCAATGGTGGTAATAAATCATCACGTTCTAATTTAGCAATATCATTTTCAAAATTATGTAAATGTTTAGATATCAAATATAATGCTGTATTTCCGAGTACAATTTTCTCCTTTTGTATTTTTTGACAAAGCTTCATATCTTCTTCTATTTTTGAATATAGTTGTTCTTCTTTTGGATGTTTTGTTAATGTACCGTTGGTACGAATAAATTTATGTAGTTGATTATCTCGAGCTTGGTATCGTCTTCTTGCCTCTACTAATAATGAATCTTTATATTTGATCTCTGCTAACAAGTACCTCACTTCAAGTGGAACATTAGATAAATCTTGTGTGTATTTCTCAAGCACCGTAGTCGTATCCATGATTGATTGGTTCTATGAACTGAGTTTTAATGATGATTAATACCTTTGTTGTGATATCATCAAACCAGAGTGACAAATTTTTTTTTCTTTCTTGTTGCCATTTTTTTTTGTTGCCATTTTTTTTTCTGTTCATTCGTCCTTCAAGTTGGTTTGATGTTAGTGCCACGGGAGTTGATACCAAGATAATGTCTGAAGAACAATTGAATCAAAAGATTGAAAGCTTATCCATAAAGGATGGTGAATTTTCAGAATTATTAAATAAATTCAAATCAAATGATGGATTGTCAAAAGAAGATAAAACCGAATTGTATAATCAATTGTTAGCAAAATCTCAAATACCAGATAATTCGAAAATTTTATATGAGTTACTTCTTGATACTCCAATGGAATTTCTTAAATGTCTTTATAAAGTAAATGATAAATCAGGCAATCTTATAGTAAATGCATTAGCTCAAAATAAACCATCCAACGATTTAATCCAAAACTTGTTTTCCAATTTAAGAATAATTATAAAGTCCGACAATACTGATGCTGCATTCTACTTGGGTGTTTATAGTTCCTTGATTACCCATTTGAAGTTATCCAATCCTCAACATTTAAACTTATTCTTGACTTATATTGATGGGAAAGATAAAGAAATTCAGCAAGCCGTGTTTGTGTTAATTATTCAGAATTTAAAACTACAAAGAGAAGAAACATCAAATATTATCAAAGATTATTTGGATGTTCAAATGGATGACACATCATTGACTTATAATGGATTCTTGAATTTTATAACTATCCTTGAGATGTGTTTCCCAATTGTTCCCGATATATGTACAATAATCTATCAAGATGATAAGACCACAAGACATTTACTTGATCGCATTTCATCTATCACAGAGGGAAACAACACTACATTCTCTATCCCTATGATTAAATTAATTGATTCTTCTTGTATTGTTGAAAATTGCCGAAACTATAGTGTTTCCAATTTTTTCACATTTTTAAGTCAGTCATTTGAATCAAGTAATACTGAGATCCAAGTCGTATCAAGTTTAGCCCTTGCAAAACTTTGGAAAGTTGTTCAATTTGAAAAGAAGAAAACTGAGATAACTACAGTAAACTTAGCTACTGTATTAATAGACTATGTTAAACAATCTGAGAGTGATCCAAATTATGTTGAACTCTCAATTGAAGGGTTGATGTATCTTTCGTTATACTGGGAAGTGAGAAACCTCATAAGAATGGATGTTCTTTTAATTGAAGTATTACTCACAAAACTCGAAGAAACTTCAATTGATTCAACTCATATGCATACTTCCTTACAATATGGGTTGTTGTCGATAATCTCGAATATAACTAAAGTTGAAGACGTTAATGATCGGGAATCCAATATGAATACCAAAAGGAAATTGAAAAATATGGCTACTCCTAAAGATGGTTCCGATAGTGATGAAGAGAATCAAGAAGGGATCAAACTATTCAATCGTGAGTTATTAAATGAAGATAAAATCATTTCCAAGATATCAACTTTAAAATCATATAAATCAAGTGCTACCTCGAACAACTCACTTAATGAAGTTATCAAAATTATATATCATTTATCAACTGATCAACAGAAATCAACCAGAGTGGAATTAGTTAAACAAGGCGGTTTAAATATTGCATTAAATTACCTTATTGGTTTCAGTGATATCATTAAAAAGGGGAATCTAGCATACGCAGTTCCAAATACTAAAGATTCCAATATTATTGAATGTCGTATTTTTGCCGATAGATCATTAGCCAGAATGTTGATTTCTGTTGATCCCAAAATATCATTCACCAAATATGATATTCATACGGCAATACCATTTTTAAAAGAATTATTAGGTCCAGATATATCACAATATCAAACTGATGAAGAATTTAATTCTAAAACTAATTATCTCGAAGATATGACATTATTAGATCGATTTGAAAGTTTATTATCATTAACAAATATCTCAGCTATGGAAAATTCAGAATTAAAAAAATTTTTAATCCAACAATTTTTTGAATCTTATCTTGATAATTTCATATCATCTTCAGAAAATTTTAAAATTCAAAAATCTAGTTGGGAATTAATTGCAAATTTAATTAATGAACCTCTAATGTTGGCTAAATTTTTCAATCTTGAAATTAAATCAAATTTTAAACGGTTAGATTTATTAATTAAATTATTTAATTCTAATAATATTGATTTACAAATTGTTATTTCTGGATTATTAGCAAATGCTACTGAATTTGATATGATTTCTGAAGTACTTGTTTCAAATAATGATATATTTAATGAATTAATTAATATCATTTCTGAAATATTAACGAATCAATCAAATGAAATCAATTTGATCTTACCAACTTGTTATATTTTAATAAATTTGGTTTATGCCGCTGCTAATACTAATCAAGAATTATTAATCAAATTATCAACAAATTCTAAATTGAAATCTGGTTGTACAAGTATATTAAAATCATCTCAAAATGAACCTAAAGAGATCATTATGGAAGTTATTAAAATGTGCAGATTCAAGTAGTATGTATTATATATATATATATGCATTAATTGATGAATTATATTTTTTTCTGTTTACTATTTTTTATTGAAACTATTAAAATTGCATAAATCTTTGTGCAATGGTATCACTATCATGTTCAATATTTGAAATTAAATGTCGAATATTTTGAGTTGCTTTATCACTGTCTAATTTAACACGGACAGCTTTATGTAAACTAGTCAAATATTCAGCAAAACTTGGTCCATTTGCTGTTTTAACAGCTGCTCCAAGTGGATCATCCATTAATAATTCTCTAAAGATAAATTCACTACCATCAAGAGTTTTTCTAACAATATTAATACCAGCTGATCCTAAACTTGATAAACCATTGATTTCCAGTTGAAAATATTTAATTAAATTACGTGCTTGTTGTGAAATTTCTGTTGGTAATTCTGGAAGTTCATCCATTAATGGATTAATATCATTAATACTTTCAATATGTTCACCAAATACATCTTTCAACAACATAATATTGGCTTCTGGATCAATCCAAACAAATACCTTGTCACCATTGCAAAGAATATAAACACCACGATCCAAACTTCTAACAGTTAAATCTTTATACAATGGCAATCTGGTAAATCCAGTAACTTCATCAATTGTACAATCTTCATCTTCTATAGAATGCAATTCAACCAATGCTGGATATAAATGATACATTAATCTATCAATTGGCATTGACAACATGCTGTACATGTCGGCTAATCTTGCATCTGACGGTATTCCAGTAGATGCCTTCATTGCAGTGCTTTTCAAAAGTGACAACATATAAAGTGGTAGATGCTTCAAAGCATCTGGGAATAACATCTTGTTAGTGAAAGTCTTTGCACGATTATGTCCATATTCATTCATGGCTCTATAATGTGTGAAAATATCAACCAACTTGTTATTAATTGACTCACGTAATTCGAGTAATGATTGTTCACCAACAAATGATAAAGTGTCTCTGGTAATGGTAGTGACAATGGCACTTTCATCAGCAAAATGGAAAACATCTTCCAAACTCTTTGTAACTGCAAGCACCAAGTTGATAACTCTGACTTTTCTGACACCCTTTGGATCCGTATACAACAAGGCAGCTTGAAAGTGACAATCCAATTTCGGACTCAATTTACCATCATATTCAAACAACACAGTGAATGAGTGGTCTTTTGTTAAAATTGGGATAATCGGATCTTGAGTCTTACCGATAATAGTGGTATCACCAAGACTTGATGATGTACCATAGTATTGAGTAACTTGTAAACCATTTGAACAACGGACTTTCAATTGTCCTTGATAACCAGCAACATTCTTAACAGAGTTATAAATCTTAGCTGTCAAAGCTCTACCATCACGTTCAAAATTAAAATTGGCCCAACGAGAAATTTCACCACCGGTGATGGATGCTAACCATCCGATATTAGAAAGGTCAACAGATGTATTAGACACAACATGCACATCTAAGCCAACACTCTTTTCAATAAATTCTTTGGCTAATGCTTTGTAAAATTCATTGTCTTGGGTGAATAATTTCTTCTCGACTTCTGGAGCAGCTGTTCTTCCAACAGATTTATTGTCTTTGTATTTCAATCCACCTGGACCCCAGGATGGTAAAACAGACAAAACTGATACAATTTTACCACCACCATATAAATCCAAACACATACCAGCGGTCTTAATAGCTGTTGAATAACAAGGTTCAGGGTCGGCAATTTTGTCACTTGAACATAATTGTTCAATATAACTCAATGTATCTTCAATGACTGATCTACTTTCATCTGGATCAGCAAACAAACCTGTATGGAATGGAACAAATGGGTCTTCCAAATCTGATGAAACAGCAACTTGAGTAGCATCTAAATGTGGAGACAAGTTAAAGAAATGCAATCTCTTATCAAATGCAATAATGGAAATTTTTGTTTTGGTGTTCTTTTCTATGACTTGCAATTCTGGTGCCACTTCGTCATCTTCTGGGTTGTAGCTATACAATGTGGCACGAATAGAATCGGCAATTAATACAGGTAAACCTTGCTTGATACTATTTTCACTAATGTCAATCAAGAACACAACATGGAATGGGTGAGACTCCTTGTCAGGTCCACCAAAATTGTATTCATTTGGAACAACAATATCATAAACCCCCTTGTGTAATTCTGGCTTATTAAATTTATCAATTCTATATCCTCGTCCATCTAAGACAGTTGCATATTGAGGAGGAACAACATTGTTTGCAAATTGACAAATGTTACAAACAAATCTTTGGTTATGAGTGAATTGCATGGATGGGTTCACATACGCACGACAACGGTGACATCTTATTGGCCCTATGCTCAATGGATCTTCTGGTCTATAATGTGGATCATTCATGGTAAAATCAACTGTTTGAATTGGATCCTCGGTGCTTAAAACTGGTGCAAATGGTCTGACGGTAACAGAAATAGGTAATTTTGTAGCCAGTCTTAATTGTTCAGATTCTGGAACATAATACAATGTTGATCTCATAAATTTAGACAGGGCATTTCCTTGATCAATTGTATGGAATTGAGTACCGGCATCTGGTGGGGAGATATCAACAAAAGTATTAAACGATGTATAGTTACCAGACACATCTGGAACAAGAAACTCGTGTTGAGTGTTGTATCTCTGTTCTTGTAAAGACAACTGGGTATTCTGGTTGAAAGAATTCATATCCTGTAAAACTGTTTGATCAATTGTTGTTGATCTAGTATCAAGAGGGTGTGATTCTGGTGATTGAGGACGAGACAAAGGATTAAGCGGGTTTGGGAAAGATGAACTCTGTGCCATGGAATATTGGGATTGTTGGTTCATGTATGGATTTGCCATTGGAGAAATTGGTCGAATAGGAATGGGACCTGGGCCAGGTGAAGGGCTATTAAACTCTGTGTGGAATGCTCTAGCTGGACGTCTTGATTTCTTTTTAGTTGATGTTGCTGCTTGTTGTTGTTGTTGATTTAAGTCCAATGCTTGTATGTTTTCACTTAGTTCATTTCCATCAACTCCTTGGTTTGGTGAAGCAGTCGCCTGACCACCAAATTGAGCCTGTGATATTTGAGGATAAGACATGATTAGCTATGAACGATGTCTGCCTTTCTGGTGTTGCCAACTTATTGGTTGTAAAAAAGAGAAAAAAAAGGCTTTCTTGCTTGAGAAATCACCACGAGAAAATAAAAAATAAAGACAACAGAAATTTTGGAAAATCAAAAAAAGAAAAAAAAGAAATTTTACGTGTGATCGTTTTCTTTGGAAGTGCACGACATTTTTTTTATCATTGAGAGTGAGACAACACACACGCACTCAAGAGAGAAAGATAAACCAACGAACTAATTTTCTGTTTTAGTGACATCGCTTCGTTTGAACCTCAGGTGAGAATCAGATGGCTTATGCAAGTTAGATCTGAACTAAAAAAAAAAGAATCAATAACGAAGTCCATTTCATTTCTTGTCGTTCATGATCATTCTGAAGGGCGGGTTAATTCATCGGATTTAAACTGCTGGTTAGGTGACCTGCTACAAATATTCATGTCTCTTTTTTTTGGGATACGCCGTTATGTCGGTGTAATTTTTTTGTTCAATTAATGTCGCAAATTTTGCTACATAAAGCGAGACATGTCGAATGATTGATGTTGCGGTGATTGTAACACTCCAATACCAAGAATTCCTTAAGGATGATCCGTTACTAATAATTCTTGTTTGATTGTGATTGTGTATATTACATGGGAGGAGACAAGGAGGCAGTGTCAGATACCTATGAAGTGATGGTTTATACTGACAAATGGATCAGAGAAAAACCACCTTGCTAGGTGATAATGTCTGATTCAACCCAGAGGATTCAAAGTAATCTCTAATGACAAAATGTGCCTATTATTTCTCCATGACTGTAAGATACTAGACCATAACCATCATTAAAGACATTTACTCTATAGTATAGCGCGTCTCTTTACTCTTCTGGTATGAAAAACCTTCACGCACAATAATTTTGAAGCGTTGTCTAGCGCAGGGCAAAGAAGAAGAAAAAAATAATGTGCATGAATTCAATATCAAATTAGATATTTAATCAAAACAACAACAACAACACCTCATATATATCCTAAGAAACACTACTTATCACACTGTCTTCGTTTTCTTAAAGTGAATTAATTCAATACTTTAGACTTATCAAAATATCAGAATACACAAGGTCAGTCAGTCGTTCATTTCATCAACGCTGAAAAAGTAAAGTTTATGGTAATAGGAATGAGTTGTTCGATCTATCACCTAAATACGGGGCATCTATCTATATTAGATGCTATAAATAATACATGGGATAATGATCTGACAGTGATGCTACCGGCATATTATGCCACAAACTGTACAGTAACCGATATGATTACATTTCTTAACCAAACGTTGGACCCATATTTTATGGATTTTAATTACTTCCCATACAATAAAAGAGATAATGGAGATACATTAGTGGCACTACTATTTGTGCTATGTGGTTCATGTGTTTCAATGTGGATGTTGTCACTACTATTATATGTATCACCCAAGTATAAGAGAAAACCAATATTGACACAACTAGCAACGTTGTTTTATGCTATTGTCACATCGTATCTGCTCAGTAAAGTCACAGAAACTGCGGCAGACCAGTACTATAGAGATGTTTTGGATATTATTCAACTACATTCTACTTTATATAATAGAGTAGAATATAGAGTGTTGATTATAATTCAACAAGTGTTCACCATGCTGGCATGGTTTCAAATCATTGTTAAGATAGCTAAACAACGATACAAACGAATAATAGGAATGTTCACCTTGTTATTGATGGCTGCTTATATTGCCTGTAGCATATACTATCAAGCCTCATGTAACACGCATGGGAGCATCGACGTTGGAGCAGACTCGACAGAATATCATAAATGGAATACCATTAGATTTGCAACTAACCTTGTGATTGTGGTTTGGTTTGGTGGGAATGTATTGTATTACACCACAGTAATTAAGAACCCGAGAAAAATTTGTTATAGCAAGAAGCTACTTCCATTAGGTATGTTTAATTGGTTTTTGATACTATTACATATGGTTTTGAATATCTTGCATGTAAGTCTATTCAAAAACAACTGGTTAATCAGGACATGGATGGTGTTGATACCGTATTTAATTGAATTGATTTTAATTACGACAATATGGGAGTGGATTTTCAATATTTGGATATTGGAAAAGAGATTTGAGCTTATGGGTGTACTTGGAAGAAGAATAAGTATCGATGACGTTTTGAGTATTCAACTGAATAGGAGTGAAGGAAATAGCCGTAAAAAGAAGTTTGATAGAACCAAAGCTGGAGAACTGGCTTTAACGGAAAGAGATAAAATACATCGTGCTTTTGGGAATTTTAAAGATTGGATGATGAATAGGCCTATGAGATTTAACCAAAATGTCGAAAGCATGTCTGTCTCTGATACAGAAGATTCGAAGGAAATGTTTACGTTCTCCAATAGCTCATCAAATGATAGTCCAGTGAATAGATTCAAACAACAACGACAGTTGCAACAACAGAAGCAACCAGTACTGCATTTGCTGATACACCTGCTGGGCCTGAGAAATGGTTCATCTGCTAGAGACGACCGAATTCGAGAAGAAAATGCTGATGAAATGATTCCTTCCTCATCGCACGCTTTTGTTAATCATACTCCTGTAGCTACAAATGCAGATTTAGGTAGAGCTGAGAATGATTTTGAAATGACCAATATGGCTTCCAATGATATGCACCAACAGGAAGAGTATGAAGATGAATACGACGACGAGTATGTTGATGATTATGAACTATGGGATGATGAAGATGCTGACGATAACGAAGTTACTCAAGAGGGTACTAATATTGCTCAAGAGGGAACCAGTGCTCCTCCTCCTCCTCCAATAGACACCGAAGACGATTCACAGCCACAAATACCACCACCACCATTCCAACCACATCCTGGATTCAACCCGGGAGATTATTGGAATGATAGGAAAGAATAATAGAGTATAATATTATCACTTGTATTAATATTTATTTTGAGTCTTTTTTTTTTTTTTTACACATACTGGAATATACAAAAGTTCATGGTTATAAATAATTATTACGACGGGGTTTGGATATCTGATTGTTATTACACAAAATATGATGCAATGTTATATTTGCAAGTAGTGTTGGAAAGGATGGCGAATGTTGATAGTCTAACCAACCTTGGATGGATATCTCGTTCTACATGTAATGACGACTCTACATTGATCAGATCTCAATCACGTGAATCTCGTAGTAGATGATTGTATTGATTGTAGAAAATTGTTCCAGAATCTTCTTGAAATTTCTGTCGATTTCGATTTCCCATGGAGCGAAAAAAAAAAAAAGTTGAGTGAATTTACACCCAAATGCATGATCCCTTTATTATTCACTTAATCACGTACTCATTCTAAGCATATAAATAGTATCCATAACCTTCTAGAAAATAAATTATAGCAATAATCATTTAGTTACTCCCTTGAATATTAACAATTCAATTTATTACTTATCTTGTACATATTATATATTAACTAAGTGAATCCTTTTATTTTCATTTTTCATTTTTCATTTTCAATTAATCTCCATACATAAAACAACAATGTTATCATCAAGAATTCCTAAAAGTAGATTGATCAAACAATCTACATCCACATTTAACTTAGCTAAAAGTATACCATTGTCAATTAGTAGAAATGTTCAACAACAGTCTTTACAACAACAATCACCAAATGTTTATCAACCCCAACATTCCCTTGTATTCCAACCAAATTTTAATCAAGTTAGATTTTTCCACCAATCACTTCCTAGAAAACTTCAAATGCAACAAACTGAAGAAGGAGATAATCGTCCAGCTTTAGAGAAATTTGGTACCGATTTAACTCAATTAGCTAAAGAAGGTAAATTGGATCCTGTTATTGGGCGTGATCATGAAATTCGTAGAACTATTCAAATTTTATCTAGAAGAACTAAGAATAATCCCGTATTGATCGGTAATGCCGGTACTGGTAAAACAGCAGTTATGGAAGGTTTAGCTCAACGTATTGTACGTGGAGAAGTTCCTGATTCAATGAAAGATAAACAAATTATTACTTTAGATTTAGCTGGGATAATTAGTGGTGCTAAATATCGTGGTGATTTTGAAAGTAAATTAAAATCAATTTTAAAAGAAGTTGAAGAGAAAAATGGTAGTGTTATTTTATTTATTGATGAATTTCATTTATTAATGGGTTTAGGTAAAGCTGAAGGTTCTATTGATGCTTCAAATTTATTGAAACCAGCATTAGCAAGAGGTAAATTATCATTATGTGGTGCTACTACTATTGAAGAATATAGAAAATATGTTGAAAAAGATGCTGCTTTAGCAAGAAGATTTTCTCCTGTTACTGTTAATGAACCAACCGTCGAAGATACTATTTCTATTTTAAGAGGTTTAAAAGAACGTTATGAAGTTCATCATGGTGTTCGTATAATGGATTCTGCTTTAGTTACTGCTGCATTATATTCAAACAGATATATCACTGATCGATTCTTGCCGGACAAAGCAATTGATTTGGTTGATGAAGCTAGTTCTACATTACGTTTGCAACATGAATCAAGACCTGATGCTATTGCTACTTTGGATAGACAAATTATGACTATTGAAATTGAATTGGAATCCTTGAGAAAAGAAGAAGATCAACTTTCAGTTGATAGAAGACATAAATTGGAAAATGAATTAGAAGTTAAGAAATCTGAACTTAAAGAATTGACTGATCAATGGGAATCTGAAAAACGTGCTATTGATGCTGTTAAAAATGCCAAATCAGATTTAGAAAAAGCAAAACATCAATTGGAACAAGCTACTAGAGAAGGTGATTATGGTACTGCTTCCAAGATTCAATATGCCACTATTCCTGAATTACAAGATAAGATTAAAGAATTGAGTAAAAATGAATTGGCTGTTAAATCATCCAATCTTTTACATGATTCTGTTACTTCTGAAGATATTGCTAGTGTTATTTCTAAAATGACTGGTATTCCAGTAAACAATTTATTGAAAGGTGAAAAGGATAAATTATTAGATATGAATGTTATTTTACGTCAATCTGTTGTTGGCCAAGATGAAGCAATTGATGCTGTTTCTGATGCTGTTAGATTACAACGTGCTGGTTTGACTAGTGAAAACCGTCCAATTGCTTCATTTATGTTTTTAGGTCCAACGGGTACTGGTAAAACTGAATTAACCAAATCATTAGCTAAATTTTTATTTAATGATAAGAATGCAGTTATTAGATTTGATATGTCTGAATTTCAAGAAAAACATACCATTTCAAGATTAATTGGTTCTCCTCCAGGTTATGTTGGTTATGATGAAAGTGGTGAATTAACTGAAGCAGTTAGAAGAAAACCATATTCTGTTGTTTTATTTGATGAATTTGAAAAGGCTCATCCTGATTTATCCAAATTATTATTACAAGTATTAGATGAAGGTTCATTAACTGATTCTCATGGTAAAAAAATTGATTTTAGAAATACAATTATTGTTATGACTTCAAATATTGGACAAGAAATTTTATTAGCCGATAAGAATAAATATGAAGATGGACATATTAATAAAGAAGTGAAAGATCAAGTATTGGAAAATTTAAAACATCATTATGCTCCTGAATTTTTAAATCGTATTGATGATGTTGTTGTATTTAATAGATTATCCAAGAAAGCATTAAGAGAAATTTTAGATATTCGTTTAAGAGAAATTGATGATCGTTTACTTGATAAACGTATTATTTTAGATTTATCAGAATCTGCTAAGACTATGTTGGCTGATTCAGGTTATGATCCAACGTATGGTGCTCGTCCTTTAAATAGAGTTTTAAGAAAGAAATTATTAGATCCTTTAGCAATGCGTATGATCACTGGTGAAGTACAAGAAAATGAAACTGTTAAAGTTGATGTTAAAGATCATAAGATTTATGTTGCTCCAAATCATACTCAACGTTCAGCTGTTGAAAAAGAAGAAGAAGATTATAAAGAAAAAGACAATGAAGAAGATTAAGTAGGGTCGGTGATATAAGTAAATGTAGTTTATTAAATATTGTTTTCAATTCAAGAAAAAAAATGAATTTCCAATTAAAAACAAAAATTATTATACTCTCTTATTGTATATATTCTACATCAATAAAAATAACAGACAACGACGAGGAGGAGGAGAAGGAGAAGGAGTATTATCAAGTTTATAATACTCTACCAACTGTGGCTCCAGATGATACTTTAGTTTCCACTTTTCTTAATGATTTACCACCCGTGATTTGTCCAAGTAAAGCACTGATGTTTGGTGCACCGCCAGATGGAGCAGCAGATGCACCAGAATCATTGAAACCGCCTGCTGGAGGTGCTGGTGGAGGAGGTGGAGGTGGTGCTGGGGGAGCTGCACCTGTTTGACCTGGAAATGGGAATGGAGGTGCTGGTGGTGGAACTGAATCAGAGTATCCTGATTCTTGGCCAGGAACTGGAGGTGCTGGTGGAGGTGGAGGTGGAGGGATTGAACTTGGAATAGGTGGTGCAATCTCTGGTACTGGTGGTGCTTGTTCTGGCACTGGTGGTGCAATCTCTGGTACTGGTGGTGCTTGTTCTGGCACTGGTGGTGCTTGATCTGGTACTGGTGGTGCTTGTTCTGGCACTGGTGGTGCTTGATCTGGCACTGCTTGTGCTTGTTCTGACACTGCTGGTGCCACTTCGTTTGAAGAATACTGAGAAGCAGGTTCAGGAGTTTCAAAATCACCAGTTGATGAAGATGAAGGAATGTTCACATAACTATCATTTTTAGATTCATCAACGACCACTGGTTGTTTAGGTTCTTCAGCTCGAGTTTCTACCTGCTTATCAAGATTCGAATCAGATCTGGTTGGAGGTTGTGGCATACCACCAAATAACAAACTAGCCAATTGAGCTGCACCTGCTCTATTTGGAGTATCATCCTCTGATTCTTCATCTTCAGAATCACTCCAACCACTGCTACTAGAAATACCTCTTTGAGAAGCTCTTTGAGCAGCCGCCTTCTTTGGATCAATTCCTGTTTCTTGAGTAGTTGGTTTGAAGAATGGATTATTACCACCTGTAGTACTTGCAGATGGCTGTTGCTGTTGAGAATTGTTGTTCATTTTAGCAAATGGGTTATTATCATGAGTCAGTTGGGCTGGTTTTGGCTGCTCAGCAACTGATTCCTCTTTCTTAGGCTCTTCAACCGATTTGGAAACAGACTCTTGACTACTTGGTTTATAAACTGGAACAGTAGTAACAGGAACAGATTCTTCCTCTTCTTCATCATCATCGCTTTCTTGTTGCTCTCTCTTCTTCATTTCCTCCATCTCTCTCTTAATCTTGGCCAATCTCTCTTCTTTGGCCTTTTGCTTACGCAATTTTCTTTCCTTTTCACGAGCTTCCATTTCTTGTTTTTGTTTCAACATGGCCCTATACTCTTCATCATCGTCATCGTCAGAAGATTCTTCTTCTTCAACTTTTGTATTGTTAACTGCAGCTGGTGTTTCAACAGGTTGTGGTTTTGGAGTTTCAACCTTTTGAGGAGTTGGTTCAACTGCTTTTGGCGTAGCTTCTGCTACAGGTGCTGGTTCTGTCTTTTGAGCTGGGGCCAGTTCTGGCTTTCTTGGAACCTGTGGAACAGATTCAGAAGATGCACTTTTACCTCTTCTAGTAATTCCGAGTTTAGCCAATCTTTCATTCATTCTCTTTTCGGCTTGTTCCTTGATGTATGCTGCTCTCTCTTCTGGAGTAGTATAAGCAGCCCTGGTAGCTGGAGACGACGAATTGCTATGACTGGCAGTGAGATCAGCCTTTTGTTTGGCCAATTCCTCTTGTTTATGTTGCTCGGCAGCTTTGGATTGGGCAATGTTACGGCTTTGTTGTTCAGAAAATGCTTGTAAATCTTTGACAAATTTAGCAACTTCAGCAGAAATACCTACACCTTTTTCCCATTTATCACTACCAGCATCTTGAGTAACAGAAACATTAAGCTTGCTAGCAGATTCATCTTCAATAGCCTTGATTCCTGCACCGATATCTTTAATCATTTCTGATTGACTGTTAGCTTCAGCTTGTGCTTTTTCAGATGCATCCTTCAATTTAAAGTCCAATTCAGAATTTCCACCAGTTGATTTACCAGTCAAGGCAGCCATTCTTTGGTTCAACTTCTTACGAGATTGAAATTTGATTCTGTCATAATCAGTAACTTCACCATTTGGACCAGTACCTACAATTTGGGATTCATCATCTTCTGGATTCCATGATGGATTTTCCTTTTGCAATTGTAATTTAACCAATTCAACTTTCTTTTTGGCAATTTCTTGATTAACTTTGTGGATATCAGAAATCAATCTAGGAACAATATCTCTAGTCAAATGATCCAAAGTTTTAGACAATTGTTTCTTTTCTTCATTGGATGCACTACCGACTCCTTGTTCGTCAATTCTAGATTGAGTATCCATGATTTGTTTCTTCAAATTCTCAATAACTTGTTGATCTTGACTTCCGATACTCAGTCTGGAGTAGTTGTTTGCTTGATCTTCAGTATCGATGGCATCCAACAAAATCTTTTTCTCATGGATTAACTTCTTCATATCTTCAATGGTCAAATCAGAATCAGATGAAGTCTTCAAACTTGATTTTGAACCAGTATCGTGAATATCGGTTGACTTTCTTCTATGACGAGCATTGGAAACGTAACCAAAACTGTCATCATTGTTCTTAAATCTAGTACCATCAGGTTTGGTCTGTGGCTTTGGTGGCTTCACAGGCTTGTTGGTGGAACCTCCTTTCAAAGAGTTCTTCAATGAGTCCATAGTATCTCTCAATGTTCTATCAGCTGGTGGAACCAACTCAGGTGGCAATCTCAACGGAATATCATACCCATTCAATCTTCTATAAATAAGATGCATGGCTACAGCAAATTGGTTCTTGTTCAATTTACCAGTATCATCAGTGTCAACTAAAGTCCAAATAGATTCTAAATCTGGTCTGCTCAAACCAGATTTTGTGAAAACATTCAAAGCAACTGTAGAATCAACATATCCTCTTTTTTGGTTATCCCAAGCTTGGAAAAGTCCATCATAGATTTGCTTTTCTTGTTTGGTAATTGCCCAAGTAACATTGCTCTTCAAACTAGTATCCATAGCACTATGCAAATTGGATGTTGGCAATTGAGTGTTTGGCAAGAAATGTTGTTGCATAGCATTCAAACCGGGAATACCACCAGTTGGCATAGAGACAAATCCCCATTCCCCTGGTCTACCGGTTGGTTGAGCTTGTAATGGTCCAGTTGGTTGAGATTGTAACATTTGACCAGTTCTTTGAGCAGTAAGTTGAGGTTGTTGGAATGAAGTAGTTGGAACAAAACCTCCAGTGGCTTGAGATTGCATTTGTTGTTGATAACCAGTAGTTTGTGGGACTAATCCTCCAGTTCTTTGTTGTTGCAATGGTTGGGCATTGTAGCCAGTAGTTTGTTGAGGTAATCCGCCGGTTCTTTGTTGTTGCAACACTGGTTGAGCATTATAACCTGTGGTTTGTTGTGGAAGACCACCTGTTCTTTGTTGTTGTAATGGTCCAGTCTTTTGAGCTGGGATCAAACCAGCAGTTTGTTGTGGTTGCAATGGAATCAATGTGCCACCACCGGTCCTTTGTGCAGTTAAAGGTGGGGCACCAAACGAAGTAGTAGGCATTGGCATACCACCAGTTTGTTGAGAAACTAACCCACCGAAACCAGTTGCTTGTGGTTGGAATGAAGTCATTGGAGGTGGACCTTGGGAATTGAATCCAGTAGTTTGTGGTGCTAACCAATCATCCTTCTGTGGGGCAAAACTGGCAAATGGAGTATTTGCTAAAACTTTAGAAGGATCATCTGGAATACTGAAATTGATTTGATCCATAAAACTTTGAACTTCATTACGCCATTTTTCAGGAAGTAAACCAGGTAATGGTTCACCTCTTTTTGCCATACTACATAAATGTAAACTCAATGCAAACTCTGGGAACAATAATGCACCAGTCTTATCGATATCTGATAATGTCCAAATCTCTGCTAATGTCACGGCCAGTAAACCGGATCTCAATAAAATACTACTAGCAGCATCTCCAGTAATTGATTGTTCACCCTTTGGCACGGCAGTTCTGAACAAATGTTCAAATTTCTTTTGATCTTCAGCGGTGATGAAAGACAATCTCATGTTAGGAATCTTCAATTCACTGTTTTCAGTAACTACTGGTGCAGCTCCTCCAAATCCAGTAGGTTGAGTTTGAATATAACCTGTTTGCTGAGCTTGTAACATTGGCTGTTGTTGCTGTTGCTGTTGAGGTTGAGCTTGCTGCTGTTGAGGTTGAGGTTGCATGTAGCCAGTTGGTTGAGTGGCAATTCCCATGGGATTTTGGAAATTAGATCCGTACAAGTTTGGTTGTTGTGGAATGAATCCAGTTGCTTGTGAGAACATTTGTGGTTGAGTGTATTGTGGTTGTTGATAAGAATTATAGCCAAAACCACCACCTTGTTGTTGTTGAGGTGGTGGCTGTTGTTGTTGTTGGGGATTATACCCCATTCCCTGTTGTTGGTATGGATTATACATCAATTTCTATTAAGCAATGGAAATATAGAATGTGGTCCGTGGTTATAGGAAATTAGGAAAAACGTATTATAAAAGAAAAAAAAAAGCAGGAAAAATGAAAATGATTTTCGTCGGCGTCGAACGTTGAAAGATGAAAGTTGAAAGTTGGTTTAACTGCTGCGACTGACTGACTGCACTGACTGAAAGAAAAACGAGACAACCAGAGACAAAGAAAAAAAAAACACTAAGATCTACGAGTTCTGCAATTAATATAAAAAGGAGGCACAGAAACCAACCCGCCGGATCACCTCGGATTTTTATAAAATTCATCTATAAACCTATACAATTGATTAGTTTGCTGGCTTAAGATCTAAACATTCGTCCCAGAATCCAACTTCAAGTTTGGTGACTTCATTGAAAATGTCAACCAATTCTTCAATTCTCTTGTCATTCATATTGTCTTCTTGTGCCAATGCTTGTAATGCTTTCTTTCCTTCAACATCAGCTCCAGTATACCAAGGAGAAGTATAATCGTCTAACCATGCCTGGTAGATCTTGGATTGTTCTTCAGTAACAACACCGAAATCTTTGGTGTTTTCACGTATTTTTTGACCATAGACACCAGCAGCAGCATAACCATGAAGACATGGTGAAACAGCAGTTTTGATCCCTGTAAAATTTTCATTTTTACTGGCATTAATCAAGTAATCACAATAAGCAATACATGCTGGACCCGGTCCTAATTGAACATCAAAATCCATGTCTCTTTCATAATCAATATTGTAATGTTTTGAAAGTTTTTGTTTGTGTCTTTCAATTTCAGTAACAATTTCACCAATAATTGTAGCTTGTGCGTGTGTTTGTTGATAAGTAGGTGCAACTGCACCAGCAAATGCTTGTATTTGTGCATAGTTGACTAAATAATGGTAGTCTTGTTTCAAAAAATAGATAAAGTTTTCAAATGGAAGTTTATTTTCTGCAAGGGCCTTAACAAATGGATGTTCGGTGTATCTCTTCCAGTTATCCTTCACTTTAGGATGATTAATAAGATATTCGTAAAAGGAAGTATTTCCATTTGTGATTTGTAATGTTTTCTCCATCAGACCAGTTACAATTGAACTGACTTTCTTAACTGGAGCAACAGTATGATTCAATGGACCATTGCCAAACCCAAGCTTCTTCTTCAAACTAGTCATACTACGATGAATATAATCAACCGATATAGCAATAGCATCTTCTAAAGATAACCCTTTAGCAATATTAGCAGAGATTGCCGAGGCTAAAGTACATCCACTTCCATGGTTATCAGTGGAATTAATATAATCTGATTCAAAAATGGTGACTTTGTCATCTTCACTTTCATATAAAATATCATTGATGCGGAGATTTGCTTGTTTCAAATCATTAGCTGGAAAACCGTCCTTCGTGAATGGAATATGACCACCTTTAACTAATAAGTTTTTACACTTTAAAGATTTTTGTAATTCAACAACAAATTTAACAAATTCATCAAGTGAGTTAATATCCATGTTTTTCTCCACTCCCTTGGTTAATTTATACAATGCTTCAGCTTCAGGGAAATTTGGGGTAAGTAAAGTAGCCTCTGGAATTAAACTCTCTACACATAATTTCATACCTTCATCGTCACTTAACTTGGAACCAGAAGTACTAACCATGACTGGATCAATTATCAATTTAACCCCGTATTTATTAATTCTAGGTAAATATTCAACCAATTCTCTAATAGCTTCTTCTGTTAACATACCAGTTTTAATTGCTTTCAATGGTGCCTCTTCGCCATTAGGATATCCAAATAACATGTCTTCTAAATTAGCAGTCAATATCTCATGAATCAATTTTTGAGATGTTTTATCGAAATTTCTAACACCAGTTGTATTCTGAGCTGTCAATGCAGTAATACATGTCATTCCATATACACCAAATGCACTGAATGTTTTCAAATCAGCTTCAATTCCAGCACCTCCAGAAGAATCACTTCCGGCAACTGTCATTACTGCATTGAGAGTGACTTGTGGGGCTGCATCATCTGCGTTTCTTAATGTTAAGGTAGTTGTTTTCATTTTGAATTTTTTGTTGTTGAATGTGACTATGACTATGGTGTCAATAGAAGGGATTTAAGCTTACTTATATATATATCCTGTGCAAACGGGTACGAAATCGGAAAGATGTAATTATAGATGTCCTGTAAATGAAAATTTTTTAGGGACCGTTGTCTGACATTCGTTTCCATTTGGTTGTCCCACTATGGTATTGTAATAAATTAATAACTATTGTATGGATACCATACTTTAATTATTATACATATTACACAAACCACTACAACCTAAAAATAAATAATTAAAAAAAAAAAAAATGCGCCTAAACTTCTGTATGCTTTTAATTGACCATTGTAAGGTAGGATGTGCGTATACCGTTTTCAGAGCTCACTCACTAGCACTCGCTAGCGCTCCTACATAATTCGCACTGTTAAACACCACTCTTTCTTTATTGTTTATATACTTATCAAGCCAATACACGGTTTCAATCTAGGTTAAGTCCCTTTATGGGTACCCTTAACCTTACAACCATGCGTTATAAATAAGAACAAAACAATACATTAATGAGATGATCTACTATCCAGTGATCTACGTAAACTATTATAATAATGGACCAAATCCTTTTCACATTGTAAAGTGTCTTCTCTAAATGCAACTCTGATATCTGGAACATTGGTCTTTTCAATATCATTACCTTCAACTCCACCAAGTAAATAATTCTTACCTAACCAATGTTTCTTAATGGATGCCTCCCATCCACTTTGCAAACATGAATTTCTGGCTAATTCACACATATCAACACCAGATAATTTATAAATTTGTGCTGCCACAGAATATTCTTCAATCAATGGCTCTTTGGTGTATGAAAATTGCAACGGATCATCAGTAGATAATGAAACATTCAACCCTTTCTTGAAAAAATTATAGAAAGGATTCTTGTCATAGGTTAAAAACAAAGCATTGTTGGAAAGTGGAGACATGGCCAAACCAATTTGATCAAGATAGTACAAATATTGAATGAATGGCACTTTACGCAATAAAATACCATGAGAAATACCATATGAAGTCAAAAATGCACTAATTAAATGTTCTGGATCACCAGCTTCACCACAATGTGGTCTCAAAACAAAAGTGTTCATCTTGTTTCTAATTCTCAATTGGTTCAAATTGGCAATGTTGGCATAAAGATAGTACAAGTAGTATGAATATGGCGGGTTCAGAGTGGAACTCCATTCTTCGGCTGGTGGATATTTACGTGATTGAATTGGTTTTTCTGTTTTCGATTCATCATCAACTGAATCAAACCCAATTACACGTTGCAAGAAAACATACAATTTAGGATGAGATTTTGGATTCAATGAAACTTCAAATAATGGTTCAAAAATATTCTTCATGATATCAAGGAATGATCTAACATTACCATTCTTCTTGTAAATATCATATAATCTTGGAACTTGAATCAACCATCTGACATTATGACTGAAAAGTTTGTTGTCGACAACCCATGCAGCCAATTTGTCCCATTCATGAATTGATCTACCATAAATAGAAATTCTCAATTCATTCATTTGATATTTGGAACTTTCTAAATCTTCCATGACTTGCATAGTCAATTCTGCCAAATAACTCCCATCGATAAAGTTATCAGTTTTCAAGAAAATCTCTCTCAATCTAGATTCTCCAATTGGATTATATTTCAAATTAAATTTATCAAATCTATGGAATGTATCAGTATGAGCATGCATATCCAAAGTATCAATTGACAAATCATAAGCTGTCAAATTCAAAGAATCAAATACTTCAGAAAGGGTTAAGATTTTACCATCTCTGAATATAACTTGCTTATCTGGTTCAGTTTTCAATTTATATTTGATAAATCTCAACAAATGTTTTTGGTTCATACAAGCCGAATGATGAATGTGAGTGTCAACTTTACGAACATTGTAAAAATCTCTATGTGGATTACGTTTAGATTGTTTGTTTTCTTCAAATTCATTCAACAAGTAATACATGTTCCATTTAGCTTCCAAATATTGTAATCTTTTGAATGCAAATGATTTGGTAGGACCATCAGATGAAATTCTTGCAATTTTATTCAAATCTGAATAATAATCATGTAAATTAGGAACTTGAATCAACTTTTTATCAGTTTTCTTCTCATGAACTTCATAAACATCTTCATCACTCAAAGTAAAATAATAAGGACTGTCTGTAATTTCTGGTATTTCACATTTACTAAAATCAAATTGTTCCAATTCATCAGAATCGTCTGACTCTTTCGGAATTTGGTTGAATCTATTCTTGGATTTATATGTAGGTTTTGGTGGAGGAGGATAAATTTCCCATCCTGGTTGATTCTTAGGATTGATCAGTTCAGGAACTTGTAATGATAAATTCAAGAATTTATGTCTAAGATCTAAACAAGATTTAACATTTGAATAAAATTCAATCAATTCATCAGATGGAACATCTTCAGGTAATGCATTTGGATCAGATGCAAAATTCTTACGCAAATCTGAATTTGGAGTTGGTGGTTTAATATGATTGAATTTTTGAGGCATATCAATCATTGAAGGTCTTCTTTTAACAAAACTATTCTTTGGTGATCCTGGAGATTGAGGTGCTTGGGAAGCGCCATTGGTATGGTGTAATGCTTCAAAAGCTTTCATTTTCAAATCGTGATCCTTCATAAATTTATCTTCAGAAGTGGAGAAACTAGCTGAAGTGTAAGATCTTGGAAGGTGTGAATTATCTTCATCGTCACTATCTTGATTAAAATGGTGGTCATAATCATTTTTATTCTCTTCAAGATCATCCTCATCTTCAGTCTCGTCATGCGAGTAGATGGCATGTTCATTGTCGTGCAAGTTGTGAATATTGTTGCTATTTTCTAACTGCAAGCTCAAACTAGATTTCTTTGTCATGGTATCAAATGTTATCTTGTGTAAGTCACAGCAGGGGTTAAAGATTGTATGTCTGTGTGTGTGTTTCTGTGTGTGTTCAAAAGGAATTGAATTTACAACACACTGGAGTTTTTTTTCAAATGAGCAATCAAAACCCAAATACGACATCTTCGGAATTTGTAATTTTTTATTCATTGACGCACACACGCACAAGCACACACAAACATATTCGGCCGGAAAAACCTCGCAGAAAACTCCGTAAGAGGATTTACTCCACCATCTATTGAAACAACACAATAGTGTAAATAAAAATTAAACCTATAGAAACGAAATAAAAAAAAAGCTGTAAGAAGAAGAAACTAAAAAAATAAGGTATATTTAAAATATTTATCGACGAAATGAATTCCAATTATCCATGATTTGTTTTTTTTTTTTTTGTATTTGTACCCGTGATTTCTTGGATATTAGTAAGATAATGTGCTCCCCCAGACTAAAGCATCATGGTGATAATAGTCAACATGGCAAAGAAACTGGTGTATAAACTTGTTCCTAATGCAAACCCAGCAGCAGATTGAACCACAGAAACTTCTGGGGTAGTGGAATTATCAGCAGCAGAGATGGATAAAGTGTTGATGAACTCAGAAACTTCCAATGAAGAAAGGATACCTTCAGCACCATCTAAAACAGTAGTTGTAGTATCGGAAGAAACAGTAGCAGTGATGAATTCAGAAATAGGTAATGAAGTAATATCAGTTCCATTAATAGCTGATAAAATTTCATCTCTCAACATCAAATCTCTTTTAAACAACAGGGTAATATCACTCCATAAAGCTGGACCCAAATCAGGATCATTGAAAGCTCTGGAAATGGTATCGGTAATTAAACCAGAATTAAATAAAGCTCTAACTAATGGAGCTAATGAAGCCCAATCAAAACTCAAAACTCCAGTTAAAGTAGATCCAATATTTGAAAAAACTCCACGTAAAATTAAAACAACACTATCTTCAAATCTTTGATCAGTAACCAAATAATCAATAGTTTCATTTAAAATATCAGATCTTGCAACGGAGGAGAAAATTGTGGTTAACAAGTTTTGAATATTATCTCTTTTGATTTTTCTCATTGCTTGTTCAACTTCATGATCTTCAATTTCTCTCTTTCTAATTTCTTCTAAAATCATAGCAACTGGATCTTTAACTTCCCTCTTCTTTCTCATTTGATTCAATGCTCTAGCAACTGGATCATCTCTTTCCTCTTCCATGTTTTCTCTCTTACCATTAAGAGCACCAGTAATTTGAGCCAAAGCAGAAAGGTTAATTGAAGTTGGACCAGCACCAAATTGACTAGCTGGAACAGATTGGAATGCTGGACCAGTGACCCCAAGGAAATTATCACCACTAACTTCAGTAGCTTGAGCATTAACTGAAGTAATAGCACCACTGCCTAAGGTAGCAGCTGTAGTAGCAGTAGTGGCAACAGTAGTGGCAACAGTTTCGGTATCACCAACAATAGTATCAGGATCAGTGTTTTCAGCAGCAGCTTGGGAGAAAAGATTAGCTAATGAAGCGGTATTAATAGATCCAATAGAAGTACTTGATTGTACAACTGGACCTGGCATGGTAGCAACACCACCATCAGTGAATTGAATATTAGTATTGATAGAACCAGCACTTAATGAAATAGAAGCTGAACTACCGCTTCCAAAAAGTCCTAATCCCAAACCATTGGCAGAACTAGTACCAGTAGTAGCAAAAGTTAAAGCTGTAGTACCAGTAGTAGCAAAAATAGCTGAAGTAGTAGTAGCTACACTTCCTGAACCTGAACCACTTAATAAATCAATAACCACTTGCTTGACAAATGGGAAAGTATGTGGATTTTTAATTGAATCAGCAATTAAAGTATAAGCTAAACCTGAATCTTTTAAAGCAACAAATACAGGAGTCAAATCAAATTTACCAGCAACACCTAATAAATCAATGGCAACTTCTCCGGCAATAGTTCTAGTTGAATTATTACTAATTATCCAACTAATTAAAAATGGTACTAAATCAGTATCGGCAACAAAATTGAGTAAATCATCTAAATATTGAACATTATCATTAGTATTTAAAATTCTATCAACCCAACCAGCAATACTTTCAAAATCAATTGAATCAAGAATACTAGTTACATTTATATTAGAAACTAAACCTTCAACAACATCAAGTAAATCTCTTTCTTGAAATTGATAAAGTTTATCTAAATCTCTTCCTGCTATTTCAAGTGAAAGTGGATCTGAAACTGGACTAATTCCTTGTTGTTGTTGGGCATTTACAATTGAAAATATTGAAAATGTAGTTGTGAAAATAGTTGAGAATTTCATTTTTGATTTTCTCTTAATGAATTCTTGCTAAAAATTAATAATAAACGAATGGTGTTGAAATTGACTTTGATATTATAATGGATTCTCTATCACTATTGATGATAATTTCTAGAAATTCTAATGAAGTTTATGTAAAAAAAAAAAAAAAAGAAAATGTCAAGAAAACTTACAATGTAAATTATAGAAGGAAATTCTATTTTATATTTATATTTGTTAAAAACTATATTTTAGTTAACTAACGAATTACCAAATTAAGAAAAAAAAATTATTTATTCAACTAATGTGCCTCGAAGTTGGAATTCGTACAAGGCTTATTTTCTCTTATAAATGATGAATGTATAGTTATTACCAACAATAGCAAAATACAACTTCTCTTTCATTCAAGATCCTTTGCAGTTCTTTTGGTGAAAATCCAAACGAACAAGAAGGAAAATACTTGCTGCGAAAAAAAAAAATTTTTTGAACTTCTTTTCCCGATTAGGAAATAAATCAAATTATAGACTCGTTTAAGAAATAATTATGTCAACGCCTCAAACCATATCAAGTAAAGTGTATAAGAATCATCATTGTAACATGCAAAGAATTTTTCAGGGGGAGATGTGAATTCATAATAATAATAACTGAAAGAAAAGTCTAGAATCGGATAGATATTCGCTATTTATAGTGAAGCATAACGCAGAGGAGAACAAGGTTGCAGCGGATTGTTATTAATCTTCTTGTCATTGATTTAATTGTATATTGGGAGGATCCTATTTTAACCTTCAAGGTAATATATACACAGGAATTGTGAATCGGTATGAACTTGCCATGGTTTCAAATTTAAATTTACCAAGTTTGTTGAATATCTTCAATTCATGGGTTGAGCCTGTGCCAATCTCTACCGCTTCCCCGTGAACTTCGTCTAATTCATTAATTTCTGTTAAATTGAATTGGAAAACAAGATGATATTCCAAACTGAGAAATTTGCTACTTTGAAACTGTGGTGTTACAAATTTCGGGATATTGATATAATCGTTAATTAAACTTGGTGAGCTTTCTCCAATAGTTGAATTAATAATAGATGGAGCTAACGTGTTGACTTTGACATTCCCTGTAACTTTATACTTATTCACTTGGGTTTGTCCATTCTCTTGTAAATGATAAACTTCATGAGCTTCCAAATAAGTAATTAAACCAATCACTTTTGTCGTATTTGATTTGTTTGGGTTGATATTTATTATGTAATTTATATCTTCACCCGGATGGTAATACGGACGTGGCACACCAATCAAACACAATTCTTGATTATTCACACGTAATCTATATTGAGTTTTCAAATGTGGTGGTAATTGAGCAATATATCCTTCAAGACCATCCTCTTCATGATGTCCATTAACACTACTTTTTCTTCGTTCCATGCTAGATACTTTGGGCATGTTGTATAAATCTGAATCAATAAGTTTGGAAAGATCTTCTAGGAATGTCTTTTTATCTTCTTCTTCGTGAGCTTTATCCTCATCAGCATTCTTGATCTCCTCTTTACCAGTGACAAGTTTGACTTTCCAATCTTTATCCAACGCCACAGGGTCTTCAAAATACTTCCTCTGAAGAAATCTATTAGCGACTCCAAGATGTCTCTGAGGCGTTACTTCAAATGGAAAATAGATAGATTTACCCTTTTCTGTCATTTGTCCTTCAATTAAACTCACAATTAATGAATATCGAATACTTACCAACCCTTGATCACATGCTGGCCCTGTCAGATGAGAATTATAACTTGGAGGTAAATCCTCCTTTATTGGAAATTTTAAATGGAAACTTTTGGATGAATTTTGCGGTATAGTTAAATCAGTGAATAATAAAGATTGTGAAGTTGTATAAAAAGGAATAATTGGATCAGTTAAATCATGTAATGAAACTGGTCGAGGATGTTTTGATTTTGGTTGAGAATTAAAATTATTAATTAAATCATGTAATAAATGACCTTCTTCAGTGGAAATTTTTTCATCTTTAATAATTAAATCATTAACTCCACCCAATTTCCCACCAATTATTAATTTTGATTCATAATTTTCATCAATAAATGGAACAGTATCTAATTTCCAATGATCTTCTGACTTTTCAAGTGCAGGATCATCTTTATATAAATATTGATGTAAATAATCAGTATTATTCCACCATTGATTGCCTTTATTAACTTCAAGAGAAGAAGTATCAATACTAAATTTATAATTCAATACCACGTATCCAAATAACTGTATATACCCAAGAAATAAATGAATCAGTTCATCAGACTCGATGTTTAATGCATCCATTGATTCATCTACTATTTTAGTAGAGCCAAAAATATTCCCAAACCATCTTCCAGAATTTTGCTGTTGCTGCTGTTGTTGTTGTTTAATTGGGTTAATGACAACGTCTTGTTTTGATGTATTTGAGAATGTTAGTATACATTCCTGAGTCTTACTTCCACCATCATCAATGTATTTCAATGAAAGTGTAAGATTATCATTAAGGACCTTTGAATATGAATTGTCAGTGGATGCTAATGTAGACGAAGATGACGTTGTAGATGTTGTCATTAATGATAGTTGACGTAATGTATTTGTTGTCCATGTCATTTTTGGCAACGAGTTTGTTTCGTCAGAAAAACAGCCGAGTGGGAGACACAGACAAAAAAAAAAAAAAAATTTACTGTGGAAATCAATATTTACAACCAAATGATAGCCCAACAATATATGGACAGTCATAGAAAACAAATTTGCTTAGAACACATCTAAGTCTACAGTATGCATTTAAATTAAGAATACAAAATAATAGAATAATCATAATAATAGTAATAATAATAAAGAAGAAGAAGAATAGCAGTTAAGCAATTAATGAATGACACCATAGTTGGAAATAGAAGGAAAGTAAAAGGGGTACAACATTTAAACATTTCTAAATCTTTTGCTCTTGTGGTTGTTGTGTTTGTGGTTGGAATTGATCTCCATTTGATGCAACTGCTGAAGCACCAGTAATATCTTCTGTATGAACTGGTTGTTGTTCAGCACCATCGAAATTGTTTGAAACACTGCCAACATTTTGATGGAAATCTAAAATTTCACTATACATCATAACTCTCCAAGTATCCACTGGCAAATCTGCATCATTGAAACTCCAATCAAATTTACTCTCACATGAAGGTTCATCAGTTGGATCATGATATGGTTCCATGTATGGATGAGTCAAGGCTTCGGCAGCACTAATTCTCTTTTTTGGATCAAACACCAACATCTTAGCTAATAAATCAATAGCTTCTGGTTCAACATGAGTACATGAAGCAAATCTTTCACTAAATGGAATTGGATCTCTGTGAGGTAAGGATTGGACAAATCTTAAAGTATTTTCGGAACAAATGGTATCGATAACATCTGGTGGAGGGGAACCTAATAATTCAGTTATAATGGAGAATTGATGAACATGATCTTTTCCTGGAAACAATGGTTTACCTTCAATCATTTCTGACAATATACATCCTACCGACCAGATATCAACTTCTGTGTCATATTTTTGCCATGTCAACATAATTTCTGGGGCACGATAATATCTAGTTGAAACATACCCAGTCATTTGAGGATCTTGAAGTCTTGCTAAACCAAAATCACAAATTTTCAAATCACAATTTTCATTAATTAAAATATTAGAAGGTTTCAAATCACGATGAATCACCCCAGCAGAATGAATATATTTTAAACCTCTCAAGATTTGATAAGTAAAATATTGTATAAATTGTTTTTCCAAAGGTCTTGAACTTAATAGTCTATGTAAATCAGTACCTTGCAATTCATTAACAAAATAGATATCTTCTAAAGGAGATATAAAAATATCATCTAAAGTAATTAAATTTTCATGTTTCAAATGTTTCAATAATTTCAATTCTCTATATGTTCTTTTGGCTAATACTGAAGTCAGAAATGGTTTCATGATTTTTTTAACGGCAACATTTTGGCCAGTTAATCTATCGACAGCAGAGCACACCAAACCAAATGCACCCATACCAACTGGGTTTAGGTCGGTATATCTATTTGTTATTTCAAAGACTGTACCAAAGATTTGAGTTCTTGTAAATTCTCCATCCGATGACATGATTGTTCAAAAAAATAAAATAATAATAATAGTTAATACTCTTTGAAAAGGTGATAATATGAAGTATTAGTTATCAATAGATTTCACTAATAATATAATTGAAAAGAAAGAAAGTAGGTACCACTCCTAAAAGATTAGTCAAAATGATCACGGGAAATATAAGTAGACCTAAACTTGTATATAAACCAAAGATAAAATCAAATTAACAATGAAAATAATACTACTACTACTTCTTGAAAAAATGATGTAATATTAGTTGATTGATTGAAAAAAAAAGAGTAGGTTATTATTATTATTATTATTAATAATAGAAATTTAATAAAAAATAAAAAGCTCTGGAAAGTATGGAAGTAAAAATCAATCAAATTAAAAACCAAAAAAAAAACCCAATTCCTAATTGTTGATGTTGATTGTTTAGTTTAATTTTGTTCGTTGGAAGAAAAGGAATACAGACAAGAAAGAAAGAAAGAAAAAAAAAAAGACAAATTGTCAAAATTAATTAACTCGCAGAAAATAAATTATTGTATTACAAAAACAAATCGATTACGTAATGTCAACAACAGAGTCGTGTACTTGGTGATGAAAAGAAAGTCACGTTTTTTTTTAATTCTTCTAACAAATCAAGGGGTAAGAAGAAGAAAAAAAAAAGAGGGAATATGGAAGAGAAGGAAAGTGATTAAGATATAGGGTACACATTCCAATAGCAATTTTCAATTTCAACCAAGGATTCTTAATTAATGAATGGAATGAATGACAAATAATTTATAATACCTCAAAAGGGATACACAAAATAAATTATTGCCCATATAAAACTAACTAAACTAACTAAAATAATGTATAAACGGCTAAAAAAAGAAAGAAAAGAATCGTAGATACAGTTTGATACTTCATTTATATAGTAATACACAGACTAAGAATTATTCAAATTAACTTAACTAATAGTAAACACGAAGTAAAGAGTAAGAAAACATACGTATAAGATATCACTTATGTACAATTTCACCTAATTTTGTCAACACTTTCTTCAACTCTCCAGGTAAAATAGGTTTGGAGATAAAATCAACCATACCAGCTTCCAAACATCTATCTTTATCATCACCAGCTACATTTGCTGTCAATGCAACAATCAATGGAATAAAATCTCCTTTTTCTTTAGCATAAAATGATTCTTTCAACTCTTTGGTAGCAGCAAGTCCATCTTTACGTGGCATTTGAATATCCATTAATATAACATCATATTTCTCTCCCTTTTCAAGCAATTCATTACATTTCTCCAATACGACAACACCGTCCTTAGCATGATCAGCTTTATAGCCCAACTTCTCTAAATGCTTGGAACATACTTTATAATTCAACAAGTTGTCTTCCGCCAACAATATTCTCAATGGATATTCATCAGCTAATTTTCCAGTACTTATTTCTTTGGTGGTGGTGGTGGCTGATGATGAAGAATCTGGTTTTGATTTGTCATTCGTGTTTGAATCCTTCTCAATGATTCTTATAAGTCTCTCTCTTTGGATAGGGCATAATAAAGTATCATATTTCTCAAACTCAGCAGGCAATGCTATACCAAATCGAGTCAACACTATAATACGACCTTTTGGTGGTGACTGCTTTGTATCAGCAGTAAACTTCTCAATAACAGTACGGCCAATGAAAAGCAATCCGTAATCATTGATATTCTCCACTTCTTTCAAATCACTAACCACGGTAGCATTAAGTTGATAATATTCAAGTATATTCTTTAATGACAAGGATGTTAACTCATGTGAAGTGTAAATCAAACACTTTTGGTTATCCACCCCTTTCAACTTTGGTACAGAGGAAGCAACAGTACCTCTTAATCCAACAGTCAAATAAAATGTCGTACCCTTCCCATAATCACTTTCAAATCTTAATTTACCACCCATGATTTCTGCAAGTTTTTTAGAAATTGCCAAACCTAAACCTGCACCTCCAAACTCACGTCTAGATGATCCATCAACCTGTGAAAATGCTCCAAAAACTTTAGTCTGCGATTGATCAGGAATACCAATACCGGTGTCTTTAACTGACACTTTAAGTTCATATCTGTTATCTCCAATTTTAGTGGCACTGCAAGAAACAGAAACGTAACCAGTAGATGTAAATTTAATAGCATTCCCTACCAAATTAATCACAATCTGCCTAAATCGAGTAACATCCCCAACCACAGATTCAATTTCTGGACAATTGTTAAAGAACACCAACTCAATTTCACTTGTGGTGACAACTTCTCCACCAAGTTGAATTGCACTTTCAATACAGTCATTCAATGAGAATGGTGCATTATCTAAAGTGAAAGAACCGTGTTCGATCTTGGAAAATGCCAAAATACCATCAATTATATTCAAAGTAATCATTGCCGAAGATTTGATTGCCTCCACATAATCCCTTTGGGTGTGGGTCAATGTGGTATCCAATAAGAAAATGGAAAAGGACAACAATGAATTAAATGGAGTTCTAATTTCATGTGACATGTTGGCCAAGAAACTTGCCTTTTCAGCTGTAGCATCTTCCGCCGCCAGTTTGGCTATTTCCATTTGTGATAACAATTTGTTCTTGCCCAAAGCCACAGTTGCTTGGTAACAGAAAAGTTGCAAAATGTCACATTTTCTTTCATCAAATAATGTCTCGTTCCTATTGGTTTTACTACCACCTTCCAAATAAATCACACCATAAGTTTCCCATTGATTCTTAAGTGGCATACAAATACATGTACAATCGTCATTTGCTTCAAAATATTCAAGTTCAAATCGGTTGACAAAATCAATTCGATCAGCATCTTTGTTAATGGTTTCTCCGGTATTTAATACATGGATAAGTAACTGGTACGGACAAATGTCTGTTCTGCTACTCAATGGAACTTTATCTAATGAATAAACATGCTGATCAGATCCAACTGTTTCAAGCATTGGTTCGTCATTGTTTAATGTAACCACAACACCAAATTCAGCCTCTGAAAACTTAATCACAGCCGATAATAATTCCAAAAGAATACTCTTTTCGTCAGGTGCTTCTGATATAGCTAAACATTCACGAATTGCCATATTCAAATCAACTTGCGGTTCTTCTTCGGTAATTCTCATTTTAGACGCTGCTGATGTACCGGAATGTCCTCGATGGTTCCTCTTGTTCAGTCCATTGGAGGACCTATTTGATGAAATTGAATTTAACAGGCTGGTATTTATTGTCAACAGAGGTCTCAAAGACACAGGCATAGAATCGGAACCGTTATTCATCGACAATCCTGGCCAAGTAAGACTTCTTTCTTTATCTTCTTCGATATATTCAGCAAATTCAAGTTCATAAAATTTAAGAAAATCAACCATTTCTAAACGTCTTAAAATATCTAACCCTTGTTTTGCCATTTTAGCAATTCTGCGTTTACTTTGTTTAGAATAAACCAACCATCTAGCACAGTCAAAACTTGACCATAAAACATCACATAAAAGACCATGTTCTCGTGCAATGTCAATCGATTCTTCAAATATATCAAGAATTCGTAAATTATCCCCATTTGGTTTTCGGATTTCCTCCATTGCTTCCATAATTAGCAATTTCGATGCGAATGTCGATTCATTGGTTTGAGACCACAATTTGAACTTGTCCAAATGACGAGATAATATGGTGTTTCTCAATTCTTTGTCTTTGATTATCTCTGGCAGACAATAGGTAAGTACTTTGGAAGTTAAAACATAGTACCTTTGATGCAAAAGTAGAACAGGACATTGTTCCAGAATAGCCTCAACTTTAGTTAGAATCAATTCAGCTGCTTCGTCGTATCTTTTTTTAACAGCCATGGCCTGCAAAACAACCACATAATAACAAAACTGTGCCACTGGACATTCATACGAGAAATCATAATTTGATAAAAACTCCTTCAACCTCACTTTTCCAAACAATACCGATTCACAATCATACATGAAATTACTACCATATGGTGTCTTGGATTTGGATCTCAAATTTGATCTTGATTTCAATAATATAGATGATCTATAACCCTTTCCACTGGTGTATAGCAACATAACTTTGGAAATGCCAACTAGCAATTCAGTAACAGACGAACTTGAAATAGCATCATTTCTAACAGTATCCATACCCATCTCAACGTAATTCAAAATCTGTTCAATGGAATCAAAGAAAATTGCACATGTACTGATGTAAATATTATATATGGATTGAGCATACGACAATGATATTTCTGGTGCTCGATTCACCAACGCAATAGCAACCAGGCACAATTCTTTTGCCTTGATCATTCCTGAACTGGTGCTTGTTTCAACAAAACTGGTTGCAAAATCTAACATAAACAAAGCACAATATGGAGATGAACCGTGTGAATAGATTTGACTCGTGGCATAAGCAACAAGAGCATTTCTAAGATCATTTCTTCTATCCATTCTTAATGGAGGGATAATCTCACTGGCAATTTGATACATCAATAAAGTTCTACCATTGGTACATGTTTTTCCATCCAATATGTGTCGGATTTCTGGAACTGAAAGTGGAAGTTTCCTCATCAACTTCTCATATAGATGCTTGTTCTTTTTCTCGTCAAATGAAATAGGAACCCCGAGTGTCTGCAAAGATTCAATGGCAATTTGGTAAGCTTCTTCAAGCTGCCCAAGTTCAATTTTACATTTAACCAACTGAAGGGAAAATACCAATCTATCAAATCCAAACTTTTTTTGTGCATTTTCCATAACTTCCAAACATTCTTGAAATTCACTTAAATTGAAATGGTTCTGAGCAATTGTCAATATTGACTTTAACTGAGTTTTAGAATCAAGGTTGTAAACTAAATCCCCAATTACTTCAAAAAACCACTGAGATAATTTCATATTATATGTAGATAAGGCATATCTCCCTGCTTGAACCAAAACTTCAACATATTTCTCATTCTCTTCTGGCTTGGCAACTTCATACGAATTTCTAAAGTGAACTGCCATTTGAAGATATCCACCAATATTTAAAACACGTTCTTTGGTAATGGTATTGTAAAATCTCAACCCGCACAACCTGGATAATTCTTTAAACTTACCACTAATGGTCAACTCTCTGATTGTATGTGAACAAAGAGAATCGTGGTAAAATCTGTAACTACATAATGTAGCCAATTCCCAAATATTGTCATCGGTCAAGTCAAATGGAGTGTCGTCAGAACAAATCAAGTGGAAAGGAACCTTATAATATGTACTAGTTGGAATAATAATCTTGGAAGCAACACACGCTTGTAATAATTTAAAAACTTCGCCCATAGGTAATCCAGATGCAACTGTTAAATCAGAAAGGTGAAATCCTGCACCAGTAGAAATAACTGCCGCAATATCAATCAACGCTTTGGATTCAGGAGTAGTACATGCTGTCATGAATCTTCTCGCGAGTTCATCTCTGCATATTCCGGTAACGCCAATATCACTTATATCGGGTAAAAAATATCCACAACTTCCATCGTGAACATAACGCATTTTACCCAATATTCTTGCCATTCTAGAAATATAAATCATAAGGATTGCATTTCCACATGAAACATCATATAACTTGGCAAAACTTTCTTCGACATACAGCAATACTGGATTCTCTTGACTTGGTACCAACGTTCCGGTACTTGTTGGAGATCCATGTAATGAATTCATCTTAGATTTACTGCTTGCTCGCTCATCAATGAAACCAGCTGATTCCATGATGTAGTTAATACCAGTTTCCTTCAGAATACATGGAACGATAAAGTGATGTAATTTCATCTTGGTCTGTTGTGCATACCTGAAAAATGATTCCATTCTGTCATTTACATTAAAATCAAGTAGTTGATCATGATTCAATGTATATGCGGTAACTATTTTCACCGTAACTGGTGAATCTGTCTGATCTCCAAAATCTAAAATGTCACATAGTGTTACCCATGCCTCTTCAGTACACCATTGCAAGTCATCGATAAATATTGTCAATCCTTGCATGGCAACAATTTTATAAAATTCTTTCAAAATCTGTTTGAACTTAACTTCCAATCTTGCCGTTTGATCATCTTTGAAGAAAGTTCCGGGAGTTGAAACTGAAGTTTTGTGTTGATAAATTGAAGTATATTTAGCACCAAGTAATTTCTTGAAATCAGGAATGAGGTAAAACAAAATACTCATGTCCAAAGGAATATTCTTGACTATTAATTCTCTCCATGAATCCTGAATTTCTTGTGAACATTCTAATATTTGACTAATGATTTTCAGTACTCCATCAACAAGAAATTTATACATATAATTATCAGTAGCGGAGATACTAAATTTGAACGAGCAATAAAAATCATACTTCAAGAAAGCGTGTGCTCTGAGATCATTTAAAATCAATGTTTTACCAGTACCAGTGTCACCAGAAAGGAAAAACAAGTTAACATCCAGGCGACATGAACGAAAAGAATCCATTACCTGGTTATAAAAACACTCTCGTCCAATGAATCTCATACCAGTGTGGATTACTGGTGAATGGCCAACTTTCTCTGGATGTGACAAAGTTTCTTTAACAAGATACTTCAGATATTCGCTGGATTTGGACCAGTGGTTCCACACAGATTCACCTAAGGATTTTACTTTTTCAATGTACAGATTTTTTACAGATATCAAATCTTTCAATAAAGCATAACTATCAGTATATCTATCGGAAGGATCTTTCTCTAATAACTTCATTATAATGGAACTTAATTTTTCAGAAATCCAACTTGATGCAAGCAGATATGGAGAGATAGGTTTCTGGAAAATATGCATTCTTATTATCGTCTGGGGATTAGTACTCTTGAATGGTAATGTTCCGAGAAGAATTTCATACAAAATCACACCTAGTGAGTAGAAATCAGACCGATAATCAACAATTTTATTCACAACACCAGAAACTTCAGGAGCCATGTACGGAATCAAATCAGGGATTTGGCAAAGATGTCTTTGTCTATAACCATAAGTGCAGTTTTCCAGATAACTAAATGCAAACCCCCAGCCACTGATTTTAATATCATTACTATCAATAGCTGATTTTACCAATTGTGAACTTGTTAACCCGTTATGAACAAATCCCAACTCATGCACAACAGCCAATGTTTCCACTACTTTGATAAAATCGGATAAAATTTCAATCACTTTTAAGGATGTTTTAGGGTTACTGCAAACAAACTTGGAAAGTCTTCTGAAAAGCAGATCATTGGTGCCTGAGTTACCTGTAGTCATGAAATCAGCACCATCAGTAGTTGGAGTCAAAATAGAGCTGCTGCTTCCAATTGATTTTCTTCGTGATCCATTTGATGAGAACGATCCTTGTCTGTGGCTCAGTTGATCGGGTGGTGCATCAGAACTAATTTCTTTGAATGTTCTATATTCGTTATCTTTGTAAACAATGGCAAATCTTTTTTGAGTTTGGCATTCAGAAGGATGTTTCAATTGATGATCATCATCGATTACAGTGAAACTCAATACTTCATTGGGATATAAGACACCTGGAAGATCTATCGGTAACGTCGAACGAATTTTAGCAGCATCTTTGTCAAGTACCGGTACATCTATTTCAGGAGTATATTTGTTAGTCAATGTTTCATTGGACCATATTCGGTGTTTATGAACTATATTCTGACCAGAAAGAAGATACCATTCGTTCAAGAATCGAGAAAGTGACATATTCTTGTTGATGTTAGGTGATAGTCTAATCAAAACATGGGTGTTGATATCTATTGCTCCACGTTTAGGACACACTATTTTACAGGAATTAATTGATGGGTCGGCTGATTTCTTAACACCATTATACATTAGATTTGTTTGGACAGTAGTGGTTCCAAATCTTTTCAACAAGGAAAATCCGGGTATTGAGTCGGGCATAAGATTGGCAGAATCTAAGCTTAAATCACCTGTTGGCAGTAGGTTTTTGGGGGAGATGTTACTATTGAGATTTTGACTTAGATATTCCAAATGGCTTCTCATATAATTGATATTATTCAAATATGAAGAATTTCCTAATGAGACATTATCACTTGTATCCAGGGACATTGAAGTAGATGTTTCGTCAACAGACTTGTTTGACGCCAATGAAGAACGTTCTTCCATCAAGTTGGCCATACTTTGATGGATATTTATTGACAGTTCCAGAGTTTCATCACCTGCCCTAGTAGTTATGGTATGATCAAATGAGTATTCATTCAACGCAAACTCCGTAATAGGTGTCACGTCTATTTCTTTGGAAGATGTCGGTGTATCAAGACTTAAAGCAGAAGGTGGTTGCGATGAATCGGTGCTAGTGGCAGATATTGGGATGTTTAATTTTGTAGGCCTAGCTGGCATATTCTTTTTCGGATTATTGGGAGTGAATGAAAAGCCGTTTTTAAGTGTATCTCTGCCACTCCTAGGTATTGAAGGAAATACTTCGTCTTTAGACGGAGTTGTACTAGTATCATGAGGATCGATTCGTGTAGGCGACGGTACTGTCTCTTCATTCAGAAAATTCATTGCAAATGATGTGGGATAATCCTTTAATCTAACTAACCTTGAAAGGGCGGGAGCAAATCGTTGTTAACGAGATCAATCAATAGTGATTATATAAAGGTGATAATGAAGTTCAAACTAATACAACAAATTAAAGATATTGACCCCAGACAGTAATAAAACAAGGATTCTTTGATGATAAAAGGGAGATGACTGGTAAAATAAAGAAATATTGAAAATGATGATAAGTAAGAATATGTGATATTGACTTGTCGCCAAAATAGAAAAAAATAAAATAAAATATTGAAGTTGGTTTGCTTATCCTACAAAAAAAAAAAAAAGAATGCCATTAGAGAGTGAGTGAATTTTTCTTTTTCATTTGCTCTTTGTAACAAATTATCCACATAATTACCGATATACGTCAAGCACAAAATAAGAGAAAGAAAGAAAAGAGAAATTATTAATGGCAACTGAGTCCTATCGCCTGTTGAAAGGGGTTAACCAATATATATGTGTGTTCGACCCTTGAATACTACCTGGTGTTGATTGATCAATGCTCCTTGATTTTTCCCCAGTCATGAGGCTAAATTATTATAACTTGATTAAAATAAATAAATCCGGGAGACAAGGGAAAAAAAATTGTCGCAACCAATTTGAATTCTTTTTTTTTTTTTACAGCACAAAAAAAGAAAAAGAGACAAACAGAATTTAGTCAAAGACCCGTAATTAACTTTCTTGGTTTGTCCTTGTCGTTGTTTGTCACTTCACGCCCCGCCCACCCAACACAATATTTTGTTTTTTGGTTATTTTTGTTCACACACAACCCACACTATACAAAACAATGATTAACTAATCACAGGGATTCCCGCCTTGGTTGCCATTTCTCCTTGATTGTTATTATTCTGAAATCAGTACGTCAAGATGGTACTCTACTCTACCACCTAAATGCAACTAATCAATCTATTATAGATGAGACAATAGTTTAATTATGGTGTGCTCATTCACAATGCCACCACGCGTAATGGCCATCCGCTCATGGTTCTAGCCTTCCACCATTACAAATTTTTTATTAATTATATATACAGAATACTCTTGTCGCCTTATTTTTTTTTTCTCTCTCTCTCTTTTTGTTCTAACGCACAGCATTGATTGTTGTTGCTGACGATGGTCGTAACTCGTATCAGATTTGATTATTCGGAAGTAATGACGACTTACGGTGATGCTTTTGAACGGCTAAGATGAATTGAAAGTCAAAATTAGATTGATGGATGTCATCCTCGGGCTGCAATTTCTCCTCTCTCTCCTATCTCCTATCTCCCCTCTCTCTCTGTATTGATTTAAGCTTTTGTATTTTATTGATTGTAAAGAAAGGTAAATTCAAAATTATACAAGTAATATTGACCCGCCTTGGAGGAATCCACCACGCCTTTCTTTCAATTATTTTTTTATGTTTGCTATTGATGGACCAAAATGATTTTTTCACGCCAAAAATATCCACGTGACTGGTTGTAAAATTATTCAACTTAATGAAACTATAATTTATTTAACTCGGTCAGGGATGAAACAAGACACTATCAAAGACGACAAAATTCGGATTATATTGAAATTCATAATTAAGAAATCCATTAATTGAACTCCTTTTGAGATTGACCATGTTTGAATGGTTTGAATAGTATTACCATCAAAACTGTATTTAATTAATCCCAAACTTGAAACAAAAGCTATTGATATATACCATATTGAACATTCTAGGGATTTGCGACAGCTACTTTTTGATACTAACCTTTTATTTTGAAACTCTTCATAAGCAACCCAAATATGAAATGCAGAATAAAGACCATGATATATAGAACTCCATAAAAGGTATGCTTCAATTAAATTAAAATCTTTTCCCATCTGGGTTGTATATTATCAAAAATGTTGTTTAATAAAGGATGTTTTTCAATTTGATTGAACTGGCTAAGTGAAATTTACTCCAATTTATAAACAAAATTTTTATGAAAATATATCCATTCTGAAGAAATGTAAAACCTAAATAGAATAATTCTTATGGTTATACTGTATCAGCAGGTTGAGATAGACCATATAAATAACACCTTAAAGTATGTTCATTAAAAGAAAACTTAAGAACCTATAAAATCATCAACAATATCAAAGAACAAACCATATTCTCAATACCAAAATTAAACTATTGGTTTGCATCATGAATTCTATTTAAAAGCATAATTAATTTGACTCTTTGTTTTTCCCAATACCCATCAAGTAAGAAATTAGCCTGATCAAAATGATAAAGTGCCCAAATAGCAGACATTTTAAACCCATCTGAATATATACAATCAGATAATTCATTTTTGGAACTCCTGTTGATACAATTGATTTACCATTTTATTTTAATAGTATACATTCTTTAAAATTTCAAATTCATTATTTAAAGGTAATGAAAACTTTAAAGATTTTCTATATCTAATTGAATATTAAGTAAAATTTCATTTATTCTTTCAAGTGGATCTTCAATTGAATTTCCTGGTAATTTTCTTGGTCAATATCAAATTGATTAGTTGAAAAAATCTAAACTGTCTTTAGAAGCTTGTACTTTTTTATTTCTATAGCAAATGTAAAAAGTTCGAGTTGGATTTTTATAAGAATATGATTGACATATGTTCACAGATGTATAAATTTGTGATATCACATAAGATTTTATCTCTCAGGAATAGCTCTTTTATTTCATTTAATTTCCAATATGAAATATACTTGAAAATATGTTCAATGAACTCAGTTGGTAAATTGATGATTTTCATGGTTTTTAAATTAGGAATAAAGATATGTTAAATAAAGGAAAACAGAAGAAATGATTGAAATTCAATAAAAAAAATGCAAACTTGTGTTTGAATTGAAATATAATAATGTATTTGAGGAATTTCATTAATTCTACTAAAACTACTACTTCATCTTACTGAATTCAGTTTAAATCACAAGTAAACGATAATCAAATAATGTTTATTATATATTCTCTCTAATTTCCTGCAATTTGTTGATTCTACTTAACGATTAATAAGCCACTTGTTTTTCTGAAAAAGCAATGGGTCCCCCCTTGCATAAGATGAGAAATAATAATCTTTCAGGGGGAAAATACGTAAATAATCCGTGTATGATTTTATATTTCCTTAGATAGTACAAAATTCACCTCATGAATTCAAAGAGAAATGAATACCTTTGTATATATTAGAACTTCATTTGGTTATATATAGCTGATATTTCCTTCAGTAATTATTACCAGTCAATTTTGATTTATTTTAGTTTATCATATGTGGAATAAACACCCAATCTCGAGCAAAAACCAATAAATATGATCATAATGTATTATATATCAATTGACGTCGTTTACTACCGCTAGATTTTGTTCATGCTGTCAAATGTAAGCCGTTGCCAATACTATCCTCCTCGTCTACTACAAGGATACATCGGACTTGTAACAAATCTCCTAATGATTGCTTATTTAAGCGATTCAACAGAAGTGAGGAGAAAATTCTAATAATACTTTATCTATAACTAATTAAATTCATTTATTATATTATAATTAATATGTAATTATTGGGTACACGTGACATGTGGGGTAGTGAAAGCAAAAAAAAGGTATGGGATTTAGAAAGAAAGAAAGAAAAAAAATTGACACGTCTTCTTCTTATAACCACAAACCTATAATTTTCACAATTTGGGTTTACTAAACAGAATATCACAATTAAGGTCTCTATCTAACAGAAAACCAATTAAATGAAAATTTTCCATTTAGATTTTATTGATTGTTTTTATCATTGTTCTTGTTAAGAAATCTAATCTTTCTTTGATTTCTTTCCCTTTTTGTAAGTATTGTAGTAGAATGCAATGAATAAAACCAAATAACTGGACAAGATGGAACAACCAACAATGGCAGCTCTTTCGGTACCATGACAATCTCTTAAAAGACCAAAATATTTGTAGGCGTAATAAGTAGTAGTGGCGTAATAAACAACATATAAATCAATGACGAATTGAATAATTTGGAATCTAGTAACCCATTCTTTCCACCAAACTCTAATACCTCTAGCAGCTAAGAAATAGTACCAGTACATAACAACATGAACACCCAAATTCAAAGTAATTGGAACCCATTGAACAGAAGTGTAACCAACTAATTGAGTGTAACATAACAAAGCAGTAGCACCATGATGGTAAGTATGTAAGAATGTTAATTTCTTTTGTCTAAGAACCAAGAAAACAGTATCAATCAATTCAATAAATTTAGTAATATAATTCAAATAATATAAAACAACCAATTTTTGAGTATAAGCTTGTGGAGAACAAACAGAATAATGAGGACCACCATGAGCAAAAATTGGAATGATTTGTTCCAAGATTAATAATAATAAAGTTAATGATAAAGTAGTTAAAAATAAATTATGAATTTGAAAAATTCCATTTAATTTAATAACTGGTAAATTCAAAGCTCTAATAACGGCTCTACCACCAAAAATAACAGTGTAATAAATAGCAATAATGGCTGCTGCTTCACGGAAAGTAGATAATGGGGTAACACCATTAACAAATTCAAATTCAGATGGAATGAAACGATTATTGGAGATTTTTGAAACAACATAATCGAAAATCGGCCATAATTGGATACCGAAAGGAGTTTCCAAACTTGGAATTGGTAAAGCCATGATGAACAATATATGTATATATAAGAAGATGTAAAGAGTTTACTTTCTATCGAATAAAAAACTGAAAAACCAAAAAGAAAGAAAAAAAGAAATGAAAACAAGTTTGGTTTTGGTTTTTTTTTCGTTCTATGGAATGTGTTGATTTTTTTTCTTCTTCTTCTTCTTCTTTCAAGTAGTGTGTACATACACAAAGTTGTAAGTAAGTAAGAGAGAGCAAAAGAAAAATTTTCTTTTTCTGCTTTCGTTAGGTGACATAATTGTTTGATCAGAATTACGCGAACGACAACAACATTGATATGTAGATCTCATATTAATATCAGCTACGCGAATGATAAATACTTCTGTCAGAAGTACGATTGTTATTTTAGGTTACATCAAACATGGAGCTCTTTCTCTTTTGTTCCCGTACCGAGTTGACTTTTTATAAACACATGAAATTGCCATTAATATCCGGCGATCCACGTAATCTCCGAACTATTACCACTATTCAATAATGTATGCTAAATCAAACTATGATCCTAAACTATCAATTACAAACTATTATCACTACGTGTAATTTTATGTAGGTGAGATAAATCATCTTCAGATCTATATTATCAAGATCTTGTACAACAGGTACAATACATTTAAAGTTACTCACAAAACATTATTTACTTACTTTTTGCTCTCATTTTTTTTATTAATTAATTCTTTATGATGTCAAGTGGATCGAGAGGTGGTGAGTGGAGAGGGGGAAGGGGATAATTGAATTGAACTTATCACCACTTTCCAGAGGTTCCGAAATAGGGGGGTATAACTAGTGAATACCAGCTATAAAAGAAAAAAAAAATCTCGGCCTGGTTGTGGTTACCATTGTTGTATGTATTTACATATATTATCTTGAACAATTTTTTTTTTCATTCATAGATGATTCCCATTTCTGTAGATATTACAACCATACTTTTGAGTCAAAATTACGACTCATTTCCAACAAATAAGCCCAATTCTTAATTTTTCTTTTTTTTTGGCTTTTTTACTTGTTCTTTGGGTTTCCCTTTTGGGGATTATTTTTCACGCCGCACACAATCGGACAAATATTTCACATGAAAAAATAAAAATCATTAATGAAAGAAAAAAAAATATACATATAAATATAAATATATACGAAGTTGAAGTAAACTATTTTAAGAAATCTATAGAGATTATAATATCATACCCTTTTTCTTCACAAGCAAACATAGCCGCATGTTCATTTGAATGTAAAAATCTGATATTTTCCCCAGCCAAAGCTCTCAATAAATTAGTAGTGTGTAAATCTCTAATTTCAATAAAACTTTCATCAAAACTAAGTAAATATGGGAAAAATATGGCAACATTTTGTGGATTACCTTCCCAGAAAATACCCCAATCATGATTGGTTCTCCATCCATTTCTGTTAATTAAAAATACAAATTCAGAATAACACAACAAGAAATCACGTCCCAATCTATGAATAGCCAATGGTGTCACAGTTTCTCTTTGAGTAGCAAAATCTAACGATGGATCTGCTTCATCCAAAATAGATTCTTTGGTACCTGTTTGTGCTGACAAAATTTCAAATCCTTTAGCACATCCAACACACAACTTGGTTTTCAAAAATGAAATAGAAATTGGATCCGAACTGAAATAAACTTCTTGGATTTCAGTCTTTTTGTTTTTATTTTTATTACTCTTATCAAATGGATTGGTTGGTTCAAGAATACAAATAGAATGTTGACTTCCTGTTTTGGCACCAATAACCAATAATTTCCCGTCACATACACCAACTTTGAAAAAAGAAATGTGAGTCATGAGTAATTTTCCTGATTTGGTATTTTTAACATGATCTAAGGAATCTGTACATGATAAATCATATTCATATAAATATTTATCTGTTAAAACCAACAATTTGGAATATTCAACAATGACTTCAATCTGACTTACATAAGTTTTGGAAATAACCATTGTTGGATCACTACAAATCTTTTCATTTGATGTAGCACTAATTGAACGAACTGTACTGACCCAGACACCAGAATCAGTACCATACAACAATTTCTTACCACCATAACATGGAACAGCACAATTGATCTTGTTGTTACCAGTAAATCTTCGGGTTTCAAATTTACTCAATGAAAAAATATCATTGGTTTCAATCAATTTCTTTTGTTGAGCAGAAATTTGCAGCAATACTTGGTTTTGAATAGCCAAATCTTCAGCAAATAATGATGCATGTACTTGATTGCTACCCAAACCAAAGAAATTCAATTGGAATTTGGAATTAGATGAAGAATTCAATGTATTACCAATATAGTTGGTACTTTCGGGTTTTTGTGGTTTGATACTTGTATCGGAAACTAATGACATATTGTTTCTATATGGCATAATGGTTCTACTAGTAGGCACTTCCATACCACTGTTCACAAACAACAATGGCAAATACATTGGTTTCTCAAAAACCTTGTGTTGTTCACGTTTGTTCTGAATCTTATGTTTAACCAACAACAATGCATGTTCAAACAAATATAAATCAATCTTTTCATTATCTCTTTTCCTGTTCAATGTAACTTGATAAATAATTCTATTGTTGTAAGATAACTTGAAATTAAATCTATTCTCCAAAGTTTGTTTACCCAATAATCTATGCAAAACCATAACTTTATGTCTATCGGTACATTCACCAGTTTGGATATTAATCTTGACCAACAATTTCTCAATTTCCTCTTTAGCTTTAGTCAAATACTTGTAATCTGGGGATTCTGGTTTAGTATGTTTAAGAATACCTGAAAGTAACAATTGGTATCTAGCAGGTCTTTGGACACCTTTAATCAAAAACGATGACAAATCTTGTCTTCTAGATTCAGGTTTCTTTTCAATTGCATCTAAAAACCTGGCATATTTCATGTTAACTTGTTGTTGTCTTTCATGTTCAAATGTCGCAAAAACTTTATTACCAGAATATGTGATAAATGGATCAAAATCTCCAACATAATCCAAAAACACATCACCAATGGTTTCCACTACAGGTTTTTGTTGTTGTTGTCTTCTAGTCAATGCTTCACTTAAACGCTTGGCTAATCTTAACAAATCTGGAACACCACCAAACACAGTCTGAATAAAAGTTTCCCGTTGATATTCTGGGATGATATTGTTTGCCGGGTTTCGTAACGGCATGATATAAAAATCAGTCATAAACTCTAAGTCTTTCACATAATCTCTTTCTGTATACACAAATTCGTAAATCAACTCCTGTCTAGTTTTTTCGTGTTTATCTAACTTGTCTAAAACGGATTGTGGAACAGTCTTGTGCCATAATGTTTCACTTTCTTCTTGATCGTGTAAAGATAATCTGGACACAGCACGTTGTAATCCACCTTGTGGTTTCAAATTCAATCTAGCTTGTTGTTCTAATCTTCTTGGACAGGCTATACTATAACAAAGCCTATTCCTACTACATGTAGGAGAATAACATTCTGTCAAAATAGTGAACACCCCATTCACTCCAGTTTGTTGACTTGCAGTCAACTCTTTGCCAGCCACAACCGCTGATGAACCATTACCAGAAATACCAACACCACTGGCAATTCTGCTCAATGACCCATTGCTTTGAGAATTGTTGTGTTCCAATGCCGGTTTGCTAATATGCGAAGGCAATTGCTCTTGTAAAATATGATCATTCAAAGCATTTTGCAACAGTGAACTGTCAACAAATGATCCATGTTTGGAATTGAGTGCACTGTTATTACCATTAGTCTGTGTTCCATTACCATCGTCATGGAAAAAATCAACATCATTATACACATGATTGAATGCATAAACTTCATGAACTGAATCTCTTAATCTATGGTTATATGTCACGTCGTGGAAAAACTTTTGTGCATCTAAAGATCTACCCAACAACAAAGCTAAATTACGATCATTGGTTCTAATAATACGACACAAAATATCAACAGCCATTTTCCCTGTAAATGTATCATGATATTCCAACCCATCTTTAGTGTTAATTGTCAAAATGATTGCTTCTTTGAAAAGCTTGGCCACTTCAGATAAAATAGCTGGATAAACAGAAGGTTTAGGAGGGTGATGGTGATGATGATGACCATGAGGATGATTAGAGCCATATGTTTTAATTGTACTACTAGTTTGGTGACGGTCTAATTTGTTGGTATTAACTGATGATGTTGATCCAAACTTTTTTGTTGACAATGAGGACAATTTACTAATGGAAGTGAATGAACGAGATTTTGAACCTAACGAAAAAGTATGATGAAGCGAACTACTTGAAGCACTTCTGCTGCTAGGCTCTCTTACAGGCAGATCAAAGTTTGGTGGTTGTGTTAGTTGATCTTGTTGTTGTTGTTGTTGCTGTTGTTGATTTTTGAATGACATTGAAGTCAATGATTGAGTTCGTGCTTCAAGAGGAACCGGCGTTGGGAAATTTTGTTGATGATTTGGGGTTGACACAATTCTTCTTGCATCTGGGCTGTTGTATACCTGGTCATTTTGAATTGGTGGTAAATTACTTGAAGGTGCCTTACGAAGTTGACGGCGTTGTTGAGGGTATGGAGCTTGTGGTTGTTGTGGGTCCAAAGAATGTGATTGCGGTGGTCCATTCAATCCATTGTTAATCGGGTAGGGTGGTTGTGGATGTTGTTGTGATGATTGCTGAGGAGGTCCTTGTTGATGGTGTGAATAACTTCTGTCATACGTCAAAGAAGAAGCTGATCTATTCTTAGACGGATATTGACCCTGATTTAATCCAGCTAAATCATTTTGTCTTTGAGCCACATACGGTTGTTGGAGTCCGCTCTGGGGAGAGGTCATCACTGCTGGTTGACTGAATGCCCTTTTTGGAGACAGTGGATATTGTTGTTCTGTTGAACTTGAACCACTAATTCCTTGGAATTGAATTGGGTTAGCAAGAGAAGGGGACCCTGGATCCATTGTCTTTTGAGAGCCCAATGGGTTTGCTGAATAACTTGTAAAAGATTGAGATCTTTGTTGTGCGTTGGGGTAATGTTGCTGTTGCGGAGGGTGAGGTCTCGATTGAGAAGGAAAACTGTATTGTTGAGGGTGTTGATTAAGATGTGGTTGTGAATAGTGTTGTTGCGGTGATGGTTGCTGTTGCTGCTGTTGTTGCTGCTGATTCATAAAAGCTTGTGGCAATAAATGCTCAGGAACATTCATAGCTTGATGATTTTGTTGGGGCACGGCAGAATGTTGTTGATGATTCATATGGTTAAAATTGTTGCCATTGGTATTATTATTCCTTGCATTATAGGGAGGAATATTAGCAGAAGACGACATGTTTTCTTAAAAAAAAAAAAACGAAAATAAAAAAAAGGAATTGTAATGAAAGTTTGACTTTTCTTTCAAATAACGATGATGGGTTGTGGTGATAATGATTGGATTATTGTCAAATTACTGTAATTAATAATTTGAATTTAGTAAGGGAAGAAGAAGAAAAAAAAATGCTTCAATCGTGAACTTAACCTCAGGTGAAACTAAATTTTTTTGAGGGACCTGTAGTTTTTTTTTATTCAAGATGGTTTTCCCCTTCTCTCTCTGTGTGTGTGTATGTATTTCTTGGTTATTTAAATCGTCCACAGTCGATTCAACTAATAATAATAATGTAGAAATAAAAAAAAAAACTGGTGTTGTTTATAAATTATTATTCTTGTATGGATAGGTTGATTCAGGTTCAGTTTTTTTTTTTTCTCTCTCTCTCTCTCGTTATTATGAAAAGTGTTGTTGTTGTTCAAATCTTTTTTTCTTTTTTTTTTTCTTTGCTTATTTTAGTGCAAGAGAGTGAGAGAGAGTGTGTGTGTGTGTGGGTGTGGGTGTGTAAAAACAATAAATACGGAAATGGGAAGAAAAATAAAAATTCGAATCGCCCATACCACTTTTACTCTAGCAATATCACGTCGGATTGATTATTGTTATTTATATAAAAGGCGTAACTGGAACTTAATTTACATGGTTATTTTAACAAACTCAATTGGTTTGTAAATAATTACTGACGTTCCATATCAACCTAAATCAATTGTGTCACCATTCGACCACCATATATTGACTAGAAAAAAAAAAAAGTTGAAGAATGTAATCACAATTCTGTGCAAGATGAAAATAGAAAGACCCTTCTCGTACCAATTCTGGTTTTACGGTGCTCCTTAACAACTACACTTTCCTATTTCCTTATTAAAATTTCAAAATTCTTGCTTGTAAATCGATTAAGAAATTGGAACAAATTGATTAAATGTCATCACCCCCGCTTTATCTTTTCTCTTAGTTTTTTTTTTTTTTTTGTATAGCCTTCTTATGTGACCAATGTTCCCACTACAAATTACTGCTAAAAATAATTAACAAGTGAAAGAAAAAAATAAAAAAAAAATGCAAAAGCTCCAAGTTTAATAATTCAGGCGGTATTTATCTAAGCAATGGTTTCTTTTTCTTTTCTTTTTGCAAAAACACCCACAACTCGACTTTCCTCGACTATTTGGATAATCTTAGTCACCACATTAGCTAATTCAAATGTGATGGTAGTTTAAAAAAAAAATTCCGACTAATTGGTTTATATTATTTTCAGTGAGTTTTGATTTTGTTATACTTCTCCAAGGTACACGTCCTGTCTGGAAACCAAGGTGGCACGGCCTGACGAGGCAAAAAAAAAGGAAGTCATGAAAAACTATGTAAATTTATCGTGAAACATTCTCAGAAATTTCCATTCTCCAAAAAGTAAAACAGAAAACAAGTTTAGGTTGTAAACAAATCAAAAAAAAAAAATTCAGGAGGATAAGAAAGATGAATTTTCACTGGTGAATTGATGTACATTAATAAAAGACCAGTTAGTTCTTAACACTTCTTTGAATAGATCTTGACGGTAAATTTGAATTTCAATCGTCTCGTAGAAATGGCGTCAAATTGTTTTTTTTTTACAACCATAAATTTGTCGCGTTTGAGGCGTAACTATGAATAAACCAAATTCAATCTTTACCTGCTTCTAATGGATTGATTGAAAATACTCAACCATTGAACCCTGTACAACCACAGGTATATCAATAATCGAATGGCATGTTTTGGTGTGTTATTTTGTTATAGCAATGTTCTAGACTGACAAGATACAATAACGCAACATTTTGTTCTCTGGTGTTTCAAAGAATTTTAGCAACCAAAAGACGACAAAAGTAAATGACAAGGAAGTTCTTTTAAACCAGTACTATCACTGCAAATACCACTGACCAATCGTTGATGGATAATCCTTACAACATCTACCATATACCGCATTGCTATTCATTCTAAAGTTCCATTTCAATGAAATTCCTTTCATTTTTTTTAATTTTAAGAAGGTATGCACAATGTTTCAATTGGATCATACAAAGCCAAATCAAAATCAAAAATAGGCAAAAGTGAAAACATTGACAGAAAGCCAAACAACAGCACCAGAAAAAAAAAAGAAAAAAAAAAAAATCAAAGATCAAAGTCAAATTTACTGTAAGCGGGATTTTAAATTCATTTCTTTTTTTTGGCTTGTCGCTCTTTTTCCTTTTTTTGCTTATTATTGGCTTGCTTTTTTGTTTGTTTCTTTTCTACTCCGAAAAATCTATTCCCTAAAAGTTTTCACATTTTACTAATTACAAATTAGATTATTCCTTCCATCTATTCTTCTTCTTGTTGAAATTTTGATTCTTGATCTGGTCTTATTCAAGATTATATTACTACTTCCCACTAGACTACAATAGTTTATCAGCTCTTGCTACGTAATCACCAGATCATTTAATTAGATATTACATTATGCCATCCATTGATCCTGAAAGAGGGGCATCCACAGTTTCCTCATCTATTAGTTTGGTCAAGACCATTATCGGTGCCGGTTTACTTTCCATGCCATTGGCCTATTCTACAGATGGGATCATATTTGGTACATTTATCATTTTACTCGCAGCAGCTACTTCTGGATATGGACTTTTCTTACAATGTTATGTCAGTAGATACGTACCGCCACAACACGCCACATTTTTTAACTTGTGTTCAATAACTTATCCTCATTTATCAGTAGTGTTTGATTTAGCTATTGCTGTTCAATGCTTTGGTTGTGCTATTTCATATCTTGTTTTGATCCGTGACTTGATGCCAACCATCATACCATATGTCCCATACATTGACGAATCGCATTACAAAACATTCTGGTTGATTGTGTCCACATTATTGACTGTTCCCTTGTCATTCTTGAAAAATTTGGATTCATTGAAATATACCTCGATCTTGGCTCTTGTTGCTATTTTCTACATGGCCTTGTTGGTTGTTAGTCATTACTTTGTCGGTGATATTGAAAGAAAAGGTGAAATCACCCTTTTCCCAACTAGTGCCACTGGAGTATTTAGTACATTTTCCATCATTGTATTTGCATTCACTGGTCATCAAAATATGTTTTCAATTATTAATGAAGCAAGAGATAAGTCATTAACTAGTCTTACAAAATTGGTCAATTTCGCTATCCTTGTATCAAGTTTGTTATTTATAGTAGTTGGTTTATCAGGTTATTTGACTTTTGGTCAAGATGTTGATGGTAATGTTATCTTACTGTATCCAAATGGAATCACCACTACCATTGGTAGATTTGCCATTGTTTTCATGGTTACATTTTCCTTCCCATTAATGATTCATCCTGCCAGAATTTCAGTTAATAATATCTATTATTGGATCAGAATGAATGTCTTAGAAAAAGAAGAACAAGTTGATGAAAATTCAGCTTTGTTATTGAACCAAAACGAATCTGTTGGTGAAGACACAGAACAAGGTAAAACTAGTTTATCTCATGTGGTCCCTTTCCCACACATAAACTTTGTTATTGTGACAACTGTTTTATTGATTGTTGGTTACATATTGGCAATCGCTCTTAAATCATTTGCTTTGGTCTTGGCCGTTGTTGGCGCCACCGGTTCAACTGCGATTTCTTTTATTTTACCTGGTTTGTTTGGGTATAAATTGATTGGATCCGAACTGGATGATCCATCTATTTTAGAAGTTATTTTCAAGAACTTATCTTTGTGTTTGACCCTCTGGGGTGTGATAGTGATGTTTGTTTGCTTGTATAGTAGTTTGGCTTTATAGAGACAATAACGATTATTTATGATTTTATTTTTCAAATACCAATTCAAATAGACATTAAACATCTTTCATATTTGTAATACACACTTGCCGGATGACACAGTTCAAGGGGGAAGAATTGTCGTTATATAGTCGTGTACCTATGTCATTTCTTTAATAGGGTAGTATTTTTTTCCCCTTTTTTTTTTCTTTCTAAGTTCTTAGGATCTTCACCTACGTAATTTGATTTTAATATATAAGTGACCAACACTTAGAACAACACGATCAAGTTATCCTTTTAGAACGATCAATCAATTCCATTATGTCTTGTGAAGACGAACATTATCACGGACATTCCCATAATCACAATCATAACCATGATGATAACGATCATATTGCCCCAATTCCCACATCATCTTCACAATCATTAAATTCCAAAATTGACACCACTAAAGTTACGGCATTAAATCTTGCAAACCCCAGTGATGAACTTGCCAAATTATTCAAAGATTCAAATACGAAATATCAAGTTAAACCAGTGATTAAATCTGATTGTGATGAACAATTGATTATAAATATACCATTTCTTAACGGTAGTGTGAAATTATATTCTATTATTTTACGTACTAATGGGGATATATATTGTCCTAGAACAATTAAACTTTTTAAAAATGATAAAACTATTGATTTTGATAATGTTGATCAAAAGAAACCAGTTCAGGTGATAACACATCCACAAATTGGGGTAGCTAATGATGATGATTTACCAGAAATTTTGCAATCAGATGATGATTTCGTGGAACATTTTGTGTCGAGACATAAATTTACAGGAGTACAGACTTTAACTTTGTTTATTGAGAATATCTATGATGAAGGTGAAGAAGAATGTCATTTACATTCAATTGAATTAAGAGGTGAATTTACTGAATTGAATAAAGATCCAATAATTACATTATATGAACTGGCTGCTAATCCTGCCGATCATAAGAATATAACCGTTGTAGAACAACACTTGGCTTAATAGTGTGGTGTGTGTAGATAATACAAATTACATACTGTTCCTTGTTGAAGGAACATAAATACAGGAAAATCATATTATTGAATAACGAATATTAAATCAATTGCATGCCCCCCCAAAAAAAATACCACACTTCTGTTGACCCAAAATGAAATGGTTCTCTTTAAAGTAAAATGTGTGGGATTATGTGTGGGTGAGTCTGGTGGTGGTGCGAGAGAGTTACAGGAGTGAAAAAAAAAAAAAAAGGAAAATGGCACATTGTAATCCGACTGTGGAATACTAACGACGACAGGTGATTCCCCTTTTGTTAAGAAAAAGAGAAAGATTTGTGAGACAACCCTCACTCACTCACTCAGTCAACCGTACACACACACACACCACGCATATGCTTTGTGCAACCAATGTGTCCCGGTGTAAGAAAACAAAAAAAAAGTGGACATATGGAACTTAACTCAATCACCAGGTAAATGAAAAAAAAAAAAAAAAAAATTATATAAATGTGGAATCAATTGTCCTCCGGAACGAAAAAAAATTTTACTTAGTTTTAGATTTCTTCTTCTTTTTGTTTTATCCAATTTAATATCATTAAATCAATTGTACAATAATGCCAAAGTTAGTTTTAGTTAGACACGGTCAATCCGAATGGAATGAAAAGAACTTGTTTACCGGTTGGGTTGATGTTAGATTATCCGAAACTGGTGAAAAAGAAGCCAAGAGAGCCGGTGAATTGATCAAAGAAGCTGGTATCAACGTTGACGTTTTACACACTTCTAAATTGTCAAGAGCTATTCAAACCGCTAACATTGCTTTGAGTTCTGCTGATCAATTGTACGTCCCAGTCAAGAGATCCTGGAGATTGAACGAAAGACACTACGGTGCTTTGCAAGGTAAAGACAAGGCTCAAACTTTGGAAACCTACGGTAAAGAAAAATTCCAAATCTGGAGAAGATCTTTTGATGTTCCACCTCCAGATATTGATCCAAAAGATGAATACTCTCAAGTTGGTGACAGAAGATACAACAACATTGACCCAGCTGTTGTTCCATTGGCTGAATCTTTGGCTTTGGTCATTGACAGATTATTGCCATACTGGCAAGACGAAGTCGCTGGTGACTTGTTGGCCGGTAAAACCGTTATGATTGCTGCTCACGGTAACTCCTTGAGAGCTTTGGTTAAACACTTGGACAACATCTCCGATGAAGATATTGCTGGTTTGAACATCCCAACTGGTATCCCATTGGTTTACGAATTGGACGAAAACTTGAAACCAACCAAGGAAGCTTACTACTTGGACCCAGAAGCTGCTGCTGCCGGTGCCGCTGCTGTTGCCGCTCAAGGTCAAAAGAAATAAGTAATCTAAGTACAATTTAATTCAATAGAAGTACGATTTTTTTTTTTATGAATCTGTTTTGAATCATGTAGAAAACCGAATGATAATTGATCTGAGTAATAAAACCACAATTGATAATAGAGAAGCCGTACTGTAATGTTGTAAATCGCAAAATATCCTCTTACAATGAAAATTGAATAGATTGAAGGAGCAGAAAAAAAAATTGTGAGGTTTGAAACAAATCGTGAGGAAAAAAAAAAAAAAAAAGAAAAACATTACAAGAGAACATCATCGACCTTTGTCAAACATCAACATTAATTGAACCATCAACGAAAGATCAATCGTTTAATTCATCAATTCCATTTCCTATATCTTGAATTGTTTGAATATAATTGTTTAATTAAAACACATCACTAATGTTTGGAAGTAATAATAACAACAATAACCAATCCAACGCATTTAGTGGATTTGGAAGTACCAATAATAATTCAACTGGTCAACAATCAAGTGGATTTACATTTGGTGCTGCTAAACCAGCTGGAACAGGTGCTTTTGGAAGCAGTACTGGTGCCTTTGGAAGCAATACTAACACTGGTAGTGCCTTTGGTGCAAGTAATAACACTGGTGGTGCCTTTGGTGCAAGTAATAACACAACTAGTGGTTTCGGAGCTAGTAACACTGGTACTCTGACACCTGCTTTTGGAAGTTCTACATCCACCAATCCAACCAGTGCCTTTGGTAGTACATCGACAAATGTTTTTGGAAACAATTCCTCAAATACTAATGCAACTTCAGCATTTGGCTCTACTGCTACTGCACCAGCAAATACAAGTTCACCATTTGGAAAGCCATCAACTACTGAAAACAAACCAGCTGCATTTGGAACTTCCTCTACTACAACATCTGCTCCAGCTACTGGTGGATTATTTGGTTCAAGTACTACTACTTCACAACCATCATTTGGTGGATTTGGAGCAGCAGCAAAGAAGGATGATTCAACTACAGCAAATGCTCCTGCTGCAGGTGGGTTATTTGGTGCTAAACCAGCTACAACAAATACCTCAACTTCTGCTTTTTCATTAGGTGCTCCTGCTGCTACTACTTCTTCTGCCCCAGCTCCTGCTGCATCTGGTGGTTTGTTTGGTGCAAGTAAAGATGCTTCTCCTGCTCCAACTGGAGGATTATTTGGTGCAAAAAAAGACGATGCCAAACCAACTGTTAGTTTTGGAACTACTTCGGGTACTTCTACTCCTGCCTTTGGTGCATCAACATCGTCTACTGCAACTGCTCCGGCCTCTTCTGGCTTCTCATTTGGTGCTAAGAAAGACGATGCTAAGCCAGCTGCAAGCGGATTTTCTTTTGGTGCTAAAAAGGACGATGACAAACCAGCTACTGGTGGTTTGTTTGGTGCTAAAAAGGATGATAATAAGCCGGCTGCAAGTGGATTTTCTTTTGGTGCTAAGAAAGACGATGACAAACCAGCAGCTAGTGGGTTCTCTTTCGGTGCTAAGAAGGATGATGATGCTAAAGACAAACCAGCTACTGGTGGATTTTCTTTTGGTGCTAAGAAGGATGATGATGCTAAAGACAAACCAGCTACTGGTGGGTTCTCTTTCGGTGCTAAGAAGGATGATGATGCTAAAGACAAACCAGCAGCTAGTGGGTTCTCTTTCGGTGCTAAGAAGGATGATGATGCTAAAGACAAACCAGCTACTGGTGGATTCTCTTTCGGTGCTAAGAAGGATGATGATACTAAAGACAAACCAGCTACTGGTGGATTTTCTTTCGGTGCTAAGAAGGATGATGATACTAAAGACAAACCAGCTACTGGTGGATTTTCTTTTGGTGCTAAGAAGGATGATGATTCTAAAGACAAACCAGCTACTGGTGGGTTCTCTTTCGGTGCTAAGAAGGATGATGATACTAAAGACAAACCAGCTACTGGTGGATTTTCTTTTGGTGCTAAGAAAGATGATGATACTAAAGACAAACCTGCAACTACTGGTGGGTTCTCTTTCGGTGCTAAGAAAGAAGAAGAGAAGAAAGACGATAAAGCTGGCGCTACTACTGGTGCCACAACAGCCACTACAACGACTACTTCGGAAGCTCAACCAAACTTGAAACCAACTAAAATAGAACCAATTGCTGTATCTATTGACAACAAGACATTGGATGATTTAATTGTTAAATGGTCTAAGCAATTGACTACTACAAGCAACATTTTTGATTCATACACAGAAAAAGTCAAAGTTTGGGATGAAAAATTGGTTGAAAGCGGGGATGACATTGTTAAATTGAATCAAGAATCCTTAGAAGCAGAAGCTTTACAAAGTAAGATCAATCAGCAATTACTTTTTGTTGAAAACCAACAAGATGAATTAGAAAAAGTTTTAGATAACTATGAAGCTCAAGCTGAAATTTTATTGAATACTGTTTCATTGAATAATCCAAAGGATACCAGTACAGTGGCAACAGCGGGTACAAGTTCTTCAGTAATTGCTGCTGCTGCTTCATCTTCATCATCATCATTGACTACAACTGATGAATTAAGAGAAAAGGCATTCACTAAAGCTTCACAAGTAGACAACAAATTAAACACACTTCAAAGTGATCTTAATGTTTTGATCAGTGAGATGAATAATGTAAGTGATGTATTTAATGGATTAGCTGCTGGTAAAGCTAGTGAATCTGCTGCTGCTGCCGCCAGTAAATCAGGAGATAAAAACCCAATTGAAGAAATTGTAAAGTTGTTGAATTTGCAATTACAAAACTTACAATACATTGAACAATGTGAAGAAGAATTAGAATCCAAATTAAAGAGCAAACAACAAAAGAAATAAGATTAGTATATTTATGTATAGGTATTAATGGAATTGATTTTTTTATTATTATTATTATTAGCAGTAACATAAATTGTTGAGGTTGTGATATTTTTTTGTTTGCTTTTTTCTTTGCAGCTGGAGTGTAAAAGAAGAAGAAGAAGAACCATGGCTGTGAAATCTCTTTTGGTATATCACATGCGCGCACGCCGCAGACAATTTGTTGGTTGAACCAATCTTTTTTTTTGTACTGTAACTGTAATGTGGAGAATTACAGAGGCACACATAATATTTTCTGTTTTTCTTTTATTACTATATTCAGCAAAATAATCTTTAACAATTTTCGTTAGAATTATATTCTTATCATCAGACAACAGCAAATCTATTTAATTCTTTTTAGTTGTTGTTGTTCTTCTTCTTCTGAATCTACTCCTCGTACTACTACAACCACTAACACACTTTTCCATCATGGCATCACCAATTATTATGATTATTAACATGTTGTTTGATCCTGAAGTATCTAAAAAGATGCTTTTGCAAATGGCATGGTCTCAAGTTAAAGCAATTGGTATTGGTAAAGTCATAGCTGCTTTATTAAGTGCTCTTACAGTTGGAGTATCATCATTTATTAGAATTCCACAAATTAGAAAATTATTGATTAAATCAGAACAAGAAAGAATTTCTGTTGCTAATGGATTATCTTTACCAAGTTTAACTTTAGATACTTTGAATTCTTTAATTCATTCTACTTTTAATTATCAACAAAAAATTCCATTTATTCAATATGGTGAAAGTTTCTTACTAGGTATACAAAATGCCATTATTATTTTATTAGTTAAATTTTATCGTGCTAAAGATTCTGGTGAAATCGGTAAATTGAATGATTTAACTTGTAGTGAGAAATTTACAACAATTATTGGAACTTTAGTTAAACCATTAGCAATTATGATTGGTTCAGTTATTTTCTTTAATAAAATAGCACCATCTAATTTAATTTCAATTTTGGAAATTTTGAATATTCCAATTAATATAATTGCTAAATTCCCTCAGATTAAAAACAATTATGAATTGAAAACCGCTAGACATTTAAGTGATGTTGTTTTGAAAGCTAATGTTGTTGGTTCTTTAATTAGAGTTTACACTTCATTCACTGATTATTCTACAAAGAAAAAGAGAGGTAGAAACACTGTTGACGAAGTTATCTTGGTTGCTGGTTATTCAACCTCGTTGGTATTGAACTCTATTTTGTTAGGACAGTCTATTGTATATGATAAATTGGGTAAAAACAAAGAACTTGAAGAAAAGAAAGATCAATAGATATTTAGTTGAATAGATAAATTGTTACTCGGATTGATATACCTGATTTAGTGATTTAAGCCCGTGCCGGATCTAATGTAATAAAAAGAAAATCGTTCGGTGCCAAAACCCGCGCTAAATGGCATGAGTAATCGTTAAATTAATTTAACGTTTTTGCGCGAGTTGATTTTTGGGAAAACGAGCATTCATTTTCTTCTTCTTCTTATTTGAAAATTTTTTGATCTTCAAAAGATTCTATCGTGAAACTTTATCAGGAACATTCCACTAAAATACCCAAATAAACATTAACAACTAACCATTTGGATAGAGTAACCGCCGTTTTTACACGTATATCTGAAGAACTGAAAAAGACACAATTCAAAATTCTATACTATAAAAAGAGCCAATACTATTTCAGTCATTTCTTGATTACCAATAATTAATCTCCTCCCAGAACTTTAAACATCAATATTATGGTCCATAAAGCAGAATTTCTTCCATCAACTGGAAACTCTATTTCTTCAGTATTACAAGGTGGTTATAACCATCCATTATCCAGAGAATGGCAACAAGATAAACAGTTGACTAAAAATATGTTCATCTTACCATTATTTATCACTGATTCACCGGATGAAGAAACTGAAATCCCATCATTACCAAATATTAAACGTTATGGTATTAACAAATTAATTCCATATGTTAAAACTTTGGTTGATAAAGGATTACGTGCAGTTATATTATTTGGAGTTCCTTTAAAAGAAGGTGTTAAAGATCATTTAGGTACTGCAGCTGATGATCCAGAAGGTCCAGTTATTCAAGCAATTATTAAATTAAAAGAAAATTTCCCAGATTTATTCATCATGTGTGATGTTTGTCTTTGTGAATATACTGATCATGGACATTGTGGGATTTTAAATCCTGATGGATCTTTGAAAAGAGATGAATCAGTTCAAAGAATTGCTGCTGTTGCAGTTAATTATGCTAAAGCTGGTGCACATTGTGTTGCTCCTTCAGATATGATGGATGGTAGAATTAGAGATATTAAAATGGGTTTAATGAATGTTGGATTAGAAAATAAATGTTTAGTTATGTCTTATGCTGCTAAATTTTCTGGTAATTTATATGGTCCTTTCAGAGATGCTGCTGGAAGTAAACCAAGTCATGGTGATAGAAAAGCTTATCAATTACCACCAGGTGGTGCTGGTTTGGCTCGTCGTGCTTTATTAAGAGATATGGAAGAAGGTGCTGATGCTGTTATGATTAAACCAAGTACTTTCTATTTAGATATTATTAGTGATGCTGCTAAATTATGTCGTGATTATCCAATTTGTGCTTATCATGTTAGTGGTGAATATGCTATGTTACATGCAGCTGCTGAAAAAGGTGTTGTTGATTTGAAAAGTATTGCATTTGAAGCTCATCAAGGTTTTTTGAGAGCTGGTGCTAGATTGATCATTAGTTATTTCACTCCTGAATTCTTGGACTGGTTGCAAATGTAAATAGTGGAGAAAAAAAAACGTCTCTTTCATTGTATTAAGATGATTGTATAATGTATATATATGTAAATGACAAAATAAAATAATATTAAGAAAAAGAAGAAGAAATGCAAGATAGAATAAGTATTATACTCATATAGCTATTGGTTCATTCAGTTCTTTTGTTTCTTTATTTGGAGTTAAAATCTCTCCATTAGGAGCATTAGGCATTATTTCATTAGTAGGAGCATCAGGTAATTTATTCTTGACTGGTTCATCTTTTGTATCCACTTTTTGTTTACCATGAATTTCTTCTTCAAGATTCTTGAGTTCTTCATCAACTTCATTTTCTTCTGATATATTCAATTGTGGACCTGCAGATCCTAATAATTCTGTAACTTCATCAACTTTTAATTTCTCATCTTCTAATTGATCAATTATTGATTCTATTTTTTCTATTTTCATTTCATTATTTAATTTTTGTAATACTTTATTACCTTGTTGTAATCCTTTAATAACATCCGATTCAATTAATTTAAATTCAATAGTACCAATAATTTGTTCTAAATTATTTAATTGATCAAGGGTTGAATTTATAATAGTTTCTTGTTGTTTTTTAGATCTTAAATAAAATTTGGCTCGATCTGGTTGTTTATTAACGATAGCTTTTTTAGCTAATTCTGTTTGCTTATCTATAATTATATTTATACGTTTTTGATATTGTTTTAATTTATCTCGTTGTTGTTTTAACTGAAATATAGCCTTATCTTGAGCTGTAATTTTCGGAGGTGCTGATGACTGTTGACCCATGATGGTAATCTATATGTTATAAGTATGTGAAATGTAAAAATAATTATTATCTAAGTTTGTACTATTCCACAGTTGATTTATCTTTCTTTCTTTCTTTTTTTTTTTTTTTGCATGTCGTTGTTGTGTTTGCTAAGAGTGTGCGTTTTTGAGATCAGATAGTCGTGTTATCGAGAACAAAAAAAAAATTAATACTACAAATGAGTGTTTAGTACTTTCTACAACGTTTTTAATGAAAACAATAATTAACATATACATTTATAGTAATATACAAAATGCTAGATTTGTTAATAACGTTAGTAGTTTAAAGAGGTAATAATCACTTAAATTAAAACTTCCCCTAAAATCAAGGGCAGAAAATATAAAGGCAGATGTGTCGTACAAGGTTTCAGACAAATCGAGGGTAAGGAAGAAAAAGAAAGAGTGAAAGTAAACAGAAAAATTTTTCAAGCGAACCATTTGGCTATTTATACTCTTTTTTTTCGGCCTCTGTCTAAACTTATTATGGTGAAGTGGTCACTTTCAATCAATTAATACAACATGTTCAATTTAAACCATTTCTACAGTAACTATAATATTTTACTATTTCAATGACATTCTATAATTATTACACTCATTATAAGAAACCAAATAGGAGACTCGTGGTACTGATATTTCTATTAATTCATATGTTTTATTGTTCGTGTAAAATAAAAAATTTGTTACATTTTAAATATTGCAAATTATTTTCATCAAAGTTTTGAACGAAATTATCAACAAAATCATGTCAACTAGAATTTGTTAATTTTTTATACGTAACACCATCTACCACATACTTACAATATTTGAGAACTAATAAACACTGTATGAGTTAAAACTAACAAAAATTCATCTATTAAGTCTTCCATTTACAATATAAAAGCTATTACAATTTTTTTTAAAACCATTGGTGTCAAAAAGCGGTAATTTTACACTAACATCAAATAAGACACTGTGGCCGAGTTGGTCTAAGGCGGTAGACTCAAGAACTTGATTTCTTCTTCTGATTAATTCAGAGGTTTCTACTATCGTAAGATGCGCGAGTTCGAATCTCGTCGGTGTCAATATTTTTTACTTGAATTTTCTATTCAAGAAAACTCTAAATTTTTTTATTTAAAGTATACAAACCATTGGAAGTACATTTCTTCATTAGCAATATCTGATTGTAGTTTTACTTTCTTTGATTACCACCCAGGTTCTGATGAAGCAGTTGTTGATTTAGTTCATCCATCTTTGCTTGTTGTTCAGCATAATGTAACTCCTATAGTGATGAATGGAACACTAGAAGTTGCCAAGTTCTTCAAAATCACGAAATATATTTTTGATAATAGATTCTGCTACGATTCAAAAAGATTCCAGTGGTTACCAACATTGTTGACAAAAAACTCCTCAGGACATTTTGAATTTGAATCTTATATCAATAATCTGCACCCAGTTAAGCATAATGACTTGTATGATTCAATTGGTACGATTTTTAACGCGGTTATACCTGGATTGAATTACATTTTGACAAGATACGCGTCGAAGGAATACGTACGAATTCCTATTCCACATTTTGAAGGGATTTATACTGAAGAATTTCATCAACAACGTGAAGCATTGAGCCTCGAATTAGAACGTGAAGCTGAAGAAACAGGTGTTGAATATGATTGGAAGAGAATGGAAGAATTTGAGAAAACTAGAGTTCAATTTTTACGTGAATTTATTCCAGAATGGGAAGGTGATCCTGAATTTGATAAACAAATTGATCTTTCTACTTTTGATAATCTAAAGGTTATCGTAAAGTTAGCTGACATTGAATTAACTCCAGAGCGTCCTGCATATCCTGGTGGGTCTTGGCATATTGAAGGAACTGAAAATGAAGATATTGTTGCTACTGTTTTGTATTATTATGATATTGAAAACATTTCTGATTCTAGACTTTCTTTTAGAACTTTGTTTAACGACCCTGTATATGAACAATATGACAATATTTACACTGAAGTTCTTTTTGGACTTCATGATAATGATCCTATGGTTAAATATCTTGGAAATATTGAAGCTAAAGAAGCTAAAGAAGATATAGTTGTTATTTTCCCAAACATTTTGCAACACCATGTCGATCCATTTGAGTTAACGGATAAAACTAAACCTGGTCATAGAAGGATATTGTGCTTTTTCATAGTGAATCCATATAATGATAGGGTCCTTACAACTAAACAAGTCCCACCACAAAATAAAGAATGGTGGGATGACACTAGTTTGGATTATTTATTTCCAAATAATTTGAAAGAAAAAATTTTAGACTTGAAGAATGGGGAAACATGGCCAATGAATTTTGCTCAAGCTGAAGATGTTAGAAAAGTTTTGATGAAAGAAAGATCAATGTATGAAATGCCTGAGGATGATGTTGGTATCACTTTTTCGATATGTGAGCACTAGATATTATACCCAGATGCAGTTTTCTCTTTTTATTTCGATTTCCTAAGTTAGTATTGATATATATATATATATATATATATATATATATATACTATGAATAAGTTTTGCTAACTCCCAATTGTAAAATAAGTTGGAACGTCACATATGATTTGTGTTTCTTTATACTCAAACCAAATTAATTCTCACAAATGCGCAGCAAAATTATCTGCTCTGTGTGGTAAGAAATACTTCACAACAAAGAAATCATTCATATCACTTGTTCAATCTATTTTCCTTTTTTATAGACTCAATCAAGTTATATACTCCTAGATCTATTAATGACTTCAAGATTACGAAAATTTGATAAATCAATACTTTCCCAAACAATAGATTTCGATAATGACGATAACGATGATGATGGTCAATTACTTGATACTCAAGATCAAATTGATTTAATTGATAAATTAACTATATCAAATCGTGAAATTTTTAAAAAATATATTCGATATTTATCAATTTTTTATATTTTTCAAATATGTTTATTATCAATTATTCAAATTATTAAAAAATCTAAAGATTTATCTTATTTATTATTCACTTTATCAATTTTATTAAATTTAATCATGGTGAATTATACTCAATATAATAAAGTTATTAAAATATTAAGTGTGTTTATAAGTCTACAGTTGACTTATATTGGATATTTTCTTAGAAGAGAAGAGATGTTGTTGTTATGTGTTGTTCCATGGTTTAACACAATCACCCCTTATGTGTTTACTTATTGGTTTACTAATATGAATAATCTGGTCGAAGAGTTGAATAAATTGAAATATGAGTACAAGAATGTATAACAAAAGTCTGTGTATATCTGACTAAATATTTTTTATTTTTATTTTTTGTATATAATAATAGAAATCTAATATTCCTATTGTACATACATGGATTAACGACGTTTACCTCTTCTGGTTAATTCTGGCAATTTGAATGGAACTTTCAAAGTAGCAATCTTATAAGTACCAGCAGCACTCTTTGGAATTCCAAGAGCTTCAGCTTCACCAACAGTGGCACTTTTGATGATAGCACCCAAGGCTCTGAATAAAGCAACCAATTTAGTGTTTTTCAATTTCAAATCCTTAGAAAGTGGAACCAATTCAACAGCAAAGTTATTAATGTGCAAAAGTAAAATGAACAAATAAGTTAATAATTTATCTTCATGGTGTGGATCAATGAAAAATGACTTGTCTTTGGATTTACCAAATTGAGAAGCACGGGAAATAGCAAATCTTTCTAAAATACCATCAATCAAGACTTCAGATGCTTTATTTTGTAATCCAGTTAAAAGAGTTTGTTTATCCTTTGATCTTCTCTTGTCATAAACACCAAACAAAATGGATGCATAGAAAAGCATTTGTAACTTTTCGGTGTTTTTTTGTTCAATTAAAATTGGAAGTTGTTTCTTAATGAATTCAGATTTAGTAAATGGTAACAATTCCAAAGGATCTTCAGCAGTGAGCAATGAACCAACACGAAGATATTGCCATTCCTTTTCTGGTATGATATTCTTGATTGGATAAATGTCTTCAACATTAGTGGCATCGACATTTGCTAATGGAGTAGGTCTATCAACACTTTCTTCTTTAGTAGATGAAGCAACAGTGTTTTCTTTAACAGTATCAACAATATCCAACTCAAAGTCTTGTAATTTTTCAGAATCGATTCTGTTCTTTTCCAAATTGTGAATAGCAGCTTTAGCTTTCTTGGTACCGAAAGCTTCACCCAATGCATTACGTTGAATGACATTTCTAAGACCTGCACTCTTGATTTTAGGTCCTTTATAAATTCTATTTCTCTTGGCTGTAACTTTAGTAGACATATATGGGGTCTTGAATAATTCAACAGATTTGGTTTCTGGATCATAAACTGCAACAACATATTCATTTGAACTACTTGATTCTCCATTATAATCTAAAGTTTCTGTTTCTCCATGTAATACAAAATCATCTCTTTTTTTGTGTTTATATAAATCAAATTCAGCAGTTGGTGCAACTGATAAACCATTAAAAAATGATCCTACAGCCACAACTGGTTCTTCAGTGACAGAGTCGACTTTAACAGAAGTCATGATATATGGTGGTCTGTGATTTGAGATTGGGATGAGATTGAGATGAATAATTTTTTTTTTTTTTCAAGAATTTTTTTTTTTCCCTCTTTAGTCCTCTCATCAATTGGGAATATCTAACATCAACAAATGATATCATACTATCAAGTTTTAGAAATAACACCAGAAGCTTCAACTGCTGAAATCAAACAGGCATATAAGTTAAAACTATTATCCTCACACCCTGATAAAACCGAGAATATATCTGCACAGGTAGATATTCCGTTAATCAAACAGGCGTTCACCACTTTGATTGACCCGACTTTGAGAAAGGAATATGATTTGTCACTACTAGAATCGACTAAACTCAGTGGTTTCAACATTAATGGAGCTGGGTTGGATGTATACAGTCTTGACGATTTTGATTTTGATGAAGATAAGGAAGTATGGAATAAGAACTGTCCCAGATGTACTGCGCATTACAGTATGTCCCTAACAGAGAGTGATCTTGAAAAGGGAACTCCAGATAAAGACGGAGGATACGATATTATTGTCCAATGTAACAGCTGCAGTCTTTGGATTCAAGTAAAATATTATGAAGAATGATTCTTGTGAAATCTCAATGTACATATGGATTACCACCACTTGAACATGCCTCTTCATCTGACGGCATCATTTCATTTTCACAATCTGATGGATCAACAGAATACTCGCAATCAGATGAGTCGTCATGTTTATGGAATTTTTTAAACCAGAATAATAATTCTTTGATTGAGAATCCCTTTGCTGGTTTTTCATAATAGTCTGATTCTTCACCACAACTATCTTCAGTAACAAATTCAGAATAGATTTTAGGCACTTCTGCCGTTACAACTACGAGGATAACAAGGATATAGATTAAATTCATTGGAATTGTTGTTTGTCTAGAAGAAAAAGATTTAGAAAGAAAATAATGGTTGCAAGATTGGCAGGCATAACTTTTTATAGTTGTCTATTTTTTTTTCTCTGGTTTACATTATCTGGGTCTATTATTACTTTTAGAATAATAAATATCAGATGTAAATATATATTATACGTTAGATTTATTTAATGCTTCAAGTTCTCGGGACCAATCATTCATTTCATTGATTACATCCTCCAACACAGCGATCTTGTTCTCTATTTGTAAAAGCTCTTGTGAGTAACCAGAGAATTCTTCATCTATACTATGGTTAGTAATTCATTCACCATCAACAGTAAACATGGGAAACGATACATGCCTAGTGACTTTAGTAGTTTTATGTTGGATTCTGCCTCATCCAAATTCTTTTCTAGTTTCAAGTAGTTCAAAGATTGATTTGTATTTAGATTTTCCAACAAATTTAAATCAATCGTGGAGATCCCTGTATCCGAATCAATCAACTTGGATGCGGTATTTAACGCATGATGTATCAACTTGGGTGTTTCCTTTGACATTCTTAAAAGAGGTCGTCGATTAGTAAATATGAAGATATTGTAGTTCTTGTTTGAAGTAATTTTGAATAGTTAATATTTTTTTTATTTTTTTTTTTGGTGTTGAAATTTCTGTTGGTTGAATCTATGTACAAGTTTTTACACACACTACTTATCATTGACACATACGTATCTATCTTCCACTATACAATTTATACATTGGGTCAGTATAGTGTGTTTGTAAATTGGCCCATTTCTTTGAAGGTTTGGCATTAAGTTTTTCGGCATAATCAACAGGTGCTGGTTTATCAATCAAGTGAGTCAAACTTACTCTAACTTTTGATTCTGGAGTAATGATTTCATATAACCCTGGTAATTTATCAGAAGCTTTTCTTAATGCTTCTCTAGCAACTTTATCATGGATTGGTCCATCAATTTCAAATAAAACTTTACCAGTAGGAACTCTGGTGGCCCAATGATCAAAGGCACCTTTACCTTTACCCATTCTTGTTTGATTACCTTTAATACAAACAGCTAAATCACAAACAAACCTAGTAAATAATTTTGATTTAGTTGGTCTTAATTCTCTTCTTAAAACTTTATCAGCTGCTTGAAGTTGATTGGCATGCATTCTAATACCAACTGATTTCAATCTTAATCCTATTTTACCAAATTCCAAACTATTACCTTTGATTGAACCTCCAGTCCTCACGGAAACTCTACCCTTTTGAGCCTTTTCAACTTCTTTAAATCTTGGTGAATATTCATGTTTGAATCTTCTAAAACTTGCAAACACGTTCCCTAAAACAGGACCAGTCTTGAACAGGTTAAACATTCTTTGATAGGTTGACGACTTGTATGGAGTGTATTTCCTTAACAGAACGAAAATTTTTTTTTGTTTTTTCTTCTTACATTTTTTTGGCTTTTTCAATTTCTACGCATTTCTCATTCGTTTCTTCGTTGCACTGTACAAATGATACACTCATACTTTATGGTTAAGTCACCAACTGACAAGAGAGTGTTATGAACACCAGTTTTGAGAATAATACAGCTTTTATGTATATTTATATTAAATGTTCATTAAACAAAAAATAAAAAACGGACAAAACGGGAGGGGGCATAATTAAGTGATATAAATGTATATATGAATGTACATAGACATAAATTAATCAAAACAAGCTTGTCTAGACTTGTTCTTCATTTTGTTGTTCTTCTGGCTTAGCATCTCTAGCGTAACCAGTAGTAGTAGACATTTCTTGAGCAGTTGGTGGTACCCAACCAGCAGATTTCCAAGCTGGAATACCTGCATTATACAATTCTTCAACGGCACCTAAGTCAAGACCTTTAGTTTCGTAGACCATAAAGTAAACAAAGAAAATGGAGAAGAACAAACAACCCATAAAGACGAAACCGTAGTAGAAGTGAATAGCATCAGTGATAAAGGAGGTAAAGAATGAAATCAAGAAACCCCAAAGCCAATTACAGGCATTAGCAACACCCATAGCCTTACTCTTGATCTTCAATGGGTACAATTCTGAAATAACGGAGTAAACACCACCAGCCCAGGTTGAGGCAAAGCAGAAAATATAAAGGGAGGTAACAAAAATCATAGCTCTACCATCTCTGTGTCTGGTTTCACCACTTGAACCGTGGTAGTAAAGATGTTGAGAACCAATCAAAGAATACATCAAGAAACAAGCAGACATACCAATTGAACCAAGCATCAAACACAATCTTCTACCCAATTTTTCAATGGCAAAGATACCAACAAAAGTGGATGCAAAGTTAATAACACCAATAATGATAGCAGTTTCAAAGGAATCATCTAAACCAATAGCTTTAAAGACCATAGTGGCATAGTAGAAGAAATAATTATCACCGGTCAATTGTTGTAAGGATTGTAACATGGCACCGACAAAGACTCTTTCAAAGATTCTTGGTTTACCTTTGATTAAAGTCATCCAGGAAGCACTACCAGCTAATCTTTCTCTTTCAACACCAGCTTGAAGTAATTGTAATTCAGCAAGTAAAGCTGGGTCTTCTGGGGAAGCTTTGTTAACCTTGGCAAGAGCAATTCTGGCATCATCAATCTTGTCTTTACTGAGAAGATAACGTGGAGATTCTGGCATACGAGTCATACCTCCAATCAAGAATAAAGCCCAGGCGAAACACAAACCCAATGGAACTCTCCATTGTCTAGAGTCGGAATAAACCTTGGTACCGTAAGTAGTACAGTAACCCAAGAAGATCCCCAAGGTAATCATCAATTGGAAACAGACAACCAAAGTACCTCTCAAGTGTTTCGGAGAAACTTCAGAAATAAACAACGGACAGACAACAGATAAAGTACCAACAGCGACACCAGTAACGATTCTACCAATCATGACTTGGTACCAAGCGTGTTGAGCAGCGATTTGAACGATAACACCAGAAATATAAATAAGCATAGAAACACTAATGGCAAATCTTCTACCATATAAATCAGCAAGTTTAGACAAAAACAAAGCACCAATAGCACAACCAGCATTGAACAAACCAATCATCATACCAGTTCTAGCATTAGAAAAGTAGTAAGTACCATCACCACGAGGAGAACCAAATCTTCTTTGGAAATCAGTCATATTGACGAAACCTGGAATAGTACCAGTATCAAAACCAAACACATACCCACCAAAAGCGATAAGGACACACATGGTAATAATACCAATATATGCATGCCATGGTTGATTGGCATTTAAATCAGCAGCAGCAGCATCGATTCCTTCTGGGGCACTTTCATATTTGTCCTCAAGATTATGGTTTGCTTCTGTAGAATCGGAGGCAGACATTGTTAATTTTAAGAAAAGTAGTAGTTGATGTTTTAGTTTCTAAAAGCCTGAATAAATATTTGAAACAATTAACAAAATAACAATAGTAAATGATTAAAATATATGTATATATATTAAAAAATAAATTCGAAATATGGAGATTCTTTACTTCTCTTAAATAGTTTTTTCAATCAACCGTTGGGGATTGTTCTAATTCAATTTTTTTTTTTTAATTTTATACATTTAACAAGATTTGCAGATGTATGTAATGCTTTCAAACATCACACCTGGTATACAAACTCGAAGCAAATGCCTACACAATAGCGAAGAAGAAAACGCAACCATAAACCAAATTCGGTATATCCAGTCCGGAATTATTAGTAAAAATTTAATTTTCGCACTCTGTTCTGTTTTGTTTCACTGTTTTCGCAGTTAGAATATATAAAATGTAAGGTAGTCATAAAACCGCCATACATTGGAGCATTACTTTTTTAGGGTTTGTAGTAAAGATTGTTAATGATGACAATAAGATATAAAAAGAAAAGAAGAAGAATAATAATAAAAATACCTAGTTATTCATGGATATTGTGGGTATTTGCTACCGACGACTAAGCAATCCCTTAACAACGTGAATTTCAATGAGTCTTAGAACTAATTTCTTTAGACCAAAATGAGTTTCCTATATCCCGATTCCATCTCACCAACAAAAACGGCTGGTACCGACAGTTGAATTAACTTTGTGGTTGCTTTTGAAATGTTTCCTTCCATTTATGATTGACTTTTTAGTTTTTTCCCTCCTGTTGAATTGTGTGTTTTTTTTTTCTCTTTTACTAATGTAGAATTCTATTTTACTAATTTCCCTTATTTGGGATGGTTTAGAAGTGGGTGAACAAACCAAACATAAAAAGCATAATATGAATTTTAATTACTTACATTCTGTTGTCCTTCTTGTTTTTTTATTCATTTTTTGATTCTTTACATTTGATTGCGCCGGCTCTACCGTAACTTTTTCTACTATAAAGTCATATGCTGCAAACCCAAGAAATTTTTTTTTTCTCTATACCACAGGCAAAATTGATAAAAGGTTATCATGCCTTCCGACTTGTTTGTAATTTTTACGTCAGATTGGAAACTATGCCAATCTTGGTGGTATGGGAGGAGATGGAACATTACAATCTTCACTCCAAGTGGAATGATTTATATGCATTATTGCCGTACTAACACGATCGATTTCTAAGGGGAAAACGAGCTAGCAAAGAAATAATAAAAAAAAATGATTCTTCATTATTTCGGTATTCGGAACCTCGGATTGGAACCATTCCAATTTCATCATGTCATTCATCACCAACTAAGAAAATAAAAATAATGCAGAAGAGCAAATTCACGAGAGGAGGAGTTAACGAATTATCATATCATAGCTTTTATAGTTCAAACAAATTAGACTGAAATCTAAAATCAAAGATATTACGAAAACAATAAAAAGTTTCAATCGAAGTCATATACATTAAAAATATTTTATCTATCTCTATATCTAATAAAAAAAAGTAGCCAATAATAATTATAAAAAAAATAAGGAATAAAAAAAGATTTCATTAAAATATAAAAAAAAGTTTTTTTTTTTTGGTTTTTGAAACTTATACTTGAGCTTCATTATTCAGTTCACATTAATACACCGACTTTAAATTTGGGTAATTAAAAATTATCATTAAAATTATGTGACAACAGTCACTTATTGTAGTTGTTAATCAAAACAGGATTAAATGTCATTAAACTTGTTCTTCTTCTGGTTTAGAAGCGTAACCGGCAGAAGTTGCCATTTCGTGAGCAGTTGGTGGAACCCAACCAGCAGATTGCCATGGTTTAACACTAGTGGAGTATAATTCATCAACTTCTTCTAAGGTAAGACCTTTAGTTTCGTAGACCATAAAGTAGACAAAGAAGATAGAGAAGAACAAACAACCCAAGAAAACAAAACCATAGTAGAAATGGATAGCATCAGTAATGAAGGAAGTAAAGAAGGAAATCAAGAAACCCCACATCCAATTGGAAGCGTTAGCCAAACCCATAGCCTTACTCTTAATTTTCAATGGATACAATTCAGAAACAACAGAATAAACACCACCAGCCCAAGTTGAGGCAAAGAAGAAAATGTAAAGGGAGGTAACGAAAATCATACCATCACCACTTGGTTTTCTAGATGGACCACTTGAACCATGGTAGTAAAGATGTTGAGAACCAATCAAAGCGTAAATCAAGAAACAGACAGACATGGCACAAGAACCAACCAACAAACACATTCTTCTACCGAATTTTTCAATAACGTAAATACCAACGAAAGTAGAAGCAAAGTTAATAACACCAATAATAATGGAGGTTTGGAAAGAATCGTTCAAACCAACAGACTTGAAAATAGTAGTAGAATAGTAGAAGAAATAGTTATCACCAGTCAATTGTTGCAAAGCTTGTAACATAACACCAACCATAACTCTTTCAAAGATTCTTGGTTTACCGTTGAACAAAGTACCCCAGGAAGCACTACCAGCTAATCTTTCTCTTTCAACACCAGCTTGAAGTAATTGCAATTCGTGGTAAACAGCTGGATCTTCTGGAGAAATCTTGTTACATTTAGCAAGAGCAATTCTGGCATCATCAATCTTATCTTTACCAACCAAGTAACGTGGGGATTCTGGAACACCAACCATACCACCGACTAAGAACAAGGCCCAGGCGAAACACAAACCCAATGGAACTCTCCATTGTCTAGAGTCGGAATAGACTTTGGTACCGTAAGTAGTACAGTAACCCAAGAAGATACCCAAAGTAATCATCAATTGGAAACAGACAACCAAAGTACCTCTCAAATTCTTTGGAGAAACTTCAGAAATAAACAATGGACACAAGACAGATAAGATACCGACGGCAAGACCAGTGATAATTCTACCAATCATGACTTGGTACCAAGCGTGTTGAGCAGCAATTTGAATGATAATACCAACGATATAAACAACCATAGCACACATGATACCAATTCTTCTACCGTACATATCACCGACCTTAGATAAGAACAAGGCACCGACAGCACAACCGGCATTGAACAAACCAATCATCAAACCAGTTCTAACGTTGGAGAAATACAAGGTACCATCAGATTTAGTACCACCAAATCTACTTTGGAAATCAGACATGTTAATAAAACCAGAAATAGTACCAGTATCGAAACCGAAAACGAAACCACCAAAGGCAATAAGAATACACATAATAATAATACCAGTGTAAGCAGACATTGGTTTGTTATCTAAAGCATTAGCTTCGTTGAATTCTTCTGGTTGTTGATCTTCATATTTAGCTTGAAGGTCTTTGGTCTCAGCCTCAGCTGTTGATGTGTTAGAAGCGTTGTCTGGTTGAGACATTTTTCTTTTTATCTTTTTGTTGTTGTAGTAGTTATAACAAAGGAAGTTATTGATTACTGAATGATGAATAAAAGAAAGAGAATTAAAAATTTTTAGAAGGAACTTGGGGAGATATTTATACTTGTGAGAAGAACCAAAGCATCTGACAACTACCGTTCGCCAGTGGAGAAAGGAAGTGGAGTGTTGTGTATGGGGTGAGTCTATCCCCCATCTCTCCAGTTTCGTGTAACATGACCCAAAATACTAATATTATGCATGGTTTAGCAGCCATGCAAGTTTTTTTGTCTCTTACACACAGGAAAATTTTTCCGTGCTAAAAAAAACAGGTGCTAACTCCAGTTATTGTGACCTATTTTCTAATATTGAGCAAGCTAAGAATTTCTTTGTTTGAACTATTTTTTTTATTTATTTTTGTTTTGCTTAGCATGGCAATACAGTTTCTCTTGTCCTGGGGTAAAATCAAGAGAAATAAGAATTAACTATAACCTAGAGAATACATATGTTTGACGACGTCTGACAACTCTATGAGTTCTCCACTTTTCTCCACTACTATATCATTGCTATTTGGATCTATGGTTGGTAGACCAGTTGTTTTTGTTTTTTTTTTAATTTTTTCAGTTTTATTTGAATTTTTCTTTCTTTTTTTTTGTGGGAGCTGGGGTTTGGTTTTGTGGGCCTTTGAAAAATTTTTCCGCATTGTTTTGACTTTATGAATATTGGGCAAATGAATAACATTGAGTGCATAAAATTATTCCGATCGGAGAATTTGTGCCTTGCTTTGTATCATGGGTCGATTTTTCCTATTCGTTCGTTTTTTTCTTTTTTTAACTCTGTTTTTACCTATTAGATTATTGTAATTGTGCTTACACTTCTAGATTTTTATTGGGGAGGGAAAAAAATGTGTTTACTGGGCTTAGAAATATTAAGTTGACTGGGTTGTATTGTTCCGATAATTACTATGACATCAGAAGAAACAGAGTTGGGGGATGAGTAATTAAAGGATAGCACCACAGACTGAATAAATCTTTAATGACACTTGGCAACATCTTTTCCCTTTGAAAACTTGGCTTCGTTATTACAAGACTTTTTTTTTGTTTCATCCGATAGACGAAAGGCTGGTGCGACAGGTCAGTGCTGGGCAGGGACACTCGTATTATTCTTGTGAATTGAGGCACTATGGTAGTGGTATGACACACATACACACACACACACCAGCTCTCGGATTAATTCTCAAGGCATTTGAACATTGCTTTTTGTAGATTCAAACGGACAATGTGATTAAGGCGCTCGTTTGCCTTTTTGTGATCAAATAGTTTTTCCGAGTATTAGATGTGAAATTTAAATGTTTACTGCATACAGGCGCATAGCTCTTAGAGTAAAAAAAACTCTCGGTTCCGCCACGACCGGAAATGGATACTATATGCAGTAATCCATGCGAGAATACCATCACCAGCTGTTGAAAAGATTGAAGAGTAAAACAAACAAGATACACCCGGGATTAAGCACAAAAACTAAAAAGAAAAAAAAAATGAGTTGGTAGAATCGCCTTTAAACCGATAATCAGTTTTAAACTGATCATTTTGTTTAGATGCATTATAATGGCGTTGTTTCTTTTAATTCAGTTTTTTTTTTGTTCTCATTTTGTAGTCCTTATGACAATCCCCCACGTTTTTATCCCGCAAAATGGTGGATAGAGAGTATGGAGTCAACTGTAGCCCATTAAAATTGGTGATTATTTCGTGTTTCTTTTCTTTTTTTTTTTGATATTTTGAAAGGGCTTTCATATAAGTTTATCCGAGTAACTGACATACAATAAAGTGAATATAATACTTCACACAGGAAAAAAAATAATTCCATCACGGATAAATTTTTTTATTTTCATATACACTAGCCATGAAAAGTGTAATTATTATCAAGGAGGAATATCAAGATATTGATTGTCATTCTTTATTATTAGTTGGGCTCGTAATTCGTTTTTTAAACTCTATAAGGTAGTGTCTTGGTGATCAATAGTGGTGGAGATAATCAGCTGGCGACTTCCACATTTTCTTCTTAATTTTGTTCTAAATTTTAATTAAAAATCTATTCAGATAAATCTAAAACCTCAACCGAAATTACTAATCCTATCTCCATCATGCAAGTAATTGTCAGTTGCAGAATGATTTTTCCTATTGTTAGAGATTGTTCTCCATCACTACTGTTAAAAGTGATCTTCGGATATTTTCGGTTTACCCCATATTAGCATAATTCTACACAAAAGAATCGGATGTTCAATTTCGTAGTTGCTTGCTTATACTTTTGTTCATACCGGGGGAATATGAGGTGTAGATAAACTGGAGAAGGAGATTTTTTTTTTCCTTCCACGGGGCGGCACTAAGCGAAAGGCGAACAAAGAAGAAGGAAACAAACAAAAAACAAAAACCAAAAAAAAAAAAAAACCTCAAACATACAAAGTCACTTAAACTAAAAAGGACAGTTGAAATTGCATACTCAGATTCATATACTATTGTGATAGAATATTTCCCTTTAATTTTTATTTTTTTTTACCTTGTATTGATGGGACATTTACAAACTAGCAATCTTCCATATGGTGATGGATCTCATAAGATTTTTGGCATGGAGAACTTTGGAAACACATGCTATTGTAATTCCATTCTCCAGTGCTTGTATTACACCGAAAATTTTAGAACTCAATTAATCCAACACAATCTGACAAAGCATGAACCAAAATTAATTGTCGCCGGTTATAAGCCTCACAACTTTACATCAAAGTATGAACAATTAGTGCAAAAGAAGTTGAAGGAACAAGGTGGGAAGTCAACATCAATCTCCTCCCCAACTCAAGACGAGCGTCCAAAACCTGCAAGTAGAAGAGGTTCACTTTTTGGTCTCAAGTTTAATAACAACAATTCATCTGCTAGTGCAGTTGCTTCAGGGAATTCTACTTCTATATCTGTGGTGATTGAAGACCCCAAAAAGAAGTATGGCAAGTATATTTCACTTGCAAAGGATTGCGAAGCTTTGTCGTTGGAACAAAGGATCAAAATTTGTAAGTCACCCGAGTTTCAAAAATTGGACATTCTTATCACTAGACCGATAGATACCCAGGCCAATAAGGAGTCATCATCAGACAAAGATGACAGAAATGACTATTCCCAAAGTTCGTCAATGTTACTCAATGATCAACCACAACAGACAACACAAGAAGGATCAATCAGTACAACTTCTAGTGCAATTATTGTTGGCATACCTCACCCTGAATCCAACTTAGCAGTTCCCATCAATCCATTTAATGCCAATCCAAGTGGTGATCAAAGAAAGAGATCAGCTTTGATTAATGGACCTATCATCAACCTCGATCTACCATTACAAACACCAAGTGAAATCAACGAGGATACAGCATTATTATATGCTTTGCGAGATTTATTTGAAAGTATGGTTGAAAACAAGTCAACTATTGGTGTTGTTTCTCCAAGTTATTTTATTCAAAAGCTTAAGGAAAAGAATTTTCTTTTCCGTCAAAACAACATGCATCATGATGCTCATGAGTTTTTCAATTATTTGATCAATGAAATTATTGAAAGTGTCAACAAAGAAGACAAGGGAGATGGAATTAACTGGTGTAGTGATATTTTCCGTGGATTGATCACCAATGAAACTAAATGCTTGTCATGTGAGACAGTTACTTCGAAGCAAGAATTATTCTTAGACTTGTCAGTTGATATACCTCCTGGTGAAAGTAGTTTTTCCTTGACTTATGCATTGAACAACTTTTCCAAGTCTGAAACCTTGACAAATCAAAACAAGTTTTATTGTAACACTTGTTCGTCGTTACAAGAAGCAGTGAAAACCATCAAGCTTAAGAAACTACCAAAAGTGTTGGTAATAAATCTTAAGAGATTCAAGTATGATGAAGAAATGGATAAAATGGTGAAGCTTTTTGATTCAATCAGTTATCCATTCAAGTTGCGTTTGTTTAACACTACCGATGATGAATCTTTACAAGACCAGTTATATGAATTATATGCATTAGTGATCCACATTGGAGGAGGCCCAATGCATGGACATTATGTTTCCATTTGTAAAATAAAGGCAGGACTATGGTTGTTGTTTGATGACGAGACAGTGGAATTGGTTGAAGATTCATATGTAATGAGATTTTTTGGCGATGGCCCAGGTTTGGCAAGTGCTTATATTTTATTCTACAGACAAGGAAACTACAATACTGAGTTTGGATTTGACACTGAAGATATATACAATGGTGCTGATGAATGCTCGATGAAACACGGGGAAGATGAATCAAGTACACTTGCTACTTCGGTCAATAATAATGATCAAATCGACCCAATTTCGGATGCGTCGTCGATTACTTCATTCAACGCTTCTGAAGCAAGCAAGAGACCAGGGTTACTCAAGAGTTTTACATTTGATAAAGAGGAGAAATTCCAAAATCCACTTTCAAGAACAACCAGTCGTGGCCATATGCCAACTCCACCACCAGCAGCAGTTGTTACTGGACCATTGGACGTTCCTGAGCCATATATTCCTCAACAACAACAACAACAGCAACAGCAACAGCAGCAACAACAAGGTTTCCCATTGGCTCCATCCAAAGAGGTCAAAGAGAAGAAATCATGGGTTGGAAGTTTAAAGAGAAGAAAAGATGAATCAGGTAGTTCCAACAATTCCGGTGCTCCTCCAATTGAAAGAAAAGCGTCAACAAGTAGTGCTGTTTCTGGTAGTGAAAGAAGAAGAAGTATATTTGGATTTAAACGAAAGTAAATTATAAATATACACACACATTCAAGTTTTTCGTAACTGTGGCTCTCGAGGTTAAAAAATAATTACCCCTGTATCGGATTAAGATTAAACGGGTTTGTAATGTGGCACGTGCCGAGAAAATAATAGTGGAGAAAAAATACAAGTATTCTTCCGAAAGTGTGGATATTGCGAAATTTCCCACATTATTTTTTTTTTTCTTCTTTTTCATCATCGACATCTTCTTACTCTTTGTTAGTAAGCAAAACCTTAATTCTTTTTTTTAGACCTTGCTTCTATTATATAAACAGGAAGAAGAAGAAAAAAAAAATATCATTCCAATCTCCACTTCTTTTTTTTTCAAGCACAGGGTTTTATTTTCAGATTATCATGGCTACTACTATTTCACCAACAATTCGTTCTACAGCTACTTCCAAATTGATAACACTTTCAGCAGGATGCTTTTGGGGTGTTGAAAGTGTGTTCAGAAGACAATTTACTAATAAAGGTTTAATTGATATTAAAGTCGGTTATGCCAATGGTAATCCATCAATTACAGATATAGATTATAAAAAAGTATGCACTGGTGCTACTGATTTTGTTGAAAGTGTTCAAATTGCTTATGAACCTACTCAATTGAAATTATCTGATATTTTGGATATTTTTTTCAGAATGCATGATCCAACAACAGTCAATTCTCAAGGTCCAGATCAAGGAACTCAATATAGATCAACTATTTTAACTCATGATGATAAAGAAAGAGAAGTAGCTTTACAAATAAGAGATAAATATCAAAAAGAATGGTATCCTAATCATAAGATTGTTACTATAATTGAACCAATTAAAACATGGTATGATGCTGAAGATTATCATCAAAACTATTTGATTAAAAATCCTGGTGGATACGAATGTCCAACACATTTCATTAGAACTAAACCAAAGGTATAGATTAAATAGTGAATAATGTACAATTATGTGAAATGATGTATTTAATAGGGTTGGGTTATACATAGATCTCATAAAGATTCCAGATCTTTACTCTTAAGAAAAAAACGTGAGCATTCTTCATTTTTGTTAGGAAATCCACGACGCGTCAAGAACAACAATTTTTGATTTTTATTTTTTTTTTTTTCTCTTTTTCTTTTTTAAAAGTAAACTACCATTTAAGAAAAGACAACCATAGAAACTATATATCATGTCACTTTGGGTGGATAAGTACCGTCCTAAGACTTTAGATCAATTATCATATCATGATTCAATCACACAAAGTCTTAGAGCATTAGCTAAATCAGGAGATTTCCCACATTTATTAGTATATGGACCAAGTGGAAGTGGGAAGAAGACAAGAATTTATTGTACTTTAAATGAAATATTTGGTTCTCAAGTTGAAAAATTGAAAATTGATGTCAAGAATTTTGTTACATCATCAAATAGAAAATTGGAATTTAATGTTTTGAGTTCAGCTAATCATTTAGAAATTACTCCAAGTGATATGGGAAATAATGATCGTGTGGTTATTCAAGATTTATTGAAAGATGTCGCTTCCACTGAACAAGTTGATTTTGCCAATCAACTGAGAACAAAACATAGATTTAAGATAGTCATTATCAATGAGGCTGATTCTTTAAGTAGAGATGCTCAAGCAGCATTAAGAAGAACTATGGAAAAATACTCATCTAATATTAGATTGATATTGGTTTGTAATTCAATATCAAACATTATTGCTCCTATTAAATCAAGAACCTTATTAGTCAGAATCCCAAGTCCAAGTGTTGATGATATTTCCAATATCTTGAATAATGTAGCAGAATCAGAAGCTATTAAATTTAAAGCTACCAATGAGTTAGCTATGAAAAAATTCTACAATGATATAGCCACTACCAGTAATAGAAACTTGAGAAGATGTTTATTGAGTTTTGAATCCATCAGTATGCAAAATGAAACTATTGATACCAATTCTGATGTGGGCAAATTGGAGTTGGATTGGGAGGTTATCATTACCAATATGGCAAATAATATTAAAGCTCATAGAACAATTACAACATTATCTAAATCCAGAATAGTGTTATATGAATTATTGTCACATTGTATTCCTGCCAGAACTATATTGAAAACATTATTATTTGATTTGGTTAATCTATTTGTGGATAATGCCAGGTTAGTCCAAGAATTGGTTGCATTGGCATCAATTTTTGACGAGAGATTAAGTTTAGGAACAAAGAGCATTTTCCACTTGGAAGGATTTATAGCCAAATCAATGGTTGCTATTGATCAGTTTATTTAGATAATAAAAAAAAAAAAATAAAACACTTAATATATACGTATAAATCAAATCATAACTCTAGGAGTTTACACAATCTCTTATTGTTGAACTTTATGATCACCATTCACTTTAACATCACGAGTTTGTTCTGGTCCATTTGAACTGCCAACAATTTCATCATAAGATGGTAAATCACTTGCAGTTAAGATTTGGTTAGGATCAGGTTGAACGTGCTCTTCATCATGATGAATACGATGAGAATGTGTTGGTTGTTCATCTTGAGTTTCTCTATTTTCAGGATTGGCACGTAATTGTTGCTCTTCATCTTCATCTAATCTTGTATAACCTTCAAGAATAGGTTCGTGCTGTAAATGCAAATAGATAATATAACATGAAAATATCAGACCAGCAATACCACCACAAAGTGTTAATAGACAACAAATAATAAAGTTTCTACTGAAGATAGATCTATCGATAAGATACATAGGCAAGGGAGGCAAAACTATAGCCATAATAATTAAAAGAAACAGCTCTCCTCTAGCTGCTGGATTAGATCTGTTCTCTGAGTTTCTCATCTCTTAAATATACTTGTTTCTGGGAAGGTTGGTTTCAAGAATAATTTGATGCTTTTGCAAACAGAAAAGAACCAAAACAATCTGTATTTATAGACCCGCATGGATTTCCCCCTAATTTTTTTTTTTTCCTCCGTGTATGTGAGTATGAAACTAGGTCATTGATCTTACCGTGATAGTGATAGTTTGTATTGCGCCACCATGGGAGAAAATCAAATACATCTTTAATTTTGGAAGAATAATCTTGACTCTTGATGGTTATATTTGTGATTCTATAGAGCCACTTGAGCTGCATCGCACAAACTTAATCAGTTGGTTTTATTCTGATAATGGCGATGAATATTTCCTAATCTGGACGCATATATTTTGACTTTGCAATTATCTCTGGGTTTTCGAAACCACACAAAAACTTGGACGAAAAAGAAAAAAAAAAAATTAAGAGAGAAAGAGAGTTGGTTTAATGTAAGACCACTCATCAATAGATATATTCAACTGCAAGCGAAACAAATATGGATTATATAAAGAAGAAGATATATGGGCCTGATCCAAAAGAACAAGTATGTGCTAGCTGAAAAATTTTTTGTGATTTAAATAAAAGAAATATTATTATAGTAACTAACTAAGAATAGATGAGAAAAATCAACCAATTGCTCCGAAAGAACAAAAGAGAGTTGGAAAGATCAATGAATCAATTAACTCCGTTGAAGAAGAAGACCGAGTCATTAATCAAGAAGGCAGCAAAGGATAAGGATTATAAATCTGCTCGATTATATGCGAAAGAGTTGATCAACATTAATAGACAATATAATAAATTACATACTTCAAAGACAAGAATTGATTCCATTACTATGGCTATAAATGAACAATATCAAATGACAAAATTAACACAATCCATTCATTCAAGTACTTCTATTATGAAAGATGTTAACCAGTTAATTCATGTGGGAGCTGTCCTGCAGACCATGCAAGAATTATCCAAAGAGTTGATGAAAGCAGGAATAATAAATGAAATGATGGATGATATGGTAGACTTGGACTATGAAGAAGATGAAGAATTAGAAAGTGAATCACAAGAAGAAGTAAACAAGATAATTCAAAGCTTGACAGAAGATAAATTCTCAAAGATTGAAAATGAAGTTCCAAGTACGGAATTTGAAGAAACAGTTATTGAAGAACCAGCTAGTGTTGAAGACGAGGAAGAAGATGAAATTGCCTTAGATGAAATGAGACAGAGATTAAGAGCATTACAGTAATCATCAATAAAAGAATAATGCTGTAATGATTTTTTTTGTACGTTCATTACAATACATAGAGAAACACCCACCATAAATAGTGACAAAAACCACGAACTAGTCTATTGCTGGAAGAATAATTATCACTTTGAATACCATTGTAATTGTCATAGTAAAGATATGTAGTGGATTCTGACTGAGGAATTGCAACTTGTGGTCTTTTAATATTATGGACTTTGATCATAGTTTGTTTTTTGGGATATGATGTTAAATTTTGATGAAATAAATTATGAGTATCAGGAATTGCTCTAGAAACCATTAATTCAGTAGGAATCAACACCTTTTCAGTAGTTCCTAATACTAATCCACTATCATTATCAGTTAATGCACGAAATTTGTCTTTATTTTTCAACATTTTCTTCATCAATTTTTTATTAATCTTCTTTTCTAAATAGATACCTGCATTATATTCCCACTTTGGTTTTAATTTACCCTTTTTCAACTGAGCATCAACGGATTCACTGGTATTACTTTTTGGTTTTTCAATTGTAATTAATGGAATTGTTGAGTTATTATTAGTGGATTTTATTGGATCTTGTGCAGTTTGTTGTTTTACCATATCAAATACTTGATTGAAATATACCAAAGCATTAACATCTGTTTCAGGAGCATTGGGTTTGGGTTTGGAAGTGATTGCTAATACCGAAAATAAGCTTAACCACAAAATTAAAATTGAAATAATCATTGATATTACTCTTAGGAAGAATTCATAAACAAAAAGAAAAAGATGAAGAATGTAGAAATAGATTTGGCAAGAATCGTGATGGAGATTTTTCTGTTCATATACTTTTTTTTTTGTTGTTGTTGTTGTCTCTTTTCGCAACCAATTTAAATAGAGTAACAAAATAAGTGATTTTATATTAAGCTAAACATTAACCATATACATAATTGAAGTAGACCATATTTAATACTCTTACTACTTGACTCTTTAATCTTGAAATTTTTAAGAGCAGCTGTGTAGTTATCTGTAGAATTATTTGCCATACTTGAATTATCAAAGAAAAGACTAGTGGTGTTACCTTTATCAAGCACGTGAACAATATTATCATTTGAAACCAATTCTTTAATCCCATCAGGAGTACCATCAGCAAAAATGAAAAACTTTTTCTTTTTACCTTCATCACTATCTGAATCACATGAAGAACTATCTAGTAATTCTTTTCCTATACCTTTATCGAGATATAATCCCAAATTTACTTGCCAACCATCTTTGGAATCTGCAATCTTTTGAATTTCTCGATCAGCAAATTCAGTCGTTTTTGAAGTTAACATAGTAGTAGTCATTTTCTCCTTTACTTTAACAATATAATGTCTGTTATGAGCATGATCATCATCATCTTCATGCTTATGAAATTTATATTTCTTTTTCTTCAGTTGAATATTGAATGTTTCATCTCTTTTTTGGTATAGATAACTTAATGACGATCTTGAGCCTTGGTTATAGAATTGTAAATCATTTGGTTGAACATGTCTCTTTTCCAATAAATCATGTTGACTTTGAAATGTCGAAGGGAGATCTATAATAAGAATCACAAACCAAGAAAGTAGAATTTTAAATGGAAACATCTCTTGCAATACGATTGATATTGATTTCCTGCAAGGTTCTGTAATATACCGAAGATTTTTCTTTTAAATTTCTTTCAATTTCTAGACGAGATCAACACATATACATGAATTGTTTGTTATACAATCGAAAAGAGATAATAACTTATCAGATATGCTATTATAAGAATACGTTGTTCATAATTGTAACAAAAAGTATATAACAAAAAAACATACAGCTAATATGAATAGTAACACCACCAGATCCCATAGATAAACTATCATCAATAGATTTAGAAGCATTGGCAAATTTTCCTTGTAGAGTTCCCGTATCACTAAAGAATGTACCATCTTTATTAGTACTAACTATTTTTGAACTTGGTATAATGGAAATATCTTTTGTTTCATTTAAAGGAACAGAAAAAGGTTTAAACCATTTGAGTTTGCTTCCATCCTCATCACTTGACCACTCATCACCAGAACAATACTCTTCTTCACTTTTATCATCAATGTATTTAATTAATGTCTTTTCTGAATTAGCATAATTTTCCTTATTTAAGAAAATTCCTGCTCCAACATGCCATTTAGGTTTAGTGCCTTTTTCCTCTTTACCACCTTGAGCCAAAAATGTTGAATTGTCAGTAATTGACAATTTATCGTTTTCAACATAATCTCTTTTGATATTCCGTTTATATCTTAAGGATCTATTTGGATCCCAATCTTCCATATTTACAACTTGGTTGAAAAAAGTTAAATCTTGTAAATCTTGATGGGGTAAATTCTCTTGAATATCTAAATCATTATGATTTGGAATTGGAGCAACAACAATCCGAGTCAATAAAACTAACAAAAATAATGTTAACATAGTAAATGATAACTTGTTGATTATAAGAAAAAGGAGGTGTTACAAAAAAAGAAAAAAGAAGACAAAAAAATAAAGTTCCAAATGTTTGTATAGCGGCTGCAAAATTTTTTTTTGGAAATGAACATAAAATCCTATATAGGTTACAACAAAGAAAATAAAAATAGAGTCCACTTTCTCCCAAGTCCAATAATATTATTGGAACTTGATTCATATAGATCCCCATAACTAATTTCATTATTAGTATCCAGATCTTCATCAAAACCTTGATATTCTTCCATGTAATTTCTCTTTTCATATTGTTTCATTTGAGGATCAATATATAAATTATGAAACTCATCACTTACTCTAGTAACTAATTTTGAACTTGGAATAATAGAAACTCGCTTTTCAACAGGTGGTGCATTAAATCCCAAAAACCATAACTTATTTCCACCACCACCATCATCATCACTACAACTTTCATCACTTAAACTTCCATCACTCCAACTACTACTTTCTTCATCATTATCATCACTACTTGAACTATCTGACCAAGTACCAGGTTGTGGCCAATATTCTGGAGGTGGATTATATTTCATTTTTGGTTTTGGTTTTGGTGCTTTGGGTCTTGGTGGTGGTTTGGCAACAGGAATTTCTCTAATTGGAAAACAACATTCTTCTTCTCGACCATCATCTTCAACTTCTTTATCGGCAAAAAATCCAGATGTAACTGTCCAATTTGGTTTTTTAGATTTTCCTTTCCCTTGTGCAAAGAAAGAAATATTTAACAATTTAGAAGACTTATTGAAATATTGATTAACTATTGGTAAAACAAATGTTCTATTAGTTATATTTGAATGAAATGTTGATACATCTCTTGTTGTATTGTTTGTAGTATTTGATGTAGGAAAACTTAATGATTTTGGTTTAAATAAATTCTCCTCTTCCCATTTTGCAAATTCTTGAATTTGTTGGAAAAATGATAAATCCTGTATACGAGATATTTTGGTAGAATTAGATGTCACAATCAAAGGAAGAATAGATGATGATAATAGAAACCATAATATAATTCGAACAGATGTCATTATGAATAAGGGGTTTAGAATCGTTAAAGGCAAAAAAAAGGAATGATTATGCATTTGTGATGCTTTATTTTTTTTTTTTTGTTTGTTGATTATGTTTTCGATTTTATTGTATTTACTTTTTTTTTTTGCAGCCTACATACACACTTAATCTTGTGGGTACACCAAACCGTTTTCTTTTCTAATTTCATCCATTAAACCCATAACTAATAATGTTTCATCATGAGGCATGGTTGAATTCAGCAATTTACCTTGTGAAATATCATCAGCAGCAGCATTGGCTTCGTAGATAAATCCATTATATCCAGAATCATCCTTATATTCGTAAATCTCCTTACCATCAGAGTCAAAAATTTTGAAATGTTTGGCTCTAGCTGGATTATCACTGTACATTTCAACATGTCCTTTTTCTCCTTCAATTCTAACATAAGCTTTTGGCCCATCAACTAATTCTGATGCAGTTAAAATACCATGTTTACCATTTTCATATTTAACAACAGCTGAATACAAGTGATCGACTTTATCATCGCTATTTACGGTTAAAATTGATTTATAGACAAACTTAGAGTGGTTATCACCTAGTTTGTCATCCAATAATATTCTTGAATAAGTAATTGGATAAATACCAATATCCAACAACGCACCAGCAGCAAGATTAATATCTCTAAGTCTAGAAGTTTTTGGGACCTGTTTGATATTTGCATTATAACTCAAATCAGCAAACATTCTAAAAATCTCACCAAGTACTTTTTCTTCATAAATCTTTTTCTTCAAATTAGTTATAGCAGGGAAAAATCTTGTCCACATACCTTCCATGAAATATTTCTTTTCTTTGTTTGCAACTTCAATAATATCTTCTGCTTCTTTTTTAGTAACAGTTACTGGCTTTTCACACAAGACATGTTTATCATTAGTCAAACAAGAAATTGATTGGTCTCTGTGGAAACAATGTGGGGTAGCAATGTAAACAACATCAACATCTTTATTCTTGTAGAGTTCATCGTATGATTGAACAATTGGTTCAACATTGTAATTAGTTTCCAAAGTAATATTGTTCTTCTTAATAAATTCTAAACCTCTTTCATGGCTGGAACATCCAATTGATTTGATGACATGATGATATTCGGTATTTCTTTGATTGTTCAAAACTAAATCATGAACAAATTGTGAAGCAATGTTACCAGCTCCCAAAATTCCCCAATTGAGTGTAATTGTCATGGTATGATGTAAAATACAAATGTATGTTGTAAAAAGAAGAAGAAGAAAAAAAGCAACAGTTTCATGGAGTAAACTTTTTCTTTTTATTCGTCGGAATTTATAGACATTCCTGTCGGAAGAATTTACTTTTCTCTCCACCCCTCGCTTCATTTGCTCCCCCAATCTTTCGCCTGTGAGGGTCGGTGGGGGATTATCATTATTGTACGAGAAATGTAACGATGTCACAATCTCGATACAAATACAATTATCATAAATTTTCAATCATTATTTAATAGATATATATATTCTCAATATATATCAAGACATTAAAAGAAAAGTAGTTACCTAAAATTTAATATATAATGGTTCCAGTGATGTTATCTTGCAAGTTTGTTTGATATCATCTCCAACAGCATTAGCTTTATTTGCCACTTCATCCCTTTCTTGCTTTGAATAAACATATGGGAATGTCTTTGTATGCCCATTATCATCTTCATTTTCTAGATTATCTCCACTGGAGTTGCCATTCAAATTAATACTTAAATTGTTGTTACTGACACTATGCAAAGAACTACTACCATTTAAGAAAGAAGTCACATCAATAAGTTTATCATTCAATTCATTGACAATAGAGGTCAACTCTTGTTGTCTTTGCTGTTGTTTCATTATTTGTTCTTCTTGCAAATAATCCGATGAATATTGTTGATGCAAATGTTGGTTTCTTAATAATGACGATGTTTCATTATACTCATCATCGTTACTATTTCCTATTAGACATGATAGACACGATCCCATTGTTTTGCTTGTTTTCTTTAAAATTCGATGTGGTTGTAAATGGATTGGTTTTGTTATTGCAAGTAAAGATATTTTTTTTTGCTCTCTTTGTCGTCTGATACAGTTTGTTGAAATGTGATGTCGTGAACTGTAAATCTAATATGGTAGTGTACAAAGGTAGAAAAATAAAATGAAACATAGGAAAGGTCGTGCGTACCAGAATTATTTTCTTACATAATCTATAGTTTATTTTATTTCATTGACCACATCCAGATTTTTGTGATCGGAGTTAATCTAGTATTACAACCGTAGTTTGGATTTTTTTTCTTCTGGAGTTACAAATATTACTAATACTTACTAGTTTCAGTGATGAGTATATGTTTGTTGTATAAAAGAGACAGATCATATCCTTCTTAACCAAAAGTCAGAGAAGAATTTCACATATCAATCATCTCTCCACCAATGTCAATAGCAAAATCCAATTTGTTCAAGCCAATCACAATTGGTAAAACTACAATTAAGAATCGTATTGCTCATTTACCAACTACAAGAAACCGTGCATCACCGGAAAATGTTCCCACTGATTTGATGAAAAAGTATTACACTGATCGTGCTAAAACTGGTGGTTTATTGGTTACTGAAGCTACTTTGATATCATTGAATCAAGGTATTTATCCTAATGTTCCTGGTATTTGGAATCAAACTCAAGCCAAAGCTTGGAAAGAGATTGTTGATTCTGTTCATTCTGTTGGAGGTAATATTGCTATTCAATTATGGGCTTTGGGTAGGGTTGGTAATGCTAAGCTTTTAAAATCTCATGGATTACCATTAACTGGTGTCAGTCCAATTTATGAACATGAAAAGGCAGAAAAAGATGCCATCGATGCTGGTAATCCTATTCAAGAGCTTACTAAAGAGCAAATCAGTGATATTGTTCATGTTCAATTTACAAATGCTGCAAAACTCGCCGACGAAGCAGGGTTTGATTTTATTGAATTGCATGGAGCTGCTGGGTATTTATTTGAACAATTTATTAATCCAGGTACTAACAAAAGAACCGACGAATATGGTGGTAGTATTGAAAACAGATCAAGATTTTTATTTGAAGTCATTGACAAGTTATCAACCGTTGTTGATCCGTCGAAATTGGCAATCAGATTATCACCATTAAATGATTTTCAAGTTCCATCAGTTAACCCAACTGCTGAAGAAGACTACACTTATGTTGTTGAAGGTTTACAAAAAAGAGCAGATGAAGGTAAAGGGTTAGGCTACATTGATATATATGATGAACGTTATAACCCAGATGGTTCCATAAGACCACAAACCGTTGAATTCATTGACAAAGTTTGGAAAGGTGTATTGTTAAGAGGTGGTAGTTTTACTTATGACAAGGACAACAAGTGGAAGACTATTGAAAAAGTCGCTGATGCTGATAACAGATCTTTGATTGGATTCGGTAGATATTTCATTGCTAATCCAGATTTACCAGAAAGAATTAGAAATGGTCAAGAACTTAACGATTATGATAGATCTACCTTCTATTCTCCATTTAACTATGGTTACAACACATACCCAGTTTATGGTGAGGTAATTAAAGCTGATCCAGAAGAAAGAGTTTTAGGAAAACCGTTGGCCTGAGTAGTATTTCCACTATGGAAATAGGCAACTATAAATTTATGTAACTTAATGTACACATCAGATCACAATGCTACTTTTTCTAGAAAAAAAAAAAAGGAAAGAAATTAAGCTATCATCATGATAATTATTTTTATGTTGTCATATTTCCTCCAGGTAGTATTAATAACTTCAACTCTGTTTTTTTTTTTGAGTTTCTGATAGTATGAAAACACCATTACAACCAGTAAAAATAAAAGAAATTTTAAGATTATTGATAATCGGATCGATTTCGTTCAAATCATTTTTGATAGAACTATGTTTAGCAATTACATTAGTCATATTGCGAGCTACCAATGTTATCGGGTCGTGCATCATGCCCAAGTTCCCTTTATTAGTTTTGTACCATTAACTTTATCAGTTATTATTTAAATAATCCGATCATCGGTTAAGAGTGCTGGAACATTTAGAAATGAAATAAAATAAAATAATCTTGCGGTAATTCTGTCATCAGTATATGAGCCACCATGTCAATACAAGAAGTCTTGATCCATTCCGAAGTATTTTGTGATGTCTGTTCTTCTGACAAATTTCACAATTTTTTTTTGGTTTGGTTTGGTTTGGTTGCATTGCGAGTGAGTGAGATAAGGGACGATGCAGCATGGATAAGGAAAGAACAAACAAACAAAGTCATATGAACAGCCACACTTTATTGTGCTGATCCGATAATAATTTCACATGTTGACACTGAAACATAGAGCAAGTATTCATGTATAAATAGTTATCAAGAAATACCACTATCTCTATTGCTTCTGAACTTTGATTCTTCAGTAGATTCATGAGAATTAGGGATAGCAAATATTACTAACCATTATAAACGTTTCTTTTTAACCCGTAATCCTTTCCGACTGTTTCCATTCAGATACAACTAAGAAAGAGAAAAAAAAAAGATACATCATCTCATCAAGACTTCACAACTACTATAACTACTATAAAGTAGCCAACTTTTTCATGTTTGATCCTTATAAATTTTTTTGGGTCAATATTTGCTATATTTGATATTTTTTTTTTTAAGACGATAGTGGTTATTACATGATACTATAACTATTACATATTGACCCACTAACAAAGTACCAAATAGAATCATCAAACTTCAAATTTTTTATTTTTTTAAAATTATTCATATTGTTTGACACATCCTTTTCTTTTTGCATTGTATCATAGCCATCACAGTCATGTTGTTCCAATTACCCCCAGAATTAATTTCAACTACTTTATCAAACTTCTCATTAGATGAGTTGCAATATTACTTTGATGTTTTGGAATTAGTAAGCAATCCTCAGATCAATGACTTGTATCTTCCTATTCGAAAACTTGCTTTATTATGCTACTATAGTGATAAACCTTTAATTATAACTAATGTTGTTACCAAGAATCTGCACCAACATCATTACCCTGAAGGAGTCGAGCTTTCCATTGAAGAGTTGCAATTATTGAGAAGCAAGAATATCATCATCAAACCGAATCAAACCAATATTTTGATTAACGATGATAGCTGTGAATGTGGTTGTTTTAATGTGTCGTATATTAAATTTATCGAACAATTAATGGATTTATTACCGTACATTAACACATGTTGTCCAACAATAAACTTGGTTTTGAATTTGACCACAGACAAAATATACAATTTTACTATTTTGAATAATTTTTTTGATAGAATCCAATATATTGAAGTTTTAGCTATCAAGTATACTGGGGATAAGATTATCAACTTTCAAAACTTGAAAATTCAAAAAATCCAGTTACAGTTCTTTAACTTGAACAAACTTTTGAGTCATTTACAAGCCAACAACATTGCAAATACCCAACATTTGGAATTGAGATACAATCTGATTAATAGTTTATATTTTATTCCTTTAAATTCAAATTTGGTCTCCTTAAATTTATCCAACAACAACTTGGTTTGTATAAATGATGCCAATTTCAATTGGAAAATTTTAAACAACTTGGAAGTTCTTGATTTATCAAATAACAACATTGTCGATTTGAACTTGACTGGCAACAGTAGTTCCAATTATCGTTTAAAGAAGCTAAGCTTATTTGCCAATAGTTTAAGAAAAGTCCCAAATTTTAACAATTGTAAACTTTTCAGAGGATTAGAAGAGATTAATTTGTCGAGAAATTCAATTTCTGCTTTACCAGATAATGTATTTCCAAAATCGCTAAAATCATTATGGCTTAAAGGAAATTATTTACCAGATTTTATGAGTTCTTTAACTGGAAGAATTTTCCCAAAATCCCTTACGTATTTGGATTTGACTTATTGTAAGATTTTACCTTGTGGAAACGAACAAGAACAGGAAACAATCCGAAGATTAATAGAAACCGAACAGCTTCATCAATTAAAAGTGTTGGAATTGGAATTCTGAATTATGTACTTGGTCTCAATGCATGCTTTTATAGATTTTATTAATATAATAAATATATATATATATATACAAGTAATATGCACCTAAATAGTCTTTTTTATCTAATTTCTACGTTAAATTTATCAACCAATTCTTTTTCAACTTTATCATGAATTTCGTTAATTTCCACATTGGTCAAGTTTCTGTCCATTGATTGGTAATTAATTCTATAACATTGGGATTGTTTGCCAGTTTTTGGATGTGTAAATTCATCAACAAGAACAACACTTTCCGCCAAATCACCAGCATGAGATCTGACAATTTCCATAACATCATTAGCATGTAACTCATTTTGTAACCAAAATGAAACGTCTCTTTTAACACCTGGGTATTTTGAATATGGAACGAATGTACTGACATGACCTTGTTGGAATTGCTTGTGGAATCTTTCATCCAATGTCCAGAACAATCTAATATCTGGAATACCAAATAACAACATAGCAATTCTATCTAAACCAATACCAAAAGCCCAACTTATTTTATCTTCACCCAAATTGGAGTTCAATAAAACCTGTTGTTGAACAACACCACATCCACAACATTCCAACCATTCACCTTTCCACCAAACTTCAATTTCCCAAGATGGAGAAGTCCATGGGAAATAAGCTTCAACCCATCTTATTTTCAATGGTTCGTTCAAATAAGGTTCAGTTGATCCAGCAAGCTTGGCAGATTCTTTGGCTTTTTCAAAAACTTGGTTCACAATATATTCAACAGTTTTTTTCAAATGAATGGAAACAAGTCTGACTTCTTCTTCATTCATATATTTTTGCATTGGATTGTCTTTTGTAACAGGCTTATCTCTGAATGGATCTTCAACAATAATATTTGTTTTTGGAATAGAATCAATATCATCTTGAATAGTTTTAAATAAGTTTGGATCATTTTTACTCCACACTCTGGCACCTTCCATTTGATGAAAAGCAGGGTAATGTGTCCTATCAATTTCATCTCTTCTGTAAACATCTGCTGTAATCAAATAACCTTTAGTTTTACAATTAATAAAACATTCTTGTTCATGTGCAGAAGTATGGGTTCTCAATAAATGATCTTTGTTAAGATAATAGGTATCAGATTTAGATCTACCTGGATGATCTTCAGGGAAACCCAAACTATCAAAATTCTGAAACTTTGTAACTATAGGGTGGAAATCTTCATAAATAGTATAATCCATTCCTTGAATACTTTTCTTAATTAAATCATTCAAAATACCAATTGGATGGTTTGGGTTTTTGTGGAGTTTACGAGTAATCAACTCTAACATATATGGTGGAACGTTGGTCCAAGAATCATTCTTATAAGTTTTACCATCAACTATTAGATCCTTGGATGTGGAATAAAGTCTTCTACACGAGCGTAAAAAGTACCTTGAATTTGGTCTAAACATCTAGTGGGTTGGGTTGAATTTTACTGGAACGACTGATTGGTTGAGAATTTTTTTTTTTTATTTTTCGTCTTTCAATGTTGTTCAGACACACCAACTCTCGTTCTTTCTGTTGCACCAAGAGGAACACTGTCTCGTATCGACAACGATATAACAATAGTTTACTTTAACTCTACACTTGCATCACAGAAAAACTTTTACGTATTATTAATCTATAACGACAAATGGTTTACTACCATGCGTCTTCTTTATACCTACCGTTGTCCTCTAAAGAAAGTATAAAACTTTGGGAGTCTTCTTCATTCATGCCAGAATACTTTTTAATAATTTCTACAAATGTTATCTTAACTTCACGAGGCATTTTACCACTGGATCCACAAACAAATACTTTAGCGTTTTCTTCCATTAATAATCTACCAATTAATTCATACAGATGAAACAAACCATCTTGAACATACTTGTACTGCGAATCCAGATCTCTTGAAAAACAATTAAACACATGCAAATTCGGATACTCACCAGACCAGAAGGACTCTACTAAATTATCCTTTTCTTTGAATCTACATCCAAAGAATAAGTATAACTCTTGATTGGATTTTTTATCTAAGATATCATCAATAAGCGACTTCATTGGAGCTACACCTGTACCTGGAGCAACCATGATGATTGGTTGTTTGTCATCATATTTGAAACTGGATTTCTGAACCGAGTATAATATTTCATCACCTGTATTCAAACTCTTAAGCCATCTGGTGCATAGGCCTCTTCTTATCTTTCTTATAATTGTCTTGTACTCCACAATAGCAACTACCAACTCAACTTCACTCGTTGATGGTCTAGATGCAATCAGAAACATTCTTGGTTTGATTAATGGGAACAAATCAAGGATGTAGGATATAGGGATAGTCAAATTATTTTGAAATTCAAGCAATGTCTCCAAAATCAGTCTTCTTGGTCTATTAGCATAATCATAAAGATCTTCAGGTTCGTCAAGACTACCGAATTCTCTTAACTTCTCTTGTTCACGTTCTCCATCTGGAGTTGAGGAGTCAACAAAATGCCACAACAATGCAAAAAAGCTTCTTCTTGGAATTGAAATAATATCAAGGTGATATTTAATCAAATTTCTTAATGTTAAATTCTGAATGAATCCACCTTCTAAGGGTGGGAACTTTTTCACTTGCAATGGTTTGTCTGCTACTTTCAACCAATGTGGCTGCAGTTGCAATAACATCTCGACATCTTCATCAAAGTTACAAGGAAACAAAGAAACTGTATCACCAGGGGAATATTCTAATTCGTCACTAGATATCACAAAATTTCGAACATCTTGAAAATGATCAGGTGCGGTTAACCTCTTATTCTCAACAACTTTTCCAACTTTCAACCCATTATTACCAATTCTGGACAATAAAAAGTCATTGCCTATTTGTTCAATCTCTTGCTTAGAAACATTCACTCTATATTCTGGCATAGGTACGGTTTCTTCGTTTATTCTTACAGTACCAGGGAACTGATTCAATAACGCAGCAATTAATTCAGTCTCCCATTCGATATAATATCCATCTATACCTTCAGGAGATATTTCATCTGCTTCACATCTTGGTGACAATTCTTGACACCCTAATTGGGCCAATCTTGCATGGATTTTTTTGATCGCGTAATTATACTTTGTATATGAAGAATCACCTAAACCGAATGATGTCAAGTAAATATGTTGTAAGAAATCCAGAGGTAATTTTTTTTTCAAAATGAATCTCATAAACTTCTTTGCATTTCGTGGTATTTCACCTTGTCCTGTTGTTGAGCAAATGATGATCAAGTATTTTGTATGAGTAATCAAATTCTTCAATGGATACTCGTCCATAGATGTGCATACTGCTTTGAAATTATAGCATCTTAACCGTTGTTTTAAATACTTGGCATATTCTTCTGCATTTCCAGTCTCTGAACCATACAATATGGTTATTTCCTGTGACATTTCTTGGTGGTCTTATCTTGAGTGATGATATAGAAATTTTTCAAATTCAATTTCCATAACGGAAGAAATGTGCGAAATAGGAATCGGTCAAGAAAGACAGAGAGAGAAATAATAATAATAAAAAAATAATGACTCTACCAAGGAAAGATAACGAATTGACTAAGCGGATTTTCATGAGACTTAATATTAATTGCTAAATGCTTTACAATCCGATGATTGAAGATGTTCGATGCTTTATAGCCATTTAATGCTGGTTCTATTACATGTGAACAAAGACTAGGACAAGTATGACTTGTTCCCTTCAGCACAGTCGCTGTAAATGCGACACAAACAATTCTCAACAGAATTAACAACAACAGACAAGAATGAGTGAAGAAAAAAAAAAAAAAAAAAAAAGGAAAAGAGAGAGGAAAAAAACAATAAACAACGACCAGTCTTTCAAAACATTACTGACCACACTCATCAATCATGGCAACTAAAAGAAGACAATCGGCTTCTAGTGAAACAACACCAGTCAAAAAGTTGAAGAAAGAAACTTTCAACCACACACCTGAAGAATATAAAGAGTTTTTCAATTCCACGTTGGATTTAGTTTTTCATTTAAAAGATGGTGACGAAGAGTTGAGTGCCATTTTTGTTAAATTACCATCTAAGAAATTTTACCTGGATTATTACCACATTGTTAAACAGCCAATATCTTTAAATGAAATTCAAAAAAGAATAAAAAACAAATATACTGCAGAATCTGCTGATGAGTTTCTTGATGATTTTGAATTGTTATTAAACAATGCGAAAACATATAATGCCCCAGATTCTTGGATTGTTGCTAGTGCTACCAAGATAGTAAATTTTGTTAAGGACCAAGTCAAAGAATTTGAAAACACCCCTAGTAAATCCTTATCTTCAGTCACCACAGCTGCGACAGAAGCTGTTGAAACACCAGATCAAAAGAAACCAAGAATTAAGTTAAAGTTGAAGCAAAGACACGAAGAATCTATCCCAGAGGTCAATACTCAAGATTCCGAACCTCATATAACTTTTGGGAAATTGGCTGAGTTATGTCTCGAAGTGTTGAATGATGTTGTAAATCACGATTTTCCAGACATTGGTGTTATTAGTGAACCATTCCTAGAAGAAGTTGACACAGATTTCTACTCCGATTATTTGGATTATGTATCAAAACCAATGTCATTTAATACAATTATATCTAATTTGGAAAGGAAAAAGTTGTTGAGTCCAAAATACCCCTTGCTAGATAACTTACAAAAATTCCACGATACCACTACTTTGATATTTGACAATGCCAAGGCTTATAACAATGAAGGATCTCAAATATACCAAGATGCTGTTTTATTGGAAGAATATTTCAATGAAAAATACTCCGAATTAAAACATAAAGTTGAGAAAGATGGACCAAAACAAGCACAATCAATGGGACCAAAGTTGAAGCTTAATTTAGGTAAAGCAAACGCAGCTACCGTTTCAACACCCAAAAGAAAGAGAAAAGCTGTATTGAAAATAGAACCAGAAGAAACTCCAGAAGTAGTTGATGATGTACATGACGATCAAGTTGAAGTGGATCAAGCTGAAAAAGATAACGAAGGTAACGCCGAAGAAGAGGACGATAGCAACAAAGAAGTTGGAGCTGAACAAGACATTGCAAACACATTAGGTAAGTCCTTACCGTTGCTTCCTGAATCTAATGCAATAATCCAAGAATCAGCATTGTTTTCCTCTCCTGCAGTTGCCAGTAATGTTACTAAATTTGTACAACAAAAATTCTCAACTCCTGCTACTATTATTCCAAGAGAGAAAGAGATCAAGAAAGGCTTATTTCCAACCCACCAAACCACCTCAGTAGCCACACTTTTTTCATACAAGGTTCCAAGTAATGGATACACCAATCAATCATATACAGTGGCTTTGCCAAATGGAGTCCTGCCGTTTGTATCATTCAAAGTTTCTTTACACAATTTATTGTACGAAGCCAAAAAGCGAGACTTGATTGATGATCATGGATTATTGAACCAACCTGCCAACGAAGAATTTCATTGTAAATTATCAGTGAATGAAGAGGAAGTCACTGGCGTTGTTGATTGTTTCAAGGAAGAAAAAGGTTCAGAAGATGTTTTGGGTGTTCAATATGACGTGAGACTAAGTTATGGTTTGAATGTGTTGACTTTTGATTGTAAAGTTGCCCCTGCATTGAGTAAGAAAATAAAAAATACAGTTATCGAGGAAGAAGAAATTGCTGGTAGACATACAAGACATCAATTACAACAAATGCAAAAAACATGGGATGTCGAAACCATCACCTTTTATGTTGTTTGTAATTCTGGATAAACCAACCATTCTATAATTTATTTACATATGTACTATTAATTTTTGTTTATTATTTACCGATACAAAAGTTTGAGAATACAACGTCAAGAATCTCATCAAGGTCTATGTACTCACCAGTAATTTTACCAATTCCATCAACCGATTGAGTTAAACAGTCAGTGGCTACCACAACATCATCCTGTTTTGCCCATTTGTAGAACTCATTAAACCCATATAAAATATCATTTTCCAAAATGTCTTGAATTCTAGATGACACCAATACTGGATCCGATTCGTCAGTTTCAGCTAAACTTTTGAATTTATTGACCAACAACTCTTGCAATTCATCCATACCTTGACCACTCGAGCATGACACAACTTGAAACAAATCTTTTGGAACATTCAACAGCACTGAATATTGCTCAATCATGTCATTCACACTATCAGGATATAGATCTTGTTTGTTTAATACAATCAAAATGTTCTTTTTCTCTTTCATCAAATTTGCAAGATGGTCTTTTAATTCATCAGTATTTTCTGTTGTAGTTGGATCCAATACAACAATAATCAAATCAGCCAAATAGGATCTTTCTATAGCTCTTTTAATACCTTCTCGTTCTATAATATCGGCCTTTTCTAGCATTCGAATACCTGCAGTATCTCCAATCACTACTTTGAAACCGCCAATTTCACATGGTATATCAAGAGCATCTCTAGTTGTACCAGCAATCTCACTAACAATTGCTGCATCTTTATTAACCAATGTGTTTAATATTGACGATTTCCCAGCATTCGGTGGACCCAACAATGTAAGTTTTATCCCATTCAATAAAATCTCCAGAGATCTAACCTTTTTCAAGTATTTTCTTATTTGTTCTTCGAGTTTTTTGATATTGACAATAACATTGTTAATCAACGTTTCAGTTTCATCTAAATCGTGATCTTCTCCAAAATCTATGATAGTGGTTAAATTGGCAATTTCTTCAAGGATATCTTGTCTCCATTGTTTGAATACTAATCTTGTTTTACCTGATGAACTTGACAAATTAGCTAATCTTTGTTGTTCTGTTTCAGAGTTGATCATTTCATTTATACCTTCCAATTCAGTCAAATCTAATCTCCCATTAACAAAAGCTTGTCTTGAAAACTCACCTCTATCTGCTTGTCTTATAATTATCCCTTGATCAGGTGCATGTAGGGTTTTAATGGAATTCATTACTGCTTTTATGATTGCAATACCACCATGTAAATGCAACTCTAGTAAATCTTCCCCTGTGTAAGTTTTGGGACCAGGTAGGTATAAAGTCAATGCTTCATCAAGGATACTTGGTTTATCTGTTTCCGTGGAAAGTAATTTTCGTACACTTGCTATTCTGTTCTTTGGTGGGGTAGTTGTTCTTGTAAGTTTATTATAGATATATTTTGCTTGTGGACCTGAAATTCTCACCACTGCAATTGCAGATTTTCCTAATTTAGTGGATAAGGCAAATATAGTAGGTTTAAGAGTGTTTGTAGTTGAAAGAAATCGACGAAACATCTATGACCGTTAAAACTTGATTTGATTATCGAATCAACCTCATCTGAAAAATTTCCAGTTCCGAAAAAAAAAAAAAACTCCTCCTCAAATCTCAAATATAAGAGGAAACCTTACTTGATTTCAACCCCACAATACCTGATTGACAATGTTCCAGTCAATTTCAAAATCCGCCATTCGATATTTATCAACTAGTCAATGTTTATTAAGTCATGAGAATCCATTAGGTATACCTAGATTATCTAAAGATCAGATCCCGCGTGCATCGCAAGGAATTCCAATAAGACAAAAAATCCCCAATGTAGCAAATATAATTCTAATATCATCTGCCAAAGGAGGAGTAGGGAAATCTACAGTATCGGTAAACACAGCTTTGGCTTTACATAAATTAGGTAAGAAAGTTGGTATTTTGGACGCTGATATTTTTGGTCCCTCGATTCCAAAGTTAATGAACTTATCAGGAGAACCACGATTGTCCGGTACAGGAAAGTTACTACCATTATCAAACTATGGAGTACAAACAATGTCAATGGGATATTTGATAAAACCAGAGCAGGCTATAGTTTGGAGAGGTTTAATGGTAATGAAGGCATTACAACAATTATTATTTGAAGTGGATTGGTCACCAATAGATTATTTAGTTATTGATATGCCACCTGGTACTGGGGATACACAATTGTCAATTGGTCAATTGTTACAAATTACTGGAGCAATTATTGTAAGTACACCTCAAGATATTGCATTGATTGACGCAGTGAAGGGAATTACTATGTTCAATAAGATTAATATACCAATAATTGGCATGGTACAAAATATGAGTCATTTTATATGTCCAAATTGTAATCATGAAAGTCATATATTCAAAAGTAAAGGAGCTGAAAAAGTTGCAACTGAGAACAATTTGAAGTTGTTAAGTTCTATTCCATTGAATGAAGAAATTTGTGTACAAAGTGATAGTGGTAAACCAATTGTTGTCAGTGATCCAAATTCACCGGTATCCAAACCTTATTTTGATATAGCTAATGAAATTATCAAGTTTAAATAAACAGAATAACAATTTTTTATTCATTTTTGTTTGTATTTTTGTATATTTCTTTTATATAGGCATTACAATATTTATCACCAGAATAGCTTCTTCTCTTAAAAAGATTATTTTTTTTTTCAACACTTTGTGGTTAATTTAATTTGGCACCCAATAGAGTGATCTATTCTTTTTTTTAAGATCTTATCCATAAGTGCAATGTATTTTAGTTGGATCATTATTGTATTATTTACCTTGTTGGGATATTGTAGGAGCAATTTTCAGAATACTAGTCATTCACCTTCAAATGATAAAATATCGTTGTTCCTCAACCATTTTCAGATCTTTAAAGATTTATTGCCGCATAACGGTGATTCCAAACCCAAAATCAAAGAAACAAGACCTTTAATACAAGTTCTGAGGGATGGTGTTCCTGTAAACTTTAATAGAGTGCCAGCATTAATTATTAGAAAAAACATCACCACAATCACCCTTGAACCACCGATCACCACCGCCACTGCTTTGAATTTTCTGACTGCTAATAGAAATGAATACTTTAGAATTGGAAGTACAACTAGTAGAGCAGATCCATTGTATGAAATTAAACGGTTGGAGGAATTGGTTTTAAACTTAAAGAAAGAAATGTTAGATCAACAGGAACAATTTAAAAATGAATTGTTGAAAATTTACCAACCTAGCCCAATTCAAAGAAACTTGATAACCCCTACTATTACAAGTTTAATAGAGACTACAAAGACAAGTTTTAGTCAATTATCTACTAGTAGTGAAATAATTGTGATACCTGAAAGTTTACATCATGTTGAAGTACAAACCACTGAAATAGGACACGTTACTCATCATCATAAATCAGAAAAGATACATCCCAAAGATATTTGGAATAAAAAGAATCCTCCAAACTCGGTATTAATTGTACCTCAATTCAAATATCATCACCAGCATGCAACAGCAACTCCATTGGCTTATTCAAAACCAAAACAAATAATGTGGACTAATTTTCCAACTACAACTCCTCATATTTTTTACGAAAATAATCATTTTCTATTTAATCATGAACAATTAGCCAGAAGTACATCTGTTAGTGATGACATCGAAGAGTATGAAATTGTCCAAGAAATGACTGATACAGAACTGGAAGAAAGTGATACGTCAGATGAAGTTCAAGAAGTACAAACAGATAAAGAAGTCATAGAACGTACATTTTTACAACAGGCAAGATTGAATCGTCCACGGCCAACATTTGAAGATCCATTTGTTGATTTACAAACCATAATGACGGTTACAATGACGACCCAAACATTAGAAGATTCTTATATTCCTAGATCCAGTAGACGGAAAGGTGCCAAACACAACGAAGGTTTTAATGAACAACCTTCCTTCAAATTCGATGTTATTGATTGGATATTTGAAAACACAGGTAATGTATTGAACAATTTGCAAATGGTGATAGTTATTGTTTCATTAGAAATGGTTCTTCTATATTTACTATAAAAGAGAAATCTTGATGGTGGTGTATATAATTTTTAGTGTAGATCTTGTTTTTTTTTTGTCTTGAACTCTTTAGTGGTTGCAAAAGAATTCGATTGGTTGTCAGTTAAGAATTGCATGTGATTTTATTTTATTTTATTTTATTTAGATCTTTTGTTTATATTTTTTTGTTTTAGTGCAAATTTTGTTGGGATGGCTGTGTTTACAATTATGCACGACGACATTTTCTCGTTTAAGCGAATTTTTTTTTTCTTCGTAGATGATGCATTGGTGCGACATTCTGAATTTTTTATTTTTTTTTCTTGAATTTCCTGTTTGCCGGACTTGAATCAAAATTTGTTTCACTTCACATCAGTTCTGAATTTTTTTTTCCCTTCTTGTTTACTTCGATCTGCTTTTTCTCTTCACTGCATGATATAACAACCCCAGACAATTATATCACCGATGTCATCTACACCATCCAGTCCAATAAAGAACGTAAGTTCAGATAGTGGTTCCTCAGAAATCAGATTGAGAAAAGAAATCAAACGAACTATTTTGGATTTCGATAGTAATAGCTCTTATATTGAAGAAGAAGACAAAACTTATATCTATACAAATTCCAGCATAATAGATGAAGATGATGAAATGGAAGATGATGAAGAGGAAGATGTAAGTGGAGAATTGTTGAATGGAGAAGACGATGATTTGGATAGCACTGAAGTTGAAGGTGAGGATAATGTTGATGAAGACGATGACGATTCCAGCACTGTTTTGGAAAAGTTAGATGGCGTTAGTTCTAAAGACGAAAAGAAGCAAGAATTTACCCAACCATTAACATTCTATCAATTCCTTAAGAAACATGAAATACCTAGAAAAATTTTCCACTCTTCAATCGGTGTTTTGACTTTATGGTTATACACATTGGGTGTTACGATCAATCAGTTATTTATCCCATTGGGTACTTGTTTCATGGGTGTTTTGATTAATGATCTTGTGCGTTTAAACAATCCTAAACTTAATGAAAAAATCTGTCATGTTATGTCATTTATGATCAGAGACAGTGAGTATGATTCATACAACGGTACTTTGTTCTATTTAGCTGGTGTTTTGATTGTACTTTATATGTATCCAAAGGATATCTCTGTTTTGAGTATTCTATTATTAAGTTGGGCCGACACTTCCGCTTCTACATTTGGTAGAGCTTTTGGCAAATACACTCCTAAAATCAGTAAGGGTAAATCATTGGCTGGTTGTTTGGCTAGTTGTGTGACTGGTATTATCACCAGTTACTTGTGGTATGGATATTTCATTCCAGCTTATAATAATGTCAACAAACCAGGTGAAATTTATTGGAACGAACAAACAAACAATTTGAGTTTGAATGTTTTCTCATTAGCAGTTGGTATTATTACCAGTTTGTCTGAAGCTGTGGATTTTGCCGGAATTGATGATAATTTTACCATTCCTGTTCTTAGTGGAACTGGTATTTATTGGGTTGGTTAGATTAACTCAAAAGATTTAAATATAACGTGTGTTCATGTATACCCCCCATTTCAACCCTCGCCTACGATATATCTTGATGGTTTGTTAACTTTATATTTAATTAAGCAACAATGGTTCTTTTTTTTTGTAATTGTTTTACTTCAATTTAATTTTATTTCGTTTTATAGATGTATAATTCATAATAATAAGATAATTTCCGATTGTTACTCATTGAACGTGTGGATCTGTATGCACTGCTGCTTGTTTTTTGGTGACATTTTACAGCCAAATTGAACAATAAAAAAATGCTAGAATTCATGCATGCTACAACCAAAACTTTCTATAAACACCCTCGACATTACTTAAAATATATCATCGTCGTCATCATCATCTTCACCAAATTCATTTAACAAACCCGCCTTCATTAAAATATCATCCCAGTTACTACACAATATAACAACAGCTTCACTTAATGCAATGACAACCATACCGCTTCCAACACCAATCCAAAGACCGTAAACTTCTAAACCAACTATCTTACTCAAGATCATAGCTAATGGTAATGCAAAAGCATAATACGAAATAAAATTGATATATCCACCAATTTTTTGTGATCCTTGTGCACGTAAAATACCACTGCTTACAGAGGCTATACCATCAAAAATCTGCAAAACACTCACTAATGGATTCAACAAATTAACAATTAATGAAATCACCTCTGGATCGTTGGAAAATACCCTGGCAATAGGATATCTAAAAGACCACAAAATTAAAAAGTTCAATGTAGAAACTATAATAGATGCAATCATAGCGACTCTGGTGGCTGTTATTGCCCCTTTCATATTCTGACCACCAATGAAATTGGCTATTCTGGTTGCTGCAGCAATACCAACAGAAAATGGTACCATATAGGTTAATGATGCAATACTAGAAACAGCACTTTGTGCTGCAAGTTGTACAGCACCAAAATATGAGGCGAATAAAGTCATTATTTCGTATGCCATATATTCAGACTCCATCATAACAATACCAGGAATTGCCAAACGCATGATGTTACCCCAGTCACTAAACAACTCTTCCCAAGACGCAATTCCAAACCAACATTTCTTACCATCAATATAAGCAACATAACCAATTAACAAGACAAACATCAACCAATAGTTTACACCAGCAGAGATTGGAGCACCTACATAACCAATTCCATAAGTCTCATTCCATACCAAGAACCAACTAAGTCCGATATTAATAGGTGCACTAATGAACAAAATCCCTGTCCCAGCTTCAAAAATACCTTGCGCTTGTAAGAAACGTTTTGAGTTTTCAAACAAGATATACCCAGGAGCTCCCAATATCAAGAATCGTAAGTATAACTGGGTCAAATAAACTACTTTAGGATCATCTATGACGTATTTCATCACTGCTCCAGAAAACCACCAGAACAATGCACAAGGGAGAAACATCACCAATGATAAAACATTAGTTCTTTGTACATAAATCGACATCATTTCATAATTACGTGCACCAAATGCTTGAGGACACAATGTGTCAAGTGCAGTAGCAGTTCCTTCAAATATCGCAAATGTGATTGTTGCTGTCATTGTAGCCAATGAAACAGCACCCAATTCCTTTGTACCCAATTTACCCACAACAACCAATGCAACTATGGAGAAAAAGTGTTCCAAGATAAATGTCACCACCAATGGTATGGAATTCTTAAATAAGCTTTTTGATTCTATCTTGTAATTTGTTTTCATTGTGAAAAAATCCTCCATCAAACATGAATCATCAGTAGAGCTTCTTCGCCTTCTTCCAAATTCGAGATTAGCAAAGTCTTCATCACTATCACTTTGTGCTGGGGATGATGCGGCCGACACTCGTCGTTGATGTTCTTCATGTAGCCAACTCTGAAAAGATTCTTGATCATCAGTTGTATGTACGGAACTTAATGTAGACGGGAGTGACCGTGAAGTACTTACACTGGCAGCATCACTATTATCATCGGGCTGTTCATATTGGGATCCAGTTTCAATATTTGAAAGAAATGAACGTTGGTCATCACCTAATCCATAAAGAAAAAGTGGGTATTGTGTTGACGGTGCAACAAATAATCTTCTGGGTCTACCTTTTGTTGCTGTCCCATTAGCAATATTATTAATTGTAGGGAATAAGACCATAGTTTGTAACCTTTAATTGTAATCAAGATAATATTAAGAGCAATAAGAATGAGAAGGAAAGGAATACAATCTGAAAAAAAAAAAGAAAAAGGAAACCAAAAAAAAAGAATAGAAAGTGTACACAGAGACACAATTCTGCGTCGCCAATGATCGTGGTGTTAGATAACAGATTTTAGACTTTTTATTTTTTTTCATACTTCTTCTACTGTCTCAGTTCAGACAGAATTTTATTTCACGAACTTAATGTTATTTATATTCTATCTACTTACTCTCTACTTCTATTCATTGACAAACAACCCAGCATAACCTTGTCCAGTACTCATACACATTGAGACAACACCTAATTCTTTATTTTGATCTTTCAACCCATTCAACAAAGTTGCAACCAATCTTCCTCCCAGTTGTCCTAGTGGATGTCCCAAGGCAATTGCACCACCATATGGGTTAACTTTATCATAATCAAGGCCTAATTTTTCAATACAATAAATCAGTTGACTTGCAAAAGCTTCATTAAGTTCAAAAATGTCAATATCTTTTGTTTCTAAACCAAATCTAGCCAATAATTGTGGAATTGCAGCGGATGGACCAACCCCCATAAACGCTGAAGGAACACCAGCAACACTAGATCCAATAAATCTTCCAACTGGTTTGATACCAATTTTTTCTGCATTTGCTCTTGTGGTTAATATAGCTGCAGCACCACCATCGGAAATCTGGGACGAATTTCCGGCAGTTGTAGTACCATCATCCTTGAAAACCGGTTTTAAGCTTGCTAATTTTTCTAAAGTGGAACTTCCTCTAATTCCGTCATCTTTTGTAATTACAACCTCTTCACCATTTTCTCCAGTAGTAACAATAGGAATGATTTCTTTTGCAAAATGTCCCAGTTTAGTGGCTTTATCAGCTTTCAAGTGAGAGTTCAATGCAAATTTATCTTGATCTTCACGGCTAATACCAAACTTACTAGCAACATTTTCACTGGTAATACCCATTGGCATTAATACATTTTTGGCTTCATCACTAGCATTTTCATAAAAATTTTCAGCAATTCTTGTTGGAATACCTCGATGTGGGAAATAATCATGCGTCATACTTTCAACTCCAGCAGAAATAGCAAATTGATTCTCTCCTGATAATAAACTACTGCTTTGATAAGTTAATGCTTGAGCAGAACTTGCACATTGTCTATTAATTGTATTCACGGTGGTTTTTACTGGGAACCCAACTTTTTTAATTGCCAATGCACTTGCTTTATGACCACCCAAAGTTTGTAAAACCGTACCAACTAAAACATCATCTATTAAATTAGGATCGACTTTAGATTCATCCATAGTACCTTTAATGACTTGGTATAAGATCTCTTCAGGGAAAAGCTTCAGTAAACCACCTTTTATGGCTTTGGTGTTTGGGGTTCTTTTAGCGGCAAGGATAACAATATCATTAGCTGATTTCTTAAACATGGTGAATGTATGATTTTTTGATAATAGCAGATTATTTACTTTAGAAAGAAACGGGAAATCAAGTCATATTTAAAGTTACTGAATCCCGTTGAAAATTGTCGTTTATAGTGGAAAATTAAAGGTGGGGTTTACATAATTAAAGACAATTGCGATCATAGGAAAATAGATATTTCCGATTCCGCTCGGAAATACTAACAAATGGAAATATGCATACACAATTATATAACCCCCGGGGCAAGACAAATAATATTAAAATAGTGGGTCTTGTGTATACAATCCCTATATATAAAATTTAAATTTGATTTCTAATGTTGATGTATTCATCATATTCCAACTTACTTTTTAAACCATCGTATTTCGTCAACTTCAACCAACCTTCATTCAAACCTTTCTCATAAAACTTAAGGGTATTTGCTTTAGAGACAGGATAATCAGCCTTCTTTAGTAAGTAATACAATGTAGTCAATTTGTCCCACTCTTCTTCTTCGGCAACACTAGGTAAGAAAGTTCCAGAATAGTGTCCACCATCAATATCGAATGAAACTTTTAATCCATTCAATCCAATTTCCCATTCTGTTGGATTATTAATTGGAATAAAATTGTCTAATAATGTCACCGATACTTCTAAATCTTCAATTTCATTAACACTAATTGGCGGGAATCTTGGGTCTTGTAATGCTGAAGTCAATGAAAATCTTGATACTCCTGAATCTATAGATAATTTGGAGAAAGTTCCGATACACCCTCTTAAGTTGTGATTTTTATTCCATGTTATAAATAATGGTGCCAGTGTTGGAAAATTACTTGGATTCTCTTTAAGAATTTGGTAAAATTTGGATAACGGAATCTTTTTTTGACTGGGATCAACGTTTAATTTATTACATAACGTTTCAAATGCGTAACAACATAAAGCTTTTGACATATTTTATCGATTTTAAACCAATTGAGTTTGCTTGTATGAGAAATTGAATTCTTGCTAACAGTTGCAACGAACTTCTTGGTCTCCAATTTTTTTCTCCATTTCATTATTTTTCTGAGTTTTACTTTGCCTTATCGTTGCTTACTTCCCGATAAAAAAAAGGTCGTGCAAGTTTGTTGAGTTTAGAATTTCAGTTTCAACAGAACCAATTATAGAATTGCTTCCATTCAAGGCAATTGATTTATTCCGTGTCCGTGTAAATACGGTGTTAATGTAGAACAGCCTTTTATCTTCATCAATAATTCCAAAATCTTCAAACTATAATGTGGAGATTAAGGAGACTTGTAAAATTGAGTGGCAAAATATAATATCTAATTTTGCTTCATACATTATGATGCAAAAAAAAAAAATACCATTCCACAAAAATGAAAAACTTATCGGCTATAAAAAGGTTTCAATTTTTCTTCACTTTCCCTTAAACAGACAGACGTACAACATTTCATTATTCAATTGATTCAATTAATTCTACAATATTTCACAATGTATCGTCATTACTATCGAGGAGGTCCTTGTTTTGGATTTGGTGGGTTATTCTTATTAGGTGGTGCTTTCTTTTTAGGTACGGTTTTTGCTGGTGGCCATAACCATCACCACGATGGCCCATTTTGGTTTAGAAACCATCATCATCATTATGCTTGTCAATGTCCTGAGTGTGTTCGTAGATTGGAATATAGAGCCGAATGTGAAAGAGAATACTACTATAGAAAATATGGCAAGGATACTCGAAGAGATACTGCCAATGATCCAAAAAGCAATAGTGATTACAAAGAATGACTACTTTGGAAATTGATGTGGTGCACTCCCCCACAATGAACTTGTAAATAGGGTATGTGTATATGTATATTTTTATTGTTCTCATTGTTCCCCTCTTTATTGCTAAATATCTTCTTGTATATATAATTTTAAAAGATAACACACAATTAAAGTTTCCATTATCAAGCCAACCCCTAAATCTATTCTGTCATATAAATAGACCCATACTTCCTTTCAACTACCAAAAAAATATACAAAAAGAGCAAGAATTTAAATCAAGTTCAAAGTTTTTCACAAACACAAATGGCAGCTACTAATAATCAAATCCCTCGAGGAGCATACAAGTCTTGGTTAGGTATCGGTGCGGTGGCACTTATCGGAGGTGCCTATATGCTACATAGAAGGAATTCTCGACATGAACCTGGATGCAATTGCAGAGAGTGTTTTAGGAAATCAGGCAGCTATAAGAATTGGGGTCCACGTGAAAGACCAAATGCAGGCGATGATTTTATTAAAGATTGAATGATGCAGAGATGTATATATAGTTTATACGGAAACAACAACACCAAAAAAAAAAAAGAGAAATAGGCTAATATAAAATACACATGTTATTACCAGTGCCAATATGCAATCAAAATACAAATGGCAGCTAAACCTTCAATCATCAAACCCATGAATGTATAATATTTATAGTCTCCAAATAATATCATATACTTACTTGGTTCTTCAAAATTGATACCATGAAACGTAGTCATAATAGAATATGCACATCTAACGATTAAAATTACTAAACCTGAAATTAACAACTTGGCGATGATGTTAAACTTGTCTCCGATGGATAGCATGAAAACTAAAATTGCAATCATTAATATAACACCAACCAAGAATAAAATTGACGAGGTTCTAAGAAAAGTTCCAACTGATGATGGTGGGTTTGTTTCCGATGCTTCTGAAGTCCCATAAATACTCAAAATAACTGCTACTATCAAAACAATTGTAACCAACTTAAATGGCCAGAATTTTTTTGCAAAGTTAGTATGAATTTCTTCACTCTGGTTTTCAATATCATTAGCTTTATATTCTACATTAGGAATTGGTGGGGACCTTCCATTATGCAAACCACCCTGTTGATTGAACATATGTTGAATTAATGAACTAATTGATCTGGTTATAAAACCCAAACTAACAGTATCAAAGACGTATGTTGGAATAAATAAACTTAATTGGAAGTTCTGTTGGTGCATAAAAACTAAAGCAAGGATACCACCAGCCACTTTAAGCAAAAGAAATAAACCAAAGAGAATAAAGAATGGTAGCATGGGTTTCAATTCATTTCTTTTTTTAAGTTTAAAAATAATAGAAATAATAAATTCAATCAAGAAGATAAAGAAAACAAATATTTGGACATAGGAAACAGTTTCCCACCCGGTGTAATTTGGCAATTGCATCAGTGATAAACGTTGTTGTTGATAATAATAACAGAGGTTAAAAAAATTGTGAATTATATGAGATTAAAACAAAATCTAACGTGTATTTATAGTTCATATGAATCACAATCATTCAGTAGCATCTATAGCTTGTTAAGCCAATTCTTCAGGCATTACTGCAAAATTGTTTCTTGATATTGGAAAAAAACAAAAATTTAAGCGTGAGAGCCGCGGTGCATAAGCATCACTTTTTTGTGTAATGATTGAGTTTCACACCAAAACACACACACTAGATTGGACCAGAGCTATAATGAAAAGTTGTAACCAATGAAGGAAAGACAATTCAAGTGGTTAAATATCCACTCGCATATTGCTATTACAAACATACTATAGTGATACAGCCAAAAAAAAAAGAACGGATTCTCTAGCATGTGGGGAGGATTACATGAGTGACTTTATTTTATGATTTTACTTTGAGGCTTAATCCGATTTCATTATTCTTCTTTATCCGATTACATAATCGGTTAAGTTTTTCTGGCTTTCACGGCTATGTGAATTGATTGAAGTATTATCTTTCTATGGGCAAACATATCAACTGGAACAATTTAGGATTGGTTAAATCTGTCATTCATACAGGCAGTGTTAACATAAAATTGAGTATTTTCTGCAAGGTTTATTTGTCATTAGCAAAATAAAAAATTATCATAGGCGCCATTAGTAAACGAGGCAACTAAGAGGGAAAAGCAAAAAAAAAAAAAATTAAAGTGAACTTCTTGGAACGAGGGAATAGCAACATCAATGGAAATTAATTAAATACTTCAAGTCTAAAGTATTTTCTTTTTTTTTTTTTTGTCAATTTGCTTTTTGCTTTTTATATAAATTTAAACAAAACCGTTCATTTCCCATTTTGAAAAAGATCTTTCACTATAGATATTCAGACATTTATTTTTTTTCTATTGAATAATGACGATCCCACTTATTGGAAGATTAAGCTTATCTGACTGGCCATTGGTCATCGTATCGTTCTATTTGGCATGGCTTGAATTTGTTATAACTTTGATAACTACTTTATTACCAAGTGGGTTCATTGACTTTTGCACGTTCATGACCAAACAATTTTACAAATTCACCAGAAATCCCATTACTTTGATTACTAAATCTAAACAAATCGATGTGAATGAAGAAGAGAATATTAAATATCTGTACATCAAATCGGATGTTACCAACAAGTTTACAAAGAAGAATTATGATTTAATGATTGAATTATTAAACGCAGAGAACATAGAACAGATGGTCAAATTATTTGGGTACGATATTGAAAGCAGAATAGTCAAGACTGACGATGATTATTTGTTAACAATACACAGAATTGTGGGCAAAAACAGACCATCTAATGGAAAAGTGGTGTATTTACATCATGGGTTATTGATGTGTAGTGAGATTTGGGTAACCATGATTGACAAGTATCAAAATTTGCCATTTATTTTGTACGATTTGGGATACGATGTGTGGTTAGGAAACAATCGTGGTAACAAGTACAGTCAAAAACATTTGCGCCATAATTTGGGTTCTACGGCATACTGGGATTTTTCTATTGATGAGTTTGCATTGTTTGACATTCCAAATACCATTGACTATATCTTGCAAGAAACTGGAAATGAAAAGTTGACTTATATTGGTTTTAGTCAAGGAAGTGCCCAGGCATTTGCAAGTGTTAGTGTTCATTCAGATTTAACCAAGAAGATTGATCAATTAATTGCTATTTCCCCAGCCACTACCCCACATGGTTTATTCTCAAGAGTGTTGGATGTGTTATTAAAGTCTTCTCCAAATGTTGTTTATCTTTTATTCAGTCGACGCGTTTTGATGCCATCTTGTATCTTTTGGCAAAAAATCATGTACCCACCTTTGTTTGACACTCTGATTGATATTGCCAACTATATGTTGTTCAATTGGAAAGCTAAGAATATTACAAAACTCCAAAAGTTGAGTAGCTATGCTCATTTATATTCAACAACTAGTGTCAAATGTGTTGTTCATTGGTTTCAGGTGATGTCTAGCAAGAATTTCCAAATGTATCACGATTCAAAACCGGGAACATCCGGCCTTAATCCAATTACTTATCCGTTGAAGAATATAAAAGTTCCAATTCATTTGATTTATGGAACCACAGATTCTTTGGTTGATATTGATGTTATGAAAAGTCAATTACCAGAGAAGACTACAACCGCTCATCCAGTTGACAATCATGAACATTTGGATAACTTATGGGGTGACGACGTTTACGAATTGGTTTTCAAACCCGTCTTAAAATATTTAGGTGAAGATGTTGACAAGGTATACGCCAGATTATTCAAAACAGATGGGAGCACTAGACTCATCGAAAACATTATTAGAAGCGATGCCGAAACACTTACAGTAGAGGATGAAGATGGAGAAGTTTTGAATGCCCAATCTTATCTCAAGTCAGTTAATGGTAATACTGATGAACCTGTTCCGTTGGAAACACCACTTGTAAATGAATACGAAATTCAACAGAATATCGGAGGTAATATATTTGTATAGAGGTTATTAATATAAATAAAGAACAAACCAATCAGTCAGTTTATGTACATAAATGTTTTATTTTTATTTCTTGCAAAATGTTCCTAAGAAGTCGTGTACTTCGGTCCAGTGCCGCTTTTTTTCTTTAAAGAAAAAATGAAAACGATGTTGCACAAAAGTGATATTTGATTCACCAAAGAAAAGAGAGTGAGAAAATAAAAGAATGAGAAAAAAAAAAAAGAATTAAAGAAAAATTTTGGAGGTCAAAAAAATTTACAACCCACTTCTTTAATCACTCTCACACTCATATCAACCATTCCTATTAGGATAGAATTCGTTTGGCGAAACCAGTATTAAGTCATATATACCATGTCGAACGATTTGACACAAGAACATCAAGTTAGCGTATGTATTTATATGATATCACGAAGATAAAACTCAGCAGGGTTTTCCCAGGTCATTTTATGCGGTTTTTTTATTTTTAGTATTGTAATTTGTTGCATTTTTCCCTTGGGTAATTATCTTTCGGTTAATTTTTTTCTTTTACATTATTGTTGTGGCTATAATCACAATATGATCTTATATTCAATGTACTAACTATTCATGTCTTTTTCTTCAGAATACCAACAGTATCAACATTGATTTTCACCCAAATGGTATGTTCTCAGTCTATTTTAATTTGAACTAGTAGTTAATGAACTTTTGATATACTAACACTTTTTTTTTCTGAATAGAACTTCTTAAACGTATTCTTAAAGAAATCCCTCGGTCTTTACCCTACTATAATAATAATGAGGTTCCAACCGATAACGAAGATCCAATTGTACTGGAGTTAATGAAGTTACATCCCCACAACTCAAGATTGGTCATATCAAACATTGCATATAATGAACAAGTTGTACAATATTCCGCGAAATTGCAGGAATTGCTATACCTTTTATTGGACGAAAGTCAATTAGACGATAATACAAGGATCAGTATTGAAGCATCCCTAGCTGAACTAACCACATCATTACCCATCCTGAAGCACGACAACTACGTTTATGACTCAACCGGTTCTTCAAATAGAAAATTCAAAAACCGTCAATTCCTACCTCATCCTAAATCAACAGACTTGACATACCCAAATAATTACTTGTCAAAAATATTGATAGATAATTTTGACTCCTTGATAAGATTCTCAAAGACTTATTTTAATTTGTCTCTAGCTTCACAAATTACAAAGTATACGGTTGAACTAATTTACCAACTATATTATTGGGAAATGGTGCACCTTGTTTTTATAAACCCTAGTATGGTTGACTTTTTGGTCCTATTGAAATTTGAAATTATCAATACTTCCTTTGGCCCAATAATCAGGCCACCTGATACGTACTTGAATGATAATATGTTACAAGGTTTACAGTATCCTTATCCTTATCCATTTTATAATTATTCGTACCATTCGTTTAATGGCCGCATCGAAAATGATAAATTCAATAAGGTTAAAATTACACCATACATTGATATAACCTTGAAGAACTACAGTGGGGCAACACAAACTAAGCGCAAAAGAGGAAGAAAACCAAAATCAGAAGCAAATACAACAGGCAGAGACACTGGAAGAGCAACCCCAGTTGAACTTAGTAGAACCATTAGTGAAACGTCTGACTATGAAAGTAAAGACAAGCGAGCCAAAACAGAGCTTAATACTCCAGGTATTCCTTTACCATATAATCAAGGACAGACGTCATTACAACAACCACAGATATCTTCCGGTTCAATAATGGCATCGACTAGTCTGCGCAATAATGCTAATTCTGAAGCATCTCGTGATGTGCCACCACCATTGACTACATTTTTACCAAATGCTAGAAATTATCCTCAACCACATAATCAACAACCAATCTTTGGAAACAACCAGTCTCCACAACTCGCTTCAATATCTCCAAATACAGGATACCAATCAGTACATTTAGCTTCAGGAATTCCTCCACGAACTGAAATTTCTGGCCCAACTAAAGGTTCAAACATTTCTGTGCAAGGAATGTCACAACAACAATTACCTAGTGCACTTCCAATTCCAATACACCAACAATATGCAAATTCTCCATATCAACGCATCCAAGTTCCAAATACAGATAATGATCTGCAACTAGTTGGAAGAAACTCGGAAAATATTAGAATTCCACCAATTGCTAGCGAATCTGCTTCTCCAGGTCATATGGAGCGACAACCAATGTCTCAACAACAACAACAACCGTCCTCGGAATCTATTGCACGTAGTGGCTCTGTTAATACATCAATTCCAATGGTAAACCCAATAGCTAACTATAGGGGACTGGCAGATAACGTTCTTCCATCCATTAGCAAGTTGCGCAGTGATCAACAATCTCCAACTTCATTGAGTAGTATTTCTGGATCTCCTGATACTAGAAGCTCACCAACAACATCCACCTTTAGTATTCCTAAGAATTACCAATTTTCAAAACCAGATCAATATCAACCTCCGGGTTTGTCATCTGGTGTACCAATAGCAATAGGATCGTCACAACAAAAGTCGCAGCCTCCGCCACCACAACCTCAATCACAACCTCAATCACAACCACAACCACAACCACAACCACAGCTTCAACTTCAGCCACAACAACACCAACAGTCTGAATATGTGTCTAATTTTGATAGTCCACAACTGAACATTTCTTCTACTGCAACCCCACCAGCAGTAGGAAGTTCGTCCAATGCGTACCAAGAACAAACTAATGAAGAAAAGACCAAGAAACAAAAGAGTGGAGTCATTCACCAATGTCATTTGACGGATCCGAACACGATGGCAGAGTGTATGAAGATTTTTTACGGTAAAAACGAGTTATTGAGACATCAAGAGTTTGTGCACGCAACAAAGAAGAAAATTTACAAATGCATTTATTGTGCAAAAAATGGAGCCAAGGTTCAAAGTTATCCAAGACATGACTCATTGGCTAGACATATTCGAAGAAAGCATGGTATCACCGGTAAAGAGAACAAGATGGCAGTTAACTATGCAAAAGAAAATGTCGAGATTATTGATCCCGATCAGTTAGTCACCAAACAACATGATTTTCAAGAGCACTCAACACAAGTTACTGCTGCGACACAAGTTGCACCACCTCAACAAATTCTGTATTCACATCCTATTAGATATGGTAGACCGGCTCCTATCCCATCGTATCTCCAACATCGTCGACTGAATTTGTTTCCACAAACTCATCGTCTCAATAAAGGTCAACAACGTGCTTATGCGATTGCTGGAAGTCAGCCCAATAACTCACAGGTTGCTATTCCTCAGAGCGAATCTCAACCCCAACCCCAAGCACAATCTCAACCACAACCATTACAACCGCAAGATGCAACTGGTGTTACTACTTCCGTTTCGTTTCCAGCCCAAAGTCCACCTCCTGTGAGATCTGGAACCATGTTACCTTCACCTAGAGAAATTGTCAATTCCCCACCATACGGTACCACGCCAATCAATGTGGCATCAACCCCGATTCACCCTAATCCAATCCAGATTCCGCATCTTCAAGAAGGTACATCCAATAGCGAAAACCCAAAGCAGTAACGAATAGGGGTTAGCAATGTATATAGATACTTTATTTAGTTCTTGTATTCTTTATTTTTTGTTTCTTTGATGATTGTATAGTAAGAATGTATATTGCTCATTAAATTAATATTTTTACTGAGTTTGCACTTACTGGTTGCAAAAAAAAAATGGAAGAAAAAAAAAAAAAATTAAAAAAAAGTCGTGCAGATTGTAACCAAAAATAAAAACTCGATCAAGGAGGGCAACAAACAACCAATGAACACCAATAGTTTAAAGATCAAAAAATCTTCTTGATAGAACTAATGACATTAAAAAAAAAATACAGTGCGTACAAACTTGCATATTTGATAAGATTAAATATACAACCTCTATTACTTGAGCATTTCTATTTGATAACACCTTCTGTGTGAATACGTACCTCCTGCAAATATGACCATCATTTTGTTGCCAAAAGTAAAATACAAAAAAAAAATAGGTGTGACGATTTAACGAGAAAAACAAATTTTTTTTTTCTTTTCAATTTTTTTTTTCTCAAGTAATTTAACAACCAAAAAAAAAATACTGATTAAAGTATTCCTTTTTCCTTTTACAACCTCACCCCCCCTTTTATTCCTAGCTATTTTAATAACAATGGAGACTCCTCCAACTACTACTACTTCAAATGTATCATTTGGTGACACTAAGGACGATGAAGAACAAGTCACTGTTAAGATAGAAAAGAGCCCTGCCACTTCCCCTGTGAAACTTAATTCTACTGGCAGTGATCAACAAACAGATAATCCAAATATTGTTGGCGAAAATATACCCACTCCCAGCCCTCCGGCAACTATAGATGCTACTGAACCAGAAAACAAGAAACAACAATCTGGATTAACAAAAGATGAGGAAATGGGAATTCTTTTAACTGTTAATCCTTCAAACATAATTGAGTACGCCAACCATTTAAATCGGATATCCACAATTTTATATGATGGGAACTTTGACAGTTCAAAGTATTTATCGTCGCTTCATTCAAAGTTGAACGAATTAATTGATAATTTAACCAAGTTTGTTGACTTGGAAAACCCTTTGAATAGTAAATTGTATCTCATAATTGATATCAACTTTGACATACTTATCAAATTATCCACTAGCTATAAAGTCTTGGAAGTGTCCACGGTTTGCATCAGATTTTTATCCACAGTCTTCATGAATTTAAACTATTGGGAAGTTTATAATTTGTTGATCAAGAAACCGGTGTTGTACCATTTTCTCACGTTGATCAATTTTGACTTAAATGAATGTTATACGAGGTTCATAAATGACTATTCCAAATTCGCATATAATAAGATTCAACAACCATCGGTATTGAAGTCAAGAAATAAATCACGAATGGCAAAGAGAAAAAGACAAAAGTCCAACAGTTCTGTTCCTAATAATGGAGGCATGGAACTTCCTAACCCAGATGAAAATCTCACACCTGAAGAACGATTACAACGATCTCAGGCATTCTTTTCATTAAATCCAGATACTTCAGACCATGACAAATATGTTGCTGATATCTTGTCAGGAGCAAATAGGCAAAAGAGAAAATTTAGACCAGATGTTAAATTACTCCATCACAAGATCATTAAAAAACCACAACCAGCAGCCATTAAGCCATCCACCAAGTCTTCAAACTATGATCCTGATGTAGTACATGAATGTCAATTACCTTCAGCTGAGGAACCACATAAGTTGTGTTTAAGAAGATTCTCCAGAAAATACGAATTGATAAGACATCAAGAAACTGTCCATTCCAAGAAGAAAAAGCTTTTCAAGTGCTATGTTTGTGTCAAACAGAATCCAGGTGTTGGTCCAAGAATCTTCACCAGACACGATACTTTGGCAAAGCATATTAGAGTTAATCATAAAATTTCAGGAAAAGAAGCGAAAGCTGAAGTTGCCTATTCCAAGAAACATGCAGAAGTTGTTGAAGAAGGTGACATTACTGTTCACGTAGGGAGGCGCAAAACTAAAGTTGATTTTGAGTTGAGAGCCCATATGGAGAAACGTAAATCAAGTGGTGATGATACTAACTATTTGGAAACAAGCGATTTGGAATCTGGTGAAGAAGAGGTTACGTTTAACAATAAAGATAATCCAATAGAGAAGCCAGCTGAGAATACAACTGTCAATTAGAATTTGTTTTTATAGGTTATCTTAGTATTTCAATTTTTTTTTTCTTCTATACGTGTTTACTAGTAATACAAAATAATATAATATATAGTGATAATAAAACAAGTAATTACAATCAGTATATACTTCTTTCGTATTCTTGTTGTTCAAGAATAGCTTGTTTTATTTCTGGATCATCCACCAAATCCAAAATGTCAGATGAAATACTTGATAAACCCGTCACTGGTCTAGCAATATTTTGATTTTCCATAACAACATCAAAAACTAAGTTTTCGTTCTGTTTATCATTGACTTTTTGAATGAATGATCTAGTCGGCTGTGTTCCTAGAGGATAGAAATTCAAGTTTGTGTAAACATCCTTATATCCCTTATAAAAAGCCTTTGATCTTACTTCATATAACTTGTTGTTATAATCTGATGTTTGTTTTGCTATTTGATACAACCAAGTAGGATCAGTTTGATAGTTAACTATTGGAGTAGCAGTTAGTGGTGTGGCATGACCAGTACTTAATACACTTACATCACCTAATACATTAGTCAACTTATTCTTGTACAATTGATCAGGATCTGCCAATTCACCTGGAATATCGCCATTATCAATTGCTCTTTGTTCCCAAAAATCATCAATTACTTTTTTACCATTTTCAATCATCCTGGATCCAAATTCTCTGAAAATTGATCTTGCAGTGACTAAATTTACTGCACGACCTTTATATGAATTTGGTATTATACCACGTTGAATCAAATCCATCTTTTCATCGTTATCGGCAACTTTTTTAAACAAAGTACGATGCGTCTTGAATAACAAGTATGAATCACGGAATCCCACTAATCTTGCTGGTTCAGTAGAAATCATAAATAATCGATCACCATGACCTAATAATTTAAATGTTTTCATTCGGAATTTTCTATCTCCTTTCAAATAACCCAACTCATCTATTTTTTCTAGACCTTTAGGATCTTCCAGTGGTATTACAACTTCATCATTTTCAATTAATTTTGGATTTCCATCTTCATCAAATACATCATCTCCATATAATTGAACCTTTTGTTTCTTCTTACGACCACGTTTTTTCTTTCCACCTTCTTCACCAGTTCCTTCCTCTCCTGAATCTTCTTCTTCTTCTTCTTCATCTTCTTCTTCCTCACCAGACTCACCACCTGCGTCTTCTTCTTCATCTTCTTCTTCGTCTTTGACGGCTTTTCTCTTCCTTCCTCTTTTTGTACTAACATTCACTTCTTCTTCATAATCATCTTCTTCAATATCATCTCCTTTATATTCAACATCTTTATCTGGTTCTTCACTAGGAATAATATCCGACATTTTTGTTTGTACTTTGTTGGTGGTTTGTTTACTTGTCTTCATGTTTGATTTTTTTTTCTCTCTCTCGATTTTTTTAATATTCTCTGGAAGTTTGTTCAGGACAATAAGATACACGTGAATATAAATCACGTGTATGCATAATTAAGGAAAAGTACCCTAGAACTTGAACTCGATTGGTTAATGCTAACCATGAACGACTTTATACATACTATACTACTAGGTGACTGTTCTACGATTCATTTTTACATTATTTAATAATTCACGTTTATTTACAAGAAAATTATTTACCAAATGCTGGTTTACCATCTAAATATTTATCAAAGACATCGTTGGTTTCTGGGAATGGTCTCTTTCCTAACAATCTAATCATATCTTCCCTGGTAATGTATTCCTTCTTTAATAATTCTTGGGCAACCAATTCAACCTCCTTCGATTTCTCTGTTAACAATTCTAAACAACTTTGGTAACATTCATCGACAATTCTTTGAACTTCTTCATCTATAATCCTATTAGTTTCATCGCTGAATGGTTTAGTAAGGTCATTTCCATCATTATCTAAAAATAAGGTACCCAATTTCTTTGTCATACCGTAATGACGCACCATCGCCTGGGCAATTTGAGTGACTTTCTTAAAGTCATCACTAGCTCCACTTGTAACATTTCCTTGTTGATTCTTGAAAAGAAATTCACTGCATCTACCTCCCAAAAGGGTAATAAGTTTATGCATTAATTGTTCAGTCGACAATAAATAGCGATCAGCTGGAAGGTACTGGGCGTATCCAAGCGCTCCTCTTCCTCTTGGAATAATTGACACTTTCAACAATGGATCAGCATATTCCAAGTACCAACCACAGATAGCATGACCAGCTTCATGATAAGCAACAACCCTTTGCTCTTCAGGACTCAACAATTTAGATTTCTTTTCGACACCTCCGATCACTCTTTCAATGGCCAATTCAAAATGTCTTAAACTAACTGATTCGGCATTGAATCTAGCAGCAATCAACGCAGCTTCATTACAAACATTTGCAATATCAGCACCAGAGAATCCAGGAGTCAATGCAGCCAATCTACCAGATAAATCAGGGTCAATGTCCTTTTGCAAAGTAATCTTTTTCAAGTGAACCTCAAAAATTTCTTTTCTGCCGTGCAATTCTGGATTATCAATGTGGACATGTCTGTCAAAACGACCAGGTCTCATTAATGCCTTGTCCAAAATATCAGGTCTATTGGTACCTGCTAACACAACGACGTGGTCAGTAGTATCAAACCCATCCATTTCAACTAACAATTGATTCAAGGTGGTTTCACGTTCATCATTAGCACCAGTTGCATTTCCTTTAGAACGTTGTTTACCAATAGCATCAATTTCATCAACGAAAACAATCGAAGGAGCATTTTCTCTAGCAGTCTTAAACAAATCACGAACTCTTGAGGCACCTACACCAACGAACATTTCAACAAATTCAGAACCGGAGACAGAATAGAATGGAACACCAGCTTCACCAGCAGTTGCCTTAGCCAACAAGGTTTTACCAGTACCTGGTGGACCGGATAAAATAGCTCCTCTTGGGATTTTGGCCCCCAATTTCTCGTATTTTTCGGGTTTTTGTAAGAATTTAACAAATTCCATAACTTCTTGTTTGGCTTCTTCCATACCAGCAACATCTTTGAATTTGATCTTGATATCGGTTTCTTGATTGAATTTCTTGGCAGTAGATTTACCAAATCCCATTGGACCCATACCACCCATAGAGGAGGCAGCTTTCTTAGTCATCCAATAAATAGCACCCAAGAACAATATAGTTGGCAAAAAGTTGATCAAAACTCTGGTCATGTTCCCCTTGGTGGTGTAATGGACAGGAACACGCAATTGCGGAGGAATGTCATACTTATCTTGGGCTTCACGTAAGTTACGTTCAAAAGATTCAACAGAACCAATAGTAAAATACAATTGTTGTTGATGTGTTTGTTGCATTCCATTATCATTTAATTCAATTTCAACTACCGAATTGTTCACAACAGTGACCTTTTTAACCAAGTTCTTGGTCAAATAATCAGTAACAAAAGTTTGGAAAGTGATTTCATTGGCATCACTAGAACCAGAAGTAGTGAAAAGTAAGGTAAGAGCAGCAAATAATATAGTATACTGTATGATAAGCTTTGGTGACAATTCAAGGGTAAGGTTAATGTCTTTTTTATTCTTGTCCTTTGATTCCTTTGAATCCTTTGAATCTTCACCCTTCTTTGCTGAAAAAAATCCACCAAATGGGTCTGGTTGAGGAGATTTTCTTGCTTCACCCAACTTATCCCTAAGCTGCTTCAAATCCATGAGAAATTTATATTCTGGAGGACAAAGAGGGAAGGATTTCACACCATCAACAGCAAATGACACGGATTGGAGAGTTTCAAAAATACCAACCCAACCTTTGACTGGTCGTGCATCCAATCCAAGTCTATCTGCTAGAGCATTGGCACTGGCTTCACCATCTGACTCTTTGTAGGCCAAAAATAACTCTTGAACCTTCGAATTATCAAATTCCAATTCATCCCAAACAAGGTTTTGATTCAGTAACTCATAATAGGTTGCAACCATAGTTAGAATTTCATTATTGGTTAACCCATTCAAATCTTTATACTTTACCTCAAACTTTTCTTTGATATCCTTGATGAGAATGTCAACCAAATCAGGATATAAGGTATTAACATCTTTAATCAGGTTGAACTCTTCACATTTTTCTTCAAATTCCTCCAACATAAATTTAAACACAATTTCCTCTCGATGGAGGTACTCTATATTAAACGGATCGCTGGATACATGGAGAATTTTGGAAGGTTTATATGAAATGTCCATTTTTCTTTTCATTCCCATGTCGTAATCAATCTTTTTCCAGGGTTTGTTCATATCACGCCAGTCATTTGGACGTTTCTGTTGAAGGAGTGATAACGACACATGTAAATTTCTAGTTATACCACATTTTAGCTCGGGTACGCTTCGTCTAAGTAAACTTCTAGCAGACCTTCTGCTGCTTCTTGAAACTATCAGAATCATTGCTAGTGCTATTATACGTTAAAAGATAATAAGGTCTTCTACCACGATCTTTTTTTTTCTTTCTTTCTTGCTTTCCGTTGAGAATCTTGCCTTCCAAGAGAAATAATGCGGGAAATGAAAAAAAAAAAAAACGAAAAGTAATTTTCCCAATCTGCACGACCAAAGCCCAGGAAATTAACTCCGCAACCATCAGTTTGCAACAATTTTTTTTTTTTCTTTTCATTTATTACTTGTATTAAATTCTATATGAGGTATCTAGCTACTATTGGTCTATGGTCACTGAATCGATATCCATTTTCCATATAATTGTCAATTACAGTATATGAAGTTGGAGTTACAGTAGAGTATGAATCTGAGGAATTAAAGGACCAGATGAAGTCAATGTTAAACTCTTTCTTATTTCCAAATCCAGAGAATGTATCCAATTCAGAGCCACTTACAATTTCCGATACTTTTGATGAGTCTAACATGGTATCAGATATAATATCATACGCGACATCTGATTCTTTTGAATTGAAATCTCCAATTAAAAAAGTGGGGAATTTATGTGGTAATTGTTTGATGTAGTCCAGTATTAGATTTGCACTATACTCTCGTGCTTCCTTTGATTTGTGATCCAAGTGGGTATTGAGAAAGTTGACGACCTTACCTGAGGAGCGATGCATGAATGTAGTGATGGTAACTATTCGATTTTTGTCAGCACCTGGATACTTGGAAGGTTTGTCTGGTGTTAGGCTTAGCCATTTTGTACTTCCCAGGATTAATTTCCAATCCGATTCTTTGTATAATATTGGGGAGTATTCACCTTTTTCTTTACCATCATTTCTTCCACATCCATAGTATTTCCAGTTGTTGCTTATAGACTCATCTTCATTTAGTCCTTGTAAAATGTCTTTCAATTGACTGAGATCTGTTTCTTGAAGACCAACCAATGAGGGATAGTCCTTGGTTTCTGATTTGATGGCATTGATTACTCCATTCTTTCTTTCACTCCATGATAATTCCTTCGATGATCTTTTGATTCGTGATGCAGCATATCTAACATTATGGTCGTAGATAGTAAAATCTGTGCTGCCTTGTATTTCTGATATGGTTAAGGGAAGAACAGTGAATAGAATTATTCCTAGTAGAAGTATGACTTTTGTAGCCACAGACAAATTTTGTTTAGTCATTAGTTGTAATTGGTGATTTAGTTCAACATCCTTTTCACTAGTATTCTGGTAGAATTTTTTTAAAAAAAAAATATTAATACTGTTGAGGCATCACTTATCTTTTAAACTTATTTTTTTTTAAAAAAAAAAACTTTTGTATTTGTGAATTCTCCGGTCGTTTGAAGTGGCTCATCTTGATGATGAGAGAATGTATTACATCAGCAGCTTCTTGTTGCAGTGCAAGATATGAGAAAGTCCGAATTATAACCAGATCGCTACCTGTGTTCATTCGCTGAGTTACCAGTTGTGATGTGCCCATCAACTTATTTGGCGTTTTTACACATGTGTTCTTGAAAATCTTTAACCTACACAAGACCATTTTGAGCTTTTTCGAGCAACAATACAAAAATCCGACATTTTGTAACAAAAAAAATCAATCTTGACACAGGTAAACGACGCAAAAGAACGATGATGTTTAGATAGAGATTATTAACGGTTCTGATTTGGTCTCAAATAACCAGATTCAAATGTATAACCACTGAAGTGCGGATTTATCTCAAGAACGGCTGTAAAAAAAAGATTATGGTTTGGTAACAGAATATTGATCTAGCTTTATTTTTGGCCCCTATTATTTTTTATTCTCCTTTTTGCTACAAACTTTTAACAAATAATGAAGAATACCCAAATATTCTTGGCAACAAACGGATAATTATTTCCTAATTGATGAAATAGATAATATCAAAGCCTCTTTTTAAAAATTGCCCAAATAATTATTACCATGTGAATTGTAATTCCTCTTGAAATATTTTCTCTTTAGCAACAGCCATTTGAGCAAATTTTAAAAACCTGCTCATATCGACTTGAGTCAATTAATAGTTACTGTTTACGGATTGAGATGTAAAAGCTACGAAAAGTATATAAATGTACAATAATTCCCTTGATTCTTGTATCATTGAAATAAACAAATAGATACATAAAAATATGCACGTTTCCTACCAAGGACTAAAGTCAGTTGAATTTGGCGATTATGTAACTTCCACTAGTTCCCGTCGTCCCCGCCGATTATAAACGCGTTAAAATTTTTATTTGAATTTCAAGAAGAAAAATAAAAAATAAAAAATAGAAAACGCTCATAGACATTATGTCACTTTTCCAATTTGTTCTGGTTCCAAGATTCTTCAATGTGAATAATGTATAATACTTGAATGTTCGATCCTTTACATTCTCACATCCAACACAATTAATAAGCCTTCAAGCAAAAGGAAAAAAAAATAAAGGGGAATTTCAATTGAGACGATCATCGGTAGAATAGCAAAATATCTTGCTTCAACTAGATGAACAAAAACCTCAAGGAGCTTCTCCTAGTTTTCAATTGTTCGCGGTACAAGTTATTCCAGCCAATTGAAGGTTAGCATTTTAATTCAAGTTCCAATAATCGGCCAAGCAATCTAAAATTTAGGGGAAATTTGGACACAAAACTGAAAGGAACAATTTGAACTGCATTAATGCTTAAATTGTTTAATTGCACCAAACCAGAAACAATCTAAAAAAAATAAAAAACAATCGCCTTTCAACTTTATTGGGTAAGTTTCAATCCTACATTTCCTATGATGTAAGCCACGTACACAGTACAAAAAATAGGATTTGCTATAGATTGCAAAGAAAATCAACATTCTTTTTTTTTTTTTTAAATTTTACAGGCGTTGTCGAGGATTATAAAAAGTTGAGATATTCCACATAGTTGATAGTCTTGCAGTATATCTTTATTTTTCTTTTTTTTTTTTGTTACTAAACAACATATTCATAGTATCATGAAATTTTTACCTGTTTTAGCCCTTAGTGCCCTTGCCCTTGCTGGAAATGCTCCAATTTCCACTGATTCTGCTGACAGCGATTCCTTGGTCGCTACTTTTAAAAAATCCAGCAAATCCGACATTGAAGGTACTATCAAATTTGAACCTGCTAAGAATGGTACTGTTTTAATCAGTATTGATTTAGAAGGTTTGCCATCTTCTGGTGGTCCATTCCCATTCCACATTCACGAAAAGGCTGTTCCTGAATCTGGCAACTGTACTGCTACCGGTGGTCATTTTAACCCATACAATGGATCTATGACCGCTACTGCTCCAGCTGCCAAAGAAGTTGGTGATATTGCAGGAAGACACTTTAACATTACTGGTGAAACATTTTCTGCTGAAATCGATGACAACTACATTTCTTTGAACCCAGATAGCAAAGCTTACATTGGTGGTTTGTCTGTTGTTATTCATTCCAGTAACAATAGTAGATTAACTTGTGCTAACCTTGAAGAAGAAAGTTCTTCTTCCAGTAGTGCCACCAATTCTTCATCTGGTAGCTCATCTAATTCATCTTCTGGTGGATCAAGTTCCAACTCAAGTTCCTCTGCTTCTGCTGCTAATGGTGCTGGTAAGAATGAAGTTGGTGGATTGTTGGTTGCTGGTGTTGCTGGTATTGTTGCCGCTTTGATGTAATAGATGTTTTTCTTTTTGTTTTTTTTTCATAATTTATCCTTTTGTAGCTTTCAATTTAAATACATTATATTTATTCATAATTCTTGATCGCGGGAAAGCATAAATTTCCAAATTAGGAAAGTGTGTCGCCGCATGTAGACACCTTATCTCGGCAGAACCCGAAAACCTGATTTCTCTTTTCCTTCAACACGAAAAGTATTTATTGTGGAGGATTCCCCTTTGATTATTAATTTTATTGATTATCGCCTTCTTTTTTTTTTCTCCTTTTTTAATTCTCAATTCTATTTTACTATATCTAATAATAATGACTCAAGCACTTTCTCTAGAACAATTTCAAGAACAAATAATATCTAAGTTCACTGATGTTATCGGTGAGAAATTAGGAGGAAAAATCTTGTCATATTCAGATCAATGGTTTGCTGATGCCGAAAACTTGATTAAACCAAAACCTCCAATTAGAGACGCAACTAGATTTACCTATGCTGGTGCCTGGTATGATGGATGGGAAACAAGAAGACACAATGAAGCAGAAGCAGATTGGGTTATTATCAAGCTTGGGGTAACTTCTGCAAAATTGATTGCTTGTGAAGTTGATACTGCATTTTTCAATGGTAATCATGCACCATTTATTTCTGTAGAAGCAATCCAAAAGTTTGACAATGATGATTTACTGGATGTCAAAGAGAGTGATTGGGAAACTGTTATTTCAAAAGTTGAATGTGGACCCCTGCAGAGACATTTTTTTACCAGAGGAACCTCCTTAACATCCAAAAATTATACCCATGCAAGATTAAGAATGTATCCTGATGGTGGAATTGCTAGATTCAGACTTTATGGAGAAGTGGTTCCAGTTGTTAAGGAAACTTCTGATAAAGTGGCAATTGACTTTGCATCTGTTAAAAACGGTGGTGTTGCTATTAAATTTAGTGATCAACATTTTGGAACTGCAGATAATTTATTATTACCTGGTCGTGGCCATGATATGTCTGACGGTTGGGAGACAAAAAGATCCAGAGAGCCTGGTCACACAGATTGGGTGGTTATAAGATTGGGTGCTCCAGCTCAATTACAGAAAATTGTAGTCGATACTGCCCATTTCAGAGGCAATTTCCCGCAGAAAGTGAATGTAAAAGGAATTAAAGTGGACAACGAATCTAAAATTGATCCAATTTCAGACGATTGGGAGACAATTGTTGATGACTCTAGAACATCGGCTGATAAAGAACACGAATTTGATGTGAAAGATAAGAATAAAGTATATTCACATATAAAATTAACAATCATACCAGATGGTGGTGTCAAAAGAATTCGAGCATTTGGTGTCCGTGGATGAAAAAAAAAAAATATGTAAATACGAGCTTAAAAAAAAAAAAAAAGCAACAGTCAGAACGCATCGATTTTAATATTATAAATCTATAGATGAATAAACAACTATTTGCATACATCGACCAGAGAGTTCCTGCGAGATACTTACCAATTGATGATATCAGTTTCACATATGAATCTCAATTAGAGTTAGTGGATCACGTAAATCCTATACTTTCTTTGAACTCATTCTATGTCAAGTCCGTTCTACGTGAATACATTTCCAGAATTGAAAAATCAAATCAAGATATAGCCGATGAACTCTATGAACTATATTGTGATCCTCAAATATTGAATTCCAAAGAGTTGGACCCATCTCATCCCGATATAATAAAATACTATATTTCCGGCTTCAATCAATCATTCACAGGTAATGGTCAAGACACCATCATTATTAAAGAAACACCAAGACTAATCTCGGGAGCAAACACTACAGGTTTAAGAACATGGGAAGCTGCATTGTATTTATCAAATTTCTTAAATGATATTGATTCACCGCCATACGATTTTAGAGACAAGACGATTTTGGAACTTGGGTGTGGTACTGGTCTAGTCAGTTTGGCAATTGCAAAAAGTTATCACAACAAGGTTGGAAATATAAGACAAGTTATTATGACGGACGGATCTACGAATGTGTTTGACAATATCACCGAAACTATGCAGTTGAATGGACTAGCCGAGTCAGATATTATCAAGTGTCAACAATTGATATGGGGTGAAGATACAACAATTTCGACGGATATCGATTACATAGTCGCAGCTGATATTACCTTTGATAGTAGGATCTTAGAACCCTTGTGCATGACCATCAATGATTTATTCAAGAATAATAACCTCCAGGCTGGTATAATTGCTGCCACCGTCAGAAATATAGACACAATAAATGACTGGGAATCACAGCTAGAAAAATGGTTTCCAGGACGATGGAACATTGTATCAGGTAATAGAAATCCTCATCTGATTCAATCAAATTGTTGGTTTAATGTCAACACCCAAGAGATACGTGTATATGAAATTAAATAGTACTATTTGTATTGGCAAACAAAATCCTGTATATACGCGCTGTCCAATAATATTCGTTCATGAAGTGAATCCTTTCACCGAACTTCTCGCACTGAAAAATATTGAGGAAAAAAAAAAGTCCCATACAAAAAAAAATGAGACCTTCTTGTTGAATAAAGTAATTTCTATCTTTGAAACAACAATATTGATTGAACATTAAAGATGGCCCTTCCAAGATATCCATTTCCAGTTTTAAAGTCCTACTGGCCATACGCTATTGGTGGTATGTTCATATGATTTAATTGAAGGGGGTAGTCATAAAAACTACGTGGAACGTGCAGAGTACCACACAAATCATGGGTTCAATCACAACGATTGTCAATTGGTATGAATATTGTATTGAAAAAGTGATTTCATTTGTTTGCTAATAGTAATGGAATTGAATTACCAGCTCCCATGTGAATGATATTACATAAACTCAAATGGCGCATATTCCTCCGTGTATTTGTGAACTACCTCAACCCATATTATTATGATGATTATTACTAACATGTTCTTCTTACCTATAGCTAGTATCACCTACTTCTTAGTTTACAAGGCTTCTGTTGCTTCAGCCAACACCGATGAATTTATCAATGATCCAAGAAACCCAAGATTTGCTAGTGGTGGTAAAATTGTTGACTTAGAAAAAAGAGATTAGATGTGCTACTTTTCAATTTTCACAGTTTATATAAAGGGTTTTCAATATTGGATTTAAGTTTTAACTCCATAATTGAATTATTTTTTTATTCATAAATATTCATATAAAATTATATATATAAAAAATTGATTTGAAAAAGAAAAGAGGTTTTAACATTTAGTTATTATTTAATCTATAATTCTATTTCCACTCACTAGTATCATTATATCAAGTGTATGATTATGCTTGTTGGGTCAACATTTCATAGTGCAATAACACACTCTTAAACACACCAATCAAATTAAGATATTAAGTAAGCAGTGTCATATTTTTTTTTTCTCTATGCCAATCTTTTCTCCATTTCTCAGTTCTTCAGATGATCCCAAGCAAAAAAAATAATTAGTAATCTTTAATTACAAACTTCTTTCTTGATAGAACAACTAGCAACCATGTTTAGAAGATCATTACAAACTTATCTCCCAAAAAGACTTTATCATTTCAAAACATTACCAACTCCAAACCCAAATGCTTTAAAATTTATATCAGAAGAGTGTAATATTTTACCAATGGAAGATAAAACGTTCGAGTTTACCACCACAATGCAAGCAATGCATTCACCATTAGCTTTAATGCTTTTCAAAATTCCAGGAGTCAATTCAGTAATGTTGGGTCATGACTTCCTCACTGTTAATAAACAAGACTATATAAATTGGGCTAACTTGAGACCAGAGATTGTGGAACATCTTGATGAATTTCTAACTTCTAAAAAGCAACCAGTGATAACAAAAGAATTAATAGATAAGGCAAATGAAGAATCGGAAATGGACGATTCTGAATTGATGTCAATGATCAAGGAGTTGATTGAAACTAGGATAAGACCAGCTATTCAAGATGATGGTGGTGATATAGAACTCAAAGGATTTGATGAAGAAACAGGTACTGTATTCGTCAAACTACAAGGTGCATGTAAATCATGTAGTGCAAGCGAGGATACTTTGAAAAGTGGTATTGAAGGTATGTTGATGCACTACATAGAAGAAGTTAAGGAAGTTGTACAAGTTTTAGACCCAGAAGAGGAAATTGCTATGAAAGAATTTGAAAGATTAGAGCAAAAGTTAAAGAAGAATGGTAGTCAAGAAGACCAAGCACCACCAAATTTATAGAATATGTATATATAGTTTTTGAATCCTATGAAATTTATTTATTTGTCAAGTTCGTTAAAGATCTCTTGTCTCAACTGGGTACAACGCAAGTCTTTCTCTAATTGAATGTTTGATTCTTTAAGTAATCCTTCTTCAACGCACTGCTTACCAATACAGATACGGACTTCTTCAAATAGGTTGTTGAGCCATAATTGTGTATAACTGGTCCATATTTTTGAAACTTGGTTGAATCCAAGTACCAAACCAAGTGTTGCTAATGCTATACAATCATTGGCTGCGTACCCCAAGTATTGGAACCCAAAAAATGAAAGCAATGAGATTGGCAATTGATAATATAAAAATCCTTCGCCTAGAGCCCTGTAAACTTTAGGTTGAACCTCTTCTGAGATCTTCTTGTTGATAACTTCTTTCTTTAAGGAAAACAATGGATTCTCAACGGAGATGTCTGAATCAGCAGGGTTGATTTTCCCACTTAAGAAGTTAAAACTTGCAATGCTTTTGTTCATAAAATTGTTTAAAAAGAAGTCTTTTATTTCATACTCGACATTGTCATTCTTGTAATACAATTTCCACCATGAAAGATTCTTGCGGAAAAAATTGACTGTCTTTGGTTCAAAGTCGTCCTGTAATTCTTTATTCACAGAATCAATGAATCGTGATATTTCTATATTGGAAATCTCATTTGTCTCTTCGGGAGATGCTGTATGTTGAATCTTTTGTTTGATATTCTCTTTGATATTATTCAATAACCATGAACTTATCACCGGTACCTGTGTGAACCAGTTGATGGCTTTGTACAACTCATAAATGTTACTCTTGGCCATATTATCAATAAATATATCCGAGGATGCAGCGCCATTATTTACCATTGCACTAATGCCTTCAAATGCAAGTTGGGTATTGATTTTAATAATATGATTTGAAGCTTCATTCTTGAAACTGACTGGAGTGGATTCCGTACTCAGAGGAGTGAATTCTTGATTATCAATAACATTAAGTAAGATTTTGTTTCGAATAGTGGAAGGGTAGTCTGGATTACCTAAACTATTGGAAACGCTGATTAGAAAAGCATATTCTTCAACCTCTGTAACATCACTTATTTCTTTGATAATCAAATTAGTTGGGCTGTCCATATTAGCACCAAAGGTATTTCGATAATTGGCCGATAGTATCGGTGAAGGAATTCCATATTGACCACCTTCTTTATTAATAACAACTTCGTCATTGTAATTATACTCACCATTGGATACTCTAGTAGAAATTTCGCTTAACCATTTATCACAATTAGATGCCAATGGGTCAGCCATCAATACCTCGATGATCTTTGAATTTGTTCTTGCTCGTTCATTATCGTAGATGACTCCTATTTTCAAACATTGCGTATCTATTCTATTTCTTTGTAATCTAACAAACTCTGTAATTTCATTGTTTATTATAGTATCATTCGGGAATGAGCTTTTGTAATTGTTCAAATTGTATATGAGTGTATTGTTATGAATTCTTCCCGACATTGCAAACGCCCTTTGCGAGCCAATTCTAGAAAGCACATTATAAGAAACTCCTCGTACGGCGGATATTCGCTTCATCAATGAGCTCGTTATTATCATTTTGGGGGCTGATCAACTGTTAAGATGTGAGTGTATTTCCGATGTATCAACTTCGAAGTTTTGATTGCTTAAAAGTGATTGGTTGTAAAGATTGCTTGAGAATGAAAATGCGACTGACAACAAGAACAACAAAAAAAAAAAACTCCTACGTAAACCAATCCAATGATCGCGTTTAACTGAATACAAACAGTGCTTTCAGCTTTATATGGTTCATGATTCTACGCCATATGAATGTTCCGGATGGATCATCTTTGGATGTTATTGTAAATAAATATATGTAAATGAACAACTCATTGTAGATTCTTTGAACTACTTTATCATACTTGAAGTTAGAGAATTAAGCTTAAGTAATGGCACTTAAGCAGATTGATGGCTTGAAACCTTACTATGGCACCAGTTAGAGTTCTGGATTCATATGGCATGATCCATTAATATGCTACATGGTTTCTGTAGCTATTTGCAACCATTATGAACATTCCACAATTTTCTTTACTGGTAGAGCCACACGGATACTGAAACTGAAGGTAGTTAATCTTCAATAGAAATTCACCCCCTTCAATTTTTCTTTATCGATTTGATCTATAGGTGATTCAATCACAAACTAATATCAAAGACAAATGGATCTCATGCATAAACGGATGTCATACCAAACAAGCAACCTAAAAAAAAATAATCACGGAAATTGAATAAATCTCCCTTATCCCTTTTGTATCTCACATCGTACCCCGTAGTAAGATGGTACCAACAGAAGAAAAACTCGAATCCAATAAAAAAAAAATTTCACAAATCAAAGTTTCTTAGACATTCCCACAATTGCATTATTTTACATCACCAGACTTGTTCATTTATCTTCGTATCGATTCACACAAGGCACACGCATCGAAATAATTATTTATTTATCTTTTTTGATTATTTATATTTTTTTTTTCTATTTTTCAAGTCTTTTCTTTATAAAGAGAAAATATTTCTTTAATTTGTTTGGGGCTATCAACAATTGAAAATCATTTTAAAGTCCTTCAGGTAGACATTATGAATGAATCACTACTAACGAGAATTGCTCGTATGACCAAAAAGTATGCCACCTTCATTGGTCCAGGGTTGGTAGTTAGTGTCAGTTATATGGATCCAGGTAATTATCTGACATCTGTTTCTTCAGGATCGATGTATCAGTACAAATTATGTTTTATCATATTTATGGCAAACGTGTTTGCAATTATCTTACAAGCATTATGTGTCAAGTTGGGTACAATTACTGGTTTAGATTTGGCTGAAATGTGTCGTATGAACTTGAATCCGAAATTAAATCTTTTCATGTACTTTTGTGCTGAAATTGCAATTATTGCAACCGATTTGGCAGAAGTTGTTGGGACAGCCATTTCTTTGGAGATCTTATTTGGAATTCCATTATTATATGGGGTGTTGATCACTGTCTTAGATGTGTTGATTATCTTAATGGCATATCGTAAAGATGGGACCATGAAACAAACCAAAGTATTTGAAATTATTGTTTCTATATTAGTAGCAGCCACTTGTGTATGTTTCATTATCGAATTGTTTAAATGTGATTTTAAACCTGGGTCTGGATGGGAAATTTTCAAGGGATTCTTGCCTGTCGACAAACAAATTTTCCAAGAGTCCATGGCGTTGTTTTTAAGTTGTGGTATTGTTGGTCTGACAGTCATGCCACATTCTTTATACTTGGGATCTGCTTTAGTTCAACCAAGATTAAAAGACTACGATGAAAAACATGGTGTTCTCAAGATCAACGACTCCTCAGAAGCCAGCTCAATAAGCAGTAACCATCATACTAGAGAACTCCAACCAGTCGAGGCATCAAGATTACGTAGAATTTCAGATGGGTCACTTTTATCACGCAAATACAAGCCTTCATATGCTGCAATCAAGTACTGTTTGAATTATTCCTACGTTGAGTTGGTTTTATCTTTATTTCTTGTGGCCGTATTTGTTAATTCAGCTATTTTGATTGTTGCAGGATCCACGTTATTTGGTAAACCAGATGCAGCAGATGCAGATTTATTATCAATTTATGAAATGTTGTCGTTTTATATTTCTCCTGCAGCCGGTTTAGTGTTTGCATTATCCATGTTGTTCTCTGGTCAAAGTGCTGGTATTGTTTGTACTATGGCAGGTCAAATCGTCAGTGAGGGTTTCATCAATTGGACAATCGAACCTTGGAAAAGAAGGATAGTAACTAGAGTCTTGGCTATTTTACCCGTTATTTTTGTGGTGGGTATATTAGGTAGAGAAGGTGTATCTAAAGTTATGAATTCTTCCCAAGTTGTTTTGAGTTTTATCTTGCCGATTGTCAGTGCTCCATTGATTTATTTCACTTCAAAGAAAGAATACATGACTGTAGTGGATACATCATCAGAAACTGATGAATCAAGTTACTTGTTAGCTGAAACCCCACAACAGAAAACGATAAGTTTTGAGAATGGTACTTTCCTTCGTGTTGCAAGTATCCTTACTTGGGTTATCATCACCGCATTGAATATTTATTTAGTTATAGCATTTGCTAATGGAGCAGATATCTAGACGATTTATAAATGGACCTACTCATCTCTTATAATTCTTTATTTAGTGGGATTAGCTTTAGAAATTTTAATACATAGGTATTATTGAAAAATATTTTGTTTTTTTATTCTTCTTCTTTAATTTTATCTTGGTAAAAGTAAAAATAATATACATATGTTACAGTTTACAGAAAACTACAGAAGTTTTGAGTCTAGTATCTTGTTGGTCTTCTTTTGTATGGGGTAGGTCCCTTAAGGTTGGGCAATCTACCCAGCTTGGATGAAGCAACAGTTGTGCTTCCACTGACTATTTTATTTGGAGGTAAACTAGGTAATGTTCCGCTAAATTCAGAAACCAAGACAGGTATCTTCTTGCTGAAATCATAGGAAAAGCTACCTGGATTCAATTTGAATAATCTAATAGCAATTGTAATTAATTTAACCAACCTTTTATACAACAAACATTCCTCTTGCTGTGGCGCCAATGGATTTCTAACATCACTATTCACAAATCTATCTTGACGAAGTTTGTTCAACTTTAACAACGATGTAGAAATCATCTTTTGGATTCTTTTTGGGTCAAGCAATTCGTCTTTATGATCTTTCAAGAATTTCAATTCTTCGCTATTTTCTGGATTCCAGTTAACCAAGTTGGCAATGTTTATTTCTTCTGCAACTGGTCTGTCATTTGATAGAAAGGAATCTTGGGAGTCTTTTTTCGAATCTTCAGTCTTGGTTTTCTTCTCACTCTTTTGGTTCTGTTCTTCTTCTTCTTCTTCTTCTTTATATTTCTTATCTGTTGCTTTTTCTTCTGTTTGTCCCATAAATTCCTTCTTGATCTTGGCTATTTCAGCAATACCAATATGTTGCAACCAAACATTGGCTCTCAATCTGTGACTAACGATTGCTCTAGTCAGATCTCGCGATGGGACAAAAGATCTATAATAATTTCCTGGACCCCAGATACTAGCAGCATTTGGGGAAAATTCCTGGTCTCTGTTTCTTAAAATCGAGAGTTTGTGAGATTCTTCAATTGATGATCCAGTTTCCAAGTCATTATTAGAGATCAGAGTTGCTGGCTTTATGGATTGTGATTTATAAGTCAACCATTGAGGCATGGAAACAGTATACCAAGTAGGATGGAAAAAATCATGGAGAATGTTTGTTGGTTGTTCCAATGGTGAAGGAATCTTGTTGGACATTGGAGATAAGTTATCAAGAACATTATCTGATACAGAATCCTTGACACTAGGAATAACTTTTGCAATTCCATATGGTTCTTTGACAATAGTAGTTCTGCTATCTAGTTCTGACTTAGAAATAACTGAAGAAAAAAGTGGTTGAACTTTTTTCACTTTAGGTTGATTGTTGTATTGGTGTTGATAATAATCACCATTTTGTTGTTCTTGTTCTTCGGTGGTTGATATGTAGGTAATCACTTCTCCATTTGAAAGGTTGTAACTATGAAATATCTTGTTAAAATCGTCGTCTATCAGAGATTCTAACTCGGTTTGAATTTCATGGAATTGATTATTGAACTCAATAGACTTGCTCAATTCACGTAACAATAATTCCGTTGAAAACTTATAGAAGAAGTCATATTCCTTGTACTCTTGAGTTCCATTAGTATGTTTGCTTAATAAGATCGATGAGACTGCTTTAATATCATGATAAAGTTGATAAGGTTTGCTATATTGATTCTCCTTGAATTTTTTTTCCAAACTGGTGACCTGATCCACTTTATGTAATTGCAAGGATTCAACTATTTTCATTGGGTTTTCCTCAAAAAAGTCAACCGGTAAAGTTTCACTAGTAATGACATCGGGGTTTGTATGTCTGTATACAGTGAACAAATCTGGTAAGATATTCTCAAATTGGGTACCTAACTATTGTTAGTATCAAATTCGTTTATAATCAGTGATGGAAAAAGATGCATATATCCAAATGGATAATCAAAAACATACCAGAAGAACTTTTAATTTCTATTTCTTTTGTCATTATTGTTGATACCAAAAAAAAAAAAAAGAAAAACTTTGATGAATTATATGGTGGTGGATATTGAAAGAGAAAAAAAAAAAAACTCTATTCCTTATACCAATCTTTTGGCATTATCGTTTTTGATTGTTGTTATTTTTTTTTTTTCTCACTCTCATTCTCATCCAACAGAAAAATTCAAGAGAGTTGGTTTTTTTTCACTTTACACGACCAATATTGGCATTGTTGGTTGTTTGTTTGCAAGGTGTCATTTACTTTCTTTATACAAAACGAGTAACATTTACTAAAATCAAACTATATTAGGACTAAACAGGCATGGAAACAACTGATTGAATTGCAGTAATTTGATTTGACAAATTAGCTGTCAATTCCTCTTTGTTTTGAGCTCTTTCTTCGATAGAAACATATTCATGTCTACCTCTGAAATACCAATCAGTGGAACCAATGATAATAGTAAGACCAAATACAACAGGTGAGTAATTCATATTTCCTCCCGTGGCTGGCATTACGGCAGGGAAGTTGAAGAAAATAAAGGCAAATGTAGCATAGATGATTAAACCAATATTAGCCATCAACCCAATATTTTTTAACCAGAAAGGGCCATGTTTGATTTGTTTTCTCTTAAATACTAAGAATACTGTTGGAATCAAATATGAAAGTAAAACAAAGGTAACACAAGAAACAATAAGCGAATTGAATGCAGTTGTAGATGCCAAGTAGATACAGCCGATAATTGCAACACATCCATTTTGAAAAAGTTGTGCATTGACGACATTTCCTGTAGTGGTATTCACCTTAGACCAAATATTTGAAAACGGTAATCCTTTATCTCTCGAAAAACTCCAAACGATACGTGAGCACCAAACCTGACATTGCATGGAACAGAAGCTAGCAGTTAAAAGGACAAGAAACTCTAAGCCAATGGCAGCAGCTTTTGATCTTGTGGCTTGATAAAAAATATCCATGATAGGAACGCCAGTGGTTGAATTGAAAATCTCTTCCAAATCTGAAATGGAAAAGAACATGGCAATAGAATACGTGAATGATGTCACAAATCCAATAACAACTGTTGCTAAGATAGCTTTGGGGATATCTGTTTCTGGAGTTAAACTTTCCTCGGCAATGTGGGTGGCAGCATCTAAACACGAAAATGCCCAGTTGGGGTTAATCAACCCAACAATAAATGCAATTGCAGCAGAAGACCATCCAGTACCGTTATTAAACTCAACAAAAACAAAAGATGCAGATTGGAAATCACCTTCATGCATGGCAAGAACAGTTATAATAATGGTTATGAACGATCCAAGTGATACAAATAAAGCTGTTTTAGAAATCACTGGTAAAGGTTTTTCATAGATGTTGAAACACATCAAGACGCCTGTTAACATCTCGTAAACAACAAATACCTGCCAATTCTTAATCACATGGTCTGGATGTTTGAGAACCCACATTCCAAGAATCATAGTACTAATGGAAATATTAATACTAGCTGTAGTGAAGATACTACCAGCCGAAGCAAAAAGTCCAGTGAAATAAGCACTGATTCTGGAATATTTTGGAGGTGCAAGTTTTTGTGCCCAATATATTTGTGCTGCTGCGTTGGGGTAAGCAGAAGCAAGTTCGGAAAGAGTTATTCCAATACAAGTTGAAAAAGCAGTAAGAATAATAATACCATATATGATACACATTGGACCACCAGAACTAATACCAGCAACTAAACCACCAGATATGCCAAACCAACTGTTTGTTAATCCAAATGCAACTCCCAACAACGAGAAAACACTAAAGCTTCTTCTAAGTTCTGGACTGTAACCGGTTTCTGCTATTAAATCAAAATTTGCCTGTGTTTCTTTTAAGAGCTTCTCTTGATTATTATGATCCAATGAGATTAATGGTCCCAATTTTTCATTAAGAACTTTTGAGGAAATATTTTGAGCCTCCCCTTCGGAAATGCTACCTCGTGGTTGGTCCGATATTTTCTTTTCTAATAACGACGACATAATTAAATGATTTTTAAAAATTTAGCTTGATTATTCAAAATGGAAATTAAGAAACAAAAGTTCAACAGACTATCTGATTGTATTTAAATTGTTCTGTAAATCATACTCCTGATTTTGTAACTTTCTTCCCGTTGTGGAGAATATTCTTCTCTTGCTTATAGAATTAGCGGACATTCCTAATAGAACTTTTAACTCGGGGTGAATGTCATTACCAGAAAATAAGCGATTAGAGAAGAAGAGGAGACGATAGTCCTTTCTATGCACCAAAGAAGAAACAAACTATGTGGGCATCTAATTTTCAAAACAATGGAACTACTGATTGAAGAAAAGTGAAATATGTGAAATACATAAAAAAAAATAGCACCATCACAAAGAAGTTTACTTATTAATGTAAACAATGTAAATTCGAGGTAATGAGTCCCCACATATTAAATTAATTAATTAGCCGCGTGTATCTTCATTGTCTTAGATTCTTCTAAATTGTTTTGTTTTGTTTCTGTGAGGCGCCCCCATTGAAATCACGATGATGGAACTTTTCATGTTCATCATACAGGTTGGTACTGCTCTCAGAGTTTAAGTAGATGTATCATATCAATAACTTCCTACTCCTAGAGAGTAGTTGTATTATATCTGTTATGAGTTGAGTATAAAATTTTTAATTAAATTTGGTTGAAATTTTCGAATAATAATTTTATTTCTTTTTCAACATATGAATTTGTAATTTCTTTTATTAATGAAATCTCCACTTTGGAGCACAAGATCAATGAACAAACACAGTTATTCACATATATTCTTCAATGGAGAAGTAACATTTGTACGCTTATACATTTAAAGTGACAACGGGCATAGAGTTAAAAATTCTTATTTGTTAATGTAGAAACCTGATAGTTGTCTTTTGTATTTCTTCATCACCAAAATGGGAAATAGGCCGCTTATATCGATTCTTTAAAGTATAATAAACTACAAGAAGCAATATATTAGCACACTTTACGCTTTAGAGAGATTAAATAATCGTATCTTTCCCCTGACATCCCACATAAATCACAATGAGAGAATGGGTTTTTGGTGGAAGTAATTTAAATCAAAAAAACGAAGTCGTGTACCAACCGGTAACTTATTGACACAAAATCTGTCAATGTGGGAACTGCAGGGATATCTTTTCCTGATTTGGAATGGCTACGCCTCCCGAGATTAATTTTTTTTTTACCCACATTTTCCTGTTACCTCCTCATTTCATTTATCTATTATCAGTGATAATAAGAAAAAAAAATTAAAAAATTGTATGCAAAATTCATTTTTTTCATTTGCTTATCAAGAAACAAGGATAGGTTATTATTATTATTATTATTATTATAATTTTGTCTGTTTCTTTATGTTTTTAAAAATGGGATAGTTTTGCCTTATTTATATTTAAAAATCCACATTTTACTACAAGTGAAAGAATCGACGGTAAAGTTTTACTAGGAACAGCCAAATATCATATTTTGGATCCTTTAGATTGTTCTCGACTTTCCAAACTCCCAAACACTTTTCAGTTTTCTGATTCGATTGAAGCAAATGGCCACTGCTCCGAAGTCAAAGAAAAACCAAGAGAAACCATTCCATGGAGTGACCAAGGCTAAGAAGAGCCGAAATGGGTGTTTAACTTGCAAAAAGAAACGTCTCAAGTGTGATGAAACAAAACCTGTATGTCTCAACTGTACGAAGAAAAAAATTCAATGTGGAGGATATGCCACCAATTTTAAATGGAAATCTTTTAATGACGACTCCTCCAGTAATAGTTTGTCAGGCGTTACAAACAAAAATTTGAAAAAACAACTAGAACTTGCAAGTGTTTCTATTACAGGGAAATCTATTGATGAAATAACAAAGGAGAGTGAACTAATTGCAAAAGGATTTAATCCCGATATTCTGAGAAACCGACATGAGAGAAATAGCTTCAGTGCAGTATCTACATCCGAAACAACCGAGCTCATCAGGTCCTACAGTGATTCCTACCATTTGAATGAGGTTAGAGAGTTTCGTAATAGAAGTGATTTGAAATCTCTTGCTGAGGTTGCAGTTGAAGAGATGGAGAAGTCCACAACTCCACAATATCAACAAGCATCGTCACTGTCACCGCCGGCTCAAATGTTTTCTCCTAATTTTGAAAATCCCGTCACATCACTGAAATCATTAACGAAGAGTCAAGGTAGTCCTTTGGGTAATATAGCTGATCTTGATATAAACCTAACACCTTCGTTAACTGCTATTTTAAACTTTGCTTTTAATAACGATGCACCTAGTATTCCTTCTGTTGAATCGTTAAGTCCATTGACGTTGAATTACGAACCAAGACCTGAAACCCAAAAACCAGAAATTGAGGGATCTTTAGTGAAATCATCTGAACATGAACAAATATTGTATTTATTCTCGGAATACACTTCTGGTATAATGTCAATAAAGAACGGAATCCATGAAAATCCCTGGAGAAATATGGTTGTACCATTAGCTTCAAAACATTCTTGTATTTTCAATTCAATTGCATCCATGACGTTATTTCACATGGCTGGTAGTAATGGTGTTGTCCATGCACCAGACGAGCTACGGGAAAAAGGCTATCATTATATGAAGAAATGTATCTTGGAATTAGCTAACGGGTTATCCAATTCAGCAACCGACTTGCCACTTGATGTTGCCTTGATAACATGTTTAAATCTCGCTGTGAGTGAACAATGGGATACACATACATCCAGTGGAATTGCTCATTTGAAAGGAGCCAAAAGTATGATTCAGAAAATAATAGAGTTACTAAAGGAACAACAACAGGCTATTCGAAAAGATAGAATTCAAAGTGTCACGGGCTCAGTAGTTAGCGATGATAGTAATGGCAGCCATTTTAACGTGAAGAATAAATTAAAAAGTAAACTATCTTTGCTCGGTGATTTTGATTTTGAAAACATGGTTCATGAAACAATCCACTGTCCCGAAAAAGTAGTAGTGATTCCAAAGTCTATTCAATTTATTTTCAACCATTGGGTGTATTTTGAAGTACTAGCTCAAATGACTTCAGATACCGTGTGTGACGATAAAGGTATTGATCTAGTAGCAGTTATTACATCTGTATCACAAAACAAGCAAAGTGACAAAGACCTCACCAAATCACCAAGATCAGATAGAAGTGATCTGTCAGAGAGTGCATTTCATTTTTTTGAAACCATCAATTCATTTAATTATAACAACGAGCTTATAGATCCGCTATTGGGCTGTGGTCAATCATTGTTTGTTATTATGGGCAAAGTTGCAAATTTAATTACCAAAATAAGAAAAGCAAGAAGACAAGGTGGTGGTAAGAAAAGGAATACATTGCTAACTATCAGTCAGGCCACTGAGCTTAGACAGAAATTGCACAATTGGAAACCAGCTGTTGTTCTGAGTGTTGTTGATGATGATGGAAATGACTCTACTACTTGGGATATCCCTCTGTGTGTCGCCACAGCAGAAGCATATCGATATTCCACATTGTTGTATTTACACCAAGCAGTACCTGAAATCCCTTCCTTATCATCTCATGTTTTGGCGGAAAAAATATTCATTTTATTAGCATCAATTCCTACATCATCAAATTTGATGATTGTTCACATTTTCCCACTTTTGGTAGCATCATGTGAAGCGGAAATTGGAGAGGAGAGAGAGTGGTGTGAGACACGTTGGAAGCTATTCTCCGAAAGAATGTGGATTGGGAATATTGATAGAGCATTTGAAGTTGTTAAAGAGGTATGGAAACGAAGAGATGCATCGGAAAAGTCTGATTTTAAGTCTGTGCATCAACAGAATGGATTTGTGTCTTCCATGCATTCTGACGGCAGAAATGATAATACCCAAGATGATAATTCACTTGATTCTGAAAATCATTGGAGTACAATAATGAAAGAATGGGGTTGGGAAGTATTATTGGGGTGAGTCATTGCATTTATATAGATATTTTACATTTATTATTTGTCAATAAATAGTTCACACACAATTTTTTTTTTTTGGGTGGTTCATTACGGCCGTTGATCCGTGTAAGTTGGTTGCTCTATGCTTACTCCTCAGACGGAGAAAAAAAAAAGGTTATCAGTTATAAATAGTCATCGAATAATCAACAAATCTTTTTTTTTATTTTTTATTTAATTGTCATGCACTTTTTCTATCCAAATTGTTTTACTACATTTCTACAATATGTTGTTACGTTGTTCTAATATTTGTCGAATGCAATTTGTCCGTATGGTATCATCGAAGTCTCAATTAATTTCACGCCCCTTTGATATTGCTAATACAAAAATGATAAGAGAAACCATGGAAAGATTCCCACGACCAAATTTCATTTCATTTGATTTATTTGGAACTTTATATGATCCCATAAAACCTGTGCCTGAACAATACTATGAAATTGCGTCTAAGGAATTTGGTATTCATAAATCAGCGGAATCTATTGAAAAGGAGTTTCCAATTGTATACAACGAGATGCTAGAAATGTATCCGAACTATGGAAAGGGAAACCCCAAATTTGAAAATTGTGACCAATGGTGGGGTGAATTAATAATTCGTTTGTTTAAATTGGACAGGCACGATGATCAAGCATGGGCATTATCACATAGGTTAATTCACCATTTCACTAGTGATGAAGCATACAAGGTTTATGATGATGTGATGCCCACATTGAAAGGTCTTCAAGAAAGAGGTATTAAATTGGTTGCAGCAAGTAACTCTGATTTAAAAGCTTTAACAATATTGGATAGTTTGAAGATTAAATCATATTTTCATTGCAGCGAACACTTCCATTGTAGTGGGGTGTTCTTGTCTTATGATTCTGGCCATTCAAAACCAACAAAGGAATTTTTTGATAGGATTGCTTTAACTGAATACAAGGCTCAAGTCAATGCACATTATAAAGGAACACGTGCACCAGGTCAGTTTCTTGCAAATAATTGGCATGTTGGCGATAGCTACCTGCAAGATTTTGTCGGAGCAGTTCGTGCAGGTTGGAATGGTGTGTTGCTAGACAGAAATTGTTCAAGTGAGTTTTTCCAAGACGTTAAGAAACCCCAAAATGAAGGATGTTTCTTGAGCGAAACACCTCAAACAGACGATAATCATAACAAGAAAGATATGGTGATCTTGGCAAACAACCGAGTGGTTATAACCAAGTTAACTCAGCTTTTAGACATATTTGATATCTAAATAGAGGCTGTACCAGACAAGAATAAACAAAAGATTGTGAAGTTGCAACATAAATTCAAGCGAGCGAACGAAAATTGAAAGCAAGAATCTTACTTATGACGTAATAGATACAGCACACTAATTTAAGGTACACAAGTATCTATTATCATATTACAAGTAGTTAGATCACCATTTATTCATCATACTTTCTGAAATATCATAATAACTATAAATATTGGATTAAATCTTATTTGTTTATGTTTTAGATGGAATCACACTACGATAATTTATTTTTAGCGTGTATGTAGGCAGTTCCATTTTTCTTACGTATTTTTATTTTGTGTGATTTATTTCACTTCGCCAGTTTTTTTTTTTTCTTTTTCTACTCACACATCACCAGAAAGGAGAAGAAACTTTTTTTTTTTTGTTGTTGTTGATTTCAAGATAGGTATTGATCACGGATTTGTCATTATTTGTTTCTACTATAATTCAATTACAATCATTGATTATTAAATATTTATTATTATAACTGTCTAGCAAGATCAAGCGATTTAAAAAGAGAAAGTGGTCAACAAATAAGCAAGCCAGAAAAAGTTATTTAAGAATAATTTACAAGAATACTTAAATTTCATTCACTTATTATATTAAATCATTTACAACAATTATTACAACGATTAAAATTAAAATGCGATTTTTCAACAGTCTAATAGTATATGTATTGCTACTTTTCACGTCAGTAGTTTACTCTGTGGATATGGACACTTCCAGTAAGGAATCAATCTGTGAGGCAGCCAAGGTTGTCGCTGATGGTATGTGGAATTATTATGAAGGATTTAAATACGGGGGTGTTGTTGGTATGTTTGCAGCACCAAATTATTGGTGGAATGCAGGTGAAGCCTTTGGTGGTTTAGTTGATTACTATACCTTTTGTGATCCTGATAATTCAACCTTGGAAGGATGGATATATGATGCTATGTATCATCAAGCAGGTGAAAACTATAATTATATTCCTTCAAATCAATCTATGACCGAAGGTAATGATGATCAAGGTGTTTGGGGTATGGCCATTATGCAAGCAGTTGAAAGGAATTTCACCGAACCAGAGTCACACAGTTGGTTAGAAATGACACAAGCTGTTTTCAATACCATGTATGCAAGATGGGATGATGAACATTGTGGTGGAGGTTTGAGATGGCAAATTTTTACTTGGAATTCTGGTTATGATTATAAGAATTCTATTTCCAATGGTTGTCTCTTCCATTTGGCTGCAAGATTGGCCAGATACACTGGGAACGAGTCCAATTATGTCGAAGCTGCTGAGAAGGTTTGGAATTGGATGGATGATGTTGGATTTTTAACTGAGGAAGATAATGGTAACTTTAGAATGTATGATGGTGCTAAGATTGAAAACAACTGTTCTAGTGTGACCGACTTGAGATGGTCATATACTTACGGTGTCTTTATGGCTGGCTGCGCATATTTATACAATTTCACTGGAGACACAGTTTGGCAAACAAGAGCACTTGAAATTGTTGAAGCATCTTTGTCATATTTCTTTACCAGTGACAAGATTATGCAAGAAACAACTTGTCAGCCATACAACTTGTGTAACAATGATCAAAGATCATTCCGTTCATTATTTTCACGTTGTCTCGGATTAACTATGTTGTTGATGCCGGAATCTAGAGACACTATTCTACCATACATGGAGGCCAGTGCAGCTGGTGCAGCAGAATCATGTTCAGGTGGTTCTGATGGTGTGACCTGTGGTGAAGATTGGTCTACAGGTTCATGGGATGGTGTTTATGGTTTAGGAGAACAAATGAGTTCTTTAGAAGTGATAATGTCCTTGATAGTAGAGGATCCAATTTCTGTCAAAACTGGTGGTACAAACAGAACCAATTACGCAGCAGGAACTGATTCTGAGGATAGTGTTAATCAGAATGAGTTGAACATCACCGGAAAGGACAAAGCCGGTGCTGGTGCATTAACTGCTATTGTTTTGGCTATCATATTAGGTGGTACAATCTGGATGATGTTTTAAAATGGCCTTCAATTAATCATTGATAAATTTTAGGATTTGCTTAAATATTTGTTCGTTTTTTTTTTTTTTTTCATTTTACATTTTATTTTGTAGTTTAGCAATGTTGCTTGTGCTTATGTTTCTTTTACAATATACCCGGTAAATTCGCGTTTGTAGAATGTCTATTGTGCAATCTAAGTAGACTCTGGAAGGATGTTTGTATTGATAGACCAGGAAAACTTTTACAACAGGAAGAAAAGACTGACTGTTGGTATAAGAATACTGAATCAAACAAATGTCACTTTCATACTGCCAACAATATAGATAAGGTAGCAAAATATAAAACATTTTCCCATAATAGGTAATGTAGCACCTTACATGCTTTTATATATCATTAATGTATTTATATGTCCGGTACAGTAGATAACAATTACACTTGACAATAAATTCATTGGATGAACGGAAATTACGAATTTTGTGACCAAAAGATATTCACATTAAACTATTGGTTGAAACTTGCCGTGTAATCTCGTCCTTATTCGATTTCATAGCGTGTATACAGTTTGTGTAATTTATTCTAAAAATTTTTTTTGATTTCCCAAGTAATCACCAAGATATACATGGCTTACTTCATATTGATTTAAAACAATGTACATATCTCAGTGATATATAGAACTTAAAACCATCATCTGGATTAATTTTCCTAATTGATTCACAATGTTGCTAATTTATTAGTTTTTCTTTGTTTTTTTCTTTTCTTAACTGATAAGGATTTTGTCTCTTGTTTGAAAGGGACGGGATTTTCTTTTTTTTTTTTCTGCTGTCTTACTTTTCACTCCAGATAATGGTCCGCGTTGTTTGTCCTATTGAAGAAAGGTTAGGTAGAAATGTTGATATAATTTGGTAGAGTTTTATTTTTCAGATTGTTTAAATATCGTTCAAAATGACCCTGGAATGATTTCATTTAGATTTGAATCTTTTTATTTATTATTTGTATTAGAAATTAGACTACAAAAGTTAATTTTCATTGTAACAATAATCTCCAATCATGACTGAATCTTTGGAAAAGAAAGAATCAACCTTTCAACCAACTACAAGTATTGCGAAAGGTGAGATTCACAATATTTTGTCAAATAGGCTCCATTATCAAGCTACGACCAACTTAGATGCTTTAGCAGCTGCAGATGATAAACAAGCCGCTAGACTTTTGAAAGAAGCTCAAGCAAATTTAGAATTAGCTGCAGAAACTGGGTATACTCCAGAACTTAGAAGAAACTTTAGTATTGTGTCATTGTTAGGTATTGGGTTTGGTATTACCAATAGTTGGTTTGGTATTTCTGGGTCCTTGGTTGCTGGGATTAGTTCCGGTGGCCCAATGATGATTATTTACGGGATTATAATCGTGGCCTTTTTCTCCACATTCATTGGTGTTACTCTTTCCGAACTTGCTTCTGCTTACCCTAATGCTGCAGCACAGATTTATTGGGCGCAAAAATTAGCTCCACCAAAGTACTCAAGAATTAGTGCTTATTTCACTGGTATTTTACTGTCTGCTGGTAGTATTTTTACAACTGCAAGTGTCAACATCACCATTGCTACTATTATTCTTGGAATGTATGTTCTTCATCATCCTGAACATGTTATACAAAGATGGCAAGTCTTTATTGTCTATGAAATAATCACCTTTTTCTTGTATTTGTTCAATATTTATGAAAAACCATTACCATGGATCTCCAAAGCTGCTCTATTTGTTTCACTTTTATCATTCGTTATTATAATCATTGCTGTTCCGTCAATGCACAAGGGTGATTTCCAATCAGCACATTTTGTATTTGTTGAATTCAGTAACGGAACAGGCTGGTCCTCATCCGGAATTGCATTCATTGTTGGTTTGATTAATCCAAATTGGAGTTTCTCTTGTCTTGATGCCGCTACCCATATTGCTGAAGAAAGTTTAACACCTGAAATGGATATACCTAAAGCCATTCTTGGTACTGTTGCAATTGGTTTAGTCACATCCTTAACTTATTCTATTGCAATGTTTTTCTCAATTAAAAATTTGGATGATATATACAACTCAACTACTGGTGTTCCAATCATGGATATATTCTACCAAGCCACTGAATCCAAGGCTGCTGCTATTGGTTTAGAATTTCTTATTCTTTTAACTGCTTGTTTATGTTCTATTCAATGTCTGGTATGGGCATCACGTATTGTGTGGAGTTTCTCAAGAGATAACGGATTACCATTATCCAAACTTTGGGCTAAAGTGGATTCTAGAACCGGGAATCTTGTTAATGCTCATACCATGGCTACTTTCTGGGTCGCAGTAATTGGTTGTATTTATTTGGGATCTACTACTGCTTTCAATTCAATTTTAGTTTCTTGTGTTACATTTCTTTTACTTTCATATTTGATTCCAACTGCATTCTTAGTGTTCAAAAGAAACGAAATCAAGCATGGTCCATTTTGGTTGCATGGTTTTGGTTTGATATCAAATATCGGTTTAATTTGTTGGGCAATTTTTGCCTTTGTTTTCTATAATTTTCCAGCAGTAATGCCTGTTACAGGAAGTAATATGAACTATTCTTCTGTGGTATTTGGTGTTTGTGCTATTGGTGCCGTATGCGATTGGATTTTTAGAGGAAGAAAAGAATATGTTTCCCTTGAAGACAGAGAAAAATTGAAGGATGAATTGGCGCTGCAAGTTTCTAACCAAATCACAAACATTCAATCTATAGTGTCCAATAGGCAATTAAATTAACCCATAAATGCTTTCTATTTATTCTTAAATATATATATATATATTGAACTAAAATTTTTTTTGAAACTCATTGTAGTACTAGAATACTACTGAAGAATCATGCAAATGTAAAACAATTCATAGCTAGTTTGAACCTATAATCACAACACTTACCACTAAATTTTTGATTCTCTATTGTGACATCGGATTCATAATGATCAATAGATTTTGTTAAATATCGAACCCACGGGAAACATGGATACTTCATCTGTTCTTCTTCAACACTTAGATAACTCAATTTTAATCCAGAATAAGTGAGCATAGGTAATTTGAAGTGCACCCGGATGTCATCATTGAAATATCCTCCTTTAATTTTAGATGTGATTCGTTTCACCAGTGATGAAGATTTTCCATTGACTCCATAGAATTCATCCAATTCTTCTTTCCCTGTGTCAATATCGCCTTGTAATTCATCAGCAGTTGCAGTAGTTATTGGTTTGGTGATCTTCCTGACAACGTAATCTCTGACTTTCTCTTGATCAACACTCTGACTGTTAACCAATGCCAACTCAGTCATCATTCTAACGATCTTCTTACCATCAATGCTATCAATTTTCCAGATTAGTTCATACGAGTCTATTTTAAATGTCACTTCCCCTAGTTCTGTTTTATATTTCAAATCAGTGTCATTAGGATCTAACTCAAAATAATGGGGGTTGATAGGAATTCTGATTACCAAATTCTTGCAATGTCTTCTTCTGTGAAAATTGGTGTTGAGAATACACATAACTTGCAACTTACCAGATTCCAGAAGTACCTTAAAAGTGGGTTTAACCATAACCAACGGCATTTTTCTTTTTTGTTTTTGTTGTTCAACATTGTATGTCATTAAAATAAATTTATCATCAGGGGGAATGAATGTAACCAAGTTTTCTTTATAAATCTTGGATAATTCAATACATTGATGAAATTGGATATTTCGAATTGGGATTTTGTGTTTTGGTCTTCGTTGCAAAATAGAAGCAGTAGCTGTCACATCCCCAGAAGAAACTTGCATCAGTTCAGTTACTTCTTCTTCCTCTTCCTCTTCGTCCTCTCCCTCTCTCTCTTCTTCCTCATCATCATCTTTGATGCCAGTGTCTTCTAGTTTCAATAAGTTATCAGGAACAGGCGTTGATTCTGATGACTTTTTTTCTACTTGATCTTCGTCTCCTTCTTCATAATCGTCTTCAATTCTAGTCATATACTTTTCATTGAATCCAATTCGGCATATTGGCATACCCGAGAGATAAGACTTGACAACACAGGTACCAAAAATTTCATTTCGTTTGATGACACCGGTACCCAAGTCATACACAAACTCACAATCTTCAATAATATCAATAAAAATTTCATTCTTGGCATAAAAAATACCCTTAGGACGCCAATTAATGGCCAGTGAGTATGTACGTAAAATAGAACTGTTAATAACATCAGCATGTTTTTCAATTACATCGGTTCGTACTGCCTGGTTATGGGTAGACTTGATCTCCTCCTTCTTGTTCTTTTTGTTGTTCTTCTTTTTTGATCTGGTCTTTCTTTTAGACTTATCATTATTAACTTCATCATGATCACTGTCATCCGATTCAGAGCTCTCATAATATCCATTTGTAGTATCAACTTTCGGCATATTTGGCATGACTTTGATGTATTCTTCTAGAAGTTTATAATCTGTAACCTGTAATAACCCATAATCCAAGCACTCATCCAATACCTCCATGATCAAAGTTATGTTATCTATGATGATATCCTTATTCAACGGTTTATGTGTATCGTTGTTGAGTTTGGAGTTACACAAGTAATGTATTAGAATCACGTGTAATTGGTTGAGAAAAGTTATCACCAGCATTACATTGACATTCTTACTGATAACAGCTAATAATATCACACCATTATCACATCTAATGTATACATAAGACAATTGATCATGGTATAAAATAGGAACTTGTTCATATGGTTGTAGATTTGTCAAAAGATCATGGAAATTCTGGATGATGATCTGGTTACAAGGAATGTTTTCTTGAAATCGTCGGTTGAGTAGTAATTCGATCTGGTGAAATTCATCGGCATCTTGATCCTCTGATAAGTATAGCACATATATCGCCGATATCATGAAGAAAGATGGTGGTTCTTATATCAATGGAGATGCAGAATTGATAATCCTGCAAAACAGAAGGAAGTTGTTTCGTAGAGAGAGAGAAAAAAAAAAAAGAAAACACGAATTCCTATATCTAAAACTCTTAGCGTTTTTGTTCTCTGCTTTTGAGAGTCGCGAACTTTTTTTTTTTCATTTTGTCGTTTCTCGGATTGCCAGCTCAATAAGTGGTAACTTACGTCGGGGGTTGTTCCTTTCATTCTCGGCGGTAGGGATATTTCATTAGTTCATGCAGAAGGATCGAGTGTAAACCATGCCAATCGACGATTTAGTAATTAAATAAATAATTAATTAATTAAAAAAATCTCCTTATTCCCCCCGTACGAAGTGCAAACGGCATTGCATTGTGAAAACGAAATGGTATAAATACCCAGACAAAAATCTGGAGATCATTTTTTTTTTTCGACTTGCACTTTTATTTATAGCCCCCCTTGTTTCTTTCTTTGTTTCTTCAATTTTTTTTTTTTAACATTCTCTACTTACCAACGTTCCATCGTTTTTAACAACCATCAATGTCTCGACGTGTTTTACCTGCATTACATGAAATTACAATTCGTCAAGGATTGGAAAAGATTAACCAACTTGGCTATCCCCACTGGCATTTAAACAGATTGGATGAACCACCTAGTCATACTTTGCATGTTCTGTACCATTTGAAAAATTTCAAGATTACTTGGGAGTTTTTGAATTCAGTTGCTCAATTGGCTGCTAGTAAGAAACATCATCCAACTATAACCACTACTTATGACAAAGTAGATATTCAATTGACTACCCATGATGCTGATAACAATGTTACTCAAGATGACCTAGATATGGCTGAAGCAATTCATAAACAATATCAGGATTTATTGAAGTCTACTTAAATTGTTATTAATGGATCTATGTAGAATGAAAAAAAATTATTTTTTGGTCTTACTATGTTATGTTTAATCTATATAGTCAACTTTTCTAATGGCACGACAATATTTATCTTCAATTTCAATTGCTTCGTAAGTACCCTCTAGACTGGCCATCACTACTAATTCATGGTTCCAAATATCACTGATGGTTTCCTTTTCAACCAATTTCCTTACCGGTTTTTTACCAGTCTTTTTAATTTCAATAGTTCTAATATAAGTAAGCTTAAACGGAGGTTCTCCAAGGAATGTAAATATTAACTCAGTTTGATCCCCCTCGTGAAGATCCTCAATAATATAGTCACCTTTGTTCACTTCAACAGTTGGTATTTCATGTACTTGAAGTCTCAATTCTTCTTGTTTGATAGGATCAAAAGTGTAATTTACTTTACATGAATTTACCCCAGAATCTTCCAACCCATGAATATTCAATATACCAGGTCTTGAAGCCAATCTTTCAAAATAATTGTACAGTTGTGTTTTTCTCATTTTGTCGTTATATTCATAAAATATAGTCACTGGTAATGCACCTGTCAAATTGTATGACACGTGATCACCAACACAGTAATGTTTCCTCTTCGGATCAAACTTGAATATATTAGGAGGTTGGGTAATTGAAATTAAATATTTGTCATTTGCATTAAATTTGTTACTCTCACATCCATTACCATCTACTACTTTTGTAAAACTCAATGAATAATCTCCCAAACCAAGGAAGTCCAAATTATTCAAAATCAATGAATTGGACATCACATTTCTAAAATTCAAATCACGTGTTTTTCCTGTCTGTTCATTTCTTAAAATCATTGAAACATCAAATGGGTAAGCTCCACTGAACTTGACTGGTATATTGGCAATAACAGAATTTTCAAATAATTTATTTTCACAGACTTGTGTGAAATGATCATCAGGTATAAATTGTGCAGTTGGTAGTGGGTTAATGTTGTAAATAACTTTCGGAACATCAGCCTTACCAACTTTGCCTTTGTGTCTAGTGTACAAACTATCATACACCTTATTGAATTTATGTTCAAACCTACCATTGGCTTTTGTTGGCAACTTGATAAGTATTTCGTGGGTATCAATATTCATGGAATGTGACTCAATCTTACCACTTGGTAATTTAATCTCATAATCAACGACAAATGGGGCTTGACCAATTAAATTCAATGTGATTTCATTGGTGCATCCAAAACATACCGGTTTCAAATGAATCGACGAGTCATCGGTATGCTGCAACATTTCTTCACTGGCAGATATCTTCAAAGATGGTTTAGGATAGTAATTGACAATGATAGAATTAGTTTCGTTCAAAACACGACCTTTGCACCCATTGCTTTCAAACAAATGTAACCAATATTTACCAGCTTCCAGTAACCTGATCGATGTACCAATTAACAGAACTCGCTTCACAACTACTTTATCGGTGTTGGCAGCTTGGAACTTGATTTCAATTTTATCATGCCCGCTGATAGGAATAGATGATTTGAATTTCAATGGGATGTCAATATGGGAACCTTCAACAATGGTTACATTTTGTTCTACTTGACTCAACTCCACTTCTGGAATGTCCAGTCTACTAACAACCTTCATTGGGGCATTCTTATCGGTATACACTGCATCACAACCAAATCTATCTTTGGCATTTGATAATACAACCTCGTATGTTTTTCCAATTAATTGACTTGGGGTTTCAATGCTATAACTATCAACTTTTTCAACATGAACAGTATCCAACAATTTCTTCCTAGTATTCACATCAACAAAATCATAATCAAATGAGAACAAACCATTTCCTTTAAAGAAAAGTGGAATTGTAGAAGTTTGACCATAACATGTGCGTATGATTCTCTCTCTTTGTTGGAATCCAATTTGAGATGCATGTCTGAAATATGTCAGGAATGTGTGAGTTTTTTCATCCAACGTCAATGGGTCTTTGTAATAGTTAGCATCTTTAAGATTATTAAAAACAATGGTGTAGCTACCTTCACTTGGTGGCATGAACTTGAAAGAATGTGACTTTTCATGGGTGACCAACTCACGCACAGCTCTTCCAGAATCCAGATAAACAGGTTTAAGACTTCCAGATATATTAGAATAAATATGATACTGAACTTTGAATGGTGTCTTACCAGTGAAATTAAAATCGAAATTATAGCCAACCGTTCCAAGACACCTATCAGTAACCGGGTCTGCTGCTATCTTTAATGTAGGGATTGGTGCTAATTGAATATCAATTGGTTTAGTATCAATCTCACATGGACAATACTTGTCATTTGCAGTAACCAATTGATATCTTCCTGGCTGGTCAACAACCAAACCTTTGTCTAAAGCAGCTTTGGTTTGAAATGTAGCAGTGAAGTTGTTTGTTTTGCCATGATTGTTTGTGTGCACAACAGTAATGCCTATTGGGAAATCCTCTTCAACAAACTCTTCTGAATGAGCAATGTACAAAACTTTTTTACCTCCAACAAGTAGTTCTTGATTTTGGTCTTTATCATACATCCCAATTGAAGGGGATTTTCTAAGCTTGAGTTTGTACCACACATCTTTATCCTTGGAAAGTGGTTCATATCGGTGAATGTTTCCAAGAGAGTCTTGAATTTGTAACAACTGGAATTCTAAGGCACTATTGGTTCCTATGTTTAATGATGCAACTGATTTAAGAACTTCGTCGTGTAAGATATTTCTCACCAATTTAATCGCTTTCAACCAAGAAAAGTTTGTTCTGGAAATAGTACGGGAACTATCCAGAGCGATACTCAAATTCATCATTTTAAACTCATTACCGTCAATTTTCAAGTTAAGTTTCACAAACGCCGGGGTTGTACCATACATTTCTATCCACGGCAACGGGTATCCATCGTCTTCAATATTAGACAAACACTTGAATCCATTGGTGCTTTCAAAATTTGGTGGGTAGTAAAATTTGGCCAGTGGACAGTCAGCAATCAGGAATTCAGATTTATAGGTACGAATACTATTACCCTTGTTGTCCAAAACACTCTTAATTCTATACATCCCTGGTTTAACAATTGGATATTCCAAATAAAACACCCTTGGATCTTGTTTTCTATTGTACTCAGAATATTTTGATAAATGGGAATAGTCCTTTCTGAATAATTTACGCAATGAACCACCAGTATAGTTTAAGTATTGAATTTCATTATCAGGAGTGGTATGTTGGATTTGCAAGTATCCAATTCCTGATGTGGTGTTGAATTCAATTGGCATTTCAATAAGATGATTATTTTCCAAACCAAGACAAACTTGGTCAAAATGAAATGGGTTCATCTTAGCCGAAGAGTCTGGTAAATATTGAATTGTCAATTGACCCTTGAAATGAGAATCCATATCTATCACTTTGTTTACATCAATTGATTCTCCAATAATATTCAATTCTTTCTTTTGTAATAAAAATCTCCAAACAGGCAAAAAGACATTTGCTAATAATGGCAATGAAAAGGAACTGACTAAGAAAATGGAACATGCATTTAGTATTACAGTCAACATCAAAGTTTTGAATGGGGAAAATGTTAAATATTGGATATTTAGAACTGGTAGAATCCATAAAAACAACCCATCTAGTATTGCGTATTTCAAAACATATGTGAAATTATTTAATTGGGTTAGTACTTCTCCAGTGGATGGAATTTCTGATTTTAATAATACTAGATCATAGATTTTCCAACTCTGTATTAGTATGAAGAGCGAAAGAACAAAGATACGTTGCGATGCTTGATCAAGAACATTGCTGGGTATCAATGGCTCACCATGATCTTCTCTTTGTCTATTTCGTTTCCTTCTCCTATCCCTTTCTCTAGAATCCATGTTTCAGTCTGTATTTGTTATTGTTGAGATCTAGCTTGATACCAAAAAGTCAATGATTGAAATTAACAAAACACGAAGAGATCTCTGGAAAAAAAAAAAAAAACAAAAAAAAAAAAAGGTCAAAGAAAAACAAAGAAAAGGTTCCTACAAAAATATTGCGACAAAGTCCGAAGAATAATGTCGCGTGGATTCCAAATAATTCACTTATACATTAGAATATTTTACACCAATAAACTATACAATCACCCAAGTACCTTTACGTTTTTCTTGTACTACTTTTATAGCAGGTAAATCCCAACCAACTGCTCCGCTTCCTACAGATGCACCAAATCGAGGGACAACATAACATTCTCTTTTAGTTGGTGACAAATTCTTTGGTGCATATGGATGACCCAAAGGTTTAGAATACGTAAGCAAGGTTGAATTTTTGGCAACATTTGCCAATTGCTTCCCACTGATATCTACCAAAGGTTTCATTCTAACTTTGGTTATTTCATCCTCTTCGGTATTTCCTTTAGTGCTCAAGGATTGATATATCAAGTAAGGACTTGGAACTTGACCACTCTTTGCAATCAATGAATTTGGATGAATGTAAACAAACGGTCCCTCGTCAATCGGCATTACTGGACAATATGGAACTTGGATAATATTAGACTTGTTTGTTATTTTAACCTCTTGTGATATGATATCGCCTCTAATAGCTACTTGATCAATGAAACCAGATGCTATCATCTGCTTCATGGCACTTACTTGTTTCTTTGTTGGCATTGGAAGCTTCATCTCATTCTTTATCTGTAAACCATTTGCTGCCATAACCAGATTTTCAACGATATTACCTACCTGTTTTCTTAACTTTTGAATTTCTTCCATCATTTTGTGTCGTAAATAATGGCCCTCTAAGAACTCGTTTTGGCTCTTTTGCGGAACATGGTCAAATGCACAGACGGCAGAAAGTAACATCATACAATCACTAGAAGGGTCCAATTTTCCAAATAAAGCTCTTGAATGATTGAATTTACTTCTAAACTCTTTGCGAGCCTCGTCAGACATGTTACCACTCAATTCTGCCTCACTGATAAATGGATCACCCACAGATAACGCAGATACTATAGCAATAACATAAGGAAGACAATCCTGTTGATTACCAATGATTAATATTTTGGCAAAACGTGGACTCAATGGGAAAAGTGACATTTTTTTACCCAAATCGGTGACTGATTTTTGTTCTTTATCCAACGCACCCAAAATCACAAGCAATTCCTCGGCTTGTCTTAAGGCAGATCTATCCGGTGGAGTTGGGAACGGGAAATTGGCAATTTGATCAATACCCATACTCTTCATATTCAACACAATACTTTCAAACGGCATACGCAAAATTTCAGGTACACTGAATTGTGGGAAAAACTCTTCATACACCGCTGATGAAAATAATCTATAACAGTGACCTGGACCAGTTCTACCTGCTCTACCAGCACGTTGGTCAGCTGAAGCCTTTGAAATCCAATCAACTTCAAACGATTGAACACCATTCTCTCTGTTGAATTTTCTTTCCTTAGAACGACCACAATCAACAACATATCTGATACCTGGAATTGTCAACGAAGTTTCGGCAACATTGGTTGCCACAATACATACACGGCTTCCCTTCGGTGGTTCATCAAATACTTTCATTTGTTGGTTAGTTGGTAACAATGAGTACAATGGTAAGACATACAATGGTCCAATGTCAGATTCGTTGGAATCAACTGCTTCCTCAAAACCTTCTTCTTCTTCGTCACTGTTATCCTCCAGAGAATCATAGTCATCGTACTTTTCCTTGTCTGTGGTATCAACACTAAATTCAACATCTTCGACTTCTTGTTGTACGTTTTCAGATAATTTGACCTCGACATCTTCTTCATATTCAACTTTTGATTTCTTTTTGAATGGAAATTCGTTACGCAATTTTTTTACAAGTGTTGTAATTTCATTCTGACCTGTCAAAAATATCAAGATTCCACCCTCTGGAAGTTTGCGGTGTATTTTACAAACTTTTTTGAATGCCTCGTCAAGGTAATCATAATTAGTCTTCTTGTTGAAATGAATTGACACGGGGTACTGTCTAGCTTGAACATTAATTATTGGAGGTGGATTCTTAAATAAAGTGGAATTTTCGGAAAAATCAGACACTCTTAATGTTGCAGACATAATGATCAACTTCAATGGTTTAAACTTATCAGGGTTTTCGGTGTGGTATTTTCTTCTCAACTTCATAATTCTAGTTAACATACCAATCAAAATATCAGTATTGATGTTTCTTTCATGGGCTTCATCGATAATTATGGAAGAATACTTGGTAAGCAAGAAATCTGTCATCATTTCTCTCAACAAAACACCATCGGTCATAAACTTCAACGCAGTACCATCTGCTTTTCCTTCATTTTTGATAGTAGTATCAAATCGAATCTGGTAACCAACACGATGGCCATGGTCTCCTAATTCACTTCCAACTCTTTCTGCCATAGACACCGCAGCAACTCTTCTAGGTTGTGTAACACCAATCATGCCGGGGTACAAATTATGTTCCAAGTTACCAAACCCGGCTTCATATAAAAACTGTGGTACTTGAGTGGTTTTACCTGAACCTGTTTCCCCACAAAGAATTATACAATCATGATGATAAATGGCTTCCATTATTCTATGTTCCTCGGCAAATACAGGAAGTAAAATTCGTTGTTGTTGGATTGCATTGGATCTTTTAACTTCAACAACAAATGCATCTCTTTTTAAATCCTTATTGATTGGAATATAGCCTTCTTCGTCGGATGAATGGTCCACATCTTCATCTCTAATAGTTTGTTGTGCATACTGTTGTTTGATTTCCTCTGATACTTCCGGATTAAGAGCAATATTTTCACGACCCTCCATTTTTCGCACCTGTTGTTCAGCCCATTCTTTGAAACTATTTGCAATAGTTGAGTGACGTGGTTTGCTTTGCATCAATCTGGACTCTTCCTCTTCTTCCTCATCTTCTTCGTCTTCTTCGTCATCGTCGTCGTCGTCTACATCTTCATCCTGGTCCTCTTCTTCTTCGTCAGCTTCTTCATCATCACTAGAATCTTCTTGTTCCATGTCATTATCATTAGCTTCTCCTTCTTCTTCATCATCATCTTCTTCTTGGTCTTCGTCTTCTTTAGAAGATTCACTTTCATCTTCTGAACTTGAAGCAAAATCATCCTCCTCTTCTTTCTTCAATTTCTTCTTTTCTTCTTCTTCAATTCTCTTTCTCCAACTATACTTTTTCTTTGGTTGGCTCGACTTATCTTTCTTTATCACTGGAATATTAGCAAACCCAAACCCAAATCCTTGACCTCCAAACTTTGATGGCCTGTTATCAATGAATCCACCTGTTTTGATCTCCTCCTGATCACTTTCTTCTTCTCCACCAAATTCTTCTTCATAATCATGGTAGTCCTTAACTTCTCTTTCTTCGTATAAAATTTCCTTGGTTCTTTCATCTCCTCTACCCTGACGTTCCAATTCCAATGCCTCGATCATTTCTTCTCTTTTGGTTTGTTTACCTTTACCCAACTCTTTTAATGCTGACATTTGACTGGTATCAACCTTTGTTTCAGAAAGCTTTTCAAGTAAAATTTTCTTTTCTTCTCTCTTTAATTGATGATCGATATATTTATCCAACCTCTTCTTCTTGGATTTGGATAGCTTTTCTTGTTTTTCGTTTTGAGTATACAATGTTTCTTCTAATGCACGTTTTCTGGCTTGTCTCTCTTCTTCTGTGACTGGAACAAGAATTTCTGAATTTGAATTTTCATTATTAAATATTTGGGTAGCATCTTTGACATCTCCTTGTTCCTGATCTGATTCGTCGTGGTCTTGTCTATAGAATTGTTTATTTCTAGCTCTTTTCAAGGCAGCTTGTTTTGCAAGCATACCCGCTCTTGCCTTTTCATTGAATCTCTTTCTATATTTCCCCATCTATTGTCCTTGTTAGTGATTTATACGGGGTATGTTTGTTGTCGCTTATAGAAAACCATCGTGAATTTTTTTTTTTTTTTTTTGTTTTTCTTCAGGTTTATACACTGCGAAGAGATGCCATCCTCCGGTTTGTTTGATAATCTCTGTGTTTCACTCACAAAACTATCTCTCACTCGCAGTCTTCTTCTTCTTCTTCCTCTGCTTTTTTTTTCTGCTCTCATGTGTTGTTTGCCGTCTCCATAAAATATAGAATACAAAAAGTTAACGGTTGTAGTCGTGAGATCATCTTAGCTTGCTTATTCGTTAGTTTTCAACACCACAATATTATCAATCATGAGTCAAACAGATTTACAAAAGAATTGTATGTATTTTTGTTGAATTATATTATGATTAATTAACCATCTAGAGTCACTAACAATAATTCTCCCCTCGTCTCATAGTGATCCATTGTACATTAACTATAAATTCGACTACTTTGTACACATATGAGAATCACAATCTTGTACATTTAATTAATAATAATAATATTAATTGTTCAGAAGTAGTTTCTCAAGAATTGGGTTTGATTAATGCTTCAAGAACACTTGTTGGTTCGATACCAATCTCAACCACTAATTCAATCAAACTTGCGATGTATTTTATGAAGAAAGTATTGTCTAACCTGGATGGAAGTCGTGATTTGATTACCGTTGTTTCAATTGCTCATATAAATGTAAACAAAACTATGATCTTGAATGTAATGAAGAACATTATGGATAAGTATATTGATTATAAACGAGAAGTTGAAGCCAACAAATCAGGACCAAATGATCCGCTGGCTAAATCTAAATTAGGGGAGTTTAAGTTATACATGAATCAGATTATAAAGTACGAAGAAATGAGTTATGATTCAAACCATCATTTATATAGTTATGGATCGGTATCCGAAGATAATGAAGAAGGCAGCAGTTCTCATGATCAGATCAACCCTAATCAATTATTATTGGCAAATGAAGAAGTTGATGAGGTTAGACAGTTGATGCTAGACAATATCAATAAGCTATTAAGTAGAGGAGATAAGATTAACTCGTTGGTTGACCAGACAGATAGATTAAATACATCATCACTGGTTTTCCAAAAGCGTGCTCAACAAATTAAAAGAAAAATGTGGTTTATGAAAGCAAAATTTATATTATACATTAGTGGTGGGATTTTGATGATATTATATCTATTTATAGGTTCTCAGTGTGGGTTCCCTATTTTTGACCACTGTATTCGAAACTAGTATACAAATAAACATCGAGTTAGTAGCATTTAACTGTTCTCTTCATCGTCGTCCTCATCATTATCTGTAGTAGTATTCTTGTCCTCGGTATCTACTCCTTCTAACTCTTCCTGTTCTTTAGCCAAAGCAGCGATTGGATTTAAAGGAACTTCTTCCTCTTCTTCCTCCTCCTCCTCGTTTTCTTCGTTTTCTTCGTCTTCTTCTTCTTCGTCATCATCTATATCCATATCGTTATCATCGGCGTCACCATTTGCAACAGCTATGGTATTCTCATCTCCATCATTATCATCTTCCTTAGTATCATCATCATCCTCATCGTCTTCATCATCATCTTCATCATCATTATCCTTTTTCTTACTGACGCTTGTTCCTGACGACTCATTCACCTTTAGCCTCTTCTTGTCTGATTCTTCAACTATTTCTTGTTCTTTATTAGCATCGCCATTAGCCTTCAGTTGTCTTTTAGCAGCAGCAATAGATTCAAACTGGGTAAGTTTTTCTTTGACGTCAGGAAGAAATCCACTAAACTCTGCTCTTTCCAAAGCTCCCAACATATCTTGTGCAGACACTGTTTTCCTGTTGGCTTCCTTGGATATTTCTCTGGCTTGAAAAAACATATGCGATACAAACACCGTAGCAGATCTTTGTAAAGCAAGAAGTGAATCCTTTGCTATAGTCATCAGTGAACTATTGTTTTCATCGTCGGAGATGATCTTTTTGGCTAGTTTCAGGATCGTGGATCTTGGAAACAATATATCATCTATTGAAATCAATTGTGCTTCCTTACTACTTGGCTGTGGATATTGACCCTCTGCATTTTTTCTCCAACCTTTTGGTGGCATCTTTATCGTTGTATATGTTGATATGAATCTTTCTCTGTTTTTCAATTTCAAGAGTATTTTTTTTTTCCTTTTTCTGTTTTTTCTTTTTGCTCATTTAATGTTTCTTGTAATACGCGTCACTAATAGTCGCACAATATCATCAAGAGCAGAAGCGGGAAAAAAAAATATGTAAAAACCATTCCTACAAAGATCAAACACATCTTGTTTTTTTTTTTTGGGATTGTTTATTTGAATGGTGTTTTCTGAGAATTCAAATTTCTTCATACTCTACTACATAGATGTTTGACACAACAGACAATCCAATCACTTCTCCAAAACGAAAAAAAGCCAGAAACAAGGATACAGAAGATAATTCTTATTATGGACAATTAAACAAACGAAATATAAACAAAGTGACTTTTGGAAATTACGAATTTTCAGCGTGGTACGGCAATGCAGCGTATTTCCATCCCCATGATTTATCTCATTCTAGTTTGGGATACGTATACGCTAATAAGGTAGCCATGGAAGGATCTGGGGCTAGAAAGATACATAAAAAAGACATGTTTGATGAAACTTTACACGAATTTTGGTTGGACCATTTATACGTTTGCGAATATTGTTTCAAATACTCATCTCAAGAACACGAATTAAATTTGCATGTGGCCAAGTGTCAGCAAAATAGGACAAGACCTAATTTGGGAAAATTAATGTACAGAGATCAGAAGAATGGTTATATTATTAGAGAGATTCGAGGGTTCCAAAATCCATTGTTTTGCCAGAATCTATGTTTGTTTGGGAAATTGTTTCTTGACGATAAGTCTATCTACTATAACATTGATCATTTTAATTTCTACATTATCTACGGAAAGGATGATTACTCGACGAACTATATACCAATGGGTTTTTTCTCCAAGGAAGTATTGTCGTATGAAAACGATATAAATTTGGCATGCATATGTGTTTTCCCGCCGTTCCAAAGAAGACATTTGGGGTCATTGTTGATTGATTTCCTGTATCAACTTGCACGAGTTACACCAGGCCAGTATTATGGTAGTGGGCCCGAATATCCGCTTTCCCCATATGGAAAAATGACATATTTGCGATATTGGTCCAAAAGAATAGTAAGAGTAATTGATGAGTCGCAAGAGAGCTTTACATTAAATGATTTGTCAAGGCTTACTGGGTTTAGAAAAGAAGATATACTACTATCGTTGGAATTTATGGGTGTATTGGTTAGTGATAGCACAACAGGCGATGTTTCTCTTTGTATTGATAACTTGAAACATTGGAAGAAAGAGAATCATTACGATCCATATAAAGAATTGGATGCCTTAGATACCAGTTGTCTAATTATATGATTGATGAACTAAAATGAGGTGATTTTGTATGTATATATTAGCTATTGTTAGAATTCTATGTGATACTTAACTGTTATCTCAACTGCAGAAACGCGCCTAGTAAAACTGATGCAGGTGATTCGTTGTGTCTATTCTTCTCGAAAACGTTCCAGAATCTTAATGTTTCATCACCAGCACCAGTAACGATAGTCTCTCCATCGGGTGATAATGACAAATACAAGACTCTATAAGTATGACCCGTCAATTGGGCTATCTGCTGCATGGATGGATATTTCCAAACTATTATTTGATTTCTAGAATATCCATGAGTTGATACTAATTCATTCGAATTCTTTGACCAAATCAAATTGCATACTTGAGATCCTGTATTGACATCATGAACTAAACTTCCAGTCAACGTATTCCATGTTTTAATAGTTTTGTCGGCGGTGCCTCCACCTGAAGCCAAGATTCCACGTTGGTGAGGAGACCATGCAATAGCTTTTACTGCAGCCGTATGATCAGTAAACTGATGCAATGGTTTGGTGTTTAAACCATCCCAAACAAACAAATTGTTATCATTGCCACCACTAGCAAGCTTGTTTTCTTCGACATTCCATTTTAAACCACACACTTCTTGTTTATGGCTCTCAAACTTGTTCACATAATGATCCTCGATTCTAACGTCACGGTTCAAAATTGTTCTATCTCGACTTCCACTACTCAATATATGTTCATTCCAAGCTAATGAGCTGACTCGAAGAGAATGACCGGTCATTGTTCTAATGCACTTGATCTTGGTTGCATCCCATATCTCGACTAACCCTTTCGATGTTCCAATCGCTAGATGGGTACCTGTACCTATCCAATTCAAACTTGTAACTTTGTCTTTGTTAGTCAAATTGCATAACCTGTCCACTGATTGTGTGGCACCATCCCATAAATATACACTATCACCCAATCCAACTGCCAATACATCTTGTTGACCCCAATCAACCAAATTGAGATAAAAATCATCAGACAACTCAGGGGCGTCCAAAACTCTGTATGGAACCTTGGAGATTGTCCTTGGCTTCTTCTGTGGTGATAACAAAAGCTTCTGTGAATCTTGTCGTACAGGTGACAACGAATATAGTTCCTGTTGCAAATCTCGTGATATCGGTCGAGTCTTCTGGGGAGATTGATAAGTAAACAAGTTTGTCTTTCGTCTAGGTGTACTCGTCACATCATCGATATCGTTGGCCAGGCTGGTACTAGAAATGTTGTTGTTATTCGAAGTATTTGTGGTGATAGTAGTTGATGAAGAACCATGACCATTTGTGTTTCCAATAGCAGCGGTTATTGACGAGCCAGCTGATCCAGGGAAGTAAGATGTTGAGTTCGATGAACGTTGGGTAGCTGCTACTGCTGCTGCTGCTGCTGGAGGGGGAGGAGTAGAAGACATACTTGAACTTGTGGTTCCACTAGTAGCTATTGTGCGAGCTTGTTTCGGACGACTAGTTGTAACACCAGTGCTTGTTGTGCTATTAGTTAAATTTGCTGTGGCCATGGGTACATTATCACCAAATAATTCTGCTTTCAAAACAGTTGAAAAGGTTCGATTAGCTTCCTCCTCTCGTCTAACTTCAATTTCGTTATCCACATTCCTTCTTAAATCAGGTAGTATTTCTTCGTGTGATAAACTGAATGCTGCCTGGAGATCAACACCAGTTCTATTGGGAATGTATCTATCGCTGAATATTGTATTGTTATTTCGTCTTCTAGGAGGTGATGATTGTATTCCCATTTCATTTAGTTTCGGGGGATTCATAGTTCGAGTAGATCGTGATGGTGACCTGGGAGTTTCTAATGCATTTATGGTACTATTGCTACCATTTTTGTTATTTGATGACCTTGTATTATTCATGGTACTGATGATGAGATGTAACCCTGTTGATTGTATAAATATATGTGTGTGTATATATATGTCTTTGCCAACGGCAGAATCGATGAGTTTTCTTTTATAAAAAGCTAAAACTGTACCAAGAAAATATCCAAAAACAAAAAAAAATATGAAAGTTTGTAAGCAATAAGAATACTATTCCTAATACAAAGGGTTTAAATGTTCTCCTTGATTTTCGAAATATCACCAAGATGCCTTAGGGGTTTTTCTGTAGAATACGCAAATTGATAATTCTCAAGGTACAAAAAAAAAAAAAAAAGTTGAAATTGAACAGAACAAAAAAAAAAAATTAATAATTGTACTGGTGTACACGACGTTATGAAAACTGCCAGCATAAGAAAAGAAGAAAAATAAATAATAGAAAGATCAATAGTTCCGTTGACTCCATAAAGAAATCGTTATAACAAATAAGTGTCACAAGAAAAATTGATGCATAATTGGTTGTAAATAATTAATTTTAATTTTGACTACACAATATGATTTCAGGTTTAGTTAAACAGGTTGACAAGAAAGAAAAATGTTGAATTTATATATTGTTATCACTCAATTAGGCAATTCTGTTCGATACCGAGAGTTTTAATTTTGTGTGTGTGTGGTTGCGAAAGTATACATCACAAAGTGGAAGGATGTACAGTATAAATACGGAACTGAAATACGCAAGGGTTCTGGGAATTCACTTTTATTTATTATTATTATCACTATTATTACTATTGCTCAACAATGACTCCATTTCGTTATATGTTGTTATATTATGCAGTCACTGTTGCTTCCATTTTATCCAGTTCTGGTGGTGCCGTGAAACTTGATTTATCCATTTCTGGTGAGCATATGTACTATATCGAGGATCTTTCTTTGGGTACACCACCACAACCCATTACAAATATTATTGTCGACAGTGGATCCTCAGATTTGATGATTGTTGAGTCAATTTATAATGCTTCTGTCTCGTCTTCGTTTGTTGACACAAACCAGTCCTTCTTTATGCGATACGGGTTTGATGATCCTTTCCCAGTATTTAAAATTTATGAAAATATTGAATCTCCAGAGTTTAAATTATCCAATTTGACTATGGGATATGCTCATTTTTCTGATATCCAAAGTTTTTCAGGTGTTTTGGGTATTGGTTTTACCGGTCAAGAGTTGTTTGGTACAAATTACTCTAATTTCCCTTACTTGTTAAAAGAGCAGGGGCTTACAAAAAGTGTTTTGTTTTCATTCAATGGGCAAGATGGAAACTATCCTGCTATTATTTTTGGTGGATTAAGTACAAATATAATTGACGGTCCTTTGGTTAAAGTTCCTTTTGTTAAAGAAATTGGTCTCTCGAGTCAGTTGGATTACTGGCTAATTCCAGCGTTCACCGTTAATGAGGTTAAACTTGATGATGTGGTTATTTCCAATCAAAACACTTTGTATCAAATTGACTCTGGTAGCAATGGATTCCTTCCACCAGAACCAGTTTTGGATAATCTTGTATCACTTTTAGGTAACAATTATATTGAATCTGATGATGGGTATGCATATTATGATATCAAAGACATTGAAGAGAAAGAGTTAAAGTTCAACGTACAAGGATTTGAGATTGGGTTTGCATTAACAGATATTATTGGAGAAACTGTTGAAAAAGATGGAAATACTTATGTTGCTTTGAATCTTGCATCATACAATATTGGGTATGATTCCTTCGATGCAGTCCTTCCCAATTTGATCTTTAAATATTATTATGGTATCTTTGACTATGAAAATTACCAGGTGTACTTTGGGAAATACAAAGAACCAGCAGGTCAAGGTAATGTAATTCCTATTGTTGACGGAGATAATTTACCATATCCCACAATAGATGTTCCAGATCAGTGGAATACCTATTCTGTTATATACGACGCAGAAAGTGAAACAACCGTTGTTTTGAATGATACAGAAACCACAACCAGTACCACAGTTTCAACCGAAATAAACTCTTTAACTTCAACCCAAACATCCTCCACAACTTTCGTTAATATATGTTATAGAGTATAGGGATTTTTCAATGTTAGGTAGATGCGTAGAATAAACATTGTTACCTGTAAATCTTACAATGCTGCGAGTTGCAAATCAAATAAGAGAGAGAGGGACGTGGGAGAAAAAGAAAAACAAAAAGAGATTTACAACCAACGTAACAAAAAACCGATCTTTCGAACTAGAATATGAATGATACCAATGAATGGAGCTTTTCATTATGGGATGAATCCTTGGATTTTGAGGAACTTTACAAAAGCGAAAGTGAAAGTGAAACAACGATCTGTCAGGAATATGAGAAACCACCAAAAAATCAATACAATCCGTTTATTCTTTGCAAAATGAATTCTTTTAAGAAGAAGAGGTCACTGAAATTATTCACAAAGTGTATGAAAGTCAAATCCAATAAAATTTTAAAATCCCCAAGCCCATCGTCATTAAATTGGGACTTTGAACATAGATGGATTCAACGAAGAGGTTTTCCTAGTGAGGTTTTGATCGAAGGGTTTTGTAAAAAAATTGGTACTCAAAGTTATCAATTATTTGACTCTAGTTTAAAAGAGTGGTACATAATTAGTAATTCACGAAAATAATTCATTTATGCTATCATTAAACCTATATACTTACATCAGAAACATGCTCCAAAATGATTGGATCCCATTCATGCGATTCTCTGCAATATGACCGTCACCCAAAAAGATTAAAGAAATCATCTTCAGCTTCTTCGTCTTCTTCTCTTGTTTTACCGAAATGTTCAAATGGATGGTAATTATGTAACCGTTCTTGCATGTTGTGCGTCGCCTCCTGGATTTTCTCAATCAAAGGCTGGTGTTCTTCTTCTTTCTTCATCTCAACACTTGGTGGTTGATCGTTTTCTGTTTGTTTTGAGCTTTTCATGTTTGATAATTTTGTTTTAATATGGTTAATAATACAATTAGAGAAAGAAATAATAAGTTCGGAGTACCCTTTTTATACTAATTGTTATCAAGGATAGTAATTTAAGGAGAGTTCTCCGCAAAAATCAAACGAAAAAAAAAGGGTGATTTTTTGCATCCCCTCCAATTGTTCATAATCTCGGAGTTCATATTCAAAGGAGGTTTTTTTTTTGAATGACAACTTATGAAAAACTAAGGGATGATGGCCAATTGAAACACCCCAGACCAGTCAATCCAGCAAATAGTGAAGAGGATCTTTAGTTAAAATTTCTAACCGTATTTCTCATTCTAGAGATTATTACAGAAGTAGTCATCCCCAACAAGTGTTTTCAAAAAACATAGAATATTATCTTTTCGTGATCTTTTCTTATCTATCAATAATTACCGTGTTGTTTATTGTACTTCTAGAATAGGTCACTAGAACACGGTATCAATTTTGAATGAATAAACGTGTGACACATGCGATTCTTTCATTGGAGGTCAATTATTTCATCTCCTCTGGGGACAACAAGTTTAGAGTAGTAGATGCTTCTCTCACTGTGGTGATTGTTATATAGTCGTGTGGATGGTCAAATTCAAAATTCAACTAATTACCATCAATAAAGCATAATACATGTAAATAAACATACAATACAGATTCTCAAAGCATATTATAAGATAAACGATCTATTATCACACACATACTATATGTTCAGTATCTTTCAAAAACACTATATCCCTGGAAGACAGCGATTTGTTCCTGCATGTAAATTTCATCCAATCAAAGAATTTGAAAACTAACTTACGCAGAGGAGCAAAAAAAAAAATTGAAGAGAATGGGACGAAAAAAGAAAAAAAAATAAAGCCAATCACTGTTTATGTAAACTTTTAAAGCTGAACGACATCATTCATTATTACCTATTCATATATCATCATGTTATCACGTCTCATTACTAGATCATCCCAAGTTGGCGCCTTTACTTCTACCATACCAAAGAGATATTCATCGATTATCTCTGTTCATAGAGATACAAAAGAAGACAACCCAAATATACCTTTTGAATTCACTTCTGAAAACAAAAAAAGAGCCGAAGAAATCATTGCCAAATATCCTCCACAATATAAAAAAGGTGCCTGTATGCCGTTATTGGACTTGGGTCAACGTCAATTGGGCTTTACATCTATTTCCGTCATGAACTATGTTGCCAAGTTATTGGATATGCCACCAATGAGAGTCTATGAAGTTGCTACTTTCTATACCATGTATAACAGACATCCTATGGGTAAATACAACTTGCAAGTCTGTACCACTACTCCATGTCAATTGTGTGGAAGTGATGGAATCATGGAAGCCATAACCAACCATTTGAAGATCAAACCAGGTCAAACTACTCCAGATAAATTATTCACTTTACAAGAAGTTGAATGTTTGGGTGCTTGTGTCAATGCTCCAATGATTGCCATTAATGACGATTACCATGAAGATTTGACTCCAGAAGCCACTGTAAAATTATTGCAACAATTACAAGAAGGTAAAGAATTAAGTGAAGTTGGTCCAGTTGATGGAAAGAGAGAATCATGTGAACCATTCAGTGGACAAAAGGTATTGTTGGGCAAAGAACCAAACGATATTAGAAAGTTCACAAGAGCTGATTTGTAAGTGGAGTGTATGAAACAAAAATGTATAATAGATAATACCGATAAACTGAAAATTATAGCTAAGATTAAAGTATATATTTATATAAAACGACTAGGATGTGTTCGTCCTTGCTGGAATAATAATCAACCCTCTAAATAATATATTTATTTCGGAAATGCCTGTATATCAAGCAAAAGGGTCGTGCGATTGATTCAATTTTGGGGTAAAAATCCCTGTAAGATAAGCGTTGCATTTAATTCATACTACGACAGTGAAACAAACAAACCAAAATACTATACATCCAGATGGGTCGACTAAACGAACACCAAAAAGCCCGCAAAGGAACGTATCACAGCGATGAATTTTCCATGAGTTGTGGCGGAAGTCAAAAAGAAATAAGACGAAAAAATAAAAAAATGTGAGTCAGATTGCACAAAATCCGGTCTTGCTGGGTTTCTTTTTTTTTCCTCACACACTTCTTCCTTTTCAATTTTGTTGTGCTGACTCAAAGGTTTATCATAAATCCACAATTTTGAAAATTTTCGTCTTTCTTTTCTTTCTCTTCATCGTCTTTTATTCAAACAACAAATCATGTCCCGCAAGAACTCATATAGCCTTGAAACCGAAGTGGTTCATTATCAAACTGGTGACGAATATAATGCTTCTGTTCCACCATTATACCAAACTGCTACTTTTAAACAGCAATCCTTATCCAACATGGGGGAATACGATTACACAAGATCAGGAAATCCCACAAGAACCCAATTACAGAACCATCTTGCAAAAATCATGAGAGCAGATCATGTGTATGCTGTGTCTTCTGGTATGACTTGTCTTGATGTTATTACCAAGATGTTGAAACCTGGAGATGAAGTTATTGCTGGTGATGACTTGTATGGTGGTTCCGATAGATTGTTGACTTATTTGAACAACAAAGGTGATATCAAAGTCAAACATATTGATACTACAAAAACAAGCGATGTGATTTCTGCTATTACAGAGAAGACTGCTATGATTTTCTTGGAGTCTCCAACCAATCCATTATTTAAAGTTGTTGATGTCAGAACCATTGCTGAACAAGCACATATCATCAACCCAAATGTTATTGTCGTGTTTGACAATACTATGTTGTCACCTGTTTTAATGTGTCCCTTGGATCTTGGTGTTGACATACATTATGAAAGTGGAACAAAGTTCCTTAATGGTCAATCTAACTCCTCCAGTGGTGTTATTGCTACTAGATCTGCCGAGTTAGCAGAAAAGTTATACTACGTTATCAATGCATCAGGATCGGCTCTAGCACCATTTGAATCGTGGCTCTTGCTCGTCAACTTGAAAACTCTTTACTTGAGAGTCAATAAGCAACAAGAGAATGCAGTAGAATTGGCAAACTGGTTATCCGGTTATAGTGGATTCAAGGTTTATTATCCTGGCTTAAAATCTCATCCTGGTTATGAATTGCAGAAGTCAATGTCGAACGGATCTGGTGCTGTTTTATCATTGCTGACTGGAGATGTTGCCTTGCTGAAAGCTATAGTTGAAGGTGTTAAGTTATTTGGTATTTCCGTTTCATTTGGTGGTGTCAGCTCAAGTATTAGTATGCCATTTTACATGTCCCATGCTTCAATTGATGACAAAAAGAAACAAGAAAGAGGACTTCCGGAAGATTTAATTCGTATTTCTGTTGGTGTCGAGAATGCTGGTGACCTTATACGCGATTTTAAATCAAGTATTCATTCTGCTTACCAATCTAAATCTAAATTGAAGTCATATTTGTAGTGATTTGTTACTGTGCTTGTTTGTTTTTTATACTTCTGTTTACACATATACATATATATAAACGTTGTTTGTGCTTTGTCGTTAAATTGATAACTATCGGTGGAGTACATACGTGCATGTTACATAAGATTCCCACAATTAAATATTCCGTGGAAATTGGTTGGCGCACACTGCCATGCGCGTGCGAAACACGTCCAGTCAGGCAGAATTTTTTTTTTTTTTTCATCTCTTTTATGAACCAACCAACACAAGTACGCGTGTAAATATATATATTCTTTTTTTCTTTCTTCTTTCCTTTTTTTTTTTTAATTCTTTTCGATCATCATTTATCATCCCGTTCGATCACGATGTCATTATCCAAAGGCGCTTTGAAACAAGCATTTTCCAAAGATGGCTATGATAAAGTTCAAATGCCAATGATCCTTCAAATTACCAACATTAAGTCGGTAGATTTACCAAATGATGTTAAAAAGTATAGAATATTATTGAACGATGGCGTCTATTCTACCCATGGGTTAATTGATGAAACATGTAATGAATATATCAAAAACAACAATTGTCAAAGATACTCAATTGTTCAGGTCAACTCGTTTTCCATTTTTGCTACTCAGAAACATTTCTTTGTTATAAAGAATTTAGAGATATTATCACCAACTAGTGAAAAATCCTCCGTCCCGTTGATTCCTCTTGATACTTATTTTGCTGAACATCCAAATGAGGGACATTTGACATTAACTAAGAAATCAGAAGGTGATTCTCCAGCTCCTGCTACTCCATCAATTCCACAAGCTACTACTGCCTCTGTACAACCTTTTCAAGCCCAAGTTAAACAACCAGTTCCAGCTAATACTGCTGCTTCTGCTCGTGGACCAGCTCCACGTACATTGTCTATAGAATTGATTTCACCTTATCAAAATAACTGGACAATCAAAGCCAGAGTCTCTTACAAGGGTGATCTTAGAACTTGGTCTAATAGCAAAGGTGAAGGTAAAGTTTTTTCTGTCAATTTCTTGGACGAATCCGATGAAATCAAAGCTTCGGCTTTCAATGAAACAGCTGAAAGAGCGTACAGATCTTTAGAAGAAGGTAAAGTATATTACATATCTAAGGCTCGTGTTCAAGCTGCTAGGAAAAAGTTCAACACATTATCTCATCCATATGAATTGACTTTAGATAGAGATACAGAAATCACTGAATGTTTTGATGAGTCTGATGTCCCTAAACTCAACTTTAATTTTGTCAAGTTGGACCAAGTACAGAATTTAGAAGCCAATTCCATTATCGATGTTATTGGTGTTTTGAAAACAGTCCTTCCTCCATTTACCATCACTGCCAAATCCACCGGTAAAGAGTTCAACAGAAGAAATATTTCTATTGTCGATGAAACTGGGTTCAGTGTAGAACTTGGATTGTGGAACAACACTGCTATGGATTTCAGCGTTGAAGAAGGTACTGTTGTTGCTTTCAAAGGATGTAAAGTTACCGACTTTAATGGTAAAACTTTGAGTTTGACCCAAGCTGGTTCGATTGTTCCAAACCCTGGCACCCCAGAAAGTTTTACATTAAAAGGATGGTATGATAATGTTGGTGTCAATGAACAATTTAAAACATTAAAGACTGATAAAAATTCCGGTGATAGAATTGCCCAAAGAGTTTCAATTGCTCAAGCACTCGAGGAGCACGTGGGTACGGGAGATAAACCTGATTATTTTTCAGTGAAAGCTAGTATCACTTTCTGTAAACCAGATAATTTTGCTTACCCTGCTTGTACAAATCAAGTACAACACGGAGACGGTTCTAGACCACCCCAACTTTGTAATAAGAAGTTGATTTACCAAGATCATGATGGAACATGGAGATGTGAAAAATGTGACGCCAATTATGACCAAGCTGCTTACCGTTATATCTTGAGTTGTTCCGTCACTGATAGCACGGGACAAATGTGGTTGACATTGTTTGATGAACAGGCAAAGAAATTACTTGATATTGATGCCACGGAATTGCAAAGAAAGAAAGAAGAAAATCCTGACGCTGCTAGTGCAATTTTTACTTCTGTATTGTTCAAAGAATTTGTCTTCAGAGTTAGAGCTAGACAAGATACGTATAATGATGAATTGAAAACCAGATACCAAGCTGCTGGACTTTACGATATTAATTATACTAGTGAAGCAGAATTTTTAACCAAAGAGTTGGATCAACTTTTGTTATAATCTTTGTATGTTTTGTAATTTCTTTAGTTTTATTGTTTGCATTTCTATTGCTATGTATACTTGTTTTAGTATTTTGTTTTTGATAGTTTATTTACTTGTAGCCAGAAGTCTTTTAGTACATCTTGAGCTTGTCTTTGTCCTCTAGTAATGATCAATTTATTTATAAACAATTCTGTTTGTTCACCATCTAATGGTGCCTTTCCAACGGTACCAAGTAATTGTGCCATCCAATTTTTAATTTCTAGTGGGAATTTTGCAATCAATGTTCTGAAAAGTGGATAATAATGATCAATTGCAGATCTGGGGGCCATGACAAAACTTTTGAATAAAAATTCAACCAATGTGCTACCGATATTTGAGATTACTATTTCTCGAACGCGTTCTTGCTCATGACGACTACCTTTCTTCAAATTAATAAATGTGTTGAAAAACTTAATTATACGTTGTAACGTATGTGGAACATTCATTGACAAAGCATGTAATCCACAACCAATAACTTTGTCAAAATTTGACCACTGCAATAGAAATGCTGGTTTACGGTCAAGAATAGTGGTAAACATCTCCAAGGATGAGGCGATTGCGTCTACGTCTGACGAATCATGGTTATTGAAAACTGTTTCCACTAATTCTTGAAGTAAATTATCATTAATTCTCTTTCCGTGAGTGATCATTATAGTCTCGATCAAACTCTGGATTGTCAAGATGGATTGTGAGTCAGAACATCTGGCCTTGGAGATAAGATACTGTAGTATAACATCAAGTTCAAATGTAAATGGACCTGGAATTTCTTCTCTTAATCCTGATTTTAAAACAATACAACATTTTTCAGTAACAATGGAACTTTTCATTAAAAAATCTGGACCATTCAATGAAATTTGAGTCAAACTATTCAATACCAGATTTCTAACATTCAATGGATCTTCAGTCCAATAAGCCTTGGCTGTCTGTAATTGATCTGGTGTTAAATAGTCTTCAATCTCTTCTGGATATGTACCAGCTTTACTCATTTCACTAATACAAGAAACCAAACTAACAGCGTATTCCTCGTCAGCCTCACCAATTCTCGAGTTTATCTCTAACAAAATTTCATGAATTCTATTACCTAAATCAATAGGATTTTTAGTGGACCTGGCAACAGATACATACGAATTTGTCATTCTTTCCCGAATTAAATTGTCAACCGCGGGATTCTTCAACATTTCCAACAATATCATCTCTAGATTTGGCAAAAATGGAATTAGTTTTTCCTCGGAATCTTGGCATATTTTGTAAACGGTTCTGGAAGCAATTAACGAAAGACTATCAGTTTGGCTATGCAAAATAATGGTGAACAAAAAATTGAATGTATCAGGCAAATACTGACTGCCAATGTCGTTCTTGTAGAAAAATGACAACGAAGACATCAAGTTCAAAAGCGTCACACTTATTTGTTTATCTAGATAATCAGGAATACCTTGAATATTACCCACCAAGTTTTTGCTGAAGAATCCATCAACCAATGGTGTTAAACTAGTTTCAGAATCACTTGAATTATCATAAAAGTAAATATCATCAGTAATTTTGAATATGAGGTATAATGCAGACTCTAAGTTATTAACTACTTCTTCGGTTTTGTTTGGCACTGACAAACTATAGCTCACCAGATCACAAATGTAGGCATAGAATGGGACACTCAATAATGAATAAAATAGTATAAACATATCTGCAACAGAGACTCGATATTGTCTGAATTCTTTTGATATCCCGGGATAACAGTTGATTTTCTTGAAATATATCTGTGCTACCTGATTCAAAACCTCGTCTCGGCGAGAATTGAACCGTAAAACAGTTGCTTCATCTTGAAATATGGCTTTCATTGCTTCACCATCATCAATAAATGTATTCGTGAATTCCTCCCAGAATAATATAAACTGATCACTTGTCTTTTCATCCTCTATGGCAATTCCTGGTGTATTCGTTAACGAGATGGCGATTTGAAGTACATTGAATACTTCGTCATCGAGAATGTTTCTTGTAATCAGTACCAAGTTCAATGTTAGATAAGAAATTACCAAATTAACAAAATTTTCTATCTCCAGGGAATACATTTCTCTAAAATCTGAGTCATTGAGGACTGTTTTTATGAAATTGACGCCAAAACTATTATTAGCAAACAAAAGCAGGAAAATGGTCGACTTAAACGGAGTTAAAACCCTTGGGATGTGATCAATTATTTCAGTCATTACGGTGAAGACCTTATTCAAAGACTCAAGATTTAACTCACCTTCTTGTAAACTAAACTGATTCAACAAATACTGAATAAAGATTCCCATATCGTCGGTATATCTTTGATCTGACAGAGTCTCTGCAACAGATATATAAACCACCCAAGAACTTAAACAATCTAACATCTGATTGTGGATATGTAGCGATACTTGGTACCCTATCTGTTCATACAACTGTCGGCAGTGATTGAAAATCGTAGAATGGATCAAATTATGAAGTGATGGGGATAACTTTGGAACTTTGATAATATCCTCCACAAGAATCGTCAAGAATTGGATCACTATTTCAAGTTGTTTTTGGTCATGCAAACGATCAATAATGGATGTTGGTAATGGATTGTTATCGGTCAGCAGAATCACTGCTGAAAGTCTTTCCACAGGATCAATATTTGAAGAAGCATAGTTAGAAACAAATAGTAACGACAAGTTACTAAGTAATTTCTTGATAATAAATGAATTGCCAGCAAAATCCTCGTTAATAAGAAAAACAATGATCTCTAGTATCTGGTCAAATGTAGTGGTATAAATATCTCCCGAGTCATGAGTATTGAGAAATACGGTTATTGTCAATGCCCCAAAATATCTCACATTTTTATCTTGATGGGACAACAATTTGAGTCCTAATTGATACCCTGAATCACTTTTCTGATAAGACTGTAGTCTTTCCTGAATCATTTGTATTTCGGCTGCATCATGAGATGAGTATAATAATTCGATATCCTAAAATTTCATTTGTTAGTAGACTGTAATCAATTACACATTCCCAATTCAATGTACTTACATGAACGATATTTCCCATATTCATATCATTTTGCATGACGGTGAATTTGGTCTTGTTGAATTAATAATGCTTACCTCAGATGTTGTAAGTACAGAGAAGAAGAAAAAAATACGTGAAAAACGATCACGAAAAAAAAAAAAAAAAAGAATCAAAATTAACACTATGTAATCACAGACCATGGTGATAATTGTGGTGATTGGTTGTGCTAAATCTAGAGATATAATACTAATCGTATTTGTTTAATGCAATCCAGTTCATGATATGACCGAAGATTACACAACTGCTTCAACCTCTGGAACGAGACATCTAGCTTGATATTTGGTTAACAAATAAAATGGAGATTCCATGATTGGGTGCTTCAACCAGCAACAGTGTACATAATCTCCGCCGTTTTTGATAAACATGCATGCCATACTTAGACACTGGACCACAAGTAGTATTTATTGACAAACCATGTAGAATAATCATAAACTGGATCGTTGAAGGCAGCGACTGTTACTGTCTAAATGTTATTAACTTGCAACAACTTGGGTTGTAAAAATTTAGAGCCACTTAGGTAACAGTGATTAGTCAAATGAACACAAAAAAAAGAAAGAAAGAAAGAAAGAAAATTGCTTGCAGCGATTTTCCGTTACATACTCAGTTACTCTTATGCTTACACTAACAATAAAAAAAAGATTGAAGGGGGAAAAAAAAAAATAAGTTGTCGTCAACGTTTTTCCTTTTTTCTTCACAAGAGTTTTCTTCTTTTCCAAGTCAAGCTCATCAAATTAAAATTAATTTAGGATCCAAATATGTCAGGAAAAGTTGCAAGAGCACAATGTGCAAACTGTACATGTTCTCCAGGTTTATTATCTAGAGCTAATAGAAAATCGGCTTTGATTGCCAGAAGAATTAATCTCAACAGAATGAATTCCGGTTCTCCAGGCGGGTCAACTTCAAGAAAAGGTTCAGTTTTTACTTTGAACCCATCCTTGTGTATGCCTGATACCAAAGAAGTTAATACCTCCAGAAGATTGGAAAGTTTAAGAAAAAAAATGAAGGAGCACGATTTAGGTATCTATATTATCCCATCAGAAGACCAACACCAATCTGAATACGTATCTGCTATTGACCAGAAAAGAAGTTTTATTAGTGGGTTTTCAGGTAGTGCAGGTATTGCCATTGTCACTAGAGATTTAAATAGTGTTGGTGACTCATTTGAAGGTACCGCTGCTTTATCTACTGATGGAAGATATTTTACTCAAGCGATTGATGAATTGGATTTTAACTGGATTTTATTGAAACAAGGAGCAAAGGACGAACCAAACTGGAAAGAATGGACTGTCAAACAAGCTATTCAATTAAGTTTTGACAGTGGGTTGACCGTCAAGATTGGTGTTGATCCTAAATTGATTAGTTACAAATTGTATCAAGAATTCCAGAGTATTATCACAAAAGAGTTGAAAAGAAATCCTAAAGCAGATATTGAATTTGTTCCTGTAGGTAAGAACTTGGTAGAAGAGATTTGGCAAGAATTTGAAGATTTGCCTCCGTCAAGTTTGGGCGAGATTAAGAGTTTGGATATTAAATTCACTGGAAAAACAGTAGAGGACAAACTAATCGATGTTCGAAAACGCATGAAAAACGATGTTAAAGGCTTGGTAGTATTAGGTTTGGATGAGATTGCTTGGTTGTTAAACTTGCGTGGACTGGATATTGAATATAACCCTGTGTTTTTCAGTTTTATGATTATTACAGACGATTCAACTACACTTTATGTTGGCGAAAATAGATTATCGGATAGTATTATTGAGACCTTGACAAAATCTGGTGTCGCTGTGGAGCCATATAGCTCATTCTATTCAAATTTGCAAACCATTTCTAAAACTTTTGAAAATGAGAAAAAGAAATTCTTTATACCAGATAATGCTAACTGGGAAGTGATGCGCAGTTTACAATGTGAGTTCACCCAAGGATTATCTCCAGTGGAAGAGTTGAAGGCTATCAAGAATGAAGTTGAATTAAAAGGTGCCAAAATTGCACACATAAAGGATGGTAGAGCCTTGGTTAGATTTTTTGCATGGTTGGAGGATCAAATAATAAATAAGCAAGAATTGATTGATGAAATAGAAGCTGATGAAAAATTAACTGAATATAGAAAAGAAGAAGATAATTTTGTTGGGTTGTCATTTGCTACCATTAGTGCGACCGGAGCCAATGGGGCTGTGATTCATTATCAACCAACTAAAGGACAATGTGGCACAATTAATCCAACCAAAATGTACCTTAACGATTCGGGGTCACAATTCTTGGAAGGTACAACAGATACCACCAGAACCATGCACTTTGAGACACCTACTGCCGATGAAATTAGAAATTACACTTTAGTCTTGAAAGGTAATGTCGCCTTGGCAACATTGAAATTCCCAGAAAATACTACCGGTAACTTGATTGATTCTATTGCTCGACAATTCCTTTGGAAGTATGGACTTAATTATGCCCATGGTACATCACATGGTGTTGGTGCTTACTTAAACGTTCATGAAGGTCCTATTGGAATTGGTCCAAGACCAAATGCTGCTGCGTATGCTTTGAAAGCTGGCAATTTGATATCAAACGAGCCAGGTTACTACAAAGAAGGTGAATATGGTATTAGAATAGAAAACATGATGTTTATTAAAGAAAGTGGATTGACATCTGATGGCAAAATGTTTTTAGAATTTGAAACCGTTACCAAAGTTCCATTCTGCAGACGTTTGATTGACGTTAATTTATTAACCGATGATGAAATATCTTGGATCAATAAATATCATGCCGGAATTTGGAAAGAGTTGCACGTTAGTTTTGATAAAAACAGTTATGTCTATAAGTGGTTAAAAAGGGAAACAGACCCATTGGTTAAATCACATTGATTTAATGTTTTCTTCTAAATGCGTATTTTCTTTTCTTCATGTAACCTAGATTGATTCTTTCAATTGTTGTTTTATACATACATACATAAAAAAAAAAAATAAAGCATTTTATAGTGATTGACAAATACACACAGAAGCAATAAAATACATTATTCCTCAAAAAGAATTTGAATTTCTTCAATTCTTCTTTGACGTCTCTCTTCTTCTTCAGCAGCAACAGCTTCACCGATTTGTTTCTTAAGATCCTGGATCTTGAGCATCTTTGTTTCAATACTGTTCTCCATAATAAACCTCACAACCTTGACAGTTTCATTTTGTCCAATTCTGTGAATTCTATCAATCGCTTGGTCTTCTACACTTGGAGACCACCAGGGGTCCATCATAAATGCACGCGAAGCTGTAGTTAGATTCAATCCCACTCCACCAGCTCTTAATGATAACAACAAAATTGCAATTTTACCATTTGTCAATGGTTTATTGAATGATTCCAATAATTTAGATCTATCATTCATATTCAACCTACCATCAAACTTAAAAACAATAAAATCATCACTCGCTAGTTTCAATTCTGTCTCAATAATATCTAAATATGACAGAAATTGGGAGAAAACAACTGCCTTCAGATTTGGAACCTGTGAATGTAAATTCTTCAAGTGACGAATTAATGCTTGGATTTTAGATGATGACCTATTGGGGTCGTATAAATACAATTGGAAGTCTCGATCCTCGGATTCTTCCTTTGTATGAAATCTGATCATCTTACCACTTGTGTTTTGTTTTCTAATTCGAAATAATTGATATTTGGATATGGGCGCCCGGCAATTGGGGCACAATTTTTCTTTACTCAATTCGCTTTGGAAATCTAAATGTTCCAAGATACATGACAAACAAAAAGTATGTCCACACGGAGTGACCGTCATTTCATGGTATGCAATGGGAATTTGAGTACATATCGAGCACTCGTTCTCCTCTTGAATCTTATCATACAACTTGTACATCGTTTGTTTTACTTCAGTATCGTTGGTATACTTTACATGTGTCGCTTTCATAGATTGCAAAAACTTCCTCATATCCTCGTCTTCCTCGTTGTCAATCACCTCGTCATCCATTTCATGAGCTCCTCCAATCAAGTCAACATGACAGCATACCTGCCTAAGCCTCAAAATATGCGTTAATATTTGGGTGTATCGACGCAACAATTGACCAGATTTCATCCCCTCAGCAAATGAATGATATGCCCTGTCCTTAAACCATTGGTATAGTTTTTCTTCATCATCATTAAATTTAATTTCCTCAATAACAACTTCCTTTGATGGTAATTCGACTAATGGTTTCCCATCTTTCTTTTGCAGTTTCGTTCTTCGCAAGAATATCGGTTCTAGAATAGATTTAATGACGTCTAATGCTTGAGAAACTTTCTTGTCTTCAAATGGTAACGTTACAAAAGTCTTCCAATATGAAAAATTGCTCCAGGGATCGAGCTCCAAAAATTTTGCCAATGAATACAAATCATCTAATCGGTTGACAATTGGCGTACCGGTAAGAATCCATTTTCTACTCAGTTCCAATTCATACATTGATTTTGCAGTAATTGTGTTTCGATTACGAATATTATGACCTTCATCTAGAATTATTCTGAAAAATTTCACTGAATAAAGTCCAACTCGTGGCAACTCACCCTTGGAATTACGTTCTTGGTTAATCGGGTGAGAA